ATTATATTTAGCTATTATATTCTTTATATTATAGCGCTATTTATATATATCCCTAGCTTAATTGCTTTATTATTAATTACTTTAATAAACTTGCCTTATATAATTTGCTTTATTATTATTAAGCATAATAAAAATAAATTAAGTTTTATTAATATATTAAATTAAAGTATACTTTGCTATTTACTTAGGAATAAAAGTTAGCTTATTATATTATTTATGGAAAAAACCCTTTAATATTATTATTAATTACTTTTATTATATTAAATATTTTAACTAAACCATAAATATACTTATATAGTTATTTCTTTTTAATATTTAAAGTTTATAATAGTAATTAAAATACCTTATTAAGAACTTTTATATTTCCTTTACTACTTTTCACTGCTATTAAGGCAACTTTTAAGGTTTAAATTTCTTATTTATCATTATTTCTTAAATTTACTTAAATTTATATTACTTACCAATATTATAAAAAGATTGAAAAATTCCCCGCGAATTCACCTTAAATTCACAGGAGATATTGAATTTCAAACCTTTATTCCTATTAATTCCCAAGATATTATTAATGTGCTGCTAATACTACGGAATAAAAGCATAATTAATGTTGTACCCTTTATTATCATGGTTAATTAACTATGTTTACTATTGCTTATATACTTAATTTAATGATTGCATAAATGTAGTATGCTCTTATTATATAAGACTTAATACAGCTTTATAGTTATCCCTGTATAGTTTCATGCAATATTATTAACCTCCTTTTTTCTTTAATAAACATATTTAGAAAAATAAAATGCATTATAATATATAAAACCGCTTAAAATTTACACTCTTTATTGCTTTCCTTTAACGAAAAGGCCTTGCAAAATGCTATGCTTATTGTAAGGTATTACTATATAGTTTAGCTAGCTTACTTTTCTTTTTTACTATATATTAAATAAGCTTAACTTACCTTTACCCTTTAATAATTTTACTTGCTAAATATTAATTAGTTTTATTAAGTATGGATTGATAAGATATGGTTTAATGGCCTTAGTGCTTATTGTAAATTTATTATAATTAGCCCTAATAAGAATATTAAAAAGTTTTTTAAAGTTAAGTTTAAGCTTAATAATTAAATATTTTAAGGTTGTTTTGTTAATAATAAGAAGGGTTCTTTAGTTATTTAAGAGAAGAAATGGGGAAAAATTAATAATAAGTTATATTAATTAAGGATTTTTTAAAGTTAAAAGCCTTTTAAAGGTTTAATGATTTCTTTATTATTTAATAAGATAATGCTTTAGCATATAAATTAAGATTAATTAAGATTTATTTTAATAAGTATTTTCTTAATGCTTATATTATTAAGTAGCCGGCTTATTTATTAAATCTTAACTTAATTAAGCATATTTAGGCGTTTATAAAGAGGTAGATTGATAAATAATTTAGGGAGCGACCTATAAATAAAAATTTAATGATAATAATCTTCTTAGCTTAGGAAGCTATTAGCTTAAACTTGCTAATGCATCTTTATTTAAATATGCTAAGGTAAATAGTAGTGATTATTATAATAAATAGGGGTTGGATTGGCATGTAACCTTATAATTAAGTGACCTATTAATATAAGCTATTTTTGCCGTGCAATTTGGTATTGATATTGTTAATATGCATTAACCGCCAAGACCGAGAAATCTACGTGATTTATTACTATTAACTTAGGGGGCCCCTCGCCAATGCAATGGAAGTTACGAATTAACCTTCTTTAGGGGAAAACCCTGTAACTACGTGCCATTTCTCATCGGAATATCTCGATTCTAAGGGCTCGTTGCGATGAGACATAATAACAGGGTGGACAAAGGAAGGCATTTTTCGCCCAAGCCCCCGCAGTTTAGGCGAGAGCATACACGACCAGCCGGGAAGCTGAGACGGAGTCTGGGTCCCGGTGCAACAGTCTCAAAAGGGCGAGTGCGCCCGCGTCTGTTGGTCATAAAGTTGCTGGCTTCGCTGACCGCTGGACCGGTTGCATGGCCGCAATAAACCATAAAACTGCGTTGCGTTGCAACTGAACCTTGAGAGAGAGGGAAATCCCAGGGACTGCACAGACTTGGCGCTTACCCCTGCCAGATTCCAGGCCGTTGTGCTGCATGAGGGTGGAATTGATAGGTTGAGCTCGGTTCCTGCATTCCGATCGGGGTCTCAACGTTCGGCTCAACGTCGTGCTGAAGCTCTTGTTTACTTCTCTTGTTCCTGCTGCCCGGCCCTTCCAAGGTTGACACCGAAACGACGACGACGTCATCGCCAGTCTGAGGACCAGGCAACATCGTCTGCAGGTTTCGAAGATCTATGTGAAGATACGTGGGACAGGGCTAAAATAGCCTGCTTGACGGATCATCAAGAGGTCAGGTCGGGTCTGGTGGTCGCGTGTGATGGAAGACATGTCGCATCCCCCGCGTACTAAAGCGGCACGTTGGCTGCAGGGGCGAGGCGACGTTGGGGTGGGTAGCGAAAAAGGCCTGCATCAGGCCTGTTTCACACTGATGGGGGAGGAATCAGCATACACCTGCATATTGCTGGTGATGAGCATTGAAAATCCTCAGGCAAACACGCACACAAGACATGCGGGCCATCGGTCGTTTGATGGGAAAAAAAAAGAAGAAAAAGAGAAGATCGGACCAAGAGCGAATGAACAGCGGGCGATAAGGAACCCCGCCAGGTGGCAGGGGAGCCATGCAAAAAGTGGCGAGGGGCGGTGGGACCAACCACAGGCGGGCTGATAACAAAGAGACACATTCGAATTGGATAATGGTGGCAGCAGGCTATTTTTAGACTGGCGTGAGTGGTCTGTCTGGTCAGTCTGGTCCGGGCCCTCGGAGCGGCCATTTTGACAGGACGGAACAGAGGAGTAGTAGGACGGGCTGGAAGGAAGGACGGGCTGGGCCAGGCAGTGCAGGCTGGAGGTAACCGTGTCGGAATGATGAATTCCGCCCCCCCTGGTAAAGACGATGTGATGATTTTTTTAGGAACGGCATAGTGGTCCTACTCTTTAATCTTGGCATTTTAAAGCCCCAAAGCCACTTTAAAAAAACACATCTCGCTTATTTTAAGGAACATAGAGAGTATCGGGTTGGGCCTTAAGTGGTGCTCGGCGGTGCCTATCGGCACCGTCCGTCCTCGCCCTAGCCGGCCCTTTCTTAATTTATAATTATAAGCCCTGGGAGAGTAAATTAAATTGGGAGTCTTTAAGAGGTTTTTAAGATGTTATTTAAAGGCGGGGGGACTAGTGGAGGCGCTAACCAACTCTAGAAGAATCATCACATCGTCTTTACCAGGGGGGGCGGAATTCATCATTCCGTAACCGTGTGTGCATGTGTGTGTGCCGTACGTAGCACCAAGGCTGGGACAGTGCTGAGAGCTGAGAGGAGGAGCATTGAGAAACCTGGGGTGATTGGACAGGGGTAAGGGTGTGTGTGTTCCCCCAAGGACGAGCCCGACAACCGGAGCGGGAATTAAAGCGCAGGGGGTGAGCGAGTTTAGACGGATTTAGACATGTTTACTCGATCGTGTCCTCAAACTCTTAGGTAATATCTTGCCGCAATCAGTACAACCGCATAGTGTTTGCAGCATGGCGCGCGGACACGAGTCGAGAGTGTGACGGCTGTCAAGGCTGTCTGGACGAGACGTGAGACATCGTCGAGGTAGTCAGACAGTCAGTTCAGGTCAGGTCTGTCCCGTCTGGCTGCTATAGGCATCGTGCTGGTTCTGGCCTTGGCTGGCGCGTTGGGCTGGTGTGGGTTCTGGGTGCGGGTATTCCGTTTTCCTTTGAGCCGGGGGCCTGAGCAGGGCTGGGACCGCGGTGATCAGTGCGCCAGCCCGTCCCGTTCAGTTAAGCCGGCCAGCGACGGCTTGGGCGCATCTCTGCACAACGGGCTTGGGTGGCAGCACTGCCATCTTTCGTGGCGGCCAGAACACGCCTCCAGCCTCGTACTCTGACGGATTCTCGCCGGGGCGAGAACGCGGACCATCAGTCTACGGCCCGTGGAGAGACAGGAGAGGCCAACCAGGAACGAGGTTGGCACTTCGTGTCCGGCTCCTTTTTTTGGGTAGATCAATGCTGCAGCACTTTGACGTACCTGACGGGGGAACGGGCCCGAGAGTACACACTGCCGCAGTCAGTCGGGTTCACAGCAGATGCTTTTCCTTCGGTCAACAACGTGGTTGGCAACAGTGGAGACTCGACCCCTTGCATTTCAACCCGACGATGGGCATGGTCAGGATTCCAGAGAAAGAGGGGTCACTTGAGATATCTATCCGTGGGGATCATGATGGCGTCCTTCGTTATCTGCCCAGGCCAAATCGAATCAGACCCGACTGGTTGGTTGGCTTGCCTGTCTGTCATGTCGTGGTGTCTATCGGCTCGGTCTTGCGGGTGAGGGCAGCAGGCACAATTGGCAGCTCTGGCAGCTCTGGCAGACAACCCAACCGCTCCCGGCGACCCCTTCACCCTCGAAAATGTCCGGGCCCCCACATCTCAAACTAGGGTTCTGTGGGGCGGGTGGGTACGTACCCTACGTAGTGGCCGGTGCGGTATCTTGGGTTGTCGGGCGTCTGGGTTCTCTAGCGGTGCGGTTGAGAAGGCGTCTAGGTACCTACGCATTTACCTGTAGATACGTACTGACGCGGAGGTACGTATCTACCTTCAAACAGCAAGGAGTGGCCGCTGAGAGTGTGAGTAGTTTGCAGCTGCCATATCGCCAGTCACTCTTGGGCCGTCGGCTGCAGGGAACGACCTCTCTCACCCCACCACTTGGGCAATTCCTTTTAAGTCCCTCGTGCGCCGGCCTGGTAACCTTTGCTAGGGGCCTGCGCCTATTCTTCTCTTTTCAACATCTTCCTTCTCCTTTTACCCAAAACCAGTCCAACTGTTTCTTCCTTGCTTGACCGAGTGCCATACTTGCGTCTGCTGTCCAAATTGTCGATTCTCCAACAGATCCTCCCACCACACATCAGGACCCATCTCCAAAATGGTCAGTCGCAACCCCACCAGCGCCGTCCAGCCTAGCCCAGCCGCACCCACGGCTGGTGTCACGATCAGCAGCAACGCATTGGGTTTCGAGAGGAAAAGAGAGCGCGATTTACTGACAATGCTCGTTGCAACAGGCGACCAAGGCGGCTGTCACCTCAAATGCTTCGGCTGTAAGCTTCACGCACTCCCAAATCATAGCAGAACAGAAAGAACCACTTGAGAAGTGGCCCGCAGCGGGAATTACGCGAGACTGACATGTGCCCCCACAACCAGCTGGCCAAGTACCTCGAACTGCCCCAAAATGGCAAGATCATGGCAGAGGTGAGCAGCCCAACAGATACAGCCCAATTCCTACGTCGTTTTGAGACTGACCCTTTTCTTCGCAGTACATCTGGATCGACTCTGAGGGCGGCACTCGCTCCAAGTCGAGGGTATGCTACCACTTCCTCCCCCCCCCCCCCGATTCTGCCCGACCCGGCGATGCGGTGACACCGCGAACTCTTGGCCCCCCCGGACGCGCGCTTTCTGTGGACTTTTCGTCACAAGAAGCCACCCTCGTTCCAGCTCCGACGAAACACATGCACTGCAGTCTTTGTGGACTTGTCTGGCTCCGAGACCTTGGGCGGCCAACACTCCGCCTTTTCGCTTTGCGCCGGCGGAAAGCCTCCTTGCGAGTGGACGCGTCCCACAAAACTGCAGTGGCAAGCTCCACGATATCGCCAAGACCCCCGAGCTGTGCCCGACTGAGGAATAACTGGGCTGACACCATGACTCGACTCTAGACTCTGGATGCGAAGGACACTGACTACACACCAAAAGATCGTGAGTCACCCAAATCCCGTCTTGGGGTTCCAAAGGGCGATCCTGGGGCCCCAGAATTTCCGCACACAGAGACATTGTACTGACGATCGGATTAGTCCCAATTTGGAACTTTGACGGAAGCAGCACCGGTCAGGCACCTGGTAAGTTCCATTCCCATCGCCTTAAGTGTTGGCGACCAATTGCTAATAATATCTCCTTCCAGGCGACAACAGCGATGTCTACCTCCGCCCTGCCGGTTCGTATTACGTCGACATACCACCACGACCCAGCAACCCAATTGCTGACTGAAACCTCGTACAGCCGTCTTCCCCGATCCTTTCCGCAGGAATGGCAACATCCTCGTCCTCGCCGAATGGTAACGCGCACCCGGCACCCCCAGATTTGGTACTTTGCAGCCGTGCTGACTCCACCGCAGCTGGGATGCCGATGGAACCCCTAACAAGTTCAACTACCGGCACCGAGCTGCCAAGCTGATGGAGGCTCACGCCGCCCAGAAGGTATGCAGACATCAAAATGAACCAAAGTTGACGGAATCATTGGCTAACGGTGCATGCAGCCATGGTTCGGCCTTGAGCAAGAGTACACACTTCTCGACCTCGACGACAGGCCGTATGGCTGGCCCGCCAATGGGTAAGCTAACTCCACACCCGGAAAGCTGGCCGCAGGAGCTCGCTGCAAAAATTCTCTCAATCGTCAAATCGCCATGGGAAGGCCCGGATTGCCTTGCGCCAGGCAGGTTTGTTGCTTTCTACTGCAAGGACTCTTCTCGGCTGGGCGGCATCGTCTACGAATGGTTCGCGCTGCCAATCGCAACTACAGCCAGTCCCTGGTCCCGGACGTCGGTACTCATTCTGTTGTCTTCTGGCAGTTTGGCAAAACAGGGGACTCGGCCGTGTTACCCCAATCGTGACAATGATGTCAGGGGCGCCGCCGAAGAACTGTTGCGTCACATTGTCGGATCAAAGGCCACAGAGGGACGAGTCTGACGTCTCGTGACCAATGCCGCCTTGGCGGGGCATCATTACGAGTGGTGTTGCCACCAGCCTGTTTTTGCCAAGGCTGGCTGTGGAGACTTGGTCGTCACAACACACCTCAGCTAACGGAGTCCTTGCAATTGAAGGCGACAACCGAAACCAAACCAGTCCTGACTTCCTATTCTGGCGAGGAGAGATCAAGATGGCGAGCTTTGCGGCCACATTCTGAGTTTTGACTCTTGTTGCACTTGCTGACCAAATTTGAAGATTCCCCGCTCCTCAGGGCCCATACTACTGTGGTGTCGGCGCAGGCGTAAGTTTGACTAAGACAATCCGCCTGCGACTATATTTAGGAGCAATTCACTGACGTCCTCCGCAGAAGGTTGTCCAGCGTGACATCGTCGAGGCGCACTACCGATGCTGCCTTTACGCCGGTGTCAAGATCTCTGGAACCAACGCAGAAGTTATGCCCGCTCAGTGGGAGTTCCAGGTCGGCCCTTGCGAGGGCATTGAGATGGGGTAAGTCGAAATCACCGCACTGCTTCTCCCTCAATATTGGACAGAACATGAGCTGACAATGTTGCAGCGACCACCTCTGGCTCGCCAGGTTCCTGCTCCACCGTGTTGCTGAGGAGTTCGGCGCCAAGGTCTCGGTTGAGCCCAAGCCAATTGTAAGTTTCTTGTCACATTCTGGATGAAATAGTTCTCTGGCTGACGAAATCAACTCTAGCCTGGCGACTGGAACGGTGCTGGCCTACACAGTAACTTCTCTACCGAGGATATGCGTAAGGACGGTGGCATGAAGCACATCGAGGCTGCCATCAAGAAGCTGGAGGGTCGCCACAAGGAGCACATCGCTGTCTACGGCGAGGGCAACGAGAAGCGTCTCACTGGCCGTCACGAGACTGGCAGCATCGAGCAGTTCTCATATGGTGTCGCCAACCGTGGTGCCTCCATCCGTATTCCTCGCGAGTGTGCCGTAAAACAGAGCGGCTACTTCGAGGACAGGAGGCCCGCCTCCAACGCCGACCCCTACCAGATCACCGGTATCATCATGGAGACCATCTTCGGCTCTGCCTAAGTTATATCCATTTGCGGAGTTTTGCCTTCTGAGAGGGTGGCGTGTTTGAGTGCATAACCAGCAGTCGATGTCGGCAATACCGTTTCCGAGTCTGGCCTCTTCAGGCTTTGGCTTAATCCGTGTTCACCGGGCAGTCGCCAATTTGCGTACTTTTTTTTTTGGAGGTTTCGGCGTCGGAAAACAAGATCACATATTTCCCCAGATGAGAGAGATAAGAGGAAGGACAGAAGAAACTGTCTGTATTTTGGTAGATTCGAGTTCATAGCCGACTTTATATATGCGGCTTTGTGAGAGTGTGAAATAAGATTCAGTGTGCTCACTAGTCATGGTTTATATCCACGTCCACTTAGAAACTAATGTCTCAAAACAGAATACACGTACTTCTACGTTAGCTTCATGGTAAGGCACATGTTCAGTGAGCCGTGAGTATCAGACCTGAAGACGGTTCTCATGGCAACCTTGGAAGTTCAATGATGAAATTCAATTACCTTGGTGAGTAGGCAGCATGCACCGTCGCTGGCATTGTCAATTCTTGCTGCAGCCAGGCCAGTAACTCAACAGTCCCCGCTGTGCGCAAAACTGGCGCAACAGAGTCAACCGCGGCAAGCAGATTGCACCAAAGGCCATCGAGAAGAACCGCAAGCTTTTCTGAGAGCTTTATCGTCTACGAGGGTTCCCTAGCTTGTGGAATAGTCTGTGGCTTGGTAGCGCCGGGAGACATCTCGCATCACATGCGTATGGCGAGACGCTGCAGGACCTGCAGCACATCAACAACATCAGGCACAAAGTCCCGCTTGAAGACTCGGAGATCCGGCAGGAGGTAAAAGCAAACAGTACAGAATCTCGAGTTAAGTGGACCTACGTGCGATGTAGGTACGCTTCACTTGAGTTGGCTTGCTGATCAGCGCCGAAAGGAGGTAACTTACATCAGCAGCGTGATTGCCTAGGAGACTCGGGCATCGCCCGGGTAGCCTGGAACTTGTTTGAAGGGGCAGATAATATTGCAAATGCACATGTTGATGTGGAATCACAGCTTAGAGTCTCCGCAGACAGTGAACACGAATCTCGCCTGAGCCACTGATCCTACTCTTCCCAAACGCTCAATCTGCGGCGACTATCTCGGCTCCCACCGCGGACCCTTCTGGCCCTCGGATGATTGCATCACTCTTCGAAGAACCCGGTCCGGTTTTCCTATAGTTTCTAGCCATTTACCATAGCCGACCTGCTTGGGGATCCGAACCTCGATCACGTCTCCCCCCGCGTCCTTTCTTTCGAGGCTGGTTTCGGGAAGGCGGAGTATGTTCAAGAGGGTCTTATAGTCGCCTGCCCCCTTGACAAACACCGACCACTCTTCTTCGTCGACATTCAGGCTGCTTGTATCAATAGCCAGAGCCTTGATCAAGATACCACGGTCTTTGTATGGAGCGTAGTGCCAAGAGGGGACCTCTTTTTCTGTGGCTCGCTCTAAGTTTTTTCAGGTGCCGTTGGGCCAAGTTGCGAGCTTGTCTGTTCGCCTTCTCGGGGTCGGTCGCATCGGTCGAGTACTACTCCAGGCTGAGGTCGTGTTCCGCGCTGTTCTCGTCAATGGGTTTCGAGAATGTCAGCGTAATACATGGTGCTGGCTGCCAGGCCATAGTGTTAGAGAAGGACAATAAGGTCAGGTAAACAACAACTAGAGTTATTTGTAAAGTGACTGATGAACGTATTGACTGATGTTTACCTACCAGGGGGAAGGGGGGTGTTGGAGAGTATCACACTAGCATTGCGAGATAACGTTGAAATGATATTGATTTGCAATTAATAAATTAATAATATTATAAAAAAAGTAGCTTGCATTATTTACTTAAGAAGGAAATTATATTAATATTAATATATTATAATATAATATTAGCGTTTAATATATTATAATATAATATTAGCATTTAATATATGCCTTTTAAAAAAGTTATTTTTTTTCCTTATCCTTAACTTAACTACTTATTTATTTTTTATTAGCTTAATTATTTACTATGAGAGGGTTTATGGAATTATGGAAATATTTAAAAATAAAAATAGCCTTAAAGTTAATAAGGTTTAAACTAAAGCTTTTAATATAAATTTATTTTAATATTAGCTAATATTAGCTAATATAAAGTTAATCTTAATATAAAGTTAATATTAATATAATTTAAAGCCTTAATATAATTAACTTTTAATAGTATTTTAATAGTATTTTGCTAGTATTGCATTGTAATTTTAAGATTTTGTTTGGATCTCAAAACATGATTGCGTTGCGTAACCCATACAAAGACCCCCCCTCCCCCTGGTAGGTATGAAAGGGTGAATGAAGTGTGTATGCCACGCCGTATGGGCCTCGACACTCAGCGTGGGTTTGAATGCATCTTGAATAGATGAGCGGGTGCCCCCCCTCCGGCAATCCACGAACAGAGCCTAATTGATATATACTCCACGGGGTCCACGTATAATTCTCGCATATTGCTTCTTGTGTGACTGCCCTACCAGCTCATAGCGCGTTTTGAGTGGCTACAATACTCACCGAGACAGCCACCTGCAGATAAATTCTATTGGTGTTGTCCCATGCTGACAGGTATACAACATGTAATGTGGCTAGCTGAACGCCTACATAAAGATAAGATCGTCGCGGCGAGCGATGCATTCCGAAATTGCAACCGCGAGGAGCCTGGACGTGAGATGTGTCATTCTTCCAAGAGCCGTCTCGAGCTCGTGAGAATCCTTGTAAATGTCTTATAGCAGCTTGGGAATGCCTATGCACTGCGTCAAACTCCGACTTTGAATTGCAGGCGTACATCACCACCCATGCCTGATCAAGGTTCGCAAGCGACGATGCCTCCGTTTCAATGCTCCTGCAGAGGGCCACCTCAGCTTCTCCCATTCGACAAGGACATATGGAGGGAGACCGTGGAAGAATGCACCCATCACCGTCCTGAGAAGGCCACAAAAGCCGATGACTACAATGCAAATTCCAACCAATCAATACCCGGGTTCATCAGCCTCGTCACTAACCGCCGTCCGATGGTGCCTTACTGGCTTTACCGCTTGCTACCGGGCCGGAAGACCCTTAAGGATGATGAGAACTACGAATTCTGCATCAATATAGCCGACGTACAGCGAATGCACCTACGTCTTCTACAGAGCCGTCTCACCTGGCTTACACTATCAGCTGGGTTCGACGAGGACCGTGGTGCTAACCAAGAGGTGCTCACTGAACTCGGCCCAACTCTTCGAGATTATGGTAAGTTAGGTGCAGTTGAGAAACCCAGATGGAAGAAAGTCGTTGGCGAAGTTGCTGGGAACGAAGCTATACTCATGCGAGTCATGTCCTTAGTACAAGCTGTACGCGACCACGAGTAACTTATATGGGCCACTTTAGCGGGCAAACCCACGACCCTTTCCGAGTACCAAGCGAGCGCTTTCAAGAGAGAGAGCTGCTAGAGAAACTTCTACAGGACGAGAAGCTCAAGGCAGTAGGCGACTTCCGCTGGCCCAAGGACACGGCGACGCCCACGGGACCGTGGGAGAAACCGTGGAAAGATAGCAAGGGAAGGGTGGGATGAGACCCATCGGCGGAACCCGTGGTGAAGCATTCCGGCAAGCTAACCCTTTGAAAGTGCGCATGGAGATACTTCATATTATAACGTCTCCTAGCGTAACCTCATGTTTTCGATGCCAGACAGCATAGCTAATCCAGTTCAATCAACACATCCACGCCAAGCCCCTTCAGACCTTGCCTTCCGCACCACCCCGGCACGGCTGGTCGGCGTGGTGCACCCCGTCCGAGTGCGAGACCATGATCCCGGTCTTCCCGCTGACGGCGGCCGGCGGCGGGCAGGCGGCCGCGTCGGCGCCGTCGAAGATGACGGCCATCTGCTCGAGGGTGTGGCCCCGCGTCTCCGGGTAGGCGAAGTAGACGGTGATGAGGAGCAGGGTGAGCATGGCGATGAAGACGATGTAGTACCTCCACTGGATGGCCTCGAGGGCGATGGGGTTGACGAAGGTGTTTATGAAGATGGCGGCGACGGTGGAGCACCACGACACGGTCAGGCCGCGGGAGCGGAGGGAGAATTGCCAGATCTCGCAGGGGTAGGCTGTTAGGAAGGGGGTCCTTTTAAGTCGTGGGTCAGTTGTGGCGTTCATCTATGATTGGGCGGAGGGGGTGGATAATGACTTACATGGCGATGTCATAGCCGGCAAAGAATATGAATAGGAACGGAATGACAGACAGCCCGATCTGCGCTGACCCGGACTCTGCGAACGCGCCGCTGAGGCCGGTGATGATGATGAAGCTGGTCAACATGGTGCTGGCGGACGTCAGGAACAGGAACCGGCGGCCCAGGCGGTCGACGTTGGCCGCGGCGGCGATGGCCCACAGGAGGTTCCAGACATTGAGGCAGGCCGAGATGAGGGTCTGGTCGGTGACGGACCTGACGCCGACCGAGGTGAGCACGAGGGGCAGGTAGTACGAGACGACGCCGTTGCCGGCCCACTGCGCGAATATCCCGAGGCTGATGGAGATGAAGAGCCTGTGCCTGTTACCCTTGGTCTTGATCATGTCGGCGTACGACGCGCTCGACGAGGCCTCCTTCTCCGCGGTGATGGTGGCCTGGATCTCGACGACCTGGTACGTGACGAGCGGGTCCGCCCTGTCGCCGCCGGCGTGGTGCCGCGCGAGTATGTCGGTCGCCTCGTCCACGCGGTTGACGCTGATGAGCCAGCGGGGGCTCTCGGGGGACAGCAGGAACCCCGGCAGGGCCATGAAGGGGAGCACGATCTGCAGCAGCACGGGGACGCGCCAGCACCAGTCCGAGGGGATGTCGCGGCACGCAAAGGTGACCCAGCCGCAGAGCGTGCCGCCAAAGTACCACCCGACCATGAACAGCGCGTTGGCGACGGAGCGCTGTTTCGGGTGGGCGATCTCGTTGATGAGCAGCGGGGCCGAGTTGCCCAGCCACGAGGCGGCGATGCCGACGAAGAGGCGCGAGTAGGTGAAGGTGACCTCGTTGCGCGCGGCGGCCTGCATCACCACGCCCAGGACCAGGAACAGGTAGCCCACGTAGATGCCGGCCTTGCGGCCGTAGTTGTTGGACACCCACGCCGCGACGGGGAAGGCGATGCCGTTGCCGACCCAGTATATGCCCGTGATCCAGCCGAGGTAGGCGCCGGACGGGTGGTGCATGAAGGTGTTCCACCTGGGGAGGGCGAGGAGGCCGCCCATGATGGAGCCGTCGTAGCCGTTTGCTGAGGCTGTTGGTGTGTGGTTGTCTGAGTTAGCACATGTTCTTTTTTGTTTCAACGCAAGACTGGTGAAGATGGTGAATGGGCTTCTTCATTTGGGGAGGGAAGACATACAGAACAGGACCATAGACAGGGTGATGAAGTTGAGCTTTAGAAGGTGCGCTTGCTTGTACCAGGGCTTGTCGTCGCCCGGCAGCGAGGCCATTTCCTCAACGGGTTTCACCATGGTGGCAGTTGTTGTTGTAACTAGTGGCGAGGCGGTCCGCGAGGCTGAACTGAATTATGGCCTGACAATTGAAAGATGGGAGAAGCAACTCTAGCCTTGAATCAACTGTTCAGTTGCGAATGATTCCGGCTCCGTCGGGCCTACGAGGATCCTAAAGCAACGTCGTATCACACACGAAGTTCAGGGGGCAGGGAGAACGCTTGAATATATAGTGTACAGCCTCCTGAAGCCCCCTTTGGCGTGTAAAGATCGGTCACGGGCTAGCCTCAGAGGAAGAAAACGACCTAGAGGAGGTGGTGGAGCTTTGATCTGGTCCCTGATGGCCCGGTGGTCGCGAAACGGGTCCGTGGGGGAGAGGCCACGCTCTCGAACTCCCCGTGGAGAACTTTAGAAGAACGCAGGAACAGCCGTGGGGCCCCACACATGTTGGTCAGGTTGGGTGAAGAGGCCCAAGACCGAGGCCCAAGACCGAGGCCCAAGACCGAGGCCCAAGGGGCGGAGAATTGAGTCAGTTGCCTTTTGTTTCCGTTGGTTAGAATTACGATGTTTGCTGGCTATTCACACGAGGAAACTACGGGCGGAGAAATAGGCTCGCTAAATACTTGGCTGCGTTGCATGAACGGACGATGCGCCGTGCAGATTCCGGGGTTGGCGGTGTTGTGACTCGGTATTTCTCCGCCTCCAGACCTTTCCTTCCTCCCCCAGATCGTTACCGACCAGTCGGCTCGCCAACCATTCTTCTCGAGATGCAGAAAATGAAACACAAGCGGGCATTTCAGACCCAGAAAAACGCCTGATTCAGTGCTCGTTATTTACGTCATTGTCGGCGGATAGCATTTGCTGCCAGCCATGTGATCGGCCAGTGGAGAATTGTTGAGCTGGAGGAATGTCTACGTGCCCACCTTGGATATTCTTAGTCGAATATACTCCTCCCGCATGTCCCTGCTCGAGATATTGCTGTGCTATCCTTTCGAAAGAGTCCCTCTTTTGTTCTAAGACGTCCGTCTATACTCTGGCTTGAACTTCTTTCCTTGGAGCACTTGTCAGTTGACCGTCCTGTCCCAGTCAACATGGATGTCGAGGCCCTGCTAGAGAAGCTCACGGTGGAAGAGAAGGTGACCCTCACAGCCGGTAGGTGAATCCGCAGCTGGAATTACCCATACCCACCTCTAACCTGAATCCAGGCGCCGGATGGTGGCAAACGGCGACCATCGAGCGCCTCGGCATCAAGCCCATCCGACTCTCAGACGGCCCCAACGGTGTCCGCGGCACGCACTTCTTCGACAGCACACCCTCGGCCTGCCTCCCCTGCGGCACCGCCATCGGCGCGACCTTTGACGCCGACCTCGTCACGCGCCTGGGCCGGCTGCTCTCGGACGAGGCCCGCGCCAAGGGCGCCCACGTCCTCCTGGGGCCTACGATCAACATCCAGCGCGGGCCCCTGGGCGGGCGCGGCTTCGAGTCCTACTCCGAGGACCCGCTGCTGTCGGGCGTCCTGGCGGGACACTACGTGCGCGGCCTGCAGGAGTCGGGCGTGTCGGCGACGCTGAAGCACTTTGTGTGCAACGACCTCGAGAGCGAGCGCATGGCCGTCAACGCGCTGGTCACGGACCGCGCCCTGCGCGAGATCTACCTGCTGCCCTTCATGATTGCTATTGAATTAGGAAAGCCGCGGGCCGTCATGACGGCGTACAACCAGGTCAACGGCTGCCACGCGGCCGAGAACAAGATGCTACTGCAGGACGTCCTGCGTGGTGAGTGGGGGTGGGACGGGCTGGTCATGAGCGACTGGTTCGGCACGTATAGCACGTCCGAGGCCATCAACGCCGGCCTCGACCTCGAGATGCCCGGGCCGACGCGGTGGCGTGGCGGGGCCCTCGCACATGCCGTCATGTCCAACAAGGTCAAGATGGCCGAGCTGGACTCGGCGGTGCGGAATGTGCTGAGGCTGGTCAAGCACGGCCTGGAGAACACGTCGATCCCGCCGAATGCACCCGAGACCGAGGCCAACACACCCGAGCACGTCGCCCTGCTGCGCGAGACGGCTGCCAAGTCCCTGGTGCTCCTGAAGAATGACAGGAACATTCTTCCCTTCGACAAGACCAAGAAGGTCGCCGTCATCGGACCCAACGCGAACATCGCAACGTACTGCGGCGGAGGCAGCGCGGGCCTCCGGGCCTACAGGACCGTCACGCCCCTGGAGGGCATCGAGTCCGCCGCCGCGGGCGACGTCGTCTTCTCGCAGGGCGCGTACGGCCACCAGTCCCTGCCCCTCCTGGGCAGATCCCTCAGGACGCCAGACGGCACGCAGAGGGGGTTCGTGCTCCGGATCTACAACGACCCCCCGCCGAGGGGGACCACGGGGCGCGAGGCCGACGCCCGCGCGCCGCTCGAGGAGCGCGTCCTCGACGACGCCAACATCTGGTTCGTCGACTACGAGAACCCGGAGCTGGCGCCGGTGTGGTGGGCCGAGACCGAGGGCGTGCTGGTCCCCGGGGTGTCGGGGGAGTGGGACTTTGGCCTCTCGGTGCACGGCACGGGCGAGCTGTTCATCGACGGCGAGCTCGTCGTGTCGAACGTGGAGGGCCAGCGCCTGGGGAGCAGCTTCCTGGGCTGCGGGACCGTGGAGGAGACGGGGAGCACGAGGCTCGAGGCCGGGCGGAGCTACCGCGTGCTGGTGCGGTTCGGGTGCTCTGCTACGAGCAGGGTGAAGGCGTCGGGCACCGTCGACTTTGGCCAGGGCGGTGTGCGCTTCAGCGGGTGCCCCAAGATCGACCCGAAGGCTGCGATCCAGGAGGCTGTGGATGTTGCCAGGAGCGTCGACCAGGTCGTCGTTTGCACGGGTCTGAGCGGCGAGTGGGAGTCTGAGGGATTCGACAGGACGACCATGGCGCTGCCCCCGGGCACTGACGAGCTTGTCGCGGCTGTTCTGGCGGCGAACCCGAACACCGCGGTTGTTGTTCAGAGCGGAACTCCGGTTGCTATGCCGTGGATCGACCAGGCTGGTGCCGTCCTCCATGCGTGGTTTGGTGGCAATGAGTGCGGAAATGGCATTGCTGACGTGCTCTTTGGCGATGTGAATCCGGTAAGTCGAGACCTTGTGCAGCGTGCCGTATGGAAGGTTGGATCAACAATGCTGACCGTTTGCCCCGAAGGCCGCCAAACTCCCGCTCACTATTCCTCGCCGACTGCAAGACAACCCAGCCGCCCTGAGTTTCCGCTCAGACAACGGCCGTTCCCTGTACGGCGAGGACATATACGTCGGATACCGGTGGTACGACACCCTCGACATCAGCCCCTTGTTCCCCTTCGGACACGGCCTGTCATACACGACCTTCGACGTCTCCGGCCTCGAGGTGGAGAGTTCCACGAGTCAGGCAAGTGATCACGTCAGCGGCAGCAGCAACGCCCAGGAGCAGGACAGCCTGAGCGTGCGCGTCAAGGTCGCCAACACCGGCTCCCGCGCGGGCGCGGAGGTGGTCCAGGTCTACGTGACGCCGGCGGCGCGGACGCCGCTGACGAGCTCGAACCGCGACACCATCACCCGGCCCACCAAGGAGCTGAAGGGCTTTGCAAAGGTCGCCCTCGAGGCGGGGGCCAGCGCCACGGCAGAGGTTACGCTGGATGTGCTGCGTGCGACTAGCTACTGGAGCGAGATGGAGGGCTGCTGGCGGAGTGATGCTGGCTCGTACGGCATTCTCGTGGGGACGAGCAGCCGTGGGGAGTTCCTTGAGACGACTTTTGTCGTCGAGAAGACGAGGAGGTGGAAGGGGCTGCGGGCTTAGTATGGCCAATAGTCTAATCGTAAATATTGTAAAGCCTGCATGTCGACTAGAACTTTAGAATAGATTCAACGATGCATAGATGCGGTTTGGTCGAGACAAGGGACAATGTCGAGGACTTGTTTGTTGAGGAGATGTTTCAATTTCGGACAGGCAACATCCGCTTTGGGATAGCAAATGCCCCTATTCCGTAAAATCCGGAAGTCTCCCGAGTCATCCCCAGCCAGTACCCCATGTCTAGCTGCATTGGACCTGATCTACCCAGCCTATGGTATACAGCCCAAGCACAGGTCCTCTGTCGCCCCCCTCTCTCCCCTTCTGGCCTGATTCTCCACAGTCTGTGTTTCTCCGCCGCCAATTCACAGTCCCCTCCTTCAATGCTATTGTACGCGCACTGTTGCTTGATAGCCCACCCGTTATGCGCGACCAAAGCCCACTACTAGATTCCCCCTCGCCGGCGACCCCAAGAAATAGCGGGACTCCTCAGCCTGGTTCCGCGAGGTCGAGCATTTCCAGCCGGGCCTGCGACGCCTGCCGTGGCCGGAGGAGGAAATGCCAATTCGACGACGCCTCCTCCCCCAATGCTGCTGCGGGGCCCGGCCCATCTCAGCCTCAGCAGCCCCAGTGTTATAACTGCAGGAGGCTAGGTATAGTATGCACCTTTCTGCTGCCCTCGAGGCCCCGGGGCCCGAAGCGCAGGTATGTCAGCCAATCCGGTGTTGTAGGGGCGCCTCGCGTCTAGTGATGCAAGGTTTTGCTCACCACGTGCTTCTTGGCCCTGCAGGAAACGACTCCTAGAAGATATGCCGGACGAGGGCAGCAGTGAGCTCCAAGATGAAGGCACCAATCAACAACAGGCAACAGAGGCCCAACGTCCGCAACCACCACCCGCCCTGAGCAATACCACGCCTGGCTTCGTCCTGCCCGGCGATGTGCTCCCTCTCCCCAGGGCCTTGCAGACCACATCTCCCTTCGAGGCCCCTCGTCCAATAGCCGGTGTCCTGTCTCCACACCCGGCCATTGCTGCTGCTGCCCCGGCGGAGACGCCCTCCCCCACGGCTGGCCCGGGCTTCCCAACCGACGAGCTGTGCTCGAGGCCGCTGATCAACATCCTCATGGCCGACTACCTCGACCTGGTCTACCCCCTCGTGCCCGTCGTCCACAGGCCAAACTTCCGCCACGACCTCGCCAGCAACCGCGACGTCACCGACCGTAAGCACCATCCTTCTCCTTTCACGCTTCCCGTCTGTCATGTTTTGGGACATTCGACAATGCATCACCTTGGGACCCGTAGGCAGGTGACTAACAGGTACCAGCGGACTTCTTCGCCCTCCTCGTCAGCCTCTGCGCCCTCACCGTCGGCCTGCTGCCGTCGCGGTTCAGCGGCTACCGCGCCGCCGACCCGGGGCCGGAGGTGGCCGGCGTGCACCACTTCGAGTCGAGGACGGCGCTGATAAACTGCTGCGCCGAGATGTGCACCCGCCACAGGACCGCGAGCTACTGGGACCACGTCAACCACCGCAAGTGGGCCGTCAGCTACGTCTTCTCCGTCGCGTGCTTCCAGACGGGGCAGGTCAACCGCAGCCGCATGTTTGATGTCGAGTACCTGCAGCTTTCGCGTCTTTTGGGGCTGCATCGCATCTCTGGGTATGAGGGTCTCAATTGTATTGAGACTCAGTTGAGGAAAAAGGCCTTCTGGTTGATGTTCTATGGTTATGCGTAAGGGTCTCTCTTTAATTCCTGTTGGCTTAGCCTACCTTTGACGGGTATCATAAATGCTAACAAAAATCACCTAGTCACACAAGAGTCCAAAGCGGACGTTGGGAGCGACTTACATACTTCGGCCCAGGCGAACTCCGCGAGGTCAACTTCGACGCTCTCGTCCCCCTCGAGCTTGACGACGAATGCATCTTGAAAGACAGAATCCTAGACCCTGCCCCGCCGTCTACACCACACGGCACGCCTCCTGTTAATACAAACCAGCCGGAGCCACGCCCAGCCCCACCGCCGCTCACCCTCGCGAGCGCCTTCATAATACACTCGCGCGTGTTCCTCAAGGGCCTCCGCGAGAGCATGGCCGCCGTCGGGTGCGAGTGCGAGCTCCGCCGCAGCCCGGCCGCCCGCCTCGCGCGCATGCGCGACCTCCTCCAGGAGATGCGGTACATGCTCGACGACGCGCCCGGCCCCGTGCGGCAGTGGGCCTCGCCGGAGCGGCACGGCGGCGGCGGCGGCGACGACGACAATGTCCCCGCCACCACCCCGCGGTACGACAACAACGACGACCGCAGCGTTGTGTCGAGCTACGGCAGCCCCGTGGCTGAGAGAGGTCGCGCCGCTGGTGCGGGGGGCGCCTCGTACTCCAAGGTTGTGCAGGGCCAGCACGAGATCATGCGCGCGAACATCCATGTCACCCACCTCTGGCTGCAGAGCCTGCTGCTGGAGCAGGTCGACGTGATCGTGCAGGAGGGCGTGATTGGCAGTTCAAGTGCTGCGGCTGGGGCTGAGGAGGTCTCGGCGTCCTTGAAGGCGAACTGGGCCGAGCGCGAGGACATCTGCCGCCAGATGCTGCACCTCCTTCACAGCATCCCGTACGTTTATTTAGAACCCAACGGCTTATACTTGGTACGTTGACTCCTGCTCCCAACCTCGGAGCCGCGCGAGCCTCAGCTATACATGACTGACCCACCCCACCCCGTCCAGGCATACAAGGTCCGCGACGTGGCCGTGACGCTGCTCAACTGCCCCTTCGGGGCCCACACGCGCCCCGCCCGCCGCGCGGTCGAGTACATGCGCGACTTCACGCGCGCCCTGTCCCGCCTCGACCGCAGCGAGACCGTCAACACGAACAGCCTGCGGAGCTGGGTCGACGCGGACCGCGAGCCGGCCGCCTCGCCCGCGTGCCCGCAGCTCGCCCCCCCCGTCCCCGCGGGCGCACGCGGGTGTCGTTGAGGCGGGCTGCGACAAGTGTCAGGGGCGGCCTGTGGCGGGCGGTTGAAACCTGGGTCATCTTGGATTTGGGCATAATTAGGTTTACCTATGGGGCACGACGTTCTGTAAGTTATGGACTGATACCTGGGGGCGCGATTACAGGGCAAAATGAGCTTGCTAGCGGCAGCCGGTGCCTGCTCCCCCAAAGGATCCTTACTGTGATCCCGACACCAGAAATATAATTCCAACAAATACGAAAAATGAGCATTACAAACAGTGTACTCTAGGATGCAGTACAGCCACATCTAAGGTTGACTAGCTGATGAGGGAATAGCTGTAGCGTATTGCAATTGAATCAGGCTGCGGAGGGATGACCAACATGTAGGTATTAACGAATATATTAGGCAGACATATTGTTTGACTGCTTATCGATATCTGTGCAACCCCTTCTCCCCAAGGTCAAAGCCCAACGCCAGTCTCATTACCAAGCCATTTACTATTAAAGTATCGCATTGCAACGTCGATGCCCCATGTTTACACAAGCTACCAGCCCTGAAGCTCGTCTGCTCGGATCAAAGCTCAGTACCCCTCTTCCTCCCCCAGCTGGCAAGGCTCGTTGTCGGTGCCGAGGACGTCCTTCCCACCGACACTCTGGCAGGCATCGAGCAGCTTGTCGGTGCCGCTGTCGCCGTAGGGCTCCTGGATGGCCAGGGCCTCGTGAGAGATACAGCAGTCCTGCAAAGATGGAAGCCTATTTTTTAGCATTTTGAATCTTGCGATGGGGAGAGTGCCGGGCGTGGAACTTACGCCGCTGCGGCCCTCGAGAGTCTGCATTCCCCTCGAGGTGCACAGATCAACAGCTGTGAACTTGACACCGTCGGCCTGGTAGCACCAGTAGACGATGCCATCGACAGAAGGCTCTAGGGCAGAGACGCCGAGGGCGAGGGTCATGGCGAAGAAGGCGGTTGAGAACTGCATTTTGAAGAAAGTTGCTTTCGTTTAAAACAGGTAAAAGTGAGAGATTTGTGGTTATAAAGGAGTGACTGGAAACTTGTGGGAAATAGTATAAGGAGTGACTAAGGTGGTGATTATTTGAAGTAGCTGGAAGACTGAAGAGCAAGGAATTCCAATGCCATTGGGCCAGACATGTCGGGGACCTTATATGTTCGACGTCAATCTGCTGTTCGTGCTATTCCCTTAACTCTGTCCTCATGCTCCTTGGCCTATCTGTGGATCAATTTTGGTGTGTTTGCTCTCATATTGCTTCTCCCGGCCACACTTAGTCAGGAGCCAGGGCTATTCTTAGTTTTCGGCCGAAATGATCCCCATGGCCTCCGACTCAACGAGCGGGGCCTTCACACGACAACAGCTGCCAAGACATCTGCACTTGATCAAAATGCTATATATACACTGATTTTCATCGGCATGAGGGCATAAGGCTTGTTGATCTCTATATCAGGCTTGCAACTCGAATGATAGCATCTCCATGCGCATTTGATCCAAGTGAGGGTCTGATAGGATTTCGCTAGAGGATTGCAAGGACTGGAACACATCTCACCAATATCGACACTATCATCCACTTATCATGCTGGGAACCCTAGCTTCGAGAAGAATGCTTTTGTGCTCGCAGCTTTAATGAGCAGTCGATGATCTGTCGACTCTATTCACTGACCCTCAGTCAGTGTATGAGCCACGAGAGTCAAGTTTTACCCATCAGCACGTAAATCATTGGCTGGGCACACGTTGAAGCGGAATAATCTGTTTTCCTGGTATCTGGACGGTGCAGCATACCTAGATAAAGAGCCATGTAACCCGACCAGGTAAACCGGGGGCTGAATGAGTGGACCCGTAGGTTCCCATCTGTACTACTCTGTAGCACTACGACTTGGATCATGCTCATTCCATCACGAAGCGCCGCTTACTAAGGCTCAACTGTCGATTTTTGGCATTCTGACTGACTTCCTGTTGTGTTGACAAGAGAAAGAGGGAAAAGAAGCCAGTCATTCGCCATTCTTGTGTCGTTGGACCGGATGTTCAGCGATATGACAAGACATCTTAAACGTCCCAATCTTAGCCGAAAGAATCCACTGATGTCAATGTAGGTGGAATAACTGGAAGAGGCAAAGCTCAGCGTTCATACAAGGGCAGAGTTAGTGTTCTCAAAATTCTCAAGTGATTAGCTAGCTCAAAACGAAAGTATCTAAACTCTCATGGGTAACAGTCCACGCCGTCCTTTTTCACATACGCTTGCTGATGACCACTGCTATTACCTGAGCAACCGAGTGTCATAGACAAAAGGTATTGAAATATAGTCAAATGACACCCCCGGTGCAATCTAGTGCCTGGATAATGACTGCATTCGACGGTAAACTGATGTAGCTCTTATCCTTGTGCCAAAACCACTTTTGGCCACGAAATCCTTTCCCATCTCAAGCCGCAGCGGCGATGCAAATCCGCACTGCCAAATCCGCAGCCATTAAGCACAGCTCGCCAGGCAATCCGGACCAGAATCGCTGCGAACCAAAAGTTTCTCTTGAGGATGTTCGCTTACCCCGGAGCAGAACGACTGGCAGGCCAAAGCTGGTCCAGTTCAACTGACTCTCAAAGCTGCTGCGGGATCTGCGCTGATCTCCCGCTGACTCGGGCTGGCTCCCACTCGACCGCCGACGGCACCCGCGCGAACGACCCGGCACGGGATCACCCTTGAGATCGTGGGCGCAATGACAAGAGCGTTCCGGGTCTCTGGTCGGACAGCAAATGCGAGCCAGGAGAGAAAAGGGGCGGCCTCTAACTTTCAAAGTTGAGCCTTCAGTTGGTATACACTGGCCGTGCCTTGTAGATTCTCCCTCCTCTCTGTGTCTTTCTATCTGATTCAGCTCAGGCACTTCCACGGCGGAGGAGACGTCCTTGGAGCCATGTTGCATCTTCAGGTGATGGTCACAAGTCGGTTGCTAAAGGAGCCTTGTCGGTCAGAATTTGACCGCTAGAGGCGTGGGCAACACCCCCTCAGCCAAGTGCACTTAAATTGTGATCTGGTTAGAGCATTTCCCGTCGTGGCCGGGACAAATGCGGGAATAGCAAGGGCAGATGGTATCAGTGCAGCATCATGGGTGCTTGGCAACCTCCCGATCAGTACTTTCTTGGCTTGTGGGGCTTAAGGGCACACGAGGTAGTTTTCTTCCCTAAATTTCCAGCCGCATCTCGCTGACCAGGTATCGCTTAGGATCTATGAGGCTGTCAGAGCGGCGCGGCTAATATAGCCAATTGCAAAAGCGGCAGTGCAGACCACATCAGAGGTTTTGCAACTGCAAATGCTCTCTCGACTCGCCAATATAGTAAGTGCGTCCACCCCGCAGAACCGTTGCCACTATTGAACTGATCCCCTCCGCGGATCATTCCTGCCTCGAGGTTAGTAGAACGTTGGGTCGATTAGGCCTGTGAGATGATCGCAAGCTGTCTATACGCTGACTCTTTTTGCCACACCTGGTTGATTTGAAGTCACGACGGGACATGTTCTCGAAGGCAGTCCGGGAGGAACATCCACAATCTTGTGGTTTCAGAACAGGAGAACACCACAGCCCTTGCATAACCAAATTGCCGCCTCGAAATCTGTGAACAGGACTGCAACTGCTGGTGGGGACAGGCGCCACCGAGCTGCACGTATGCATTTTGGCCGCACGTTGCGGTATGAAGTCTACAAACCACATGGGGGCGATCCGCCACCAGCCTGCCGCCTTCAGTACCGCTGCTGTGGCTCCTCAGGCCTTTGCTTCCCCACTGTCGCCACTCGCTGCGTTGGATTGGTGTCCTTGGCAGCTGACGATTAGGCAGTGGGGACGGAGACAGGACAGAGGATGCAGTGGTGGCCATGCGTGACGTGTGGCACGAAAATTGGCCGACCGATATGAGTCAACATTGATGACCTTGATCAATCCCAGCCGCTGTGGGAGAGTGGTTAATCCGTTGCCCTGCTATTGCAAAAACCCGTTTTATGGAGAAATAGCTGTAAGGCAATACCTTCGGGTGCGCAGGTTCGTTCCTGTCGGCGACGTCCTCTCTTCGTTTCCATATTCTGTTTTTCTTCCTCTCGGCTTTCCAGAATAGTGAGTGAGACCATCCCGGTGAGAGGCAAGTCGAACGCCAGTGAAAAGGTACCTCTGGTACCACTCTTTCAAGCATGAGGCCCTTACTTAAGACTTTGTTCTGGTTGTTGAGACCCACTCGCATTTTGTGCCACCGAATAATGCTCCAAGTGGCTCACGGGTGCCACCCTTACTTGATGGCACCCACTTAATTGGGTGCACTATAGTACATTAACCCATTGTCATAGTTTACCAGACTTTGAACCCCAATGCGTAGAAAGAATCCTTCTCCTGGATTGAGAGGTCACGGCATTGAGAGTTATGTTCCTAACTTGACTCTTCAATATCCCCCTCCCTGGTGCATTAAGAGTTGGAAGTTGCAGTCACCATTCATCCTGACCTGGCAAAATTCCTGACCGGTCTTTTACTACTCTCTGGATGCACGAGGATTAAACTCAGCTTCTTTGAATTGTTGACATCGAAACACGGCTAGAAGTGAAGACCAGAAGGCATATCTATCATGGCTTCGTATCCTCCCTCGGCTTGCTGCACTGTCGGCTGCAGGCACCAGTAAGTACCGGGCCGTCTCTTGTCACATAGTTCAGTCCCAACACTCTATGGGACAGCGCTTTGATGTTTTTGACAACGGATGCACTTTCTCCCCAATGTAATGCACCGCTCGCAGCGTACTGACTATCTCACCAGGGGAACTCCTAAAGGCAGCAACATCAGGGTAGCCGGCAAGTATGATGCCTACCTTGCAGAACCTGCGCCAGAAAAGTCCCACAAGAATGCAGCGATCCTGTTCTTATCCGATATCATGGGCGTTTGGCAGAACAGTAGGCTGCTCGCGGACGAGTTCGCAGCGGCCGGGTACCTAACCTTGCTGGTTGACCTGTTCTACGGCGATCCGGTTCCCGTCCACAAGACAGAGGATCCGTCCTATAATATTTAAGGGTGGCTCGCGCATGGAAGCAACGGGAAGAATTCGCACACCGAAGAAGTCGTCGACCCTATCATCGTGGACACTATAAAATGTCCTGAAGGGAGAGTATGGAATCAAGAGGCCCGGGGCTGTTGGGTATTGTTTTGGAGCCAAGGTAAGAGACCAATCACCCTAGGCGTCTCGGTGTGCGTCTGCCACAAAAGATGTTGTGTGGACAAGATTGTCTCTGAAGTGTATCAGTACCTCGTACGCCATTGTACAGAATCCAGGTCGGCTGTGTCGCGCACCCCAGCTTCATGGGCGAGGACGAGCTCGCGAGGCTGGGCGGGCCGCTGTCCATCGCGGCGGCCGAGGTCGACCACCTCTTCCCTGACGAGAGGCGTTGCAAGACCGAGCAGATACTCAAGACCACCAAGCAGCCCTGGCTCAGTGATCCAAAAGGGGGTTGGGATTGGATGAAGCAGACTTCGTTCTCGAGCACTCAAGAGATTATCGTACAATGCTAACAGACAAAAACAGACGAGGATGGTTTTCATTTGTAGAATACTAATACTGCTTGGTCTTAGGAGGAGGCGCCCCACCGAAGTGTCCCGCAGCCCGAACAGCCTGATACATCTTCTCTATCGACTCACCCGCCGCCCTGCTCGCCAAGACTATGTCCCTTCCCCTGGGCAGCATCACCTCCTCATACGGCACCAGCACCCCAACCTCCTGATGTGCCTGGATGATCAGCTCGGCAAGCTCGCACGCGTCCCTGATGGCCGTGTTGGCGCCCCCTCCGCGGAATGGGATCATCGCGTGGGCGGCATCGCCAAGGAGCGTCACCCGCTTGCCGGGCAGCTTGTCCGGGGGCACGAACTCGAAGAAGTTGATGGGCGGCGTGAACATGCCCGCGGGGCCCGTGTGCTCTATGATGTCCCTCAACACCGAGGGCCACCCCTCCGTGAGATCGGCCGCCTTGTCGTACAGCTCTTCCTGGCTTGCTTTCCCCAGCCACGCTGCCTCTCCCGCCGGGTCGTCGGAGCGGATTCCCAGTACCCAGTAGAAGACGGCACTCGACCTGTCGGGCGCCTTCGAGAGGAGCCCGAAAAGACACCGAGTGTCCTGGGTGTTGCCGATGACGGCCGCGGTCCCGAGCTTGCGGGCCGGCTCGTACACGTGCCTCGGGAGCTCGACCTGCCCGGTCACGGCGAGGTACTGGCTCTGCACCGACATGTGCTCGCCGCCGAACATACAGGTGCGCACCTGGAGCCCGGACCTGAGAGCCAGACACCGGACTAGTCAAGTGTGCATGCAAGTTGGATGGACGAAATGCTGGAGTGTACGTGTATTGATTAATCGCTGGGAAGACCGAAATCTTGATCGATACATAATTCCGACTGGTATCTCGATTTAGCCATGTGAGGTAGCCTTGAGCAGAGAGCGAGCCAGCCAGGTTCAAAGCCGTTTCGACTCCATTTTGATTTCTCAGAAGAACGGAGTGATACGGCAGATCGGAAATGTCAATATTCTGCAAACTCTGGGTGGATGGTCCTTGCAGTGTGGCATGGGGTCCGACCTCGACTAGAAGATCCAGAGCCTTCTCCTTAGTCGCGAGTTGCTGTACTGCCGTGGCGAATTGGACGGGTGATATCAGGTTCTTGACCCAACATGCGGACACGAGTCCTCCTGGCTGGACCAGCTCCCCGGTGACACTGGAGTACATGCTGCATTTTCCTGGGGAGAAATTGGTCGACACGTCAGCAATGGTCTCCCAGCAGCCGCGGGCGACAAGCTGCATGTGCGGTGAGTGATAGGCGACATCCACCTGCAGCTTGCGAACGAAGATTCCCCTCTCTCGGAGGGCGTCGTAGACCATGTCGATGGCCTCTGCGTCACCCGACAAGGTGACGCTCCCTGGGGAGTTCACACAGGCAACGTGAACCTTTTTCGGGGCCAATTTTGAGATTATCTCGCCGGCGCCTTCCGGAGATATCCCAACTGCCATCATCGAACCCTCAATTCCACAGGCCTTGAGCTTCGCAGACAACACTCCGCGGAAATATGCCACCCTCCAGGCATCCTCCCGAGAGATGGGTCCTTGGCAGTAGGCGGCCGCGATTTCTCCGCTCGAGTGTCCGACGACTGCCACTGGCCTGATGTCCCATGATTCGAGGAGTTCCACGAGGGCGACTTGAAGCACAGTGCAAAGGCTCTGGCTGTATTGGGGCATTCGGAGCCTCAATGTGGACCTTCCCCTTTCAAGCTCCTCGCAGCCAGACCACGTGCACCCTAGCTGGTCCTGTAGATAGCGATCCGCGGCTTCGACGCTGTCTCGGAAGACCGGGTATTGCATAAGGTCCATACCCATGCGGGCCCACTGGGCACCCTGGCCGGTGAAGACGAGACCCAGACGAGGTTTGCGAGATGATGGACGTGCGGGCAGTGCCGTGTTGTCCGCCAGCACAGCACACAGCAAGTCTTCGAGTGATGAAGCAGTGAAATACGTTTTCCACTGAAAATGCGATCCTCTCACTGAGAGTAAAAGAAAGATCGTCGAGGAAGCTATTTCTTTCCTTTATTCCTCTCAGTTGATCCGACTTATGCGCCAAATATTCTGCCAGGGCGAGCTTGACTCTACCGAGCCCCTCCTTGTCGTGGCACTGATGGGAAAGGCTCGGCACAGAGATGAGCTCGGCTTGTCCCAAGTGGTGAAGCCGTTCACCTGGGACAGGATGGTGGCGTGATTACCAGATAACCAACTTTGTTCATGGTAGCTGTATGCGTCGTCCAGAATGACATGGGTGCTGGCTCCTCCGTATCCGAATGAATTGACGCTGATGCGACGAGGTCCCTCGCTCGGCCAGGGCATTACTGCAGTAGGCACCTGAAGATGATTTTCGTCGAAGTTGATCTTCGGATTGGGATTGTTAAAGTGAATGTTCGGAGGGATCATGCCTTTTTCCAGCATCATCACACTCTTCATCACGCCCGCGAGTCCACGGCGGCTTCCAAATGACCAATCTAGGCAGTGTTAGTTTTGTCACTTAAGCAGTTGGATTGTAAAACCTACGTTGGGCTTGACTGATCCCACGATCAGCTTCTGTCCTTTGGAGAATGTTGATGCAATCGTCTTGGACAATGCCATTGTCTCCTCAAAGTCTCCGATTTGTGTACCGGTGCCCTATGAGACATCATTGTTAGAGCAGATGTTCTGACGGAGATAGATCAAAGGTTTAGGATGCTTACATGTGCCTCAACATATCCAGCTCCATCAAGCTGCAAGCCAGCGGAACGATAGATGCTTCTTATCAGATATGCCTGCGCCTCCGAGCTAGGCTGCGTGAAGCCCTTGGTCTGGCCGTCTTGGTTCGCTGCTGTCCCACGGATAACGGCGCGGATTGGGTCTCCGTCAGCAATGGCGAGGTCCAGTGGCTTGACAACAATCACTGCGAATCCTTCACCACGTCCATATCCATTGGCTGACTGATCAAATGTCTTGCACTTCCCGTGTCAGAATATATAAACTCTCTAAGCTGCACACTGGCAGCGCTTTTTATTTCTTACAGGTTATGAGCCTGGATGGCTTATTGGGAAGAGCGGCAAACTTTAATTAATTAATAATATGAAGGTTCTTACCTAGCCTAGCCACCTAGGGTTTTTACTTTAATACCAAGATCACATAAGGTTATGCGTTTAAGTCCCTGAGTAATTGTGCTTCTTTATGCACCTAACCTACTAAACAGCACTGCAATGATCATAAGGAACGCTATAAATTGTATGATATGGGTATATAGGTTGCTTAGTTGCTAATTACGCTTAAAGGGCAGTGCCTTTAATATTTTAAGCTGCAACGCTGCTTATATAAGCAGCTACTTGCCCATTATTTATAAATTTACATTATTCCCTTTCCTAAATAAACTATCCTTAATCTTACTATATAAATTATATCCTTTAATAAGAAAGAATAAGATATATATTTAATATTTAATTTATATCTTTATTAAATAATTATTTCTTCTTATTATTATAATAAATAGTAAAATAGCATAATAATAATGCATCTTTATTTATTTTTATAATTTACCTTTTAATTTAACTACTTTTATAGAGATTTATTAAAAGAATAATAGCCTTTAAAGGATAGCTTTTTAAGTAAGGAAATTTTAAATTTAACTTTTAATTTAGCTAATTTCCTTTTTTATTTTTCTTTTAATTATTTAAATATAAAAGATATAAGTTGCTTAAAAATAAGGTATTTAATTAAGTTAATAAAATATTAATAAGCAGCTAATAATAGCTAATAAGCTGCTATTTCTTATTCTTAATTAAGTTATATTAATTAAGCAATTTAATTATAATTATATTGAAGCATTATTTTATTAATATATTATAAGCTTTTAATAAAGTAATTATTTATAATATATATTAAAAAAAGGTTTATATTATTATATATATTTTTAAATATAATGCCATTAAGGCTATAAAAAATATAAGTATTATTAATATAATAAGCAATAATAGCTTAAAAATTATTATAATAAGGCTTATGCTTATAAATATATTAATATATTTATAAAACTTAATTATTAAGAGTAAATATATATAGCAATGCCTTACTTTTTTAAAGAAATGCTTAAATTTAATTATAAAAAGCTTTTAGCCTTATAATATAATTTTATATTAATAAAGCCTTATATTCTTTAATTAATTGCTTTATAAAGTTATTATCCTCTTACTTTATAAGTTTTTATATATAGGTAATATAAAGTTTACGCCTTAAAAGCAATAATATATTAAGAAAAAGGAAATAAAGGTTATACTTACTTAACTTTAGGATTTAATTATATAGCATAATTACTTATTATATTGAAGCCTAAATATCTTAATTTAAATTAGCTAGCTACTTTTGCAAGATTATATATTTTAAGTTTTTATTAGCTTTTTTAACTTTATCATTATTTCTTAACTTAATTAATATAACTAAGCATAACTTTAATTTATATTAATAATGCTAAGCTAAGGCAGCCTTATTAATAAAGCAATTAATATTATTAAAAATTTATTTATTAAATATATTAAAGATATTAATAATCTTATTTAGCAATAAGAAAGTATTCTTAAATTATTAATTTAATATAATCTTTGCCTTAATTTATTTAATAATATATTTAATAGCTATTAAAATTAATATATTATTAATTTATATAAAGTTAATAGCCTATTTTATTAATAAAGCTAATAATATAATAAGGTTAAAATTTAATAATATTAAGTTAAATATCTTTATTAGCTAATATTTTATATATTTAATAATAACTTATTAAATAATAAAAGTAATTTTAAAGTATTAATACTTTTTTAATACTTTTTAAAAAATATTGCTAATTATTAAATGGCTATATATTAAGTATAGCTTTTTTATAGCTATAAATAAATTATTATACTTTAAAATTAGCAAAAGGAATATTACCTTTAAAGCAATGCCAGCATTATAAGGAGAATTATTAAGTTATTATTTATATATATAAATTTTACATAATTATCCTTAAATAATTATAAAGTGCTTTTTTACTTATTTTAGGTTAATAATAAGGGGGAGATTAATTTCTTTTTAAAAATATTTAAAACTTATTTATAAATTTACTTAGTTCAGCTTATAAAGATATTAAATTTACTTAAGTAAGTTTCTTTTCTTTCCTTACTTAAAAATAAATAAAGTAAATTTAAAGACTATATTTTTTAAATAGCTTAAAAAGGTAGTTAATAAAAATGTTAATCTTATTAATGCAATATATAATATAAATATTATAATATTTAATAACATTAAGAAAATATATAATTCTTAATAATTAATTAGCCTTTATATTAAGGGTTTTAAGGAACTTATAATTTATAAAGATAATAATCTTTATGCCTTAAATTTAATAAAATTAATACTAAAGTATTAATAATATATTAAAAAGTTTTCACTTTTAAGTAAAGTATTAAGTTTATATATTTATTAACTTTTTTAAAAAGTATAAAACTAAGTATAAAATAAACTTAGTTTTATATAAATATAGTTAAAAAAAGGCAGTATTTATAAAGCCCTAATTAATATTTATTTTTATTATAAAAGAAAATTGCTAATTAAAAGTTTTAATAATTAAAAAAATAATAATAATATTATAAATATCTTATTATTATTATTATATTATTTTTAATAAGATAATTAGCTAATCTTTAAGATTATTAATATAATTAATTAAAGCATTAATCCTTTTAAAATATGCTTATATTAAATTTTAAAGATACTTAGCAGCATTAATAAAGCCTTGGACTTTTATAATTATAGTTAGCATAAATTAATTATAAATAGCCGTAATCTTTATTAAGTTTATTATAATGCCTTTTTTTAAAATAAGGAAGCTTAAAAATATACCTTTATAAATAAAGAGGAAGATTTTTTAAGTATTAAGAATAAAATTATAATAATATAATTGCTAAAAGATTATAAGTAGATATTTATATAATTATAGCATAAAATTTACTTATATAATAATATTATTTAAAAGGTTGCATATAATATTTTAAAGATCTTAAAAAATTTTCTTAATAAGAATTTAAAAGGTAGTTAAGGCATTATATAAGCTAAATAGTATTATTAACTATTTATATAAGCTAAAGAAAATAATAAACGCTATCTTCTTAATATTTATATAATAAATACTAATATATTAAAAGCTATTTGTTAAATTAATAAAGACATAATATTTATAACTCGCCATATGCTAAATTTAATTTATTATATTAAATATAAAGTATATATGCTTCTTAATATGCTTATTAAGCTTTTAATAATTATAATAAAAATGCTAAATTATTTATTATAATTTAAATGCATTTTAGCTTAAGGGAATGGGTTTCTTTAAAATTAAATATAAGGTTAATGCTTAAGGGCTCTTACTTTTTTTAATTAATATTCCTTTATATATCTTAATAAAATTATAAATAATTTATTCTTATGCTAAATTAAACCGCTAAAGAGGCTAATAAAATAGTAAATTATTGCTAATATTAATATAGTGCTTAATTTTTACTAAAAGATTTACTTAATGCTTTTTTAAATTAAATAATTTAAAGAACTTAGCATAATATTCCCTAAGATAGCGTTAAATTTAAGGGTTATTTATAGGAGTATTTAAGTATTATTTAAAGGTAAGAAGCTAAATATTTATAGCTAAGAAGGCTATTTTTTTTTATTAAGTATATTAAATGCTAATGAATAAATAAAATTAATTTTAATTAATAAGGAAATATAAATAAGTAAATAATATTTTATAAAGTATAGTAAATTATTTATTAATAAAAGATTATTTTCTTAAGCATTAGCTTTGCTAAGAAGATATTATTAAGGATAACTTTATAAGAAATAATAAATTAACTTATAAGGCTAATCTTTATAATAAAATAAGCTATTATAAGAATATCTTTAATAATATAAAGATCTTTACCTTTAATGCCTTTTATATAAGTAAGGTAAAAGGAATTATATAAGGCAAGCTATATTATTAAAGATTTAGAATAATAATAAGCAACGGAATTATAATTAAAGAAGGTATTAAACTTATAGTTATTAAGAAAGCTAACTTAGAAAATATTATAAAAAATATTAATATCTTTATAAGTTAATTTATTATAAGTAAATAATAATTAATTGCTAATACTTACTCTTATAAAGTAAGTATTTTAGCTATTTTAATCCTTATAATTTAACTTATTAAAGATATTATTAAGTAGCTTATTAATATTATTATTATTATTAAATTAAGCAGCTAGGTTATAATGCTTTTTATTCTTATTATTTAAGTTTAAATTAATAATATAAATATAGATATTTTTATAATTAAATAAAGGCTAAGAATAAGGCTTTTTATTACGTTAAAAGGAAATTATATTATATAAGCAAGAAGCTAAGTTAATGCATTTATTATCTTTATATAAAGTGCTTTTAAGTGTAATAAGGCAGCTATTATTAAGTGTTAAAGAAGCCTTAGGTTAGTTAGGCTTAAAATAATAATCTTTTGCTTAATAGCCTTGCTTATTATAATTAAAGCATGTATTATCTTTCTTATTAGCTGCATTAATATAAATAAGGTTGCTATTTTATTATTTAATTATATAAATTACGTAAATAATGCTAATAATAAGCTACCTTATTATTAAAAAAAGTAATTTATTACCTTACTTTTAATTAAGATTAATTTATTATATAAAAGGAATTACTTACTTTTAATTCCTTATTTATAAAAAAGTTATTTATCTTTTCATTATATAGGAATTTATACTTATTAATTTAAGGGTTAAAGATAGTAGTTTATATAGCCATAACGTTAATAGGTTTAATTTAAGCTATTTTAAGCTTATTAACGTTAGCTAGGCTAACTTATAAATTATAAAAGAAAGCAGAATTGCTATATAGTTAAATAATTATTTATAGGCTAGCGTAAATACTTTGCTTTATTATTTATTAATATATATTTTAGCTTGCTAAATAACTTCCTTAATTATTATAAGGATAGTTATTACTTAAATCTTATTAAGGATCTTAATAAAGATGCTAAGCTAATTAATAAAGATTTTATTTAATAGTATTAATTAAATTGAGAGGGCATTTTATTAAGTCTTTAATAGCTTATAATAAGCATTATAAATTTTCTAAGCAAAGTTAATATATAATTTATTTTTAAAAGAAAGTAAAGTAAAAAACGTTATTATTATTAAGTAAAGGGCATTATACTTACTAAGAATTTAAATAATAGCTTTAATAAGAAATGGCTAAGTTAATTAATTATTTATAATTTATTAAGTAATACTAAAGAAGTTATTAAAAAGTTCCGTAATTATTTTAAATAATTATATTTTATAAGATATTATTATTATTTATAATAAGATTTATATCTTTTTTAACTTATTAAGAATTATAATATTAGCTATATTAAAGCAAAATTTTTTTAAAATAAAGACTTTTCTTTTTATAAAAGTTTTTAAGTAAAAGTATTTATTAAGCAGGATAATTATTAAAAAAACTTTTTTAAATTAAAAGTTAATTAAAATATAAAAATAATTTGCTTAAGTATTATTAATAAAGTAAAGTTTAAGTTTATTATTATTATAATAATTTATAAGCTTAAAAGTAAGAGCAATATCGCTATTATAAAGATATAAGTTTAAAGGCTTAATATTTTTATTTTACCCTTAAGAATATAATTAACCTTTAATAATAAAGATAAAAATGCTTTAAAGCTAAATATAAAGAATATTATTATATTAATTTACCTTATTATTAATAATCTTTAGCTATTTTTAAAGATTCTTTAGCTATTTATTAAATTTATTATTAATAACTTTAAGGTTATTTATAAGGGCAATAAGGATAATTTATATATTATCTTGCTTTATAGCAACCTTTTTTATAAATTAATTAATATAGTTATATATAAAAGTAATTATAATGCTATAATTACTTATATAAATAGCCATGGTATTAAAAGAAAGAAAAAAAATTATATTAAGGTAAAGTAAAAATAATAGTAATTAAAGAGAAAAAATTAATAAAAATAACGCTAAATTAATAAATTTCTTATTATTAATATTTATTTAATAATTATTTACCTTATAGCTTGCTTATTAATTGCTAATAAAGAGTATTATAATGTTTATTATTATAACTTTTAATTAGCTTTATAAATATTTACTTATAAGTAATAACTTTAGCATAAATGCTATTATTATATAAATTAATTAATAAAGTTGCTTTTTAAAAGTAAATTGCTAATAAGGAATAAGGTTAATAATAGTAATTTAATGGGTTTTAGTTACTTAAAAGGTTGTTGCCTTTAAGAAAGGCTGCTAATTAATAGCGTGGAGGTTTGCAATTATAATTTTTTTATTAAATAAATGCTTTAATAAGGTTTTTTTAATAAAAATAATTATTTTTATATTTCTTTATGCATTTAATTTACTAAATAGCATTGCAATGATTATAAGGGATGTTATAAACTATATAGTATGGGTATATAGGTTGCTTAGTTGCTAATTATGCTTAAAGGGCAATGCCTTTAGTGTTTTAAGCTGCAACGCTGCTTATGTAAGCAGCTACCTGCCCGCTATCTACAGATCTACATAATTAATAATTCTAACCTAATAATTATAAACTCAATGTATAGCTTAAGGGGGGATGTTAGAATATATAAACTCTCTAAGCTGCACACTGGCAGCGCTTTTTATTTCTTACATCCCGTCGGGTGCGAGAAACCCTTGCCCGGCCTCGAACATGAACATGTCTGGGCTGATCATCAGATTGCAGCCGCCGACGATTGCCATTTGTGGCTCCCCGGCTCGCAGGCCCTGGCATGCCAGATGAAGGGCCACTAAGCTTGATGAACAGGCCGTGTCCATGGTCAGGCTTGGACCTTTCAAGTCGAAGAGCCAGAGATCCAACTACAGTATGCCCTACTTTCATTACGCTCGATTCCAAGATAAACGGCTCGTCTAACTACCAGATCCGGACATTCCCCTATGCGTATAGTAAGGACATTACCCGGGCACCTCTCAATCAACGAGGCTGTGTTGTGCAGGAGAGATACTTAGCACGGAGGCAGTTGATCTGTGCTAAACGCCAACTGTGCTGGGAATGCCATGAACTCGTAGCGTCTGAAGAATTCCCTCACGGGCATCCTGCCGATGACTCCTCAAACCCGGAATGGAGTTTTAGAGCAGATAGGAGCCCACGGAAACCATCCCTCGATTCGAACGGAGGGGCACAGGCGCGCCGGGGCTGGGCCGCCCTCGTGAAACTATTCAGGCTGTCAACTTACTCAAGCATCGGACAAACTAGTGGCCTTGTCCGGCTTAGCAAATGCATTGCAGAGGATAAAAGATAACGTCTATATTTCCGGATTATGGACGAAGGATCTATGCCGATAACTCTGCTGGGAGCCCCGTTTTCCATTTAATGCTTAGCGGACCACCACCTAAGGGCGCAACGCCCCAACATGATCATGGGTAAATTTTAATGGCCCGGTAGACTTTAATCAAGCATACTATAATACATATAATGGATATAAATATTGGATAGAAGTTGCAAAGACTTGGATCGATTCACCCAAAATGCTAAAGCTCCGCGGCCTGGCCCTAAAGAGCCGCATTTAGGGGGAGGCGCAATTCAACCAGCATTTGTCGTTTAATAGACTCAGGGCACCATCCATCCCAGCTTCAAGCTCTACGAAGGTTACGATCCATTGGGACGAAGATATTTCTCAAGAAGACATGCAGCAGCGGAACTCAGGATTGCTGTTCTTAATAGTTAACAGCAGCCCATTTCTAGAGAGAAAAAAGGCTAAAGGTCTAATACTACGGATATTGCCTTATGTTTCTAATAATCCCGTGCTATATAGTAAGATGGGAATTTTTATGGTATATAACTCTAGAGATCATGCCCTGTGGCACGTATTCTCGTTCTTAGGATTGCATAAAGGCGACGCAGAGGAAATCGTGGCAGCCGGGCTGATCCAAACTGTGACCATAATTGTTAGCTGTTGTCTGGTGTGTCTTTGAATATAATTATGGTAATTTCCACACAAGACCGACGCACAATATGTGCCAGACATGCCAAGGGGAAGTGGTTATTAACGAATATATTGTCGGGAGGGAGACTAGGTGGGCGATCACTCGGTGTTCATTCCTAGTGTCAACTTCTACCAGGGCACATCTCAAAGCTTTTGCTCCGTGTTCTTGCCGCCGCGGAACTTTCTCTGGGCTTCCAAAACTAGAATGAGCTGGTGTGCCTTGCAGACCAGTCCCATCTCCTCATCGCAGATTGTGATGTCAAGGTCCAACCTCCCATCCTGCAGTGTCCTGGCAGCAGTCCTCGTCAAGACGAATCGAAGTCCCTCCTTCGGCAGTCTTTTCTTGAATTCCATGTCCAAGACGACGGTGGTGTTGAAGGTCGACGCTTGCTTGGCCAACTCCGCCAGGGAGTTCCTAAAAACAGCTGGAATCCCAGGGTTGGCCTCGGCCCACTGTCTCGCACCCTGCCAGAAGCGGTGGGCGTCGTACAAGCCACCGTTGCGCATCAGAGTATCCGTCATTGACGGAATAATGTCAGTCATCAGGGCAATGTAGGTGGCGTCCATACGCTCCTCCCCGATGAAGCCGTTCCATACGTCGCAGATGCCTTCGGTGCGGAACCCGGCGCGCGGATCCACGGCCAAGATGCGCTCGGTCAAGGGGATGACCTCCCCTCCAGCCTGCACCGGGATCCAGTTTTCGTCGGGCTTGTTAGCGAAGACGCGGTCAAAGTCCGGCTTGGGGTCTGGGGGAGGCAGCAGTGTCCAGCCAGTGGGCACAGTTGGGCCCAGAGGCCTATCGAAACTGGTTGAGGTGGCCAGGGCGACAACCTTGATCTTGCCCTTCTGCGACAGCTGCAGCTGGAGAGTGCACGAGGCGGCGCCCAGCTTCAGCACGGAGACCGTGACGGTGCTGTCGAGCCGCTCACATGCCCGGAGGAACTCAATGTGCAGATTGAGTATGTCTGGCTGGTTCTGGGCCACCAGCGTCGGGTCCGTTGTCAGGTGTCTGGCGGCGGCATGATAGATGACCGCGGCCACGCACCCGCCATGGAGAGCTGCGAAGTCGGGGCGAATCAGTCATTCGTTTCATCACTTGGCTGGGCTCGGCGAGCTCGGGACAGGCCACGAGGAGCTGGCTGTGAGATATTCTGAACGTACTGGAAGCGACTGTCCAGTCTTGGTGCCAGGAAGCACTGTAAGTGTCCGGCGCGGTTTTCTTGAGGTTGATTTGCTGATGGAGTATTCCCGCCATGGTTGTTCATCAAAACGCGGGGTGGACAAGAATGCCAGACACGTGCGACGGAACCTTTATGAACGGAATATCCTTTCTGGGGTTATCTTTTTCGGGCAAGCCCCTTTTCTGCGGTTCTGCTGACGTTGGACCAACTCTAAATTGTGTTGGTGCAAGAGCTGCGGTAAGCACTTGACACAGTCAGGGGTTACAGTGTGTGAACTGTTCTCGGTCACCCGGCCAATGCTTGTCAGATTAATTAAACACACTGCTCTCATCGCCAAAGCACACAGTGACTCGCCCATTCAACCACAGCTCAACTCAAGAGCATACTAACAATGCGGTTGGTCTGTTTGTCAGGATTGCACACATAAAATTGCGGCGACAATATTTTACTTTCAGATATACACCATGTATCTAGAGTCGGTATGGAAGAAAAGCATACAATGTCGGTCGGGCTATGACGCAGCTCCATCGATCATACGTCAAATGCGGGAGACACAGTTCGGTAACACATTGACCCTGAAAAAATAAAAATAAAAATAAATAAAAAAATTCATCAAACGCCGTCATCTAGGAAATCGTGAAGAAACTCGTTGTGGCTGACGGAGAGTGGCTAACCTGGATAAAGAGAGTGATTTGCCTTGTACAAACAACAAGTTCTGCCTTCACATACATTGCTGAATTTCGGGCAGAGAGTAAGTCAACTACTAAATTCCGTTCAAACATGTAATGATTCCCAAATTTTAAAGATCACATTAATCATGTGTCTGTCTGATGCCCTGCAGCTCGTGGCAGGTGTAAAAAACAAAAAGCCAACCAATTTCATTCCAGTCGTGTCTCTTATCATGTATGTACCTAGACGAGTCTGCTCCTCTTCCTAAACTGAGCCTCCGGCCCCTTCCGCAAAGAGATGAAGGCGTCCTCCAGCTGAAACTGGCGTTCGTCCCTGGCCCCCCATCCGAGCTCATGCTTCCCCCCTCCAAGCGTGGATCCGGGTGCTCTCCTCAATTCCAGACGGTGCAGAGTCCGGGCGACAGTGATCATGATCTCCGCCATCGCCACATTCTTGCCCAAACAGCTGCCCGGTCCGGTAAGGAAAGGGTGGAAGTTGGCCCTCGTCTGCGACAGCGACTCTGCGGTGACCCCATCAGCCTCGTCGAGGAGCCACCGCTCTGGTCGGAACACCCCCCCGCGCCCCCCCCCCCCCACACGTCCTCATTGCGTGAGCTCATCCACGCGGCCGTGCCCACGATCGTCCCCGGCGGGAAATACTCCCCGTTGATCCGGATGCCCCCCGGCAACACCTCGCGGGGCAGCCCGCACGGCCCCGACGGGGTGAGCCGCATGCCCTCGTCGATGCAGGCCTTCAGGTAACGTCCCCGGCCCCGATCCCGGCCGCCCCCTGATCCCGGCCGCCCCCTGATCCCGGCCGCCCCCTGATCCCGGCCGGCCCACACCCGCGTACGCGCATAAACGCGTCTGCACCTACCCTATATTAACTCCTTAATATCTTTATAAGGAATTTTTTTTTAATTATTAAACTTCTCCTAAATATTATTCTCCTTATTATAAAGCAATACTTTAAAGATAACTTTATTAATATCTTTATTATTATAAGAAATGAAATATTAATTTAGCAAGCCTTTAAGATATAATATATTTCCTAAGCTATATTATTTAATTACCTTAATAATATTTAAAGCTATTATATTGCTATTAATCCTTAAAGGCTTTTTTTTAATTATTAAAAGGCTTTATTAATTTTATTTATAATTAATTAAAATAACTTAGGGTTAATATTAATGTAATTTAAAATAAAGGTTTTAAAAGCTTAATTAGCCTTTTTAAATAAAGATTATTCTTTCTTTAAAAGAAATTAATTAAGGGCCTTTCTTTTTTATTACCTTATTCTTAAAAGTTAAAAGAATTAATATATAAAGACTGTTATGGTTTAAGCTTTGCTCATTGTAATTCATTAGTGGGCTTTAGCCTTATAAGAATAGGCTTTGGCATAAATATAAACAAAAAGTAAATCTTTTCCTTTATACTTTAAATATAAACCCTATTTAAATACTTTATAATAAATAACCCAAGGCTAGCCTATAATATATATTTAAAGTCCTTTTATATTATAAACCTATAATGCAATTATATAAAACCTAATATAGTAAAACTTAAAAAAAATAATAATAGCCCATTAAGCTCTTTCTTATTTAAAGGAACTTTTATCTTAAGAATACTTAATAACTTAATTAATAAAGATAAGGGCTAAGTTTGCAATAAATAAAAAGGTAATTAATGCTAAAAGAGCTTAATTCTTTTATATATTTAATTAGCTAAAAACTTTTTATAATTAATTTTTACCTTATATTAATTTTATAAAGATATTTAAAGAATAGCTAAAAAGCTTTTTAAAGAAGATTTGCTTTGCGCTTAAAGACTCTTTTAAATAAAAATATACTAAGCTTAGCTTAATTACGTTATAACAGCATTATAAAAAGAAAATAATAAAATTTCTCGCTTAATTTAATTAATTAGCTTATATAGTAAAAGCTTAAAGTTAGCTAAATAAGTATAAAATATTATTAATAGCTAATAGCTTAACCTTTATAGCAAAAGCTTAGCTTAATTATAAAGAATAGCTAAATATATTTAAGGCCTTTTGCTTTGCTTTATAATAATATAAGAGCATTTTTAACGCTGCAATAAGAAAGAATAATACTTAACTTTAAAATAGCAAAGTAATAAATATTAATATTATAGTAATCTTAATAAGCAAAGTTAAGTATTTTGCATATAGCCAACTTAGCTATTATAAGCATAACTACCCTAATTACTATAAAAGAATAAAAATGCAGCTTTTATTAATTAAGGCTAGTAAAAGAAAGGAGTTTATTTAAAGGGGCGTAAAATTTTTTCTATAGGGTAAGGCTTAAAAGCAATGCCAGCTTAGCGCTAACCCAAACTTAAAGCGAATTAGCTATATATTAGCTAATTCAACCCTATAAAAATACTTAAAATTTAAGAAATTCCCGCTAATAAAGCAAATTACCCATAATTAATTGTAAATTATATAATAAATTTATAGTTTTAAAGTTTTAAGTAACGAAGTTTATGCAAAAGGCTTATATTAAAGGATTATAAAAATGCTATTAATTTAATTATTAACTTATACTTAAATAATTATTTTTTATTAGCTTGCTTTAATTAATATATTAAATTATAAGGGCTAAGGTATGCTAATTATAAATAATAAGCTGGGCCTTTAATGTAATTAAAAGATATTAAGGTATAATTAAATAGCTAAGCAAAAAATAATATTTAATTTATAATTAAATTATAATATCCTTTATTTTTTATTATATAACTACCCTTTAAGGCCTATTATAAGGACTTGGAAAAAAAGGATATATTATGATTTAAGCTTTACTTATTATAATTAGTTAATAAGCTTTGGCCTTATAAGAATAGGCTTTAATGTAAGTATAAATAAAAAGTAAACCTTTTCCTTTGCATTTTAAATATAAACCCCATTTAAATACCTTACAGCAAATAACCCAAGGCTAGCCCATAATAAAGACTATTTATTTTTAATTAATTATTAAAAAGAATATTAAGTTTTAATTTAACCTTCTTTAGCTACTTATTATTAAGTTTATTTAATTAACCTATTATTAAAATATTAATAAGGGAGGGTTAATAAAAGATTGCTTAAAAAATGCCCTTACTTTTAATTATTTAAATAATAGCTTTTTATTATAAAAAAACTTTAATTTAAGAATATAAACCTTTTTTATAAAATATATATTTATTATAAGTAAGTTCCTTAATTCTTTAATTATATTTAAGGAACTTAATATATAGCAATAATAATTTTTTATTACCTTTAAAAATTATAATAATTAATAATTTATTATAATAAAAAAAGGATAAATAAAAGAATAAATAGTTATTAAATAGTTTAAAAAAGTATTTATTCTTTAAATTACCCCCTTAAACTTTTTTAAGTAGTAATTATTAATTATAAATAAGCATTATATATATATAATTATTAACTTTATATAAAAATATTTTTTATATTAAATATATATAGTTTTTTTACTTATATATACTTTTTATATATTATAGCCCCTTAATATATTAATATTTATTTTATTAAAGATAATATTTTAAAAGTATTTATATTTAACAAAGTAATATAACTTTTTATTAATAATAATAAAGAAGAAGTTTCTTTTTTATTATTATAAAGTATAAAAAAAGATACTTATAAAGTTAAATATATATTTAAGATAAAAAGTAATAAAACTTTAGTTAATATTTAAGCATAAGGTATTTAAAAATTATTATATTTTTAAAAATTATTAAATTTAGTATAAATTATTAAAATTTAATATAATAAAAAGCTTTATTAAATAATTCTTTATATTTAAGGTTTTTTTTTAATAATTAAAATTTATTTTTAAAATTTTTAAGTAATTATAAAAAGTATATTAATTAATTATTTATTAATATTATAATAAATACTTAAACCTTATATTATAAATATTATTTAAAAAGCTTTTTAAAGTATATAATAAAAAAGAAACTTAATTAATTATAACTTTATAAAAAAATTAATAATTAAAAATTAAAATTAAAATTAATTAAAAAATTATTAAAAAAAAAGTTTAAATTAATTTAAATATAGCTTTTATTAATATTAAGGTTATTTATAAGGCTTAAATAAAGATAGAAAGGATATTAAAAGAAAGCAATGCCTTTAGAAAATTAAAAACATTAACGAAAGAGGGATCGTGTATCGTGATAACGGGCAATTAACGTTAAAGAGAAGGCGTGTATGGGTGCCGAGGGCGGCCGGGAAGGGGGGGCGGCCGGGATCGGGGCCGGGGACGTTACCTGCAGCCGAGGAGTTTCGGCCCGTGCACTATATCTTCTGCCGAGTCGAACGTGGCCAAGATCTCGTCTGCCAGCTTCTGGCACCGTCGCGGGCCGCCCGTGAGGCAGAAGAATATCCCCGAAATACTGACCGCAGTCGTGTCGGACCCCGCGATGATGAGCAGGCTGGACTCTGCCCGGAGGTCGCCTTCGCTATAGGCAGGGAGCCCCGTGTCCGGGTCCCTGGCCTCGCATAGGAAGTAGAACATATCCTGGCGGCGGTCGCTCTCTGGCCTTTCCGCTTGCTCCTTTTGCAGGGATATCCGGCTTGTGACGCTGTCATGAACAAACTGGTTGTACTGTTGGACAGGGCGGGGCGTGATCACTTCGAAAAGTCGGTCGGGACCGCGAGGCTTGAGCCAGCTGAGCAAGTCGAGGAAGGGGGAGCGGCAGAACTATTCCGTCGGTTAGCGCTGCGACAGCCACGAACAGAGTGGACCGTGGGGAGTCAGGGCGAGTACTCACTGGATAATAGAATCGCATGTAGGCAGCAATGTTATCCGGAATTGATCGCAGGGGATTGTCTTCAGGCTCCTTGATGTCGAAGGATCTCCCAAAGCTAGGATCGCCCATAATGTCAAAGGCGAGAGTGTCCACCTTATCTGTAAAATCAACTGGAGCGGACCACTCGGTCGTGCTACTCTTCTCCTCCAACATGATCTCATTCCAGCGGTCGACGTGCCTGATAAATGAAGTCCGAGGAGGCCCGCAGTGACTTATCGGTGAAGCACAGGCTAAGCAGCTTGCGTTTGCGCGCGTGCTCGGCGACGTCAACGGTGTTAAGCGTCGTGCTCTCGTTGCTTTTTCGCTGAAGCGCAGTGTAGAAGGGGCTTCGTCGCACGTTCGATTTCATTCCGTATATATCGGCGTAGGCTTGTGGGTCGCTGAAGAGCACCGTGTTCGGCCCAGGGCGGATGATGGGCCCATAGATCTGGAACTGTTGCCAGAGCCAGATGTGGCGTTTGCCCGTGGAGGCATGGTACCACGAGGGTATTCCGCTTGCCCGTGCCCAGAGAGGCCCAGGCACATGGGCTAGAGGATGGAGGAACAGGTTGTAGAGAGCCCTTGCAAAAAAACTGAGTACAAGGTACAAGTTAGCTGATGTCATTTCCGTCCTCGTTATCACTTGTCGTGCAGACTGCGAAAGGTTGGAATTATCGGTACTCACCAGGAGGGTGCCGAATAAGAGAGCCACCAAAACATGGGCAATCAGGGTGTTGGAGTAGGAGGAGAGTAAAGCCTGCATTGCGGAGTGGATGTAGGAGTCGTTTGTTGTGCAGTTTAGCGGCAAATCAGAAGCTTTGAATCCTTTGAGCAGTGCGAGCTAGGGACTGTATCTGCTTTTTGTGCAGATTGATCGACCAAGGCGTGCAGTGTGAGAAATGTAAACTGTCATGCCGGTGGCAATGAGAACGATACTAGAGGAAGTTTTGGGACACATCTGCCTTGGTACTCTAAGTCGCACAAGATACGCGGATGTGAGCGAGATGTCGAAACGCCTCCCCACGACCCTCCTCCGTGAGGTGTAGGCCCTCTTACACTGTGTGAGGGGTAAATGCTGACATGTTGGTTCTTGCCAGTGTTGGCCAAGGCTGAGCTGAGGACAAGTAAGATCGTTTCGATGCGTTCTTAGAGCCAACGGCTGCGCCCAACTGCAGGGACAATGGTTGAATCCTTTGAGTTTCACCCTGGACATGTCCCCGGGCATTGTTTGTACCGGCACTGGCACACGCAGCTCAAGGACGAGTGTGACTCGCAACAGCGGGTAATCAGCCGCTAGTGTAAGATTACTCTTCTAGGATGATTGGGAACGCGTTCCAAACCGGCTATGCCTGGGCGAGTGCGCTGTTCCATAAGGACACTCAAGTTCCTCGAGACACCTGCAACACACGCCACATCCAATTCTACATGGCTCCAAATTTTGAACAACGTCCTTAATATGCGGAGCCAACCCTGACGCGGAATAAATGTTGGAGGACATGGCATGCAACTGTTTTTCCAGGGGCATAGATTACTTCCAAGAAGCAAGGAAACGTCTCACACCAAATGCTAGATATCGAACAGGAATCCTCAGGAGGGACATACAACGTCCACATAGCTTCCAACGTCATGCACGGCACCTGAAATGATATTGCTGCTCCTAAATCAGATAAAGTTGAATGGGCAATCACATTCGCTTCACGATTGGATGGCCTGTATCATACGAATCGAACACGACGGTAGCCCTGCCACACAGCTGGACTTCAACTCGGCGTGGAGAGACGTGACAACCCATCCAGCCCCATCATGCTCGGCTCAATATTCGTTGTCGAGTATCAACGAGATGCGTTTACATGTCCAGATGGCTGAGACTCTGTAGTCCTCGATTCAGTGTAAACGGCTGAGCGACAAAGTGTTAAAATCTTATCATCTCCTGTATTAGCCCGGTGGGTGCCGTTGATGCAAGACATCACACATCTTGCTGGCGGACATTACGGGTATTGCACACAGGACTACTAGTACTGTGAACGTGATGGCGGAGGCATAATTCTTTTACATTGTGCCGAAACTAATATTTACAATGGCTGGCATATATGGCCTTCGAATCATTTAACATGCATCCTCGCCAAGAACTTGAATGGTAAACCCCAGTTCCTTAGCATCTGAGGAGGACACAGAGCGGCTATCAGGGTATCTTCTGCTGTTTCTGCTGAATCTCTTCCGGGAAGTGTCAAGTCTAGTTCATGGCGGGGACAGTAATCTTCTCGATGAACCACTGCAGCGACAGAAGGTTAGCGTCCGCTCGTTCGAGTCCGCCTGGGCCGCAGTCGCATGAAAGAAAAGGAACTTACAGTCTTGCCACCATCGGAGGTGGTCATATCAGTGTAGGTGGCACCGTTGTCGCCATAGATGCCCTGAGAGTAGGAGCTGTCGGCCTCAGCAAGGGTAATGGTCGTGTTGACGTAGTACTGGGGCTCGTTGGTGCCGGTGGGGTCGGCGCCGTTGGCGTCCTGCTTCTCGATGGCCGTGTTCCACATCCTCATGGGGCCGGACCTCTTGGAGTAGCTGGCCAGGACGTCGCCCGTGACGGCGTCGGTCATGGTCTGCTCCCACAGGTAGGTGGACTTGTCGGCGAGGGTGTAGTTGATGACGATGCCGTTGTCGTAGTTGACGTCGGCCGTCCTCTTGTCGCCGACGAACTGGACCGTCGCGCCCGAGTCGTCCTTGCCGTAGACCTCGGACGACACGCACCACGTCGTGTCGGCGTCCGGCCCGGAGCACTCGCTCGACCCCGCCGGGTACGAGCCGACGATGCTCTGGACCAGGTCCCCCTCCAGCTCCCCCGAGGCCGACGCGCCCTGGATGCCGATCCACGCGAACAGGTAGCCCTTCTGGCCCTGGGGCATCTTGCCCGGGTACATCGTGCTCGTCGTGCTGACGATCTCCGAGTTGGTTGCCTGCAGGCCGCAGACGGGGCCCCAGCCCAGGTCCTCGACTCCGGCCTGGCGGCTGTCGAGGATGGCCTTGGCCGTGACCGACGAGGTCGACAGCAGAAGGGCCGCAACTTGGGACTTGCTGAAGAACATTGTGGAGACTTGTGATAAACGAATGTATGTTGGAGTAATGAATGTATGTGAAGATCCTGCTTCGAATCTGTATGTTCTGAAGTTAACAAATGTGTTGCACAAATACAATAGAATTGTTCAAGTATACTGGACGGCCAAGCCTTTTTATGGCCCGACCCCTGAGTGGCCTGAGTGGTGGATTGCTGTTCTAATAGAAATAAACGCCCTATTTCCCTGATTCAAACAACCCACAGTTATCCCTAGCAATTTCATCTATAGCAGGGGTACACGGTGGGGAAGTGGGCCTCGTGGGCCACGCGCTGCCGCCGGGAACGCTAAGATCTACCTGTAGGATAATTTTCCTGAAACGAAACGGGCTTCCCACGCATACTTCGTCCTCGTTTGCTTCCGCGTGGCATGTTTCCCCGAAGGAGGAGCGGTACTACACTAGAATGCGTTCGCGCCTCGATCCATGTCCATTGACGCTTGCTCGGTGCAGTAACCCATCTCGTAACAGGGAACCCCTGGGCGGCTATGTCGCCTGCGACACACCAGGGCTAACCTTGTGTTTAGCTTAAACAGACCTCATGGTCTAGTATTCAATGGATAATAGTAGGCCTGCAAGCGTTGCTGGATCAGCTTCAGCAGTACATACCAGCTAAGCTCTCGCAGAAAACGGTGGATGACAATAAAGGATGGACTGGATCAATGCAATGGACGGGGAAAGAATTTAGTGTGTTTGAATTTGAAATCTGAAGTCTGCTTGCTACGTCGACAGTGGAATCGTAGCACAATCCAAAATTCACTGCGCGTGTCCGACGCAGCGGTCGAATTTCAGGGTGCAACATTAAAGTGGCTTGGTTTTTGCACACCAAATCTGGGCATGGAACTCGATACACCTTCCTCGTGGCTGTTCCCTGGAGACATAGTTAAGTGTCGACATGTCGAACGCGGAGCTAGTTATAATACCATCAGTCGAATACATCGACGACATATCTTACATTCCTCAAGCTGGCCCACCACTGTTTCACTTCGGCCTCATCCATGTTGTTCCCCTTCTGCTTTTCCCTCTCCTTCTTGATCTCGCATGCTACCCGATCCACTGCTTGACCCAGAGCCTTTGAGCCGCACACATATACCCTCGCACCCGCCTTCCATAAACTGCGTAGTTCGTCCCGTTCTGCCCATAGAGATTCTTGAACATGTCGATGGCCCCCCGCCGCCTGAGGCGCCCGACTGTAAGCTCTCCTCACTGTGACTGCGCCAAGTCCTTCCCACTTGGAAAATTCGTCCGAGTACAAATCATCTCTCCCTGGCTCGCATCGCAATGGTATTGGAAAGAGGCGCAGATCCTAATGTGAGCTTCGAGGATGGCTATCCGCTGTGGCTTGATATTGTCAACTTGAACATGTAGCGTACGAAGCGCCTACCTCAGGATGATGACTTTATGATTCGAGTTATAGAGGCCTTCATTGGTGCTGGCGCGACTGTTAATTCTTCTGCAGCTCTGCAGATGTGGAATTCCTTGATCAACGCGCTATTGAAACCCTATCCAAGTTCTATTCCGGAAGCGCAGATTGCGAATCTGTTGATCGTGGCTATTGAAGCTGGGGCTGACTCGGATCCGGCACGGGTCAAAGAACTCAGCGGAATCATCTCTCCACTTCTATTCTCGAGAATCAACACAGCTTGGGCAGCTCGCTATGAGTCTAGAAGTCTTTCTGAGCTTCACCTTGTTGGCAGACAGAGATCAGACACTTCAAGGAGTTTCAAGACTTGGACTTCTGAAGGAAACTGGGTTATTTCAATCCTTGCTTTGATCGGGTCATATCTTTTTCTTTGTCTGTGGCTGTACGGGAGCTCGCTACAGATGTGTCATCGTATCTCGCGACGCGTTTGGCATTTTGCAAAGTCAATATTAGCCAGGGCTGTTCTCTACTTAGTTAGGAAGGGTCTGTAACCTTCTTGATCTTCATTCAGGCAGTGTTAAAAGCTTGTATCAGGGCTCAACAAGAAATGATTATTTAGAGAGCATGAAGCCAATCAGGATCACGAGTCAAGTTGACGCGTATGAGCCTACCAGCCGCCACGCTTATACAAGCAGTGCACCTTGTCAACCTTAAAAACAAAATACACATTTATTCTATTTATAGTACAATCTTATTAAGTATTCCTCTTCCTTTTTTTTTATACAAAATATTTAGATATATAAGAGTTCTAACCTGTGGACGGTTTTGGTACCCGCTGTATAAGCAGAAGCCGAAACCCACGAGTAGGTGACCCATCTCAGTAGCTTTTACGCCGACCCCACTCGGTACTTAGAAAGCTGCGGCGGGCTAATCTTGACTACCACGATTAATACGCCGACTTTAATGAGCAGCAATGAGCTTATTCTTAGGGGTGACTCTAATGTTCTCCCTGCAAGCGAAGGGAAGGGCTTATGTTCCAAGGCTGGTCGGAGATTTTGAGAACCAAGCTACCATAAAAGCTTTTGATCACAACTCAAACCCGGCATGACCTTTGCCCAGTCCTGCTTACGGTTCGTGGCATAAACTCTGCTCACCAGTTCTGAGAATGTCCACTACGTTTAACTTGCAAAACCCGGGTCGCCCGATCCGCGTCGGCGTCTTGTTGTTGGCTTCGTGGGTTATTGACAAAGCTAGCCCCCTGATCTCCTTTCTAAAATCAAACAGGACCACAGAGCTGTTGGACGTCGCGCCTGTTGATTACTTCCACGCACTCGACAGGGAATTCTTGGGAAGCTTTCCCGATTTTCTCTCCTCCCGGGATGAGAAGGCCGCAGGCTTGCACTTTGAATTTCACTGGGTTGCTGAAACGGACAAAACGCCGTGTAAATTGACGACCGGCGTTCATTTAGTCCCCACGGTAAGGAATCATCTTCTGGCCGGCGTCTCCACAAACTGAATCGTGCTGTAGGATACGTTCGAGACATGCCCTCCTCTCGACATAGTCCTCATGGGAGCCAATGAGCTCGGATACGAAATGACGGAACCAGAGGTAAATTTCATTCGCACGTCCTGGGGTGATTGCTCCGCGTTTCTGACCATCTGCGGCGGCGCGGACGCTCTTTTAAAAGCCGGCATCCTGGGCGGGAAGACCGTGACCGCTCCGTTCGACCTTGTTCCCAGCCTTCAACAGCAACACCCAGGTACGAGCTGGGTTGGCAAACGCTGGGAAAGAGATGGCAAAATGTGGACCAGCGGCACTAGCCTGAATGGATTAGACCTGATACGGGCGTTTTGCTTTAAGACTTGGGGGGAGAGAAATGGAGATCTGATTGACAAGATAAGCAAGATGGCTGCATGGCCTGTTAGGGATGTCGACTTCAGCGATCCTTAGAAAGCCTTTCGTTACTGTCTTCCTCTACTTTGAACTTGACTGCATCAAATAGAAATAGGAAAAGGCCGAGAATCAGTCTTGAGGTTCACCCGGGGGCCCACTATACATTACTCTCATTGTAAATCATCTGCCCCTATCTGAGAAGTTGGTTTGCTCTCCCGTACGAGAAGTGACGGACATAGAACGACAAGTATCCTGCGCGTCGTTTTATATAGGAAAACGGGGTCAGGGAACACTAGACGAATACATGTCTTTGGGTGCGGACAGCGAAAAGCAGGCCGTTGTCTTCGTCTTTTCACTGCCACAGTGCATCCCATCAACTCTGGAGTCTTGCGTTTTCCCCGCCGCTTTGACCACAAATCAAGCCTGATAACCAACAGGCAGCCAACGACTTACCAACAGAATCAGAAGACCTCCCGGCTCTGCTACTTAACAGGATAGATAGGCTACCCACTTGTCGTCGACCTCGCTGAGGCCTGTCTAAATCTGGTTATGTGGCTATCGCCAGGAAATGAGAGAGCCGATTCGCTGTTCGGCTTCACTCCGTTCACTTGATATCTGTGCCAGTCGGCAAAGAAACTTCTGGACGATGATTCAATGTAGTGGAGATTCGCTATGATAGTAGATACAATAAGGAGACCATCACTATTTGTATTTACCAAATTCGACTTTTCCTTTGTAAGAGCGACTCAGCTCGTCTGATTTAGTTTCTATGGCTACAAGCCATCTAAATCTTTAATCCTTTTTGCATGGCGGACTTCAGAAGCGGCTTGCCTAAGACTTTGGGGTAACGGCAAAATGCTTGTTGAACACATTCCCCGGATCATATTGAGCTTTCAGCTTCTGCAGTCGAGGGTAGTTCAAGCCGAACAGATCATCTGACCCCTTTGAGTCGTAGTCTACAAGGTGCGAGTTAGCATATTGATACAGCACCCTCCTGCAGCCAAGCGGGAGTAAACTAGCAGAGGGTACACTCACGGTCGTAATTGCCATAGGCCAACACAGTCCCATAGTCACCAGCTCTTTGCGCTCGGCCCGCCTTCTCGAACCACTTGTCGAAAGTCGCCGACACGTCTCGCGCCCACTGTCTGCCAACAGCATCGTTCTCGGGCTTCGTCCAGTACGGGCAGATGTTGGCGTTCATGTGCCAGCCCCTGTTGGCGAAGCTCATCTCGTCGTTGCTGGCCCGGGTGTTCATGACGTAGGGGTCAAACAGCTCGTAGAGGACCATGGAGCCCGCCGTGTCCGGGTTCTCGTCTGTGAACTTGCTGTACATCCCGAGGATCTCCTTCACGAAGTCTGGCTGCAGCGGGAGGCGGAACACGGCGCCCTTCATGCTGACGCGGTAGCCGTGGGGCCCGTGCAGCGTCTGGTTGGCGATGTGGTATGGCACTTGTTTCATGGTGTCCTGGACGGGGCCGATGTCGTACAGGGCCTTGAACGCCTTCTTGCCTTCCTCCTCGGTGCCGTCGAATATGACGGCCACAGCGAGAACCACTCGACCGCCGGCATCGGGCGGGCGCGTGAGGACGAGGCCGCCCATCCCGCGGCCCTCGAGCTTCGTCTTGCCCTTTCCATCTTTGGGTCCGACGAAAAGGTCATTGACAACAGCCACTACTTTCTCCACGATAGGAGGCGCTGGCGGGAATGCCAGTACGCCAGCCCACATGTCACCTTGCTCGAAGGCCTGGAACACAAACTCCGTCACGACGCCAAAGTTGTGCCCCGCCCCGCGCACAGCCCAGAATAGATCGGGGTTTTCCTCCTTGGACGCCCTGGTGATCTTGCCATTGGCCAAGACGATCGTGACACCCAGGAGGTTGTCGATTGTGAGCCCATGCTTGCCGGTCAGCCAGCCATACCCACCCCCGAGGGTCAGGCCGCCAACCCCGGTGTCCGAGATGGTCCCGCCAACAGTGGCAAGGCCGTGCTTGGCCAGCCCGGCGTCGACCTCGCCCCAGTTGGCGCCACCGCCCACTTTCACTGTCTTGCTGGCGGGGTCCACGGCGATGTGCCGTATTCCGCGGAGGTCGATGAGGACACCGCCGTTGGTGCTGCTCTGGCCTGCCGTGGAATGCCCGCCGCCGCGGACGGCGAGGTCGAGTTTCTCCGACGCGACAAACTGGACGACTGTTGATACTTGGGAAGCGTCCGTTGGAACGACGGCCACGCCGGCTGGCTTTTCGGCTGCTTTGGACCAGCGCTCGATGGCCTTTTCGTAGCCATCGTCTGCGGGAGCCAGGACTTTCGCATCCGTCCCGCTCAGGAGAGAGCGGAGCTTGTCGACGTCTCCGGATGTTACAATTCGAGCCATGTTTCTTTCTGACAGACTCTCTCTCGGTTTTACTGGTGTGGCTTCGTGTTGAGAAATAAGATAGATATTTGACGAGATGTCGAGATTGAAGACAGACAATGAGACGCCGTGTGGTGTATCCTCTGTGCCAGGAAGATATACCTCTGTAATTACGCTTGGTTCAACCTTTCAAGACTGTATTTGACAAATTCTTAATAATAAAGACGAGTGCAGGTCACCATTGTGGGGTCACCAGAATCGCGGATTTGAAATCGGCATTCATGCTGGAAATACAAATCCGACGAGTGCGAGACAGAGTACGGCCAGCTTTGTCTGTGTACGTCTCCGTCTCACACAATGCACACTAGACCCTTGCCTTGCGTGGTGAACCTTGGAAGTGCCCGCTCTGTAGATCATTCCTGGCCCACCCACACCATTCCGTAGAGCTGGCCACCTTGGTCCCCCACTTAAAAGAATTCTAAATCAGCGCCAAGGCGGTTTTGACGTCTGTATATACGTGTATTCTCGGACTTCGGGCATAAACGTCACCGCGCGTGTCGGCCGCGGAACCTTCCGAGGTCCGCTCTGGGCTTCATGATTGGAATCAGTAGCGTGTTCACTTCTGACAAAGAGTGGTCGGGCTTGGCGAATAGCCCCTTGGTCTTAAGTCTCCATTCTTGTAATCACGGGCCGGCAACGTTTGAAAGGCACAGGAAAAGAGACTAGCCAGTTTGTTGAATAAAACCTGTAGCCAAGAACAACTTCGTCTTCATACCCTGTGTCAATGATCGCCAGCATCCGAGAACCAGTAGTGTACAATCAAAGCTCCCCTGTCGCCTTCCGATATCCCGTTCCGGGACTGGATCCGAGTCATTTGTTGAACAACCACCTTCCGACGTGCCGCAACGTGGTTGTTCAACAAATGACTCGGATCCTCGACAAACCACGCTACCACCAGCGCAATCGCACCAAACGGAATAGTGCAGATGAAAACTACACGGAAAGCATGCGCATGAGTATCCCAAAAGTTGACTATCAAGTCACCGCTTCTATCTCAGGTGTGACACCCTGGACTCCCAAAAGTGCACCCGGCACGCCGACGGCGTTTTGGATGACAGCCGGGGTCAAACCTTCAAGACCTGTTGGCGAAAGCCCATTCGCCATTGCGGCTTCCGCAATCTTTGAGCCCAGCTGTTTGTTGATGATAGAGCTAAGAGTGATTGATGGCAAAGATGGCGTTGCCGATACTGTTGCCCGTGCTTCGGAATGTTCCGATCAGCCCGGCTGATATCCCAGGGTCCTCCTGCGGAACGGTAAGGCTCGATGAAATGTAATCGAGTGATATGATCCAGATGGAATCGCACTGCCCGAAGAGTTGGAGTGCGATCCAGGCGGCCTTATTCTGCGGCAGAACACCGGCATAGCAGGCGGTAAAGACGGTCTCGATTGTGAGCGCGAAGACGCTACAGTAAGAGGGACATCCAAGCCACAACTATAAGCGGTTGTATAAACTCTATAACGTCGGGTGGGGCGCATTGTACATAAGGCGGGGGAGGGGGGGGGCCTACCAGGTGGGTTGGCATTTGTCAAGTTGGCAACGGGTGGGTCACCGTGATAGGTGGCACATTGAAAAGCAGCAGGACAGATCAGCTGGCTATTTGTGACCCGCCATCCCTCAGGCTCAAAAATAGTGGAACACATGAGTCGGACAAGGCTAACATTGTTGAACGTCCTCAGACTCCCCAATCGCCTCTGCGCCGCGAATGTCGACTCCATAACACTATGACCTTGGCCATACAAGGGACAGACCAGACCAACAGGCTGGTAACGGCATTAAAATCCTTCCAGGCTCGGGGCACCCCTTGACCCCGTGACACTCGGGGACGATACTCTGGAATGTGCGGTGATCGGCCAAGCTTCTTCCCAGTCTAGTATATTGTCTGTCCCGAGGATAGCGTCTTCCCTTACAACGGCACTTTCGTATAAACGCGTTAGTACACGCCGCGAGAAGTCGTGTTGGCTCAGTGGTGCTTTCGCTGCGTTCAGCGAAATAGGTGGCTAGCAAATGTGCGACGTCTAAGTCACCAAACTCCCCAAAGTCAGTAGGACTGTAAGAATTGCATTGCCCTCGGGGTACACCCTCAAGGTGCTGAGCCAGACAGCGCAGTTTCGACGACACAGCAGGAGGCCCTTGGAAAGATTAGCATTCTTGTCCGTGCCTGTGAATCGTATTGGCATGGAGGTGCTTACATGCCCACACTGAGGTGTCGCGGAGGACCTCCGCATTGGCCTCGAGAGGGAATATTGTGAGGTCATCGACCGCCTTTATTTGCACGGCCTCCACCTCTGAAGCCGCTTCCCTCTCGAGCAGGTCAGGAGTCGTTTGAGGATCTGGCACCGGGATGAGGGAGCGCCTAGTTTGAAGATACCAACACAGGAGGAGTCCTGTCATGAGGCATTAGAATTGGTCATCGCGTAAGGGCCTCAAGATGAAGCAAAGACTGTCATATCGTATAGCAAAGAAAAGGGTAAAGAAAACCACATACCTTCTTCGCAGACCGGCGTGGTAGTCAGAGGCGCGAATCGATACGGTCCGACACCCTGCAGGTATTTCAACCCCTGACGGCAATCCCCTCTCAAAGCCTCCGCCGCACGAGTGAGTGCTTTTCCCAAGGTGGCTGAATCTGCGGGTTCTTTGAAGGCCTTTTGAGGCACTGCCAACTGGTTCAAGTTCTCTGGGGCGCATAGTAGGCTCTTCATGGCGGTCAGTTGGTGGTGCCCATACAAATGATAGTACACCGAGTCCAATAGAGACTTGGCAGAATGTATCAACGGTGTATTCATGGGCCGGTGCATGGCATCCCTGGCTGCTCGGATGCGCCACATCTTGTCCTGGACCTCCACTGGCTTCACAATCTCATTGAAAAAGCTCTCGTAAAGGTTCTGGTGCTGAGAGCTGGCGAGAGTCTCGAACGAGCAGATGTGGTCCAGCACGGCGGAGACGAGGCTGAGGAATCCAAAATCCCCGATTTTCCGGGCTGGTGTCTGGCCCGCAATGATCTTTTTAAGCGTGTCGTGAAAGTCGGCCGGGTCCGTATGTTCCTGCCATGCAGACTCATCCTCCTGGCTTTGCCATGTAGCCGTGATCGCGGGTAGGGAGAATTTGCAGTCTGAGCTAGGCAGAGTAAAATACCTCTTTCCAGACGTCGAGTTCACTGCGGCGCCGAGGACAATACTACCGACCACGCACCTGGGAATATTTTAGGGCTGATCAATTGGGGAAAGGAAAAGAGTCGTGGAACCTGTTTACGCTCTCCCTACACACCCAATCTTGGTAAGTTGTTCCTATGAGTGATTTCATGGCTTCAACTGATTCTTGTGCCATCTGTGAATGTGCGTGTCAGCCAGGACAAAGTAAGCGGCACTTGAAGTACTCAAAGTGTTTCAAAATTCTGTTCGAGGAGCCCCTCCGTCATACCTTTGTAGTGGAGGAAACTATGCTGGCCACCCTTGGTGGTGTTATCCACTCTGCAGCGCAGTTTTCAAACAATCCCATTGAAATATTTGTCTGCAGCGGCCAGAGTTCAAATGGTCCGTCTTTTTGCCAATGCTAACAGTTGGGTCAGCTCAACAGAGATGATCATAGCCATGCCTTAGATTTGAATAACTTGTTCCAACCCGGGCGAAAAACGATCTCTCCTATGAATTTGGCCCCCGGATTGTATTTTCTCTCAACGTCAATTGGAGTATAGTAAGATCGAAAAACATCTTACATGAGATGACAGCTTCAACGTGATGGGGTGCATTTTTGTAGCGGGCTGCTGCTCGCTCAAATGCATGGCGCCACACGCCATCATCTCCAGCAACAGCGGTGCTATATTCAAGCTGGTGTCGGCTCTCACTCGGTCTCGTCATGGGGGTACACGTACAAGACACAGTGGCAGCGTTTAGCGTAGGGCCATGTAAAATTGGCAGCTGTGGGTCCATGTATTCGTAGTATGCCTTCACATAACGGATCGCTGCATGTCTCGAGGGGAATCGGAAGTGCAGCAGCTTCTTGTCTGGGTCATACGAGGCCAGATTTGCTTGTACTTTTTTAATATCCGGCATTGTCGAAACCGAATATGCTCTTCTTCTCTTCCCGCATTTGTTCCGAGGAGAGGGGAGGCCCCACGCTCAGGGTTTGAAGATTAGTACCTGGCGTGTGACCGGACAAAGCACCGGACGTAATATCTGGGACTGATGCCAACAGCATATCCCATAGATCCGAGTTGGTCGGGTCACTCGGGGGGAATATATCAACAACCAGGTCCTCCCGCAAGCTTGGCTCCGGAAGAGGCGTGATTCCACTTCTGAAGAGGCCAAGATCAGGGAAGTGGATACCTGAGTCCGAGAAGACAGGACAAAGCTCATTACCAGCCTCTGGTGGGTGCCTCTGTATCAACCCAGTCTGCGTACTGCCACCATCCTGTGACACTGGCGTCGAGGACGGGCTACCGATAGTCTGCGCCGTGTCGCCGTCTGCATTGGCCGGAGTCGGTGGTCCATCGCCGGCCCGGTTCGGCACCATGCCCGGGTGGAAGTTCCTGGTGTGACGGACAATGACGTCTTTTCTAGACGAAGAGAGTGAGCAGTATGCACACGAGTAAGGCTTCTCGCCTTGGTCTACCACCGGAGAGATCAGCTGCAAGTTTTGGGGGCATGCCAGGTGGGCTCGGAACATACGTGCTCGCTGATGGCGTCTCAAGTGGGCGGCACGGTTGAAGGCTGCGTTGCACTCGGTACAGGAGAAGGCCGTCTTGTGACGTTTCTTTGGTCTCGTTTGGACTGTGATGGATGCTTGCGGTTGGGACTCGGGAGGCGAGGCCGTCGCCATTTCTGCATGTAGGCTCCGTCAAGAGTAGAGCTACACTGACCGCACCGTAAGCTTTGGGTGGTCCCTGAGGTGTCGTGTTGTCCTTCAAGATACCAGCCGCAGGTGCTGAGCATATCCATCCCACAACATTGGGCAAGTTGTCATGGGGTCGCTGTTGTGGTCAAAATCCCATCTCCGTACACTTTCACGGGCTTTTCTTGAGTTTCAAGCTTGGGTCAGAGGAATGCGGGGAAGAAAGGGTAGAGCATAACAATTATATCCATAATGATGGAGAACGGGAATATCCATGAAGGCGTACGTCGTCAATTGGCGCCGCGTCACACTAGCCGTCGGCCTCCTCCTCGGAAACCTTGAGAATCCGCGGTACACCCCTGGTCGCAGGAACACAAGCATTCAGGCGGGGCATATAAAGGAATCAGTCTTCCCAGTGCGTTTCCGGGAGTTAAACCACACCAAGACGAGAACGCCGCGGCCGCTTATCGATCCGCCAGCTTACCCTTGGAATCACTCTCAGAGCCACTGGGCTGAGACTCGGGTAGCGAAAGAGTACAGACTACGATCCTTGCCGTATAACAGCCTTCTGGGAGCACTGACTCCAGGATTTGTCACTGGTGAGCGTGTCTGGACACATCGTATTCGACTGTCCAAGCAGACATGGCTTCAGGATCACAAGATCCAGGGAACCGCCTTCTACCCGGCGGCGGGGTTCATCGCCTCAGCCATCGAAGCTGCTCTCTTGTGCGCGGATGCTTCCCGGAAAGTGGCAGGCTTCTGTCTGCGAGATGTCCGTCTGAGCGCCACGCTGGGCATCGACGAGGGCGAGGAAGTCGAGTCCTCCGTCTCTCTGCGACCATGTCTGTCTGAAGCTCATAACACCCAGGAGACATCAGTGTGGGATGAACTTAACATCGCAAGCTGTCGAGGTGAAGGAGCACTGGTTCGACACTGCTCTGGCCTCGTAGTGGTCGAATACGACTCGCCCATCGCCGGTCAAGTCCAAGAGCAGTTGATGATCGCCAATGGAAAGATGAGTGATGTCAAAACGTCTACGGTAGACGATGACATCTTTTACAAATCACGATCAGATGTTGGTTTCCACTACGGACCTACCTTACAGAACGCCAAGGACATCCGGACTGCTGGAGGCCGCGGCTACGGTACCATCGTCACACCGGATTTGGGGCTGGACGTGACACCCAGGCCACACATCATTCACCCTACATCGCTGGATGCCATCTTCCACTTGATTTTCGGAGCCCTCACAGGGAGCCAGGATGGGATGACGCAACTGATGGTGCCAAAGACTATCAACGAGGTTGTTGTAACAGCCGACAGCCCCTGCAACGCCGGTGCACAGCTGAAAGGATTCTCGGATATCACCAGCCGTGGCTTCAGGGAGGTAATCGACGAATTGGTCATTGGCGATGGCAGTACGAACACTCCAGCCGTCAAGATATCAAGCCTGTGCCTGCAGGAGGTTGGGGGTCATGCTGAAAGCCTCGATTCCCAGTCTGCTCGGAACGTTTGCAGCTCACTTGTTTGGAAGCCCTCCCTCAAGTTTCTACCGCCCAACGACCAGGAAAGAGTCATAAAGGAGTCTTGTGCAAAGACGTGTGTCGACCTCGAGACGACTAACGAAGCTGGAACTTCGGGACAGACGTATCAAGCCCTCTCGGAGCTGATCAAACTGTTGCACCATTCCAAGCCAAGGTTGTCAATTTCCGAGGCTTTCAACCTGAGCACAGTTCGGCCGATTCTTTCTCATCTGCCCGGTCTTGTCGACGTCTTCAAGACAGCCGATTGCAGAATCTGGTGCGCCGATGAAAGTTCAAGACAAGTTGCTGAGGAAAGCAATCCTGAGTCCAAGGATATCCTGATCGAACTGCGAGATCTGACCCAGTCCATTCCTCAGTCCGAAGCACCGTTGCCGACCACCGATCTTATCATCACGAACCTCGACTCATCCAGTTCAGATGACATGGGGCGACTAGTGCGGAACGCCAGGGACTTGCTTGTGAACGATGGACGGATGTGCTTGATTGTGCCAGACAACGAATCCGATATGGTTGAGGCACGAGGAAGGTCTCTCGGTCTCTCCAACTGGTTCAAAATCAACACCTTCGAAGATGTTGAAGGTCAACAATTGGCCCTTCTCCTGGGCTCCAACTCCGACAACTTGTCCAACGGGCACTCCAGTCTTCAAGATCAGGACGAACTTGTCATCGTCCATGGAAACAGTCCATCTCAAGCGGCTGAACGCCTCTCCCATCAACTTCTGAAGTGTCTGGACGGTCATGGACGCTCCGCAGTCTCGGTGCCATGGGATGCCAACATCCAATTCTGGGCGGGAAAGCCATGTATTTCACTCCTGGAAGCGGATCGTGCTATCATGGACGACCCGACAGAGACGGACTTTGAACGGATCAAGCAGCTGATGTTGGAGACGACCAAGACTCTCTGGGTCTCGGGACACGGTGATCCGTCGAGCGCAATAGTCACCGGGCTGGCGCGCACTGTACGCAACGAGGAGCCTGGTCTGGCCTTCCACACACTGCAATTTGATCTTGCGAGCGCCCAGGATCTGAGCAGAACAGCCGAGCTCATCCTGCGTGCCTTTATGGATGGCGACGGAGATAATGAGTTCATGATTGACAACGGGGTCATACACGTCAGTCGAGTCCTCGAGGACGACGCCGCGAACGACCAGCTACATCTGTTGGATCCCCTGCATAGCAAGACCCTCAGCACCGCCGTCATTGGCGAAGCTGCCCAGCCCTTGAAGCTTTCGATTCAAAATGCTGGTATGCTCAGCTCCCTTTGCTTCGACAAGGACCTTGGTAGCGCAAGTGCCAGTCTCGAGGAGGACGAGATAGAGATTGTGGTCAAAGCATCATCAGTCAGGTGAGTTTCCTAAAATCATCGTGTACTATTACAAGTCTAATACCAAAGACAGTGCTAGGGACGTCATGACCGTCATGGGCCAGTTGCCCAGTACAGAAATTGGATTCGCAGCAGCCGGTATTGTGCTTCATTCAGGATCCGGCGTGGGACAATTCAGTACTGGCGATGGAGTTCTTGTGTGCCATCCCGGAGCAATTTGCACGGCTCTCACAGTCAAAGCGGACAGTTGTGTGCTTTTGCCGGAAGGCGTGACTTTCGACGAAGCCGCGATGATGCCACTCACTCACTGCACCGCATGGTATGCTCTAATGGAGCGAGCACTGGCGCAGAAAGGAAGTCATGGCCACCGTCGAATCCGATGCTATGAGGAAGGTCCTCTGCACCACCTACGGGATCCCTGACAAGAACATCTTCGATGTGAAGGACTCCGGCCTTGCTTCCAGCATAAAGCGGATGACCAAGGGGCTTGGTGTTGACATAGTCCTCAACTCGGTTGCTGGCGAAGCGATGCGGCAGGCCGGGCAATGTCTTTCACCCTGGGGCACTTTCATCGATATCGGCGCCAACAACACGCCAGAGAAGCCTGTCTTCGACATGGGGTCGTTCCCCCGGAATGGTACATTTACGACGGTCGACTTTCAAGGACTTCCCAAAGCTAGGCCCAACGTCATGGCTGACATCCTGCGACATGTTTTTTGAATTCTTGGGTAAGGGAGATGTTGAGAAACGCGTCGCTCATCTCCCCGTCTTCCCAGCCTCCCAGGTCGAGAGCGCGTTTAAGGCATGACAAATACCCTGCGCGACTTCGAAAGCCCATACGGTCGTGATGAGAACGAGCTCCTCAACCTCATGAAGATGGCAATCGCCGGCAGCGAGTCCGGCGCCGCGGCGCCGCAAATGCTGGCCGGTCTCGCAACCGGGGTCAGTGCCACCGCCGCCGGCGTCGACGCGTGGCACCTCAGCGACCCCAAGTTCGCCATCATGGCCAAGATCGGGGCCAGGCACGCGGCGGCTGGGAAGAGCCAGGAGCAGGAGACGAGCGTGCACGCGCAGCTGCTCGCGGCCAAGACCCCGGCGGAGGCCGCGGGCATCGTGTTGCAGGGCCTGGCGATCCGCGTGGCTGATGTTTTGCATACGGATCCTTCGGAGATCGATGAGCATCGGTTCTTGCATACGTCCGGCATAGACTCTCTGGTCTCTATTCAGATTGTGGATTGGGCCCTGAAGTCGTGCGAGTCGCGGATCACGGTGCTGGATGTCATGGCTGCGGTGCCCATCAATGAAACGGCGCGGAAGATCGCTGCGAAGTCGTCGATCACACCAAAGGATGTTGAGCAGAATTGATCAACAGAGGGTTTGTCAACATGTAGTGCGGGGTGTTGTTGAGGAAGAGGGTGTATGAAACATTAGATTGCACTGTCCAACGCCATGTTAGATCGTTATGAGGCTTTCAACTGCTGGTCATTCCACTGGGCACGAATACATCAGAGACTGTAAATGAGTTTAAACGGAAGCATTCTTGCTTGATTTAGAGGCCGTCAAATTGTCATATTTCTTTCATCAAACCCCTGGTGAATCTGGCCGTTTTTGCGCATGGCTTGATGTACGATAACAGCAATTTACTTTCAATCCGTACATCTACCAAAAGAGTGTCTTGTTGCCCCTGTCATCAGATGAAGATCACACAAAAGTCCGACCACCCCCTACGATTCGCCATTCTGCACTACCAACAGCTCGTCCCGTGACAGAATCCGGTCCAAAACCCTTGAAAGCTTACTTTCACAGTCGGGGACCATCTTCGCCGATCGCCACGCCACAAACCTGTCCGGCCGAACAAGCACGCATCCATCATCTTCGACCTCCCGTCTGGTATACCACTCGCGATAAACATCGTGGTAGTCAAGGCCAAACCCTATGCCATAGCTGTTGATTGGTATGCCCGTGCTCTGAGAAATTTTGTCCGCGGCTCTTTTCCAGGCATCCCCGCCATGTCCAGTCAGGAGGCAGAACGAGCCCTTGCCAGCTATGTCTTGGGTGGAGATCTTCTTCCTTCGTGTTGACCAGTGGTCCAGCCATGCGTGCGGAAGACGAGTGCCCGGGTATGTGCTGACTTGAATCTGGACCAAGCGGTTTCCTTCGAGCGGTGGTCTCGGCTGGCTCTCGTCGTCCAGATAGACAGCGTTGGATATGTACCATTGGTTCATGGTAGCACCCAGGCTCTCAGCTTCTTGCCTCATCCCTTCCAAAGCGGCATGCAACTTTGCCCTACCAGCTGCGCCTTCCGGTGTCCCACTGGACAGGTTGTTGATGTACTGCATCCCTTCTTCTGGTGTCGGAGCAAACATACCGAGTGCTTCCCAGACGCCGGCATGCAGGTCAACCCCGTAGTTGGCATCCCTGACGACGTTTGCCCCAACAGGCTGTCTCTCAGCGTCGTAGGAATCCAAGAGTCCCCTTCCCGCCAGACCCCTTGAGACGTAGGCAACCTTCCATCCGAGATTGTACGCATCCTGAATGCAGGTGTTGCTTCCAAGTCCGAATGCTGGCGGATGGCGATGAGCGGCATCTCCGAGCAGAAAAGCGCTTTGTTCCTTGGAGAATTTGATCGCAACGCTGTCTCGCAAGACCCACGGATCAATCCTCAGAACTTCAACATCCACGGAATCGTCTCCAATGAGTTCTCTGATGAAGTCTATGAGTTCTTTGCTCTTCGGGGTCAAGTCTCTGAACGGATCTTCGGTCGCTCCTGGCGTGAAGGCGACCAACATCCACTGTTTCCACGGCCTGATCATTCGGAGGGTTGGGCCTATTCCAAATCTTGTCTTCAAATCTGGCTTCATTATCCAGTGTAGGTCTGCCTGTCGCGCTGGGTGCATGACATGGTCGAGGTCGGCATTTATGACAACGTTGCACGCAACACCCCCGCCCGCATTGTTGGTGAATTCGAAGTTCAACGAGCGAGCCACAACACTTCGCCCCCCATCGGCACCGAAGATGTACTTGGCGCGTATTTCGAATGTGCTCTTGCAAACCAAGTCCTGGATCTCGCAGGCCCAGACATCAGATGACCGTTTGACGCCAATGAGCTTGGTGGAAAAGCGCATCTCGAAGCCGTGGTGCGAAGCATACTTGACCAGCATGGGGTCCAGGTAACTCTGGGGAAGATCTGTCCACTCGCAGGGTGAGGCAATATTTTGATCCCTCTAGGCCCAATTGGTAAGCACATGGCTGATGGGGCAGTGATTTGGCCATGCATACCATTGTGTCCGGGTGTGCGCCCCAGTAATAGAGTCTCCCATATTCCTCGCCGACCATGCTGCGACACCATCGCATAGCCTGAATGGCTTGGCCCCTCGTGGCTTGTCTCAAAGCATCATCTTCCAATCCAAGCTCCCGCAGACATTCTAAAGATCGGTTAACAAGGGCTATGTGAATGGGATGAATCACATACCCATCCCGAATGGGTTGAATACATGTGCTCTTGGCGTATCCGCCGTGCATGGGGCACTCGATATGACCAACCCCTTTAGGCCTTTCAACGAAGATTAGCTTGATAGGCACTTCATTTCGTTCTTGGCCATGTCCCGTCTTACCATTCTGACCGAGAAAAGCCCCAAGGGCGGCGCCCGCCGGTCCAGATCCGACCACCAGAAAATCGGTGTCCGTTACAGCACTCATCATAGCAGTTTTTGGAGCAGCACAATTCATCAAAAGCTACACAGCAATGAATCTCGCATCTATAGGGATAGCTAAGAGGCCGAATTATATACCATCCAAACTGGAAACGGCACTTGAAGTGGTGATAAGCTGACATCAGCACTACCTAAGGAGGTGAAACTTAGAAAGCTGAAGGCCATGGAGAAATAAAGCTTGAAACCACCCCAACTAGCTTTTCAATCTGTGTAGCATTCGATTGACATGTGAGAGGAGAAAGCTTTAACCCCGTTTGCCAAAAAGATTACTCCCTAAAACGCACCAGGTTCCATCAAACACATCGTAGGGATTCCAAACAAGTAACCAAAAAGTTCCATTTTGACGCCAAGGCTCACCGTGAGAAAACAGATCGCATTCACCAGATCATCGACAAACCCATGTTCTCATTCAATAATATTGACAAGCACCTAGAACGGAGAGCTCTCTTCGGAGCACGCAATTCAGTTAGGATATTCTTTGAGTTCATCAACATTGACAATCTTTCCATCCTGCAAGAAGGTGGTCTCCCATCCGATCTGGCACTCAGCCCTGGACGTATCAGTCCAGCCTTCCTCGAACTTGACCACCTTGCCCTGCCAATCAGGATCAGTGAGCATCGCCCTCAACCGATCTGGGGTCGCCCAGTAGGAGGATGTGACATCGTGTTGGGCCATTTTCCAACCAGGAAGCCAGCCCTTCAGGTTGTCTAAATCAGCCTGGAAAAAGGCCCGCAATGAAGCTGGTGTGACGAACTGGTCGGATCATAGTTTCAGTGCACATCATTCAATCGAGTGTCAGAGCGTGAGCCAATACGTACGAGATTGTAGTGCGTGATGCCATGCTTCTGGATCATCTTGATCATCCTGGAAATTTGTTCCTCCTGGTACCACTTGGCAAATGCCTGCTCATCGACACCCTGTGCCCGGAAATGATGGGCGGAGAACTTGAGCAACTGCGTGGGCTGTGCCTGCTGGCTGGCTTATTCGGTCTTTTTTGCTCTTTTGTGGGCTGTCCGTTCGGATCTTGTCGCGCTAAGCTAACAGAAACTCGTGTTCATGACAATACAAGGGTGATTGAGTGACGTTTTGCTGGGCTGTCTTGAGATCGGGATTTCGTCCTCTTATACCCAGCCTGTCGGGCCTATTTGTCTCCCCTTTTTCTCCTTGTTCCCTTTCCGGAACGTAGTATGTGCTGTCTGACACTGTGACCATCATCCAACAGGAACCAACAAACTCGTCCTGTTTCGCAACCAACATGCAGAAGTGGATTGCGGTCCGGTGCCTGTTGGTTGCCCAGCGAATGGTCAACTTCCTTTACGAGGTGCTTTGCCTCTAACTAGCAGGTGGGGCAGACCAATACTGGGGGCCAATGCAGCACTGTTTAACAAGGGTGTAGATGTGCAGGCGTCAGCCCACAAGGCTTTGAAGCCAGACACTTACAGGACATATTCATTTCTTTCCCTCACATGTCACGATGTCTCTCGATTTACTACTCCATGACAGATGCCTGGTCTCTCATGAACGACTTCTGCTAGACACACACATGGATGATTCTAGCCTTGAGTCTCTCTGCAGCGTATGCAGAGCGGTGGACTGGCCCAATGCCACGAATTGGGACGCCATCAAGCCCCCACCTATGTTTTCTCACCATTTACATGAAAGACATATACTTCTCTTCGGAAAATCGTCCCGTGCGCAGCTTCTCGCATCTCCGTTGTCGCGTCTGCCGCCTGATCGGGCATCTTGTTAACCCAGGCCTGGACAGCGGGCTCATTACCACATACTGCTTGAAGGCACACAAACCGTTTGGCGAGAGCTTCGGCAATGGAGAGAGGTCTAAAATTGTTATATTGGTGGTCCAGTCTCCTACAACTGGATTTACGGTGTTACCGGGCAAGAACCGCGACTATACCAAGTGTCTCTTGGCACATAACTTTGTCAAAACTCCGTACTGGATGCGATTATTACAACCGTCTCCCATCGATTTCGAATTCTTCAAGAAAAAACTTCAGCTATGCAAGGAAGGTCACGAAGAGTGCCGCCGGTCTACGACAAGTGAAGCCACGGAGCTCTATGTCATCGATCTAGTCACGGAGGAAATGGTTCCCGCTAGACCAGGTTGGGAGTATATTGCTCTATCATATGTCTGGGGTCAGGAACCTTCTCATGGACATGAGAAGAAATTTCCATCGCTTTTTCAGGATGCCATGTTTGTCACGAACGCTCTCGGCTTCCGGTACTTATGAGTTGATCGATACGTGAGTTCCAGGCAAGTCATCCACAGTAGGGTGGTAGTGGCTCACACACATTAGTGCATCCTCCAAGACTCTTCGCACAAGCAATCTATGATACAGCAAATGGATCGGGTGTACGCTAACTCCGTTGTCACAATTATCGCAGCCTGCGGCAGCGGCGCCGACGAGGGCCTGCGAGGTATCAGTGGCCCGCCTCGTTATCATGGTCGCGTCACGATTGGCGAAACTAGTTTATCCTCATGGTCGGTGGGGGGCCAAGTCACGATCGACTTGGCTTCCGTTACTGGGACGATCCCGGTGCAGTTAAGGCTTATATCGTTGAGGGCACTGGTGGGCAGTTTACGGCCTTTCTGTATGTCTGGGCGTTCTCTGGCTTCTCCTTCTACTTCGGACCGGAGCTCATCGTTCATACTGCTGGCGAGATGATCAACCCGCGCAAGAACCTCCCAACCGCAGCCCGACGCTTGTTCTACCGACTCATCATATTTTATGCCCTGGGAGCCCTGGCAATCGGGGCTATTTGTGATTCGGAAGACCCGAGCCTGACGTCCGGCACCGGCGACGCGAACGCATCTCCGTGGGTCATCGCTATCAGGAACGCCGGCATCACTGCCTTGCCATCGATTATTAATGCTGGTATCCTCATCAGTGCCTGGTCCGCCGGCAATTCCTATCTCTACATGTCGAGCCGCTCGTTATACTCCCTCGCCGTATCCGGGAACGCGCCGAAGATCTTCACACGGTGTCTCAGGAATGGACTGCCAATCTATGCTGTCCTCGCTAGCAGCCTGTTTGCGCTGCTCGCCTATCTGAACTGCAGTTCCCAGGCCGGCGAGGTGTTCAACTGGTTCATCAGCCTTACGAACACGGCCGGGTTTACTTCTTGGGCCGTCTGCTGCGTTACCTTCATTCCCTTCCGCAAAGGATGCCTCGCTCAGGGGGTCAGCGTTCCCTACGGCTCACGCTTCCAACCGTACGCTGCGTATATCTGTCCCCCGATTTTCATCTTCCTGCTGCTCTGCAATGGGTTCACGGTGTTCTATCCTGGGCAGTTCACCGTTAGCGGGTTCTTGACGACGTACCTGGGCATCCCGATCTTCCTCGTCCTCTGGTTGGGGCATAAGTTGATCGTGGCGAGGATTGAACCTTGGCTCTACAAGGCTGATTCAGTCGACTTGAGCAGTGGTGTGGCGGAAGTCGAGGCTGACTCTGCAGAGTGGACTAGGATGGAGGAAATGAAGCAGTCCCGGGAGGGTACAACGGCTGCCAAGGAATGGTTCAAGAAGGTGTCTGTCATCTGGGGATAGTATAGCTATGTTCCACCGAGTGGGGATATTATGTGTAGAAAAAACAACATGCAGCCGCTCTGCAAAGCAAAGCACGACTGAATTTTACATGTGACCCGGCCTAGTGCAGACAGGTCGTTGCATCGTCTATGGGTACAAACATGGCAGCCATGGCTTGCGTTTGCGCGTACATGGCTTCCCCACAAGGAACCCGGTAAGGATGTCGTCTGGCAGGGGTGTGGCCTGCAGTCTAGCTCTCATCCTGGGGAAGGCACGCTGAAGCAGCTCGTGGCATTCAATTTCCATGGGTAAGAAATGGCGAAAAATTGGGTATGACCTTGATTGAACGGGAAATAAGAAGTCGAGAAACACCTTGGGTGGTTTTCTGACCTCTTCTCATGAAGGCAGCGACGGCCCACACCTGCGAGAAGCTTGATGCAGCTTAGCTTTGGGAGGTGCGAGGGAGGCCTGAGAGGGCGGCGTCTAGAGCGGTCCTTCCCAGTCTTAGGAGCTATTATTACATCATGGAGCCGGCACCCACTGCAAAACCAGCATCCAACGAAACGAAAGAGACACGACCAACCTGGAATGTGTCCCCATTCCCTCGACACCCTGGCCGTCCTATGAATCTCTCACCTAGAAACGACCTCTACTATAAGGACCCGTTGTCACCGCATTACGACCTGCATACTTTCACGCCAGCACAGTACCATAGTAGCGTGGCCGTGTGACCGAAGCTATGGACTTGGGGCAATTTCTCTAAACGCCCCTAACTCGGCACTGGTGCGGTGCGGCTGGGTTGAAGCCGTCCATCCAAACAATCGACGCCTCAAAGGCCCAGACCTGGCATCCAGGCGGGCCCTGAAGTCCCATCGATAGCGCTGGTTCGTCTCCGCTCAGCCACCCGGCCTACACCACTCGATATACTGTACCTGGGCCGACCTCTTAAGCTGGGCTCCTTTCTCCTGTCCGTCATGCTTCGGGTCGACCTCTGGCCATGCGAAAGCCCTCGACAGCGCATCGCTCGCGCCGAGCCCCGCCCCTGAAAGACAGTGACTATGATCACGAGATCAACCTTGTCGACCATGCAGCTGAGGCCGTGACGCCGCAGGCCCTGTCCCCAGAGCCGGGACAGCAGCCAGCATCTGATACACCCCCACAGCCACAGCCAGAGCCAGCGGCAGAGCAGGAGCCAGAGCCAGAAGGAAACTCTGGCGAGGGTCCGTCCTCATCGCAGAGAGCCTCGGCACGGAATCGCTCGATACGACGCGGCACGAGTAGCGCCTCTGGGACATCCAGGCGTTCCAAGGAAGTCTCCAAGAAGGCAGATTCGCAGGAAAGCTTGGCTGGTGATGCAGCCGTTCCTCAGGTCGAAGTTACAGGTGAGAATCTACACAAATCGACGCGCATTGTTGTGCGTCATGGAGCTTCTCAGATTTCTGATCGGCAACAGAACCTACACCACTAGACGGGCCACGTCTTCCACAACCAGATGCAAACGGCACCCAACGCCGCAAACCCACCCCTGAGACCGCCATCGACATACTATACGAGAATGAAAGAGGGGGCATGTTCTGTGGGATTCCCCTATTCTCTCCCAAGGCCCTCGGCCAGCTGGATCCGCCCAACTGGACCAACTTCGCCCACAAGCCCAGCCCGACCAGCATTCACACAGCCCAGGTCCCGGACCCAAGCTGGGTGTGGTCATGGCCAGAATGGCACATCAACAAGGACGAAGGCGTCGACGAGAACGGCTGGGAGTACAGCTTCATGTTTGCCAAGATGTTTTCCTGGCACCTGCCTAGGTGGTACAACTCATGCGTACGCCGGCGGGCTTGGACGCGCCAGAGGATAAAGAGGGACCCGGAGTCGAACGACCCTCACATGCTGAATACCGAGTATTTTACCGTCAGGCGGAGCGTGGAGACGGACCGCAGCGGTGGCAAGGCCAGCAGCCGTCACAGCCGCCAGAGCACAAGCATCTCGTCGTGGGTGTCGGCCGAGGCTGGGGAAAAGCCCGACATCGAGGACATTGACACCCTGATGGCCATACTCACCCGGTCACGGATCGACCGCGAGAAGATCGAGGCGGTGGAGAACTTTCTGCAGCACGGAGAGGATGAGCTTCTCCATCTTCAGCACAGGATGCACGACATTATGGCAATTTTTGTTTTTCAGGCCTCGAGGAGAGTGCTGCTGTCCAAGCTGAACGACGTCTTTGAGGAGACGCAGCAGGCACTGAAGGAGAACGACACAGGGAAGCTGCAGCGGAGAAGTAACAATTTGAAGGGCGCGATACGGCATGCGGACGAGGAGTGCAGGCGGCTGGAGTACTGGAGCGACGTCAAGAAGCTTGTCAGAGAGGGGAAAACGACGACGGCGACAGACAAGTGTGAAGGATGGACCGAGGACTGGCGCGGCGTGGACCAGAGTGGGCCTTGTGAGCCGCGGGGAACCACATGAAAATACTTGACAAAAGCGATACAAATAAATGACTACCAAACCGGCATTAAGAGTTCAGTTTGAATATGACGAGAACAAAATAGTTCAGGCTAGCCAGTCGATCCAGTCCTCCTGGTCCCCGGCCATTTATCGCGGTGGTTATCGATAAGATAACGGTCCGGGGTACGATTGGCGCCGAAAAATCTCAGTCGGATCGCAGTCGGCCTGCACCTCCAAATCCCTCGTCGGCCTCGACTTTGGCGACCAACAATCAACGCTCTGCGCCTCCTGCCACCCGGACTTGGCGCGTACCACGATAACCACACAGAATGATACCTTCATAGCAAATGTCCCTGGGGATCACTGCACTATGGAGGGCTCGACCCCAGCGACGGGTCGGCCTTCTGATTCCCAGGGAGCCTCTCCTCGTCCTGCGCCCGCCCTACATCCGCCCTCCTGCCACGAGCTCTTTATTTTCCACTCGCGCACCCCTCAGATTTCCCGACACAGCCAAGGAGGAGGAGGTTGAAATGCAACAGGATAATGCGACCGAACCCTGCGAGCCTCCCCCGGTGCGGCCGGCAGAAGTTGTCGGCCAGGGCGAAGAGGCAAAAGAGCTCAGGGCCTGGCTCTCCAAAGCGCCCAAGAGGGAGAGAAAGAAGACCAAGGGGCCCAAGACCAATCCGGATGACCTCGAGGAGTCTCTGGAACGCAGCAAAAGCGCCAAGTCCGTCTTTGTCAAACCCGCCCGGACATACCCAAACAAGAGAGAGTCGCGCAGGAGCTTAAGGGCTCACCAGGAGAGCATCTCGACCCAGGTCTATTTCGACCGAAATTTCCAGAATCTCTTGCAGGAAGAATCACACTTAATCCAGACGCCACCGACTGGCGCCACGTGCTGTCTCTATTGGCATCTAAAACACCCGAGGAGTCTGTACAATGGATCGACGATGGGATGAAGATTGAGCTACCCGAGCGCAAGCTCGCGGCTATCATGGACGACGGTGGCGACGAGAAGATAGGGGCCATCAGAAGGCGAAACGGGGGCTTCTATCAAAGTATCCAGGGCCGACACCCCGACCGCCTCATCGACTCTGTTGATCTCTGGGACGCGGGCTGGCATCAATCGCGCGACCGCCGAGTTCAGGAGAATCGCGGGTAGGATCACAATCACCCGTCTATGGTCACCGCTTGGTCCTGGTGAGGCAAGGACCGAGTCTTTTAGCGACGAAGACTTCTTTGTGCCACCCTTGACCAGGGAAGAGGGCGGCCCTTGGCAGCGATTCAAAGTTGATCACAACGCGTACACCACACCGTGGCCAACGCACATATCTTTCAGCTCGTTCGAGCGGTACGTGGCATCGCTTACGGATTCTGTCATGTACCCACACCTCAACTCTGTTCTCTACAATCCTACGAGGCACGCAGTCATCCTTGACCACGAGCGTGCAGTTGCGCGGCGACTTAAGCGTGCTTTCATGAACTACGAGGCACGGCCGTGGATTTCGTGCTCCGCACTTAAGCTCGCGCTGTCATTTCTCTCCCGGAAAGGTGACAAGTATCTTCCAGAAGCGCGGAGCATCTTCGTTACGATGGACCGATTCGGCCTACGGATGGATGCAGACGTTTTCAACATGATGTTGAGGGCGGCGACAACAACACGCCATCTGCGGCAGTTCCGACAGGTCGTGCTCCTCATGACCAAGAAGGGGTTCGCCCCCAATCTCGATACGTGGATCCTCTTCCTGCGGATGTTCCAGTCTGTCGAGGTTAAAAGCTACGTCCTCCAAGCCATGAATTCGAAGAATCTGCTGGGGACCCCCGAAGCCATCCAACGTGTCGCGGAGGAGATGGCGCCCTTTGACACTGAGCATGCAATGAGCCAGGGCAAAGACTTGTCGGCGTTCATGGAGGAGCAGGGTGACCGGTACGGCCCTGACTGGCTCACACGCGACGCGGCGAACCAGGTACTGGACGTCCTCTGCCGCCACGGGCGGTTCCAAGATGCCTTTGAGCTGCTGGACCGCATGCACGCGCACGTGGAGTCGACTCCGGTGGAGTACAAGGCCGACCGGATCGCGCACGAACCCGACGTAATCAGCTTCAATACCATCATATCACATGCCAAGACCCAGGGGAAGATGCCGGTGGCCGTCAACGCCATACGCAAGATGAAGACAACTGCGTTTCACACCCAGGTGGATCGGGTCACCTTCGGGCTCCTCTTCGAGATGGCGTGGAAGTCGCGGCTCCGATTTTCCCTCTCGATCATCTGGAAGTACGCCTCGCTGGCCCATATGACCACATGGCGTATGCGCTATCGCGTCGCGGCCTTGATCAATGGGCAGCCAAAGAAAGAAGGCGAGGATGTAGACCACGGCATCTCAGCTTCCATATATGCACAGCTAGGAGGCGAGAGGCTAGCGCAGGACCTCGTCGGCGGCGAACAGGCCCTCGCCAAGATCAGGTCGCTCGCCGAGGGACGCAGCCGCGCCGAGCTCGGCGTCCTCGCCGCCAAGTGCTGGCCGGAGGCGTTCTGCGACTACGGCCCGAGGATCTCGCTGGGCCACGTCCTCTCGCAGGCTGTCCTGAGGGACTACTCGTGCCTCTCGAGGAAGAACAAGAGAAGTGCGGCCCACGCAGAGGAGTGGCTTAAGTTCAGCCCTAGCGCGATGCCGCTGCGGAAAAGGGTCCGGAAACAGGAGTACTGGGCTGCCGACCTCTCCCCGCTGGAGCACCAGGGGCCCGAGCCGATCAGGCCTGGGGACAAGTGGGCGCTCGACGAGACGCCGGGACATGGCAAGAGGAAGCTGAAGGTGTTGAGCATGCCCTCGAAGTCTCCCGAGAACCTACCGGCGGCCGAACGATCAGGACAGTCCCCGCGAGCAGCCGGATCCGTCCCAGACCAGGATTGTGTCGTGGGATCGCTCCCAGCGTGTGGGGATGGCCATCCTGGACCCTGAGGTCTGGGCTGACATCCGGGGCGGGTACAAGGGGCCTGAGACTGCGGAGGTTGAGGCGCCGCCCAGGCACGATATCCAGCGGCGCAACGAGAAGGACATCCTCGCCGCGCTGGGGAGGCTGGAGGTGAACTACCTGAGCTTCCGGAAGGTGGTGTCCGTCCTGGACGATGAGCAGTTTGACTGGGCTGCGGCCGAGAGGGAAAGAAATGCCCGGGATCACGCACTGGAAAGCGATTGGAGGAAGATTCTGTCTTCAGATGCTTCATTCCGTGAGTATGATGAGGTCGTTGGTGGTGATGAGGAGTTCGGTGCGGCGGGTGATGACGGCGTCGATGATGGGGTTGGACAAGGGAATCGGAGAGATGGAGAAGAAGAAGTCAAAGCAGACTCACAAGAACCTGTATAACTGTATGATTGGCCCATATATACCACCGACATGTCAACACAATATTCATCACCGCTTGAAAACATTCAATTATACGTCTGAGGTCGTCGTCTTGTTGACTGCATGTGGTATCACTGTACCCTAGGCACGAGAGAGCATGCTCCGAAAGAGAATACACCGCACGTATTTTGTCAAACGCACAGTCGTCTCGCATTAGTAAAACAGCTGTATCAATAAAAAGATACACCGTTTCCGCCACTCCCAGACGGAGCTAGTTATTAACACAAACAAGCCAACAAGGACTCGCGTGGCCTCTACGCACAACGCCCTCAACCATCAAGGCTCCCTCGTCGCCGCAGCGACAGCAGCCGCCGGCGGCCTGACCTTGGACCGGTTCCAGCCCGGCTGGCCGGAACGCTCGCGCAGGCGCTCCCCGCAGAAGACGAGGGAGAAGACAAAAATGAAAAACAGTCCCAGGCTGATCATGGCCATCGCGACGAAGGTCGTCTGCACGCCGATTGAGTCCACCATTGGGTTGATGTAGAAGGGGATCACGAAGGAGACGACGTTCTTGAGGCCGCCTATGAGGGCTAGAGCGTCGGCGCCTTGGGCGAGGTCTATCATGGGGTGTCAGGGGCGTTAAACTTTTGCTAGATCTGAAGGGAGGAGGGCAGCTTGTGGACGGGGGGCTTACAGCAGTCCACCGGGTATGTGAAGACAACGGTTGTCGAGGCCTGCATTCCGAATATGAAGATCGCGAGTCCCACGAGAGGTCTGAGGGAGGCGCAGTCAGTATGGAAGGCCTCGAGCCGGGGAACGAGGAGATTTTAGCTCACATGACATAGTGTCTCTGCTGCTGCAGCGTCACGCCAAACACGACGAGCCCGACGACGATGCACACGAGGGCCGGGTACATGGCATGGAGGCGCATCTCGGGTCGCCTCTGGCCATGGTTCCGCCACGTCAGCCGCCGCACGACAAAGTCGCTGAACGGCCCGCCGGCCAGCTCACCCAGGACGGCCCCGACCAAGGGAGCGATGTAGACGAGGTTGACGTTCGGGGCAGTGAGGTGGTAGTACCGCCGGAAGAGGATGGTGATGATAGTGCCGATGCCGACGGACCATGAGAATGTCCACGCGAACCAGAAGGCTGGGAGCCAACAGGCTGGGTATCGGAGCATGATGAGCTGGGCAAGGGGAGTGTGAGTGGAAGTTCGAGGATGGTTCAGGATCACGAGAAGGTGATGCGTACCGGTCTGAAAAAAGCAGTGGACCATTTTGGGACTTCTGCGTGTTCGAAAGGCTTGAGCCTGATGGAGAGCCTTCTCGCCTGGTGTTGTTCTTGGATGTTGCCTTCGAAATATAAGGTCTCGGGGACGAAAAAGACACTGTTCACAAGTCAGGTTCCGAGACATGAGAAAATAAACTAGTATCTACTACAGACATGTAGATCAGAATTGCACCCAATGCGATAGCAAGGTGACCAAATATCCAATACCAGTTACCCGTCCCCTGGACGATGTACGCAGCGAGAATCGGTCCCAAGAACGGTCCCAGCGTTGTCTGAAAACATGAGCAGGTTGTACGACGAGTGTATCAATACATGAGACTTACCAGTAGTGTCCACCACCCCATCTTTTCACCTCTGACTCCTCTTGGAAATATGTCTGCAACCGTGATGCCGCCGAGCGCGTGTACGGCGCTCAAGCCGAAAGCGAGGAGAACACGAGCACCAGCCATTGACCCATAGGAGCGGGCACACGCACCCCAGATGGCACCACCAAGCGCCACTGCAGTTGAAACAATGTACTATAAAACGAGATCCGTCAATAATTCTGAATTGTTAGGTGCAGCTTCGGGCTCGGGGTAGACATTACCACGGGCCTACGGCCGAGAGTCTGTGCGAATGGGTTCCATATCAGAGGACCTGCGCCGAGTACCAGCACATATATCCCCACCAGATACGATACCTCCGTGACAGACTTTCCGAACTGCGCTGACATCAAGCCGTACCTGTCTCACGGAGATCATTTAGCCATGCTTCAAGGCGTGGTCGACGCGTAGACTGTCACTTACGCGGGAACAATGAATAGACCAGCATAGGTACCAAGCCCACCTAGCAAAGAGATACACGCCAGAATACTGTGCTTCTGGAGCCAACTCCATTTCATGGGGTCATGTGGATCATGCACGACTTCTGCTGAACCATCTCGCGCCGCGAGCCCGAAGCCGTTTTCGACGAGCTCGACAGAAGTCCGTTTCTCCATGACTTCAACACCCTAAAGGATTTGGAATGTCGTAGTGACCTTAGACGCTTGTCTCCTAATCTTGCTGGTATGTTTTATGCAGAAAAGATTTGCTCTGGTTTGGTTTGGTTGTTGCAATCACTCAGCATTTGAAGGGATTTATCTTTTCGCCCCAGACCCCGGTGACTGCGTTCATCAAGGATCAACACAGAACCACAACGCCAAGTATCGCAGAGAGCACTTCACAGGTGGTATCCAAGAGCCCAATACGCTGGAAAGGATAACACGCCCGGCCATGTGGTACTCAAACTGCCGGGCCCGGCGGACATCCCGAGATGAGGGGCGACGGCGCGACGCTGCATAGTTATAAGCACTTGAGACGGCAGCGTCGACTCCTCAGGGGACTGGTACCATTGTTTCCACCTCTAATATTGCTTTTTGAGGAGATCGTAGACATCATCAGGATGCAGATCCGGATATCCCTTGCATTCGCCGCATAATAGTCGGATTACCCGCGACGACTAGGCCGGAATAACCAGTTGGGGGCTCCTTAAAAGCCTATGGAAGAGGAAGTTATATGCCCTCTCCGCTTTGAAATGCCTGCCAAGAGAGCATTAAGCGACACTGAATAGACTACAATCGTTCTGGCGTTCCAGTCTCGAAGTAAGCCATGGCCACGAACGGGAACGCAGCCCACGGTGGCAACAGTACCATTGACCCGGAGAAGTTCAAGAGGCTCTTCTTTACACCAGTGGTACCCTTCCTGCACGATGATCCGTACACGATAGATTATGATGGATACCGAAGTTTCATTCGCCGCTTCAGTACGCCTCTCCATATAATCACGGGTCGCATAGAAATTCTGACTTGATTTCCGTAGCGCAGGATGAATACCTGGAGCAAGGCATTGCCATAATCGCGAATCCTGAAGCAGGAGAGCTGTTTACTCTCGAGCGGGAGGAGAGAAGGAAAGTCCTGCAGATATGTATCGAGGAGGCAGCCGGGCGATGTCCAGTCATCGCTGGCGTTGTCCATGTGCACACCAAAGGATATATCGAGACAGCCAAAGATGCACAGGAGCTGTGAGTATAGACTTCCCAAGATTTTCCACTGGTCTCTCCTGACTCACAATCTTTTCTCAGTGGCGCCGACGGGCTCTTCATCTTTCCTCCCATCGGCGCCGGTGACATCGTCGCCATCTGGGACTCGGACAAGTACCCAGAAATCTTCAGCGACATCATCAAGGAGGTCTCAGCGGCCGTGCCCCTGCCGGTAGTCATCCACCCCGTCGGCCGCTACTCGATCCCCTTCGGCCAGGGCCTCCCCATCAAGACGGCCAAGGCGATCCTGGACGCGTGCCCCAACATCGTCGGGTGGAAGATGACGTACAACTTTGACGGGTACCGCAAGATCGCGCGCTTCCTGCAGGGGTACGAAAGGCCCGTCAACATCCTCGCTGCCGTTGGCCACTATATGCACGAGAACCACGCTGACAGGATGTTTGACGGGACGTCGTCTGGCGCGTGGAATTATGCGCTCGAGCCGATGATGGAGCACCTCAAGGCGTGGAGGAAGGGCGACTGGAAGGCTGCGACTGATCTCTGGGAGGGGGCAGGCCTCGCTGAGCTTCAGCAGTGGTAGGTCAAGATCCGCGTTCCTCTGGCATGATTATGAGGGGTGAGGTGATTGTGTACTGATTGATGACGCAGCATATTCGAGGACATCGGTCGTCTTCATGTCCGGTACAAGACGGCAGTCTGGCTCCGAGGTCTTATCAAGACGCCCGTGATGCGGCCCCCGATGCCAAAGGCCAGGCTGGCGGAGATCGAGGAGATTGCGCAGGCATTGGTTAGGGCCAACCTCCAGATCATCCCCGAGTCTGAAATCAAACAGGTAATCCAGTCTCTCAACCTTGTGCTGTAGGTATCGAGCGTGTCACGGGCACGAGCAGGAGACCGACTCCCGGGCGTTGGTCTCCATGTGGAAGGGCGCGTCGAGGCCGCACAAAGCAACAACTCGATGTCTGCAAGGCCTTGAAATGCGACACAGATTATATGATATGTTTATGCTGCCTGAGAAACGTCTTCAGATACCGGCCGTGATCACTTGTTTAATTAGCCGAACAATATTCAACCCTTAACAACCTCCAAAAACCTCATTCGGCCCGACAGAGCCTCCATTGTTATTGCAGCCACTTATGAAGCGGGCTTCCGTAACAGCCTCACCATCTGCTCCACTCGTGCAACATTTTCCCTATTGAGTCTTGTAAGCATGTGCTCTGGCTCTCACGTGACGACCGCAGACGGATCCTTACTGTTCCCGCAACTTTACCTCCAGCGGAGGTACAGATGTTTCCGCTTGGATTCAGGGATCCGTTTGACATACGACAGCCCAGGACACGCGGCTCGGCCATAGCGCCAGTCGCGCAGAGGAAGACGAATAGGGCGTTAATCTGCATGTTGATCCTGGTCGGGGAATGATTGTAGTATTTCGCGAATATGTGAGGAGAAAAACCCACTAAGTGTCCAAGCGTCCATTTGCTTCCTAAAGGCCATCCTGTATCCTTATGTACTGGCGGGTCTGATGGGACACTAGTCATGTAGGATGAAAACAGTGCACTGGTAATCGTTTACGCAGCCCCTTTTGCCCCATACGAATTAGGAGACGGTAGACCCAGCGCCGGGTGAGCCGGGATCTCTAAGGAGTAACAGGCCATTGACTTGTGGACGCGATTCAGGTAATTATTGCCAGTTGCTAAAAAGTCTTGGGGGAGCATTTCCCATTGATATCTACATAGGATGCCCTACCGCTTGGTGAGTCTTTGAATTTCACATTGCACATTATCGGTCTGGAACTCTTTGGAGCCTTTATCATGGGCTGAGACGACCACATGCAGAGGCCGTCGCGATGTTTCCCAAGCATCACAGTCCCAGGCACTTCAAGAAAAGTTAGAGATATCCCCTCAGCATGCCTTTCGACTGCGGTCGGCACCATGAACCAATGGAACGATGCATGTTTAGTGGTATTATGGCACCCGCAATGATCCACTTCTCGGGACTGTATGAACGTAAGGATGGAGTGGTTTGTTTGGTTTCGTTCCTACACGACAATGTGTCACCGACCCGCGGCGAGACTGAGAGTGTAGTGGCGTCTTCTGATTTGGTGTTTGAGACATCAGTGGGGGGGGGGGGGGGGGCAAATCGTTCAGCGCGACAGTGTCAGTATATTAAATCCACTCTTGCAGTCTCATGATCGGTGATGGCTTCCTAGTTCCGAGGTCATCAACGGTATGCACTGGAGACGGCGGAGTGCGGCCACCTGAGCATCAAACAGGCAACTCCAAGGAATTCCAATGTCTTAAATTCGAAATCAGAGCTGCACCCTAGAGTTCTGCAGTATTATACATCGACGAAGGGAGATAGTCTGAAGATTCTTATCTCTTCGTTGGCGAACTGACTCACTTGTGCATCTCCACGCTTGCACATGGTCGGTTGGCCACCTATTCCAATCTCCCAGTAAGTGCAAGAACAACATCGCAAATGTATGCATGCAGAATTACAGTTGTGAATCGGGGGGAAAAAAGAAAAGTAAAAAGAAAACCATTGTGTCAATTGTTCTCGGGGATATTACGGCCGTGTACGTTTAAGACAGACGTCTCGCAACGGAGACGGTGGTCAGGTCGTTCCTTCCCTCGACACGCCCTTGCCCTGAGGCACCACCTCAAAGCTCACACGTCACCAAGCGACGCTACCGGATTTCACCCTTCAATTCCAACTTCGACCTCAGACGCCTTTTCAATTCTGTGTCTTGCAAACTCTACTCGACGGCGATATTGCATGCATCATGGCCCTGTCATGTTCGAAGATGGCCCTCGCGGTCTCCCTCGAGTCGGCAGTTTGGGTTCCACGACCAGCCACGACGCGCTGCAGCAGCTTGGAGACCACGTGCATCCACCGCCCACGCGACACGCGCCTCTTCTGAATGCACAAATGCTTCCAATTCTGGACTCGATCAAGAACCTCCACTCGGATGTCCGTCGCTCAGGACCGGACACATCTCTCCTCTTCTCCAGGATCCACCGAGAGCATCCGTTCGTGGGCCACGTGCGGCCAAACTGTCCCACTCGCCGTCCGTCCTGGGGCTGCGACACGACACGTCCAAGCCGGATGGCCCACCGGCCTCGCCGGCCGAAGAACACCCACAACACCCGTCCCAGCGATGGCGGACTTCACAAGTCGTGCAAGAATGCCTGTCTACCACGTGCGTTGTCGTCGCGCGCTTTCGAGCAGCAGAAACGGATGCATGAAACCGTCTCGCCGTCTTGAGCTCCGTTCCGGGCCGGTTTTCAACAACTGGCGTCTAACAGGCGCCCGGCTAGCTCAATCGGTAGAGCGTGAGACTCTTAAGGAACCTCACGATTCTGGCAGAGATGCATCTCAAGGTTGTGGGTTCGACCCCCACGTCGGGCTCAATTCCCGGCGATAATCGCCTCCTTTTTTTTTCTCTTTTTACTCTTTGCTTCTCAGATGATGTCCTAGCGGAGTCACCTGCCCGATTGCACATTGTTCAGCGCGCGCGAGGGACATCTGGGGCTGGCTAGCAGGAGGCTGATTGGCAGTGTCTAGCGGAGGCTACACGTAGTGGACGGTTGTTGGTTCGGCCCCCACGTCGGGCTCAATTCCCGGCGATCATCGCCTGATTCTTTTTTTGCTTTTTTCCCCGAGACGCTTGCTGTTTCTCTTGGCGAGCCAGAAGTCAAAGCTTAGGCATTTGGACAGTAACTTTGCAGGAAATTTGCGAGTAGCTAGTGCCATGAACTTGACCCATTGGCGTCACCAGGTCAGTCGTCGGGGACCATTTTAGGCTCAATTCCCGGCGATGATCGTCGTCTCCTTTTCCAATTTTTTACTCTTCAGGCCCGGATGATGGTTGGTAAGCTCAAGTGTTCTTAAATCTTGTCCAGTGCACACCTGAGGGGAAACGCTTCTAGTAAGACTGGCTGGCCGAGGCCGAATGGTTGTGTGTGTCACGTTGTGTGTGTCACGGAAGCCGTACGTCTCCTAAACAGGCTCGACCCTTACCTGAGACAAATCCCGGCCGTTGCCATTTCTGCTCAATTTTTGCAGTATTCTGTACTCATGGGCTCTTTTTGGTGAGACAGGAACTAGAGTCCAGGCAATGAGACAACCGGGACGGGCTGGCCGAGCCTGAATTGGGGTGTCACCACATGCCTTGACAAAAAATGACAGCTGTTTTCAGGAGTTTGCAAAGGAGGTTTGCCACAGTTTTAGCCGTCGGGCATCACAAGCCCAGTCACTGTGGACACATGCTTGGGGAACGGCACTCAATGCTCCAGCTTGCTGCGCTGCTCTACAGGATCCTGAAGTTCACAGCAAGCTTCTCTCATCATCTGTTTCTTGCACCACCTAGGTATATAAAGCTCTGGGAGCTCTGTGATGAGTGCCAGTTGAGCTACTGGCACAAGACGGTGGCCGTCACCCTCATAAATCGAGATTGGTCGCGGTCGATAGGCTAGAGCAGAGCGAGCCACCAAAAGCTCATCAACGAGCGCCTATCACTTGTTGTTCCCAGTGTCGGAGTGAAGATGGTACCCCGCCGTCTGTAAAATGATCTATGCGACTGGCAGGGCTTTCCAGCACAGATCCTTTCCTGGGACTTTAAAGGAACACGAGCTCCGACGACACCGATGCTAGGCAAGACATTCGTTAAAGCTCGGCAACGAGTTTTGTGGTGCCTTAGGAGGCACCTATTTTAGAATCGAAAAAAAGGCATGTGTCCCCGCACAAATGCCAGAGTTCAGTGTATGATGAGGCTAGATATGCAACTTCTCGTGGGAAATTCAGAGACATGGCTGGAATGCGAGGCTTCAGGGAATGAGACGTATTAAAGCCATAACAATAATCGAACCAGTAATCGGCCTCGTTACTTTTGTGACGGAACGAAATTCAGCACTATCAAAGCAGCTGAAAAGAGAAAAATGGAACTTTGCAGGATACAAATCACGGACAGGTGGCATGCAGCCTTGCCGCTTTAAAACTTACCGAAGACAGCAGCAGTGAAACCAATCAGCAGGGTGCGATGACATTCTGCAATCAGTGAGGCTCTCGATACATTTTTGGATCATGTGGTGCACATCTCTATAAAGATGACCAGTTTTCTGAGGTGCTTCCTAGTGTTGTGTTTGGAAAACACACCCTGCCCTCATAACCTTTGTTCACACACCATTCTCTACACAACCAGAATTCAGTTCCATAATCCTACCTCCGCTTACACAGAATGGAAACTTTCACCATCAATGGTAACATCATATCGGGAGATGAGCCCAAATCTGCGGATGCCTCCAACACAAACTACATATATGTTCAAGGGCGTGGTCCTATAAAGCCCGTTCAGAAGCAGCAACTCCGTGCACAGCAAGTACAGTTCCATGAGTATCTTGGAGGGAATGCCTACCTCTGTCGCTATGATCGGGATGACTTGAAAGACATTCAAGTGCTCGATTTCGTCGCTCAGGCCAACGTGTATCCCAGTCGCGCGAAGATCTCGAGTTCTCTACGGGAAATAATGGAAGAATCCCAGGGTACTTCCACTTATACTATAAACGTCATCTTTCACGAGACAGATAAGCCCGTCAAAGAGATGATCAATGAATTGATCGAAGAATTGACTCGCGAAATACCCAAGCTAAATGCCGAGGCTATTTTTGTCGATCACAACGCTATGCGCCTGGATATCGACAAAGACACGATCGATTTCCTTATTGCGGTTGATTCCGTGAAGACGATTGAAGCACACACAACGATCAAGTTCACCAATACTATTGCAACACAAGATATGTACGCCCCAGCTATGGACCAAAGGGGCAACCCCAGCTACCCGTATGAGGGCCAGGACATTGTTGTTGCCGTTGCGGACACGGGGTTCGACCTTGGAGATATGCACGACGTTCATCCAGCCTTCCAAGGCAGAGTACTTCATTTACATGGCCGGCGCGATGGCTCGACGGATGACCCTCATGGTCATGGCACTCACGTGGCAGGATCCATTCTGGGGGACGGCCACTCTCAAGCTATGGGGGGAAGGATTAGGGGCACGGCTCCCAAAGCAAACCTCGTCATGCACTCGCTTCTCGCCTACGACCAAGACGGAGCACCATATTTAGACGACTCTTTCAGCCTTTGGGATGTCATCGAAACGCCACACAGGGATCATCACGCTCGCATCTCCAGCAATTCCTGGGGTACCGGAATGAAACAAGTTGGTTCAAACTACCAGCAGATTGAATATGATCACAAGGCCGAAACTGTTGACACATTCATATGGGAGAATCAAGATCGTGAGTACATTGATTCATCCTGGACGATCATTTTCCGCTTCCCATTTCCTTGATACTTCCGTCTCAGTGGACTAGTCGTTGAACACCCGTTTAAATCATTTTGATTACAATAGAATATGGACATATCTGTTTCTCAAACCGTGGAGTTCAGATCTGGATGGATAACCCGAATTCCTGGATTTTAGCACCGTCTGAGAAAAGCATTCTTGACTTGCTGACTCTCTCTCTCATACCCAGACGTCATGGTGTTTCCTGCCGGCAATGACGGTCTGATTCCAAATTCGAGGGGTAAGAGAGCCCAGATCGGTTCGATCAGTGCTGCGAAGAACTGCATTACCGTAGGCGCCACTGAATCCAGCAGGAGAATCGACCAAGACGGCATTAGATTTGACCCGAAGGGGAGAATGGGACTCATGGATATCGTGGCACGCTTCAGCTCCCTGGGACCGACAGTTGAACAGCGGAACAAACCTGATGTTGTCGCCCCTGGAGTCGCTATCCTCAGCGCGGCATCCCGACATGGCGCCTTTACGACCCAACAGCGCACAGAGTACGGCGTCAGTCAGGATGATTCGTGGACCTTCATGTCAGGAACCAGCATGTCAACACCCTTGGTTGCAGGCTGTTGTGCTATACTGCGCGAGGCTTTGGCCAAAACGCGTGGTATTAGAGATCCAAGTGCAGCGCTCATCAAGGCACTGTTAATCAACGGTACCATATACGAGACGCGTGCATCGGAACCACAACAGACGATGGCGCAACAGGGCTTTGGATACGTTGACATGACCCAATCTCTGAGGCCTGTGGATAAAACTCATCCTAAATTTCGAGGCTTCGTGGATGAAGGGGTTGGGACGCGTGGGCGGAAACTGGCCGAAGGAGAAGATTGGACACACGAGATTGAACTTCCACCGTTACCAAGGCAGCCCACCACCAATTTGTGGTTCAGAGTTACGCTAGCTTACACGGACTGTCCTGGCAAGTGTCTACAGAATCAACTGGATCTCTCCTGTGAAGTACTTGACAAGGGAGGAGTGCACCACTTGAGTCCTGTAACAGAGGATAACGTGCAGAAAATATACATCTCTAAAGAGGTAGGGCCGGATCCTGTTAGAATAGTAATCAAGGTGACGGCAGAGAGAATCACTCGGCATCCACAGGGATTTGCTCTTGTCTGGGACATAAACAACAAACAGTTTTAACATGGCAGTGTGGGTGACAAAGAGCTGTGGGCATACGGATGGTTGTAATTTCAGTATCAATAGTTATCGTCGCGACACACAGCAAGTGAATTGTATATTTTGATAAACTTGCATCACAATAGTATCTGCTGTTCAAGGCGACAACATCAATCTCGGTAAGTCGTGCACTGCGCCTGGACAAGAAAGCTGACCAAGGCCAAATAGACCGATGCGCAAGCTGTATCCTCCTGTCAAAGCAGAGCTGGTATCCAGAGAGCATAACCTACCCAAGTATCAGTGACGATAGTCGCTGCTTGAGACTATGATACAAGCGAGCAAGCTGCACAAATACTGGAAATATGAGGACAACAGAGACCCAGATATACATGTAAAATTTACTCCGTGCCAGGAACGTCTAAACACGGCCTGCATCGTTTAACGATGGTGTTTGTAAATAGGAGGATGGGCAGTAAGCAGTAATTGGGACACAAACACTGCTTGGTTTCTAGTATCTCAGTCTGTCACACGATGTCTTTCCTTGAGCACTTGCTAGATCACACAGAGCCTTCCCTTCTAGCCTGTGAGGAGGCAAGCCATCCGCCAAGCTTTGGGCTCGGAGCGGCGGACTTGGGCCGCTTCTTCACGGCACAGGCGCTATCGTCATCGTCTTCGGGCCAAGATTCATAAGCCTCCTCTTCCTCATCATCAAGAACCTCACAGAGCCACTCATGCCGTCGAATATGTTGCTCCGAGGCTGCAAAGCCTGACCTACGAAACCACATGAAGATATTTAATGTAGCCGTGCCGGAAGCAGAATCGTGTTCCAAATCCAGCATGTCATAGGGGATCTCCGCGCTCGAATATGGCACTGAGACTGGCTGCTGGTCAGCATCATTGAATGCTGGAGGCTGTTGTGTGACGCTGACGGCTCGGCCATCTTCCCAGCAGTCCCAGGCCCATCCCGTATACCTGAGCCCGTGGCCCAGACAACCTCCGTGGATCTGGACATCGAGCTCAGAATCTTTGAGCTCGACGGATCCAAAAGGTTTCCAGGGTGTGTGGGGAATATTTTGCTGGAATTCCTTCGATGCCAGATAGGCAAGCCGGCACTCATCCTCTCGCCGAATGCGCCCGGACTGTGTGGCGGACACCGGCAGTTGCATAAATGTCTGGATAGTGCCTACCCATGCAGCCGAGAGTAAATCGATCTGAAAAGATCCATAGCGTGCCCCGTCGAGTAAAGAGGTGTGTGCCCCGAGAACCGCAGCGCCTACCCAAAGAAACCCGACTTTCGGTGACCTTCGTAACAGGGTGTGAATCAGTAGGGCTGGATCATGGGAGATATTGTCCAAGGCTGCAAATGTCCCCTGTAGGAAGGGGCTGACGAGATTGCAGGGTACTGAGGGGTCGAAAACGCAGCTTAGGAGCAGAGCTTCTATGCCTCGGGTATTGCAGCTCAGTGCCAGGAGCTTGTCCACCTGTGCCAGAGGCAAAGGCGGCAGACTTTTGCCTTGTTGTGATCGAGGCAGGCGGGTGGTTATAGATGGAGTCGGCAAAGTGACCCTGCTGCCTAAGCGAGTGGCAAATGGCAGACATAAGACGGTGGACAGTGCTGCCCGACTTTGGTCGTCAACACCATATATAGCGACGTATTCTGAAAGGTAGTTTAAAGCGGTGGCAGAATTAGGTGCAGCGGCCGGCGCAGGAGAATGTCCCAGGAAGAGAGGTGTTAGTGCCGCTCTGGAAGAGAGTGTAATAGACTAAGGAGAGTACAGTGTCTCGCCGTTAGCGTCGGCAGTAGCTAGCCAGCCTTGGCCCGGAACCAGGACTGCTTGCCACCAGCGCGCGGCCTCTCCGCTTATAGCCTCGATAGGAACAGTGATGTTTGAAGGCTTATGTTTAGATGAACCTGCTCTGGTCTCGGTATACTGCACGTTGTTGGCGCCTGGAATGAGTTCTGTCCATCTCGCGGAGAGAATATAAGCCCAGGCGAGGATGAGGATGGTGACGTGATCGTCCTTGTCCCCAAGTAAGAACAAAAGGCCACTATCAGAGGAGTCGCTCAGTGTCAACTTTGTTGGTTTGGACTTGGTGACAAAAAAGTTGTGTTTTTGAGGCCCTACTTCCGGCAAGCCGGGGCCGCAGCTCAAGAGTGACGAGTGGGAAGACGTTGAGCCAGCTGCCGCGTCCCAGAAAGATACACCACTGGCCACCCAGCAGTCAGATGACTTCTCGAGATTCAGGCCGCTGGGTAATGCGGGATAGCCTGGAAAGGCATGGTCGATGGTTCTTAGGCCCTCGAGAGCTTCTTGTTTTGCCCCCCGAGATACGCGTTGTGAGTAGCACGACCACGCTCTGAAGCCGAGCTCGAAAACAGACCGGCATGACTCGGGGCGGGGTGTCACCGCATTCTCGTCGGGTTCCATGTCGCTAGAGGGCGGGCCGGATCAAAGGTTTGTTGCGACTGAGTCTGGCAGTTGTGGTCTTCTCGTTACCGAGATGTGAATATGTGGTGTCGCAAGGCACGATTGACGTCCAGTTGGGACCTCGGTCGTTGTTCGCTGGCTATTCCCAGAGTCTCTCAGACTACTATGGTAGCTTGTTTCCATCCACCATGGTTGGAACGGCGATGCTAAATGATCTCATCAAGGCGGCTTGTTCATCAGTTTACCACAAGAGATGTTGGGACGCTCGATTGTGCATTCAAGCTGGATCCTGGCTCCACCGAGCCTCGCCGGCCAGCGAATTTACAGCTTATTTTTTTTTTGTGTCTCAGGCGCCTGCGTTAGCGCCAACATCTGCCTGCAGCTTTCTCCAAAATTCTCGTCGCTCTGGTTTCAAGCAATCTACGTTACACTCATCCTTCGCAAACAACCTACGGCGTCAAAATTATCCTGACAATTCCAGCGTACTTCTGAGTGCATTGTACTTCCGCTCGGATCCGGCACATTCCTACAATCCGTGCTTGGCCGTGGTGTGTGGGCAGTGGATACCTAGATACACGTCTCCACCTAGGGACCAAAATCCTATTTAAATGTATAATATTATATGATTGTTATTTAAATAAAATCTATTGTCCTATATATCGGCGAAGATGGAGATAGTAGCAGCATGTGTACTTACTGATTTGATCGTTTATTGTTCTACCTATTTGATCAGAGTCCGTCCTTCGTGGCCGAGCCATCCAAAAGAGAAGGAGGGCGCTGGAGTTCTCGAAATATGTACAGTATTTGGCGCGACCTCTGTCTGTTGTACCTTCCTCCGCTACATGATCTGACATCCAGTCCCTCTTCCATCCCATCTTTCCCTGTGATTATGACCACTGAAGACCAGTATGCGTCCACGGACCTATTCGGCCGGTATGTATCCAACCTATGATACTCCTCCCCACGAACGATCCTTGAGAAGCCAGGGACGCGTCCATAGTAGTTCCGGCTTTCGTTCTGACGGCACCAGTATGTTTCGAATCCCTCCTTATCATCCATCAGGCTGTATGTATCTGGATCTAGGGCTCCATGCCACTGTGAACCAATGGCTCCGTCGCACCCGATAATCAGAACGCGGCTGTAATCCAAGACAAGGAATGAGTCGCCGGCATGGCATGGCCAACATTCGACCTTGGAGCGACCTGGACCAGAGGAAAGATTAAAGTCAAGACACGCCTTATGTCTCTTTGGTGACGACCCGTCGGAACTTCCACATGTGCTTGAGAACTAGCCGCCGGATGCCGTCGACCAAAGAGGCAGCGGACCACGATGAAGACGATCGGCACAAAGGATACAGCCGCTTTGACGTATTCAGTCGACATGCCCTCTCCGAATTCAGCGAAGAGCCTGATCGCAACTCAACGTTCTCTTGTCCCTCGAGTAACACACAGTCGCAGTCATTCGGACCGACACAGCTCATATCTGGCAAATCCCCTGTGAATGTAATGGCAGGATATAGGAAGCGTCCGCAGCTCTCTCGGATCTCAGCTATACGTGAACGCAGACCGACAGCGGTCAGCAGTCCGCCATTCGACTCGACGGGTAAGTGAGCTGTCCAATACATCCAAATCCTGAAGTCCTTGACCGAGAGTTCCGGGATCGGTCGCTAGATGCAGTAAGGATCGTCGCAATCGGGATCGAAGATTCTCTGACCTGACCTCCGCGTACCGGTGTGCGCACATGGCACAACGTGACTGATATCTTTACAACGTAAGTCGTTATGTTTCTCTGTTTTTTTTTTGACACCCTCTTTCAAACGCTTCCTGATCCCTGAGACTTTGCACCAACGGATAATGCCCTCGCCTTATTGGCATAGGCGAACGTAGCTCTCGTGCGCGATATATCGACGGTTTTTTGTTGGAGACCGCTTCTGCTTCGAGGAAAAGAGGCATGCTGGGTTTTCAGCTTTACAAGAACAACACTAGATATACATGGTGAGCCGCTCGACCCGCCGGACCCGATCTGGGCATTCTTGGGTCTTACGAAAGCCCTCACATTCTTCTCCAAGATGGGAGAAGCTGATCACAGCCATACATCCAAGCTCCTCACAAGGGTTGCCTCACAGTTGCTTAATCGTCTGCCAACGCTAATATTAGCTAGTCATGTGAAGGAAAGCACCGGAGCTGATTCAACGATACTACTTTGGTTGACTAAAAACATTGCCAAATGATCCTCTTGAATTTCTGAAAGGACCGCCTAATTTTTGGTGGAGACCTGATAGCTTTGTGTGCCGGCGAGGCAGTCGTTAAGTGTGCTCCGGGGGATGTACTTGGTCCTCCCTGACGGGGATACTATCCCTAACCGCTATAATGGCGACATACAGCTTAGCTTCACTAAGAGGCTCGATGGTGACTAGATTAACGTTTGGATGAACTCTGGTGGGCAGAATGTCCTCCCTCGCGGAGGAATGGTTGAATTTAGGGGAGACGCGCACACGGTTGAACGCGACTGTGGGGCGGCCGGAATGAAACATGGTCGGAAGCCGGAGCGGGTACGTTATTGAAAACCACTTTATGACCAGTGCCCAGGAAGAACGCAGTGTTAAATATGATAAACAGACTTCAGTGACACCTTGGTAACGCCAAGACAAAAGCTATGATCCCACTTTGGCTACTCCCTCCTTCTAAAGCTTCCCTGTTGTCCTCGGAACCATCATTAGTGTCCCCAATAGTATGCCGGGCTACTACCATCGCCTCTCTCTGCGAGGAATATGTCGGTACATGGGTTCATGGGGACTGTCTTCTCGGTCTCGTTGACGAAGTTCCGATTCTCGGCGACGAGCCTCGTCATCTCGGCGGCGGGCATCGTCTTCTCGGCGGCGAGCCTCGGCCTCCCTATCAAGGCGTTCCCTCCACATTCCCTCAACCTCAGCCTGTATCCTGCTTTCCTGTTCCCGAATGGTTCTCTGTCTTGCCATTTCATCTTCGACGGCTCTCCTGGCCACATCATCGTCATGCTGGCGCTGGACTTCCCTTTTGCGTGCGTCCGCGTCTCTTCTGTCTTGTTCCTGCCTCAGGCGCTGATCAACTTCACGGTCTATCTTGTTCTGGAGCTCCTGATCTTCTCTTTCTCTCCTCTCTCGATCCTCGATTACGCCCCGTCTCACCTGGTCCCTGCTCTGTTCTCCAACTCGCCTCTGCTCTTCAATTCGCCTCATCTCTTCAACTCTCCTCTGCTCTTCCCTCCTCTGCTCTTCTCTATTCTGCTCTTCTCTCCTTTGCAGTTCTCTGCTCCGCTCTTCTCTCCTCCGTATCTCTTCCATTCGCCTCTGCTCTTCAAACATTACTTGCCTATCTCTCCTCTCAATCTCTTCCCTTTTTTGTTGTAACTCTCGACGACGCTGGTCCTCGGCTCTTTGATACTCAAGCTCTTGTAGCCTCCTTGAAATCTCTGCCCGGATGAATTCCTCGCCCTCGCGTCGTATTTGTTGGTACCTCCTTTCACCTTCGAGTCTCATTTGTTCGTTGATTTCTTCTTCAGCTTTCCTCTGCTCATCTACGTTGATATTCTCTCTCGATCCCTGCGCTTCCAGCCCCGCCCCCGATGATGGTGAAATGTTCCGATTTATGGTTTCTGCAAATGAAGCGTCCAGATATTCGTAGTATCTTAAAGCCGCTTCCATGCTCTTTGTGGCTCCATTGGCATCGTTCTGTGATAATGCATGCTGCAGAACGTCCCTTGCCGCTGCTGCGTTTGGGTCGATAACGTTGGCCGGGTCACGCCACCAGCCAAAGCTTTCCAGGTCTCTGAGAAGTGACGCCCTTGAGCTCTCATCATTGCAAGTCAGGTATCTCGACAGACACGTGGAGAGATAGCCAGCTTTGTCAAGCTGCTTCGACTTTTGGAGATGGGCCAAGTCATCTAAAAGTCCTTCGGGTGCCTTCGTCCCAAGAGCCAACAGCTTCAGACACCGCGCTTCCGACTGGTAGTCCTGCATCTGTTTGAATGAGCTGACTGCCATTGTGAGACTCTCACGGGCTATAGCTGTGAGGTTCCGTGGCTGCCACTCAGGATTCTCTTTACGAACCGGGATGTAGTATGGCATTTCCTCCCCACTGTAGAAAGAGACTTGTCCAGGATAGTCGAGAAGGTATTCAAAATCCAGTATGCTTGAGTCGAACAAAGCCTTGGCAACTATCCATTGGATGAATGGTCGTGTGTGGACTGCATGTGGGAAGTTGCTGATGATTGAATTGCCGATGCGCTCGGCTGATCGCAGGCATTCTCCAGCGAAAGGCAGGACTCCTGGATGTGTCTCGGCGTTGAGCGCCATGAAGGACAGTATTTCGAGCAATGCAAGGTTGGTAGACTCATCCGGAGCACCCGTTTCCCAGTCCGCAAGCATTTGGTCTGAAGGGGATGCAGAGCCAACAAGCTCAGCCAACGCTTCTTTTGTGCTGCGGGACACACTCAACGCAAAGAATACGTCTCTGAAGTCCCATATCCTGTCTTCGGACAGGAGCTTTCTGTAAAGTCCCTGCCAGTCCGTCCACTCCCTCCAATTTCTTTCATCGAGGTTGAAGATTGTTTGTGTACGAGTGAGCTCACGTAAACGTACCGCCAAGCTGAAGATTTTGAGCTATAATGAAAAAGTTCATAATCAGCCTGGAATACTTATTCCCAGAACCTCGATCTTCTTACCTCAGTAGAATTGGTTGCCGACGCGCTTGGGACTACCTTCGCAGCTCCATCTATGCCCTCCCAGACGCTGCTCAGTGTGTGCTGGCTATGGCACAAAGCAACCGCCCTGATAAGCTTCCAATTAAGCTCCAACCGTTGGATTCCAGACTTTGGTTCTTGGAGTTGTTGATTTCCGTATTCCCAGAATATGGGTTTGTCGTCTAGCAACAGCAAAGATTTGAAGTCTCCTTGCTCGAGCAGCATTTCTGCGTACTGTACGAAAACAGCTGGGTCATCGATATGTGCTTTCAGGTGAGAGTTGAAGAACTCTTTGCCCAAAGAAAAGTTGCCGGTACGTGAAAGGCGATTTAGAATTTCCAACTCATCACCGAGATCCTTGGATACATCGAGCTCCACACGGACTGTGACGTCTTTCGCTTCCACGGAATTATAGACTGCATTGATACTAGTCGGAGTGCGTGGCATGGTTGAATAATATGCCTGATCTTCATTGTCTCGTGTTTCAAAGTGAATTTTGGATCTCTGCTTTTCGTCTCGAGTAGGTATTGATGGTGATGCAGCCTCTCGTGATCGTGATGGTCCGCTGCTTGCTGAATCTTGAGAGGAAGGACGAGATGAAGGACCAGGTAATGGATCAAGCACCCTCTTAGAAATTTTGCGGTTCTGATTGAGCCGACTCTCAGATTGGCTTCCAGTCAACATGGTTGGACGGCCTCGGACCACCACTCGTTCTACGTCAGCCTCGGGGGGCAAGTCCCACCATTCCTCGCGACTGCTTCTGGATCTCGACCTGGACCTCTCAACGCCGGTTTCGGGGACCTTGCCTTGCTGGCTTGGCAATTCCCAGGCAGGTACTTGCTTGGTGCTGCTGTTAGCATTCCCTTCGTTACTTTGACCTGCCATCGAAGCTCCACCAACTTCCGGTGGCAGCGGCGAGGAAACTTGGATAAGGTGCAGCCGCCGATAGACTCACGAAGTGTATGAATATGGTCGCTTTTAAAGTTTCACTTCGCAAAATGATTTCCAAAGCAAAAGAAGCGGCTAATGCGTAGCCTTATGTGGTCGAGTAGGTGAGACATTTTTGGAATCCTCCCGCGAGCCCCAGCCTAAAGTCCAGGTTGTTCCGCTTTCCTTCGGTTATGCAGTCATCCTGCATGATAAAACTGATCATTTCCTCGAACGGCGATTCTGCACGAATGGGGGCCTAATGTGGCTTAATGAAGCGCCGATATCAGCCCATTTTCGTTATTAGCGTCTCCTGTGCTACACAACCGAGCACTCGGTCAGCAACATGACACCCCTTATCTTCAGCTCCAGTCCTTGGTTTCGTGCGATGGCGGAAGAACATTTCTTTGGAGACTCAAGCCATAAAAGCCTTTTCTTCTTGAACAGCCATCATATCTGGAACTCTGCTGTCACACCACTATTCTGCAACGATGTCCGTCTCCATCCCTTCGCGTGAGACTCCGCTCGCGCAGCCCAAGCTTCTGAGCGTTTTCCGCCGTTTCGGAAGATACGATGATCCCAAACCTCTAAACACCTCCACAAGCAGTCTCGGTTCAAAATCCATCGGCAAAGTAAATGTTGACTGTCAATTCCTATTTCAACAATCCAAATGGGGCACACTGCACGGTCACCCGGGGGGTATCATTCATCTTAATCTGAACTTTGGCCCGCCCTCAGGCTGCAGGGTCAGCAATGTCACCGTGACGATTACTCTGGATGGAGATGACCCGTGTTTGCAGCTGTACAAAGCTCGCCGGCCTCGAAAAGAACCCCATCCTTCAAATACGTCCGTCGGGATGACGGATTGGTATGGTCCCAAATGCATGGGAGGCGAGAAAAAAGCAGCCGAGTATACGTCGACAATGAAGGCTATACCGGAGACGAACATCCTCAGCTACGGCGTTAGCGGTATGGGGTACGAAAAAAATAAGACTTACAAACACGAAGCCCGCTGGTCGTTCAGCGGGCAATTGTTACGAAGAGGACGAACGTCAGCTTACAAGTCGCTGAGATGGGATCTGAACGAAAACGAGCTGGAAGGCCAATCTTTTCATAACCCCAAGTTTCGAACCGCATTCGCCTTCGAGCATTCTGGACAGCCTTTTGTCATAAAAGTCAAGTTTAAGGGGAAGCTTGCAAAATGGCATCACCAAATCGAGTCCAAGTTCAATTTCGATGGGGCAAGGGAGGGCAAGGTGGTCACCCTAGTGGACTTCGAGGACCATCGGAGGTTCTCACAGGGTCTCGATAAAATCGCTGAGGGTCTTCCTTTGGCGATGGAAATGGAAAACCTTGTACGGATCCCGATCGAAATACCCGACAGTATGCCTGGTACCACATTTCAACAACTACCACCAGGTACGCCACTAGGACCTTCGGATCCCTCTGTCGAAGCGCCAGTCGCGAATCAAGCGATTGGAACCAGCCAACAGCCTTTGGGCAGCAATAGCAGCCGTCCAGTGCTCCAAAGCCCAGAGCAGAATTCACAAAATGGAGGGTTTGAGGCAGACACGAGACGAGGTGAACAACCACTCCTTGGGGTGGAAGATTTTATAAGAATACTTGACGCACTCTCACATCGTACGATCCAAAGGCCCTTGAGCGATGATGCAACTTACACAACTGCGAGAAACACAAGCAATTTGGTGGATGTGGGAAACGCATCAGAAGACTTGAACCGGGCACAAGAAGCCAGTGCTCCGAATTCTGCTAGTGGAAAACTGGCTAAAACCCCCCGAAGATGGACAAACAAACCGAGTCCGGAAGTGGAACACGATGCGATATTGAGAATTCTGAGCATCCCCGGCATGCTGGCCATTTTTCAATTCCTGGCCAGCATAATGGGTAAGTGGGGCTCTGGTACTTCAAGTAATGGACCTAAACTTGCAGAAAGGATCCATCAAGGAGGCGCGAATTCCCAGGAGACAACACCGGGGTACAGGACAAAGGTAGACTCTCGGAGAGCACGGATTGAGGAAACCCCGGAACAATCCTAGGTCTGAGACGGCGCCCCTACCTAGGTAGCCGCTGCACCATGGCATGCCTACACCAAAAGACCAGAGTTGTCCACAATGATTCTGGACAACCAGTGCAGTCTTACATTGCTGCGCCGTGACAAAGACGTTTCTACAAATTCTAGTCCCGCTGGAAATGTGGTGCTACTCTATAATTGATTTCAACTTTGAAGTGTATTTTTTTCAATGCTAGAAACTCGATGATTCTGTTCACCACAACTATCCGTTCAAGGTCCTAGCGAATGAAAGTCATATTTTGGCAAATTGATCCTGGAAGGCCTTCGCTTCACAGTGACCACCTCTGCGGGCCAGTACTTAGGTAGTGCGGTATGCGTCTGGGAGTCTTCTGCATCTGGACTGCAGCAGTCGAAACTGCCATCAATTCATTGCAGTCTCTCAGGCTACAGGTGTTTACAACCAGCCGGTCAAAGTTCCTACTCAGACTGAGTTTCAACTCAATACAGGTCAACTATGATAATCTAATTCTGCATTACTTAGAACGGTAGTGACGAAGGATATACTTATCTTTATCCACACGAATTGAACAACACGTGCACAGCGTACAATGATTCGGTTCGCCGGACAAAAGACTATCCGCGGGCCGTCGGACCAACAAACTACTAATACGCTTGTGGAGCTGGTGATCCCCCTTTTCATCTTCGCTGCTATTGTAAGGCGTGCCAAGGCTGCTCGCCAGGACTCCCGGCATCACTGGCAGGACACATGAATGCGCCTGACTGAAGCACCTCCCCGTGGCAGTCTATAGCGCCATAAGAGCTCGAAAATATTGCATCTTTAGACAGCAAGCAAAGGGTTCTAACCTAATAGCCCTAAACAATTTATTGTCTTAGACTATACGGAGTGTCGTATTGAGAGGTTTTGACTAAGCGAGAACCTCAAAATAAGGTTTGCAGGGGCGAATCTCAAAAGCCTAGCAAAGCCCGACGTCTAAATTTGCTCCTTTTTGTTAGCAGATCCGGAGTCCTCTCTGGCTCCGTGTTAGTTATCCACCTTTACGTAAGAAGTTAGCGCCTAGAAGAGACACCTACACCGTCAATGCCACAACCCGTGTGTCGTCATTACCAGCGGCTCCTTTGTCAGGTCTCTCTGACAACCTTGATTCATCCGGGGAATGGTCCAAACTTAGATCTCGTTGTTGCAAATCAAACCACGACGATAGTGGGATTGAGTTGGTTTACGTAAAGACTTCCCGGAAACCGAGCGCCCAAATGTGTCCCGGAGCGCGATTGGTAAAGTCATAAGAGGCCCAGTATGCCGCATTTCGTGATATTCGTTTCTCACGCTAATTTAAAGATACATGCCCCTGACCTTCTCCCTCAACTCGTTTTTTTGCAGCACCTCGACCATCTTCCCGCCCATTATTGAGATTTCCCAACATGTCCGACCTTAAATCGATCCCCGAACGTTGGGCCGCAGCGTGGTCCCAGGACAACACTGCGGCATTCGTAGAGCTCTTCAGTCCCAAAGCTGTCTACACCGACCACGCCTTCCAAGTCATCTCGACCAACATTCGCGACCACCACAAGATCTGGCGCGTCGCCAACCCAGACTTCAGGGTCATTTTAGACCCCTCTACGCCAATCTGGTGGGCTGGCGACGTCGACGAGCACGGGAAGAATGGCAGCTGCAGCTTCAGGACTATAAACTACGGGACAAACACGGGAGACCTGCCGACGAGGAAGGCGTCGGGGAAAAACTTCCAGTTCTCAGCAATGCTCCATTTGACAATCAAGGACGGCCTGATTATATTGATGGATGAGTTCTATCGGGACACCTTTGATGAGAGTGTACCGATCGAGAAATTTAGGATACACGATTCTTGAGTTGATGAGATCTCGTGGTTGCCGGTGAAAGCTTTCTTCATGGGAGGACCAGCTCACTCGGGCTTCGGAATCAAGGCTCGAGGACCTCCAAGAGCAGGAAGAGAGTGAGGAGGAGAGTTGGGAAGGGAGGAGGGCAAAGGAATTGACATTGGGCCTTTGGCGGTTCGGAAGGGCCGAGAGATGAAGAATGTTGTGGCAGATGAGTGACCACATACGTAAATACATGCCTTTTCAAAAAACCATCTTAGCTTTCTTCTACCCCGATTGGAGCTGCATGGTGACATCTTTGGCTCATTTCGGCGTTACTTTGCATCGCGATTTCAGGTATAGCTCTACTAGTACTTGCAGTTATGGTTTGTCCAGGTGGCTGGGCGCCGTAGGCACAATATCACCATGCCTTGAGGTAAGAACAAATCATGTACTTGACTGCAGCTGCATTCTTATGTCATCGGGTCCCGTTCCTTGTGGCTCCTACACAGGGAGCCCACTTAGGTTGTGTCTTGACTGTGCTTACCAGCCCCCCTCCAAACTGAGAAATCCCAGCTCAAAAGCTTTGAAAGTCTGAACAGCGCGCTACTACACCATGGTGCAGGGTCATCGGTCCCCCTATCGTTGGTGGAAAGATCACTTCAGGTCTACCAAGTCATCCGGTAACACAACAGGCTCCGATCGGGCAAAGCGCAATGTTGTCGGATCGGCTGGAGGCACCGCTGAGCGGTCTGAGGGTTTCAGCCATCCAGGAAAGGTTGCTGAGAATGAGGAAGAGTCGGGCATTGCTGGCTTCGGGAACACCACCTCGGGAACCCAAACTGACTCCTCGACGATGGCAGGTCAAGCCCCCGCAAAGGAAGACCTCAGGGTGGTAGCCGATTTGGTAGCAAAAAGTGTTCTCGTCGAAGTGAGGGAGGATCCAGCTGGACAACAAGCCACCGCGACTGCGGCAAATGCGCCAGAAGCTGCTCCACTGACACACCCTGACAGTCCACAAGTACCCCTTCGCGACGACGAAAGCCCAATATGGATCAAAGCGGTGGAGCTCTTCGAAAAGGAAAAATTAGAAGAGTATGGGCTGATCGTTGGCCAAATCGCCAAAATTCAAGAGCTGAAAGATGGGGGCACCTGGGGCACCTGGTTAGATGCCCCGGGGTTGGGCCTAGCGGCCAAGGAGACGAAATGCAAGTGGCTCCGGACATGCAAGGCATATATGCCCTCTCTGGGCACGGTCAAGGGCATAGCGCAAAGCCTAAGCGATCTGGATCCCCACAAGGTCGCGCCTCTTGTTACCACGGGCGTGTTCCTTCTTGTCGAGGTAGGCTGCAGCGAAAGACATACCATCTCGACGGCCGCATCGAGCCGCGCTGACTTGCCGATGACAGCTCTGTTTCGGTATCTGGGACCCCGAAGCACGCGACAAAGTAATGGGCTTTCTATTGAAGACAAACATTTTCATTAGCAAGTCGGCTTCCCGCGAAGGTGAACTAAAGCGGATGAAGATGAATTCCATGCAGGAGGTGAAGCAGAAGGTTGGACTGATAGAAGAGAGGCTCTGTAAGTTATACCTCGACAGCCTTGCGCTGATTTCCGAGATACACAAAGACGGACGGACTCGATACAGTCGTTCCAGTAAGTCTTTTCTCTCTCTCCGTCTCTATGTGTTTCGAATTCTCTCCGAGTAGGTGCGCGATTCCCTGTGCCTCTCGCATGCTTAAAATGGGTTTTCGCTTACAATGTGATGTAGAAGCGAGTTTGATCTCGGGCCCTTCCGAATGGGGACGGGCGTATGAGCAGATTCAAGACGGAGACTCAGAACTCGGAGAGCTAAAGAGTCAAGTTGAGTTGATACTCAAGGCCATCGAAACGAACAGTGAAACGCTCGATTGGATTTGGAGCCGCCAAGAGGACCCGGAGCCTCTGCACCAGACAGTCAACGAGAGGACCGGTGTCCAGAACACCAGCTCGATGGTCGGTAACTGGTTCCTTGAGACGTCCGCGTTCACATCATGGGTGGCTGGTATCCGTGAAAATACAGCGGAGAATCTAGTTTTCTGGGTGAAGGGATCTAGTAGGTACTCCTTCTGCTTATTTCATCATTCAGCGGCCAGATTTGTTAAATAAAACGCAGTGGGAACGGATAAGACTACGCTGCTGTAAGTCCACAAGTCTTGTGACTGCAACATTTGTTACACCCCACTCTAAACAAGCACTTCCTAGATGCCGGACTATTTCCTACTTCGAGGATTTTCCCGTCCGTGGAGTCAACTTTGTGCCTTATTACTGCCATGGCAGCGGAGTCGGCCCCGGCCCCAAATACGAGACCGTAATTCGTGCGTTATGCCGACGGCTGGCGTGGAACACTAATGGTAGCGTGGCGACCCCAGCTATGCAACTCTACCAATCGGCGAAATCAAATCCAGAAGCACAGGTCACTATGAAGAAGGCATGGGAGCCATTACTCAAGGAGCTTATCGCTTCTAGCTCCACCGCGATCGTACTTGTACTCGACGCGCTCGACGAATGCAAGTTACTTGACGACTACATGACACTGCTCGAATTCCTATCCAATCTGCCGCGGGGACCAAATGGCCCCTATCTACTACTCTCGTCGCAGCCACACGTTCCGGTGAGGAGTTACTTTGGTGGTTCTGTGCAGACATTTGATGTTGTACAGCCCGAGCCAAGGAATGACATGAAGAACTTTATTGATGATCAGATTGCCTCAAAAAGCAAACAGGTCAGATGGGAGAAGAGCGTTTTCTGTGAGTGGCGCTCAGCGTCGCGTCTGTGAGTTCACACCGCTGAAAGGAAACAGTCAAGGACGCTGCCTTGCTCGATGAACTAAAGGCTGCGTTGTTGGAGTCTGCTGGTGGAATGTATGAAGCTCAACACGTGCCTAATCGTCATGTGCACATCAACTAGTCTCGGTATTAATGTTGGCCGCAGGCTTCGTTGGGTCGAAATTTGGCTCGGTGTGTTCTTCCCCAGGAATAGCAATGCTGTGAAACGTGAAGTCAACGCGAAGACGCTTTTGAACAAACTCAAAAAGCTCGAGAGCCTGAGAGATCTCCCCCATGACAAAATCGATGAGTCCAGACACGACCGAGACAAGATGGCCATCAGGGATGCCTACGAGAAGCTTTGGTATGTCAATGGGGATTACGGTCAGGACAAAGATCTGCAAGTCCGTCTTTTCCAGATAATGACCGCCGCATTCGAGAACCTAACGCCCCAGGCGGTCCACGAAGCTGTCTGTTTCAACCCAAGCAAGCCTGAACACTATGAGGAGCTGGAGCACGATCACATCGAACGACTGTATTCCAGTTTCTTGAAGGTGAACGAAGAAGGCCGTCTTGAGTATGAACATCTTTCAGCCAAGAAGTTCGTGGATAAAATTAGAGATGCTGGTAAAGCTACCTTCTCAATCAAGGAGAGTCATCGAACAATGGCAGACGTGGCCATGTGTGCTTTAGAACGACCTGATCATCCAATATGGATCAACGCCGGAATAGACCTGGTCGGCTGGGGGGCCAGCGCGGCAGCATCGGTGCGAAGCTCATATTTGACGACAAAACCTTGGCATGGACCAATCGAGTTCAAGCTGAGGCCGCCGAATCTCCTGCGCTTTGGCGCATATCTTTTTCGATTCTGGCTTCGCCATTGTCAGACTCTCCACGGGGAGAACTCATTTATTCAGCGAATGGGAAAGTTCTTCCAAAGCGCACACCCTGGTTTCGAAGGTTGGGTCATCTGTCAGGCCGAACGATACGGTTCGGGCTCCCGAGGCATTGATGCAATCTACCACAATACTATCACTTACATGGAGGGCCAAGAGAATGAAGCGCTGAAACCCAACCCCTTCCTCTCTATGGTGAGCTTCGGCTTCTCCCCTGTCTCTCACAACACAGACCAGCCAGCCCTCTTGTCCGGATTTGAAGACGCCACAGTTCGAAACCTATCCTACAAGACTGCACTGCATGTCGCTTGCGAAGCATCGAATATAACCATGGTGAAGGATCTCCTCGAGTTAGAATGCTGTAGACAAGGCTCATGTCCCTCGCTCCTAACCACGGAGGACAATTGTGGCCGAATCCCACTCCACTTAGCCAGGGACGATGAAGTTGTCAAGATCTTGCTGGAATATGAAATACGCGGGTCTCCGATTTCATCGACCACCCGTGACCCAAGAAGGAGCCAAAAGCTTCACTGGGTGGACAAAGGAGGTGAAATACTGATGAGGAATAAGATATGGGTGGGTTGCAGCGACAGTCTGGTCAAATGGATACTCCAGGAGTACATTGTTGAACCATGGACGCTGTACTACCTCTATCGCACAGCTGTCAACCTAGGGAACTTAAAGACCTTCAAGTATCTCGTTGAGAGAGGAGCAGATCCTGACGTCAAAGTAGGGGATGGGCACACGCCGGCTTTGTCAATCGCCATGAGCACTGATAATCTGCCCCTCGCTACTTTACTTCTCGATCACGGAGCGACTTTTGATAACTCCGAGGTGTTGGGGGAGACCTTGAACCGCGCTGTCAAGTCTGGAAACCCAGAGATGCTTCATCTCTTGGTCAACAAAGGAGCGATAATTGACATTAAGGGGCTGCATGGGACGACGGCTCTATATGAAACTGTTAGACGCCAGAGGCTCGACATAGTCGAATATCTTTTGAGTCAACGAGCCGATGCGTGCGCGCCACAGGGTCAGTTCGCCCATACCATTCTCCAAGTAACGGCAGCTACGGGCAGCACCAAGACGATGGGGCTGCTGCTTGATTATGGAGCAGATATCAACGCGGCAGGCAGGCCAGAGGACCATGAAACACCCTCGTTGAAAAGGATCTTAGCTGAGCACCCAAAATTTGGGACCCTGCCCTTTCTCGAAACACCTTTGAAGGTTGCTGTGAAGGCCCAGAGGGAGGACATGGTGGAATTTCTCGTGGGTCGAGGAGCTGATGTCGGAGTGCTCAGCGCGAGAACCAGCCAAAGTTGGGCCACTCAGCTTCCAGAGTCAGCTCACCCAGCTTCCGACCTTCATTCGTCGTTACCCAGCTCTTTTATTCCGCATAAGTACTGATAAGTAGTCTCATAAAATTTACATTTACCTTGTTAAAAACGTAGCTAAACTAGACTGTATAGTAGAATTTAGGCCCTTGGTTATGTATCTACTGCTTAGCTACTGCTTGCCTATACCGTACAGCCCTTGGTTTCAAACTGCTGGTGGAGGAATTCGAAACAGCAATTCAAATATCATGCTACACGTGTGAATTATTAGACATAGCTGCTCCTGCTTTGCTCCAATTTCTCCGGGGGGTGGTGCATCGGAATGGAGGAATTATCAAGGACGGATTGAGTGGAGAATTCATGTATACAGACGAGTAATCCGGTTCATTATTCCGTAAGCCGCCTCTTTTTTGCCAATGAGAATCCTACACCAACTACTCGAAGAATGCAATGCTCCTACACTCTATACTCTCTCGCATATTAGCATCAGGAAAGCTGTCATCCCAGAAAGCCGTGTGCGGCGTACGCCAGCCGACGCTGCGGTCACTGTCATGGAACTTGAGCAGCAGCGCCTCGTCGCGGTTCATCCCTGAGAAATACCACCACCGATGATCAGGGCTGTGTCGGAAGATCGCAGCCGCCAGCTGCTTCTCATCGTCCATGTCCGCGAACATCTCGTCGCCTTCCGGTATCTTGTCAACAACCCAAAGAGTGTTCGGTACTCCCTCATCGTCTCCGACGCTCTGTGAATCACACACCGCCAGCGGGCACACCTGCGGCGGCGGCGAGAACGTCCGCCAGAAGCTCGAGATGATGAAGCGCTTGAAGCCAGGGCCGTCGGGCCGCTCCTTCTCGTAGACGCGCTGCGCAGCCGCGAGCTGGCGGCTGGGCTCCGTGTCGACGTGCACCTCGCCTGCTGGGGGCTGAACGCCTCCGTAATGCCGATATGGGCCCCCTGACTCTTTCGGCTTGGGTATGTCGCCCGAGGTGCGGATCATCCAGCCCGTGGGTACGACGAAGTCGGCACCAAATGCGCGCTGGACATGGTCGCGGACTTCGTTCTGATACCTGGCCTCGACCTCGGACTTGTCGTGAAAGTCGACCACTTCAGTTGGCGCGTCGAGCAGCTGGAAGCCGTGGCGATCGAATGAGAAGTGGTCTTTGATGTCTCGTCCGTCGCGAATTGTTGTTTCGTAAGGGCCGTAGCGGCCCGTGTTTACCTCCACCCCGGCCGAGACGAAACGCCGATTGATTTTTGGCCCGTCTAGCAGGTATTTAAGGTTGGCTCGCGTGGTGCGAACACTTTCCTCCAATTGATCTTTGGTTATCGCCATCACTGAGTTTTCGCTGATACTGAATTGTCGCCGATAATGAATTGGACTATTGTACGTATCCGCTGAAGCTGTGATGAAAGGCGACCGCCTCTTTTGAGGCGATTGGAAGACCTATTTCTGACCACCGAATACAGACTTCCCCGCGCGCGCCCGATCTAGCAGCACGGATAAAATCGCTTCATCTCCGATCATGCGTTGACCAGAGAGTTGCAATCGGATCTAATCTCCACAAGATCCGATAGGGGCAACCCAAAGTCTCGCCGGAATGTTCTTCCCTTGCGTAGAAAATCACTTATATACAGCAGGAAGGTCCCCATTGAGAGAGAAGATGAGGCACCTGCTATTCATAACAATGACAATAGTTTTCCTACACGCGGGCCCGAGAAGGGGCTGAAGATGGCGGGACCGGGATCATTCGCATCATTCATGGCTTTGGTTCAGAGCGTCCAAGGTTGCAGCGTCAGAAGGGATTCAACCATGCAGGTAAAGCTCACCCTTCATCCTTCGTATGTGCCTTTCTCACTTGGGACCAGTGCGCAATTCAAACGTATTGAAGAATACAGTTCATGATTCGGGAAGTATGATGGCCGAAAGACGGAGAAGACAAAGGACGGAGGAGGGTGTAACGACCGGTAAGCGCCTCGCAGAGAATATTATATCTCCAGTCCATGGTGATTGATGTTTTCGGTCATCTCCTAGCTGTTCCTGGTTCGACACGAGGTTGATTAAGGGAGACTCCACACACGAGGAAGGAGAACGAGATGAAATATCTGCGCAGGGCGGAGAATGCATGGAGGACCAGCAGCCATGCTGACAGGGGCCAATGCAGGCATGCCCCTCCACGAAAGTCTCCCCAACTTGCGGTTACCGACCCCTCCAAGACCATCCTCTCGCCATTGACGAGGAGGGCTCGCCGGAGCCAGGTATCACGGCCACTTGCAAGTACGACAAGAATGGTAGCACCCGCTCGCATCCGCCACCGCTTAGCCCCCCCGCCCCACCCGAACTTCCTGTTGCGCCAAAAGTTGCCCGGAGCCGCACGCTGTGATCAACGTAAGCCGCCAAGATATGCCGCGGTACTTGGTACCAAGAAATTTCATCCCAAGCACATCACTATTGGGTTCGCGAGCGAGTGCTACGATGCGGCTTCCTGTTGTTACCGAGAAACGGCAACTACTCCTGATTCTCCCGCCCCTCACCTGTACTTTTTCATAATTGATTTAGATCGGAATATTTAATGGAGTCTGTCCAAAGAGACTTTTATTGGCTTCATGGTCGGGGGTACCTGAACAGCGATCCGAACTCAAGGACTCCAAACTAAAAGATGACACATCCTCGGCGTAATACTGAGGCTCCCAAGAGATTGATACCCCTCTCCGGACTTGGCTTCGTCAAAATCGAATTGAAAGTTAAAATCAAAAGGTAATTGATAATGTTCTCGCACCCGAACAGTAAAGAAGCAAGCTGGATCTTTGGGTTGAGCTCTGCTCATACGTCCGGAATGCAAACTCGGGTCTCTGGCCCACGTGTACTGCCTTCATCGATCCACCATGAAGATTTTTACTTTGTCGATGATCCTTACCGGCGTTTTCCGACCTGTCATAGCCGTGGCCCAGGAATCTCTCAGTCCAAGCCCAAGCGCAGACCCTAGCGCACCCCCATATCGAGACAGCCTCATTTCCCTGCACAAGTCACTTGTGGACTTCAACTCAACGACTGGCAGTGAGGCTGATGTCGGCGAGTTCCTCATCAACTATCTGACGGAGCAGGGTTTTGCAGCAGAGCGCCAGACGCTCCCATCGTCCAACAACTCGGCGGTGCGGTTCAACGTAGTCGCGTGGCCCGCTGCCCGGCAGTCAAACTCGTCCAAGGTCGTGGTGACAAGCCACATCGACACCGTGCCGCCTTACATCCCGTACTCGCGGACGGGACATGAGCCACCCACGGCCGAAACGGTGATCGCAGGGCGTGACACCGTGGTCGCAAAAGGGGAGCGTGGCGATCCAGGTCATCGCTCTGCTGGATTTACTGTCGACAGGTGAAGTCACCAGCGATGATGTGATGCTGGTATACGTCGTTGGCGAAGAGCGGGCGGGCGACGGCATGGTCTACTTCTCGAACGTCACGTCGCAGCAGCCGGATCCGCCAAAAGCTGCCATATTCGGCGAGCCCACAGAAGGCCTCTTGGCTTGCGGCCACAAGGGCGGCCTCGCCTGTACGGTCACAGCGCACGGCCGCTCCGGCCACAGCGGGTACCCCTGGCGCTTTAAGACCGCCACGGAGCTGCTGATGCGTGCCATGGTCCGGACCATAGACGCGGACTTGGGAACTAGCGAGAGGTACGGCAACACCACGACCAATGTCGGTCTCCTGTCCGGCGGCGTCGCGCTCAATGTGGTCCCTGACACGGCCACGGCCAGGACCGTTGTTCGGGTGGGCATCGGGCCGGAACTGGAGGGCGGCGAAATTGTCAAATCCAGGCTACGTGACATCTTAACAAGCATAGACGACAAGGCTTTCGATTTCGAGTGCGATGTTAGGGGCTATGGAGCTATCGAAACTACCTGCGACGTCGATGGTAAGCCTCTTGATAACCTAGTACCGTTCCAGGCTAACTCTATACTAGGCTTTGAAACAACTGTGGTGAACTATGGTACAGATATCCCTGCTTTGAAGGGAAAGCACACGCGGTACCTTTACGGGCCCGGAAGCATCTTAGTTTCCCACGGTGACGATGAAGCAATTACGCTTGGAGAGTTAGAAACTGCGGTCCAAGCTTACAAGAAGCTCATTCTGCATGCGGTTCAAAATTAAGCTGTACTAGTATGCTGACTAGTCTTGCCGCTAAGTCAACTCGAATCTCATTTCAGCAACGTTCCGAAACTAAAGCCGCTATCTTTGAAGCACTGCGCAGACGAGATGAGTGAGGTATGAATGGCGGCGCACCATAGCCGGTACCAGGCACTATCAGATTGAATACACATGTCTTCCAAAAAAAGAATCCCTTACTGCGCCATATCTGTGGGGATGTGACATGCGATACTGGTATGCGGTGACCACGCCGGTGGCTGTTGCACAGCTAAGGACCGAAAAGAGGCCGGTCAAGAGAGCCGTATCTCATATTTTGAAGTCTGCCTGTGCTACCATTCATACCCAATAGCTTCCACCAATGGTAATGGCAGAGAAAATGAGCGTTAAGAAGTGGGAAAGTGTAATGGTCTCCGTCACTACCGTCCCCTTGTGAATTCCTCAAGTCCCGCCACTCTCCGTCCGATTGCCCAAGATGACGATTTCCGCATGGCTGTCGCTCGGAAGGGCCGCCTCGATACGGTCGATATCGTCCTCCTCAGCGCCAGCATCCTGCCTGGTGGCAGATGCGATATAGAAACCCTGATGAACGAGGCAGAGCCGGTATCCGTTCTGCGGGCCCTGCTTGCCGGTCTGGTAGACAGCAAATAGGATAGACTTTTGCGTCTTGCCGGTCTTATCGTCTCGCATGGCGTTGTGAAAAATGTAGTTTCGCACAGCCCCTGGATGATTTGAGATCTCGTCCAGCGCGCCGGCGTTGGCGATCTCGTGGATCACTGCAGTGGACAGCGTTTCACTGCTTCCGGAAAGGACATGGGACTGCATAGTGAGGTAGATGACAGAATATTTGAGAAGGAGTGTGTGGTTCAGAAAGAGGGAGTCTCAGCGACACAGTATGATCGGAGTCGAAAAACAATAAAGATGGCGTTGATTGCTTAAGTAAAGAGAACAAAGTACCGAAAAGGAGATAGCCAGCGTCAGATTCGGTCTGGCTTTTCCTACTTCCGGATGAAACACTCTCCGTTCTCGAAGTTGTGCTTCTTGGCGTCGCTGGCGGTCTGCGTTTGTCGAATTATGCTGATCAGCTCCTTCTCGGCGGTCTCTGGCAATGGTACTCTTGTTCTTCATCCGTTGGACTTACATAGCAGGTGGCCTTGTCGCTCTGGACGCAGAGGTATGACTTTCCGCTCCTACCGTCCTTACAATTGTGGGCGCTCCCGAAACCGACGCTGTTTGCCGGGTCGCACTTGCCTTTGTACTCAGGCTTGACTCTCTTGATCTTCCCCTGGTTGCTGCAGTGGACGGTGGCACGGGCGTCTAGGTTGTCGACCTCAACGTCCTCGATGTCAAAGTCCGAGATGTCTAGGTCCACCGACTCCTGACGCACTTCTAGCCGAAAGCCCTCTGGGGCTCGAGCAGCTAAGACACCTGGGTTGTTGTCTGTGGTGGGCTCTGTGCTGCAGAGAGGGGCGGCGGTGAGGAAAAAGGCCACGGCGGCTGCGAGAGAGAGCTGCATTCTGCTTACTTTATAAGGTCAAGCTGGAGCCTGTGTGACGGGTTTCGCGCTTAGTAAGCTTGGAAGCAAGGGGGCAACAAGTGAGAAGTAATAGTCTTCGAGCTGTAGACTTGTTGTGATGACTCGGGTGGGACTGGCTTCTCGTTTTGCCAGATTTCAAGTTGGCCTTAATCCTTATTTATATCTTGTCAACTTCCCCCGTCTTAAACGAAGAAGTGTAAAGCTGATGATGATATTGTCTTAGACGCATTATACTGTTGAACGCCACAGTCCACGATATTACGTAAAATTCTCGCGATCATTCCAGGTGCCATGTCATCAAGCAATTTGATACCGCACAAGCCGCAAGATCAGAGACAAAGCAAGTCAGCATACCTTCCTCAGGTTGATCTTGGACTCAGCCTCCTTTCCAAGTATGGTAAAGCCGCAAGATCAGAAACAAAGCACACTTTGCTTGGGTCGATCTTAGACTGGGACTCCTTTCCGAGGATAGAGTCCGAGTCTCATAAGGATCATGCCTTAAAGTAAGGTGTAGACGCCATCTGTCCTCGGCGTCTCGGGGCATCGATTTCCTTGGTTGACACGGCTCAGATACGAGTGCGTGTCTTGAACATGAATGTGAGGTAACAGTTGAGCCATAGTCGAGTGTGTCTGTGTGTTCCAGGCGCGATCACCTATGAGGTCGATCATTCTGTTCGTAATCAGAGCGGCCCAGCTGTGAGAGCGGGACGATAAATTCCACCCTCCCCTGCAAAGAAAAATGTATACATTTTCTATAAATGGCTAGCAGTCCCATCGCTAAGCAAGCAAAGCCTTGGCAGTAACGCTAGGTATATTAAAAGACTTTGCTATATGCTTATTAAATAATGCTTATGCATTGTAAGTACTTTAAAGCGTTGAAATTAATATTATAACCGCTATATGCATTATAATGCCTAGCTAATAAGCTAAATATATAATTTTATATATTTAACTTATTAGCTAAGCATTGCAGCATATATAAAGCGCATTACCCCTATGCTAATAAATCTTTATATTAATAAATTATAAATAAAAAAGCATAATACCTATACTATCCTTTTAAATAACATATAATATAATATTAATTACTTTACTTATATTTACCTTCTTTATTATATTTAATTTAACTTTATTTTAATTTTATAATAATATCTTACTTATAAAAGATAAATATAACCTTTAAGCCCTTTTTATAATTATAAACTTTATTAAAATTATTATATTTAATAGTTAAGATATTTTAAAAGCATTTATTATTTATTGCATATATAAAGCTAAATTTAATGTATATTATAAATATAAATAATGGTTAATAAAGAAATATAATAATAGGTTTATTATTTATTATATATATAACTTTATTAATTATAATTAAAAAGATAAAAATATTATAAAGAAATATAGCTATATATAATTAATAATAGCATTAAAGGGTAATAATAAAATATAATGCCTTAAGTTAACTTATAATAATTATAAAGGCTATATACTTAATAAGTAAGATATATTTAACTTATTATATAATTATTAGTTAATTTATATACTTAATATTATAAAGTATATTTACTTTCTTATTTACCTTTAAAAATTATCTTATAATAATATTGCTATAATAATTTAAGATAAAATTAAAAGATTATATAAAGCTATTAATATTATATATATATTAAAGAAAGCTAAAGAAAATAAATATGTTAAGCTTATTATTATATAACTTTTTATTATTAAACTTAAGAATAAATAAAGCATTAATAAAGCTATTATTAAGATTAATTATAAAATACTTAATGATAAAATATTATAATTAAAAAGAATACTTTAAATATATAAGTAATGCTTAAAGTAATAAAAAGTTAATTTAAAAGTTTTATTTATTAATAATATATATAAGGTTAATTTATTTAATATATTTTTTTATTAAATTATAAGCATTATATTTATTAATATTAATATTAACTATAATATAATATTTTATTTATTTAATGGGGAGTGAAAAGATTTATTTTAATAAGTTTTTAAATAACTCTTTATTATGGCTAAAGTTAATAAGGTTAAGTACTTATATGCTATATTAAGCAACTTTAATAAAGCATTTAAAAATGCGCTTTTAAATATATATATTAAAAATAAATAAATAATTATATAGCAGCTTTGCTAGTAATATATTATAAAAAATATAATTTATAATATAAAAAAGAAGTAAAAAGCTTTTCTTAATAGCATACTCCTTAGTAATATTGGCGATAATAAGAGCAGTAATCTTTAGCATAAGAATAACTTATTATTTAAAATTAAAATAGCTTTAATAAGCAGCTTTATTATATTAAAAAAGGTTAAGCTTATTATTATTGCAAAGGATTTATAATTAAAAAGTATAATATCTTAACTCTTAAGTAATAATAATTAAGCAACTTAATATAAAGAATTAAAAAATGCAAGGTTGTAAAAGATTACTTAGCTAAAGCTATTCCTTAGCTAAATATAAATATAAAATATTAATAATATTTTATATATATAATAAGACTTTTGCTATGCTAAGTTTAAAGTAAAATTACGTTTAATATAATGTGTTATATATATTAGGTTTAAAGATAAAGAGCTTATATTAAAGCATCTTTATAATATATATTTATTATATATATATAAGTTTTATAAGTAAGCAGTTAATTAAAATTATAATTATAATTTATAAGCTATATCTTATATTAAGAGTTTATATATAGCCTTTAAAAAGCATTTTTAAAATTATCTTGCTAACTTTATATAGCTTTATAATATAATAAGTAAGATACTTAAATAATAAAAAAGTATCTTTAAGGAGAAGCTTATAATAAAGAAGATAAAATTTTATAAAGCATTGTAAAATATTAGCTTTTTTATAAAAGTTTAACATTATATAATATATAAGGCATTAAGGTTTCTTAAAAAATAATATAAGCTAGTAAATAAAATGCATAATGAAAATATATGTTAATTAAATTATATTAATAAGTTTATTAAGTAATATAAACTATTATATTATTATATTATTATTAAGATAAAGGATAAGGTAAGTATTATATAGCTAAGTGTTTAATTAGTAAATTAAATATATATTTTAATATATCCCGCTTATTAATTAAATGCTAATTTGCATAATATATTATTAATGCATTTTATCTTTTTAAGGATTTATATTTAACCTTTCTTATATTTATAATTATTAATATATTCGCCTTAACAACCCTTTATTTAATAAAGAAATTAAAAAATACTTTATATTTAACCTATAAATTATATTTAATAAACATGCTTAAAAGTATAGCGCTTAATTATTAAGGCCTTAAGTTAAGATCTTATAAATATAAATAATAATATTTAATAAATTTATAAATATAAGATAAAACTCCTTATATAATAAATTATTAAAAAAGAAGCAAAAAGTTAATAAATAATTAATAGCCTTATAATAAATATTGCTTATAAAATAAAATATAAAATAAAGGATGCAAAAGATAAGAAATTAGCAGTTAAAGAATTATATATATATGCTTAAGCTATTATTAAGCAAGGTATAATTATTATAATTATTTTTTAATACCTATTAATAACTTATTTATTAAATAAATATTTACTTTATTATATTAATAATAATGCTATTATCCTTAAATTAAAGTATATTATAAGCATAATCTTAATTTTAACCTTATCTTCCCTTATTGCTATAACTATAAGGCTACTTTAATATATAATTATTATTGCTATTATTATTGCTATTAAGCTAAATAATAAGTTAAGTATTAAGAATAATTTATAGCTTAACGCTATTTTAATTAAGGCAATAAGTAATATAAGATATAATAATAAGGTAAAGATTTAAGTTTTTATAATATAATAAAGAGTATAATAATAATAAGAATAAAGCTTATATATAAATTAAGATAATAAATAATTAACTTTATTTATATATTATACTTTTTTATATAATTAATTTATATTATAATATTTATATTAATAAATGGCTAAATAATATAATAATAATATTTTTAAGTAATTTAACTTTTAGTTTAAAGTGCTTTAACGCTTTTTTTTTTCTATAAACTTAGGAGTTTTAAGTTTAACCTTTAATTTAGCTAAATCTTTTTAATACTTTTAAACACTCCTTCTTTTTATTATATAAAAAAGAGAAAACAGATTAATAAGGAGATATAAATATTTAAATAATATTATTATAAGATATTAATTTTAACATATTATATCTTTATTAAAAAAAATTATATATATAATATAATTTTTACTTTTAAATAAATAAAGCTTAATAATTTTAATAATATAATTAGCATTTTAATTAAATATTAACTTATAATAAGAATAATTAATTTATTACTTAATTAATTAAGCGCAAACTTATTAATGCTTATTTACTTATAATTATAATGCATTAATTTTAATATATTATAACTTTATTATAAGAAATGTTAAATATAATATAATTTTTACCTTTAAATGCTTTAAAGCTAAAAAATTAAGTTATATAATTTATTTTTTAATTAACTTTTATTTTATTATTATAATAAATAGCTTATAATATAGCTATTATTAATATATAGCTTATATAACCCTGCCTTAAGATAAGGTTAGCTTAATATATTTAATTAATAAACTAAATACCTTAAAATATATATTTAATTTATTAATTAAATATATAAAGTAAACCAGCAATTAATTTTCATTATACCACCATAACATGTTATAAAAATATATATATATAATAATAAATTAAACTCCTTAACTTTTTAAATTAATTTATTATTATAAAAGCAATACTTTAATGATTTAAGTTATTTTTATAATATAAAAGTAACTCACTATATTATTTTATTAAGAAATCTAGCTATTTAATTTCCTTAATTTTAAATTAAAGGTTACGGCCCTATATATTGCATTTTATATATTTAAGGGTAATATTATTCATTTCTTATATAAATAACCTTAATATATAAATTAAGTATTATATTTACCTTATAAGGAAACTTTTATAACTTGATTTTATAAGCTTATGCTCTTATTATTTACTAGCTATAAATAAACTTAAAATTATTAAATTATAAATTATAAATTCCTATTATAAATTATATAACTTATATAATTTAAAATATATAACTTTTAACTCTTATACTTATTTATTAATAATAAAACTTAATAACTTTAATAAAATATTATTAATAATATTAATAATTAAAAAAAAAGAGCTTTATAATAAGCTTAAAAAAAATTATAAGCAAAAAAGCCTTAATTAATAATAAAATTAAATATTAAAATTATTAAAATTATATATTATCTTAAAAATTCCTTTATATATTTAGCTTTAAGTAATAATAAGGGTGCTTTTTAAAAGTAAATAGCTTTAAGTTTTTAAAAAAAATAAGCATTATCTTATAAAGTAATATTAACTATAAAGTATAATATAAGCTTAACTAAGTTATAATTAATAAGTAAACCTAGGGAATATATCTTTTAAAAAGATGGAAATAATAATGTTAATAAGTTCCTTAACTTATAAGCTAGCTAATCCTAACTTAAAGAAATATTTTATTACTTAATTTAGCTTTATTTATAGCTAGCTAGTTTTTATCTTAATAGTTTTCTTTCTTATAATCTTCCTTTTTATCCCTTAATTATATTTAAAAGCTTTAAGGGTTTTAAAATATTAATAAGGAGTGTTAATATCTTAAATATATATATTTAAGTCTTTTCTTTTATAATCCTTTCTTTTATACTTTATACTTGCTAATTTATAATTTTAATATAATACTTTTAATAATCCTCTTTCTTATAATCCTCCTTATAATCCTTCTTTTTTATAGTTTTACTCCTTTTATTTTTCTTAATTCTCTTCCTTATTCTTATTCTTTATAGTTTTTATTTTCTTCCTTATAAGCCTTATAATATAATTAGGTGCGTTTCAATAATTGCATAAGGTAGCGTATAATCCCTCTTATATAATTCTCTTCCTCTTAATCTTCCTCTTAATTCTTTACCTTTAAACTTTATTGCAAAGCGTATTTAAAAAGAGAAATGCTAAGGGGGGGGGGGATAAAGATGCTAAATGCTTAGCTTAACAATAATTAAAACTTAAATCATTATTATAAAGAAAGGTAATTCCAAACTTTATTATATAAGTATTAATTATCCTTATAATTCTTATTATTTCCTTTATAATTATAATTTATATGCTTTTATTAAGGCTTTTTATTTATATATAAATTTAAATACATATTTAATTCTCCTTTTATATTTTTATATTAAATAATGCTTTTACTTTTTAAATATCTTAAGAATTCTTTTAAGCTTATTTTTCTTCTTAATAAAGTTTAAACTTATTATATTAAAATCCATAATGCCTTTTTTATTATAAAGCATTTCTTAAAGTAAGTTAATATGCTATTATTATTATAATCTTATTCTTAAAGTATTAAATAATTAATAATTTTCCTTATCAACGCTTATATCCTTAAGCTTTATATTAACTTATATATATTTATATTTATATTTATATTTATATTTTTAAATTTTTATATATATTTATATTTATATTTATATCTTGAATTTTATATTTTTTATATCTTTATAACTTTAATAATAATTTACCTTATTAAAATAAAGTATTAAAGCTATTTTTAAGTAATATATATATTATAAGAATTAAAATATTTAGCTTATTAAATATTATATAGTTAATTAATTTATTTATTATAATATTAATTATTATACAAGGCATTATTGCGAAATTATATTTCTTTTTTAATTATTTAATATAAGAACTTTATATTAAGTGCTTCTTTAATGCTTAAAGTAAGATTATTAAAATATAAATTATGCCTAAAATTAATATACATTATTTTAATAAGGTAAATTATTATTAAAGTTATAAAGATATAAAAAATATAAAATACAAGATATAAATATAAATATAAATATATAAAATTTTAAAAATATAAATATAAATATAAATATATAAAATTTTAAAAATATAAAATATAAATATAAATATAAAAATATAAATATAAATATAAATACATATATTTAAATACATAAATATAAAATATAAATATAAAATACATTATATATAAATATTAATTATTTAAATTTAATATAAATTCTTTTAAAATAAGCTTAAAACTAGCTATTTAAGTATATTTTTTTTAATTTTATATCTTCTTTTTCTAAAAAGATATTATATATAATATAAAAGTATTTTTTTTTTAAAAAAAGCTTATCTTCTTATTTAAGTCTTATCTTATTTAAGTTTTTTTCCCCTTAAATATAAAGTATTTATAGCTTTTTAATAAATTTAAATATAAATAAAATAAAAATATATTTAAAATGCTTAAATTAAATAAAATTTAAATTAAATATTACATAACTTATATTTATATTTATATTTTATATTTTAAATATAAAATATAAATTTAAAATTTTAAAAATATAAATATAAAATACAAGGCCTATATAAATATAAATATAAATATAAATATAATATTTAAATATAAATATAAATATAATATTTAAATATAAATATAAATATATATATTTTATATATATTTTATATTTTTAAATATAAAATATATAAATATTATTATAACTCTGGTTATTATCATGCCTTAGCTACGTTTATTTAAGCTCTTGCTAATAATTTTATATATTTTATTAAAATAGAGCAGCAGCTATTATTAATATTATTATAATATAATATAAAGCTAGGCTTATTATCCTTATTATAAGTAAAGAAGTTAAAGTTATCTTATAAGTAATATATAATATTAATTATAAGATATTATATTAATTAATTATAATTATATTTATTTATAAGCTATTAAGCTACCTTATTAACTTTATTATTATTATATTTAATTGCTTTATATAATAAGGATTAACTTATAAAATGGTTTATTTAAAATTACTTTAGCAAGGGGCATAATTTATAAATAAGCAAGTCCTTAAACTTAAGCAAAAGATTATATTTTTTTATAATAATAATAAAGTAAGATAATTAATAAGATAATAATAATATTATTAATAATATTATTTATTATAATATAATTATTAAGGTATAATATAAAAAAAGATAAGTTACGGTAAAATTTTTACTTAATTAATTATATTTAAGATATAATAAGGGTATTTAATTAATAAATTAAATATTTTAAAATATATATTTAGCTTATTAATTAAATATAATATTGCATTAATTAATATAATTAAGTTTATAATATATTATTTATATATAAGATTAATTAATTATAATATAATTAAACCTTTATATGCTTTATAAACAAGGTAATATAATAGCTGCTATTTAATAAATCTTAGGATAAAACCTTTTAAAGTAAGTAATATAAAAGTTTATATAATATAAAAATATTAAATGCCTTAACTTTTAAACTCCTTTTCCTTAATTATTACTTCCCGCTAAAATTATTAAATATATAATTATAATATTACAACTTTTATAGTTATTATAAAGGCGTATAATATGTTGCATTTTTATATTTTAAAATCTTAAAAGTTATCTTATTATAAATTATTAAAAAGCATTAATAAATTAATATAACTCTTTAATAATATTAAAGTAGCTCTTATTAAGCTAACCTTATAAAAATGCTATTATAAAAATATTAACTTAGTTATATTAACTTAAAGTAATAGCCTTATTTATTAATATAATCTTTAATAATATTATTATTAAAATATTAATTACTTAATTATGTAATCTTAATAATATTAATTAAGTAAATTAAGTATTTATAAATCTTTATTATTCTTATTATTATTATTAAAGTATTGAAAATATATACCCTGCTTTAATTTCTTTAAAATTAACAGCAATCCCTTAATTAAAAGCCCTTTCCTTTATAAATTTATTAAATTTTAATATTATAATAAATAATAAACCTTAATATAAGGCAATAAAGATAAAATCTTAACGTTAAGGTTATTAAGCTAAGCCTCTTTCTTTATATTATAAATAAGGTAATACTTATTTATATTAATATTAAAACGCCTTATTAAAGAAGCATTATTATCTTATTTAAAGGATATAACTTACTTAATATCCTCCTTTATATTTATAAAGCTAAACCTTTAAAGCGTAAGGCTTAAACTTAAATATAAATTATATAGCTAATTTTAAGTTTATTAATAAATCTCCTTATATATTAAAACTTTAGGGTTTTAATTTAGCTTAAAATTATAATTTAACCTAGGGTTATAATTTAACATAAAGTCTTAATTTATTCCCTTAAAGCTTATATTCTTAATCCTTACCTTATTTAATATAAAGTAATTAATGTTTAGCTTAGCTATATTTATAAAAAGTTTTATATTAAGTTAAAGTTAAACTATATTATTAAGGTAACTTTATATAAGCAATGCATTATTAATAAGAAGAATAAAGGTAAAAGGGTTTTATTCCAAGCTAATAGCTTAAGGCTATAATTATTATAATATATTTTACGCAAAACTTAGCATATTATACTTATAAAAATCATTATTATATATATAATTTATATAAGCATTATTAAGTAAAAATATAATTTTTAAACTATTTACTTAATATTAATTAATATAACATTTAACTTAATTATTATATTTTATTATGCATCTTTTATAATTTATAAGCTAGGAGTAATGGCTAATTATTTATATAAGTAAGGTAGCGAAATTATTATTTTAATAAAAAGCGTTATTACTTAATCGCCACCCTTAAAAACGCATATTTTATTAAGAATTTATTATAAGCTAATAAATAAACAGCAGGTTAAGCTATAAATTATATTAATACTTAGCTAAGATAATAATAAAAGGAAAAGAAAAAGAAATAATCTTATTAGCTATATAACTTTATAATTTATTAAGTATTAATTACTTAAGAAGTTTATAATTAAAGCTAAGTATTATTATTATATAGCTTTTTAAGTAAACCTAGCAATAATTAATGCCTTTATAATTATATAAGCTGCATTTACTTAATATATATTTAGCTTAAAAACCGCATACTTAATTAAGGTAGCAGCTTTTCATAGCATATAAAGGGAATTATTTATATAAAGGAAAGGCGGCTACCTTAGCATTTAGGATTAAAAGAAAGGCAAAGGAAGCTATAATAACTTAAATAAAGAATTTATAGTTTATTAAAAATGCTTATTATATATATTTATATATATATATATTATAAAAAGGGGGTAAAAAGAATAAAAAGTATATATTATAATTATTATTTAACATTTATAATGCATATATTAAAGTTTAAAATCTTATAAGGCTGCGGCTATATTAAGTAAATATTAATATAAATAATAATTAGCAAATTAAATATTATAATTAGCTAATACTAGCTATTAGCTATATTACCCAAGCAATATAGCTTTATATATTTACATTATAACTTATATTATGCAATAAAACATTATAATACAATACTTTATAATAAGAATTATATTATAAAAGCAATATTATTTAAAAGAGTATAATTATAGCTATAAGAATATACATAACTTATTTATTATTAATGCAGCGCAAGGCAGTTATATATTTCCTAATAAAAGGAGGCTAGTAAAGGGCTAGGGCATTATAACACCATAATATATACTTTACCAGCTGCCGCCATAACGCGCGCTTAAGATAATAATAAAGCTTATATAAAGCGAGAAGAAGTCCTGCAATATATCGGTCACCGCCAAGGCGCCAAAGCGGCTTAGCGGTGAAACCGCTATGCTATTTATGGAAAATGTATACATTTTTCTTTGCAGGGGAGGGTGGAATTCATCGTCCCGCTGTGAGAGCACCAGTGAACCATCTTCTGACAACGAACTTAAGAAACACGCAGCACTAACGTTCGACTCTCAGGAGAAATAAATCCTCAATACAATCACTTCATATTAACCAGGAGGAAAGAAGAAGAAAAGAAGAAAGAACCTACCAGCTCACCGCTCGGATATGCTACCTGGCACTCCCTCCAGTGCTTGAGATATCCCGAGGTCGGCTCAGCCCAGGACTAAAGGAGCGGAGTTCAGGAGCTGCTGTCTGAGACTGTTATTCAAGGGTAGCCAATTCCGCTCGGAAATGCGGAAGTCGGTTTTAGCTACTTTGCTTACTCGGCATCTGACATGCACGCAGATCATAAATAGTCCGAGAGACGGACCGCGGTAAGATGAGACCGATTCAGAAAGCAGGCGTCGAGAGGTTCTAGCCAAGCGAGGGATAGATCCATCCAGTAAGCAGATGTCTCTCCCTCCACGGTCACGCAACATGCACATGCTGATGCTGAGGTTAGCTTCGGGACATGAGAGTAGGCCTGAGCGAGCAAGTAGTGCCGCACCCTGCGGTGAGGCAAGGCAAGATGAGCTTCATTATCATGGGCTATGATGACTTCTACAACCAAGACCACGAGCCTGTCTGGTGTCCATGGACGCAGCGCCCGGCTACACCTGCGCTAGTATTTAAAGGAAAATTCAAGAATGTCCGTGGTGCGTGCCTGAGACATGAGTAACCCTAACCCTGCATGTCACCACCGTCTGCCTACCACACTCGGTGTCTGGGGCACAGGTGAAAAGAGCGCACCATAACACAAGGATCCTTGAGAAGCCGCGTCCTGAATCGCGTCAAGCAGTACGACGGCGTCCAAGACGACGGTGAGCTTTCCTCCTTTCTGCTAAAGGCTTCTCACTCCCACGTGCAAAGGTCGAGTCACGAGACACGCAGCCCATTCCGGGAGACTAGGCTGGCCAACGCCTCTGCTGATACCGGTTTGGATTGTCTCCGTCTTGAGAATCTATACCGCCCGGTACCAGAATGTCATTTCTGAGCCATTGAACCTTGGGAATTCATCTTGCTGCGGTCCTGCATGCGGTCCAAAATTAACGTGCCGGCCACTACTAGTGTACTTACTACCTCTATACTCGTCCCTCGAGTTGACCTGCCCCTGAGTCTGGAATAGTCATGAGGTTAGAGTTTGATTATGCTTACGGTGAGGGGGGGTGATCCTAAGGCGAGCTTTCCTGAGTGGGGCTTAGCTTGGTTAAACTTGCCCCGTGCATAAAGACACTTTGTCTCGGGATATGCCAGCACGTGGCAAGCAGCCCGGATTTTGACGGGCATTTAATCAAATTATAGGTTAGATAATTAAGCCGAGGATTGAGTTAGCTTATATGCGTTACTTATAGTGATTGTGATAATACCTGTGATGCTGTTGGCGTTGCCGTTTTTGTGATTGGTTTGTTAGTCGTGCTGCATTGGCAGCCTTATGGGTCCTAACTGGTATCTACTTGGTTGGCAAGCCTCGCGGTACCTTTCTTAACTGCCGGATAGTGATTAGGTAGTTGTATGTGCTGTATTTACGCTGCTATAATGGGGTTACATTTAAGGCTGGTATGACTTCCTAAGGGGGTTGGAAAGTAAAATAATGTAAATAATTGTTTCGTGTTAGCGCGTTGATACCTGAGGTAGTGATAGCATTTAGAAGTGATGCGGTTTAATATTGGTATGTGGCGCTTATATGGAAATGCCTTATATAATAACTAGTCTTGGGTTAAGGATAGTTAATTGATTACTTAGCTGGAAAAAAAGTCGTTAGTATTAGTTATAAAACCGTACTGTGTTAATAATAAGGATGCTGACCAGTATTTATAGTGTGATTAGTTATAATAAGGCAGCCATGACTGGTTAGGAGGTGGCTACGGCAGCCTAAGGGGGGTGTGACTGGTACCAACTCCAGGAGCGATGACTGGTCGCGAGGCGCAGAGCAGGCAGTCTGGGGGCGATGACCAGTCTGGGGGCGATGACCAGTCTGGGGGCGATGACCAGTCTGGGGGCGATACATCTCCAAGCCCAACATTGGTCACGTAGCGACCGCCCATGACTGGTCACAATAGACGGGTTGGATTACTGCTTTTCCTCATCACGACGTTGGAGTCCATGGCTTTCATAATGAAAACACTATCAGATTTACTTATAAGCTACCTAAACTATCTATTGAACTGACAGCTCCTCACATCACTCTATCAACGTCTTGCGATTAGCCAAGCCCCTGACCAGTCATCGCTTTCAGCGATGTGAGTGATGAAATCCCCACTTGGTTGACTCCCACTCCGTGACTGAGCCTAGTCACAAAATTAACCGAAGTCATTCTAGAGGAGCCCCAAAATGCTCGTGTCACTCATATGCTCTGGGGCTTAATGTCAAAGGAGGGTACTGGATCGAATGAGCGAAGATTAGTCACAAGCACAATGTCCCAAGAAGCACGGTGATAAAAAGAAAAAGGGCCAGCCGCATACAAGACTATAAGTATCCCTCAGACAACCAGGGGTCTGTATTGCGAGCTCATCTGTTCTGTGCTCGTATCGGTCTTCTTTGAGAACTTCTATTACTCCTTCATGGATAAAGAAGCGATATCCCTGAGCCGGGTATCCGTGTTGTTTCACGAATTCCAGGCAGACCTCGGCGTTCCGTCGTCGGACCGGGTTTGATTCATTTTTAATACTACCCTCCACCAGTCTTATGTGGCCTTGCACCTCCTCGGCATCGGCTCTTGTGGCGCCAGTAACCGTGGCTGGAGACGAATCAGTTCCGCTTTCGGTGGACCCGCCTGGTGCCGTGGCCGTGGGAACAGGCTGGTCTTGAGGTTGCGATGGGTCGCTTGACATTATCATCGAAGGGGTCAGGTTTTGGGGCAGGTAGGCCGGGTCTCGTATCGAAACAATTAAAGATTTAGCAATATGAGGAATGGCACAGAGAATTGTGGTTGACTTGGCAAGCGTTGGGTGATAGAAAGACTGCATCGAGTCTGATGACAGGAAAATTTGAACGCTTTATAATAGTAGGATAGATGCAGGCTTAGATAAGCCATTGAGCACAGCGGTTTTGCAGCCCATGATCCAATGGCATCGCCTGTCTCAACTGTACGATATGCTCTGCTAAAAATAACCCTACGTCATGCCAAAAATATCGTCGAATACGTCAAAATATTTTTAGAACAAGTGGATAATAGAGTCAAGGCCAGGAGGGCATTCCGCATGTCTGTTGGCGGCACAGAAGCGCTATCATGTTGCATTATGCGGCGTAGGTAATTGACGCTGCTATTCGCGATGGGAAAGGTGGGGCGGAGCCCTGCCTTTATCCGCAAAGTGGATCATTTGTCCTATCCTGGAACCAGTCCAATGGTGGTGTGGTCAGTCGACCCAACTTCGCCGTGGGTCAAACAGAACTGGCCACACCTGGGCGGTTGCCTGGCTGCACAGCTAGGCTGGCTCGGAAATCCAACAATATAAACATCACCCAATTGATAGTGTATCTTTTATGCCTAGATGTCGCTGCTGGTACTCGTATTTGGTTCAGTGGCGGTTTGTGTGGTTTGATCGTCATGGCCTGTGTATCTCGCACTAAAAGCTCTCATGTAGGGATCAGCTTCGCAGGGACAGTAGAAGTCTCGCAAGAGACCCTCTCTACATCAAGACGTGGGCCAACAGCCACAACATCTACTTTTGGGATAAGAGGTCCCCACCCTTTGGTCTCCGTGTCTCAATGTTGGGTTCCTGGGGCCATTCCTAGGGAGTCGTCCACAATGTGACCAGTCCAGGAAGCTATAATTAGTCCGGCCATCGACCACAATCATGACCAGTGGGCCTTGATTCAATCGTGCCTCTGAAAGGCGTGCGTAGTGGAGATCGTAATGTGGGAGAATTCGACACAGATGCAATATAAAACTCACTGGCTGTTCCACTCAGGAGTTGCAACTTGGTGTTAGCATTAACCAAGATTTCTCCCCATCATCACAATATCTATCCCCATCATCCCCAGATTTTGTTTCTCCTGTGATTCTCTCATCACTAGGCACAGCCGCCATTTCTCGTTGTACAAACTTCTGACAAAGCAATAGTCAAGCTTCAAAAACTGCCAGATCATATCAATACCTCTGTCTTCAACAATTCATCGACTTCATCAACAATTTTACGATATGTCTAAGCCAACTGCAAAGATGTCTCCCAGGGAGCAATTCACTCAAAAGATTCGAAAGCAAAACATGGACGGAATCATCCAAGACATCCAGAGAGACTTTCAAGCGGAGACAGACCCTAACAGGAAGAAGAACATCGCAGCCTGCTTAGCCAAGGCAAAGACGACTGGGACCTACGTTTCCTCATCGCACACCCTGTTCGCTATTAGTGGAAAAGCATGCATTGCTCAACATGCTCAATTCGACAAGATATTGGCTACTCTAGATGCTCGTGGCCAAAAGCTTGTATACGATAGGGTAAATTTACCTTCTCAAATCCGTTCAGAATCTAGCCATAAGTAGTGATTAACCTCTTTTCCCGTTATAGCGCGGTACGGCTGAACAGAATATGGCCGGCACCCCAGATTCCAATACGGTTACAGAAGGGCCGAATAAGGTATTTGATTACGGTATTTGAGTTACAAGCAAGCAGCTCCTAATGCTATTTGTTAGGTCCCAGGTCCAACTAGGGATCAGATGCTAGCAGTAGCCACATTTACGAATGTAGAGCCGAAGCTCGACTATAGCGGACCCACGACCATGCACCAGGTGAGCTTGCACTACATACCCCAGGGAATTTGTCTTGAGCTGAGGATTTTGTTAACTCTGAATCAGATATTTGCTATAGTTCGCATCCCTGCAGCTTTTAGAGCCCCAGGACTAACAGCCGAGGACCTCCGAAAGGTAGAGGCTGGTTCAAAATTCACGGTTTGCTTCGATACCGGTTCTGAAGTCCAGACAATTGAAAAATTAGTCTGGGACGAGATGTCCGGCAAGGGAAGGTTCTACGGTGGTAAAATAGGAACCGGCAGGGTGACAGGGGCCACTGGTCATCAGCAGCTCAGAACATATGTCAAGGTTGAGATCGGCTACTTCCGAGACGATGCTCGCAAGATCCAGCTAGGGTCTTGGCGAACGATCGAAGCAAATTTCTCCGACAGAGAATTTGAACACAATCTCAGTGGGCGGGAGATTCTCGAAGACTACGATTTCTTCTTGCCTCAGGGCCACGGCGCTCTTCTCATGGGCACTAACAAGGTCGCACTGGCGTGGGAATATATGATGAGATCCAGAGATATCAAGGAGATTGCTCTGATAAACCAGTGGGCCGCTGCCGAGGTCGCTAAAGCTCGCAACCCTGGAGCGCAGGGGCCTGCCGCATAGACGATACGCTGTACGATGGGCTCGTCTAAGCAGTGTGCTGGCGGGTGTCTGGATATATTTGATAACTATATCGGGGACACCTTTTGTGTTACCTTTCTCTCGTTTCAATTACACCTATAGAGATCAATATAGCTAGCAGCCGGACTCTGAGGCTCGTGGGATCTTCAATTCAAGATGATCGTAACGTAATTCAGCTAATAGGCAAGACAGTCTAAATTTCGCACTGCTTTGAGGGGGGGGGGGTTGTATTGCAAGGTAGATACTCCTCCGCGTCTATACTCTTGTAACTAACAACGAAGGCCTTCTTAAGAAGGTAAATAAGCAGGATGAAACAAAGGGAACGAAGGGGGAAGTTCAGGTGTATCCGCGAGAGGACCACGAGGGGATGTACAAAGCCGCCGAAGACTTTCTGCGTACGCTCTAGGCTGCTAGGGAAGAAACGAGCGACTAAGCAGACAGAACAGTTAAAAGGAAGAATACAGTGTGGCCAAAGCCAGAAGGAATATAGCACCTTCTCTGCTGATCTGGTTGATCTTTAGTGTGGAAATATTATATAGCTTTGAGTTCCTCCTTTAAGCCGGAACGACGACAATGAGTGTCCTAAAAAGATAAAGCACAATGCATCTTTTCTGATAAAGGCAGCAAGTTTGTGGAAAATAGTATGTAATACATTGTTATTCTATTAAAATTGCAGCTTCGCTAAGCCCTCCTCTTGGTCATCTTGTGCCTTCGTTGACACGACGACGGCCTCACTGGGCATGTAATCCGGGACGGATTGTAATGGTAATTATGAGAGAACCTTGGGGAACAGTACAATTGAATTTTATCACGGTCATGGCTTTAATCGCCGTCTAAGGACGATGAGACAGGGCTACCCGGCCCGGCACTCGCTTATCTGGGTCATCGACTAAGTCACCTGCAAGCAAACAGCCGGCATCTAGGATGCTAAGAAGTAGTGGTTTATTCCTGATAATCTTGCAGCTTATCTAGGTTCCTACTAGCTTATTATTAGGAATACGGATATTCGCAAGGTAAAAAACGGATGATACAAGGGTATATATTGCCCCCAGTACACCAACTCCCACACCCAATTCATATACCCATGCCTAATTCGCACGCCCAATTCACATACCTATACCTAATTTACATTTTATATATTTATATAAATTAAGTGTAAATTAGGTATATAAATTGGGTATAAGTATACGAATTAAGCGTGTAAATTAGTCGTAAATATATAAATTAAGTATATAAATTAAGCATAAATATATAAATTAAGCGTATAAATTAAGCGTAGGTATACGAATTAAGCGTGCGAGTTAGGCATGCAAATTAAGTATATAAATTCGAATTTTGATAGGCTTTAATTAGTTAACATCCCCGGCCCTGATCTTGGCCGCCCCTTAATCCTGGCCGGCTTATACTTGCATATATGCATAAATGCATTTATACCTACCCTATATTAACTTCTCAATATCTTTATTAGGAATTTTTTTCTAATTACTAAACTTTTCTTAAATATTATTTTCTTTATTATAAAGCAATATTTTAAAGATAACCTTATTAATGCCTTTATTATTATAAAAAATAAGATATTAATTTAATAAGCCTTTAAAATATAATATATTTTTTAAGCTATATTATTTAATTATCTTAATAATATTTAAAGCTATTATATTATTATTAACCCTTAAAGGCTTTTTTTTAATTATTAAAAAGCTTTATTAACTTTATTTATAATTAATTAAAGTAGCTTAAGGCTAATATTAATATAATTTAAAATAAGGGCTTTAAGAGCTTAATTAACTTTTTTAAATAAAAATTATCTTTCCTTTAAAAGAAATTAACTAAGGGCCTTTCTTTTTTATTATCTTATTTTTAAAAGCTAAAAAAGTTAATATATAAAGGCTATTTATTTTTAATTAATTATTTAAAAAAATATTAAGTTTTAATTTAACTTTTTTTAGCTATTTATTATTAAGTTTATTTAATTAGCTTATTATTAAAATATTAATAAGGAAGGGTTAATAAAAGGTTGCTTAAAGAATATTCTTACTTTTAGTTATTTAAATAATAGTTCTTTATTATAAAAAAACTTTAATTTAAAAACATAAACCTTTTTTATAAAATATATATTTATTATAAGCAAGTTTTTTAACCCTTTAATTATATTTAAGGAACTTAATATATAATAATAATAATTTCTTATTACCCTTAAAAATTATAATAATTAGCAATTTATTATAATAAAAAAAATATAAATAGAAAAAAGAATAGCTATTAAATAACTTAAAAGGGTATTTATTTCTTAAACTACCTTTTTAAATCCTTTTAAATAGTAATTATTAATTATAAATAAGCATTATATATATATAATTATTAACTTTATATAAAAATGCTTTTTACATTAAATATATATAATCTTTTTACTTATATATATTTTTTATATATTATAATTCCTTAATATTTAAATATTTTCTTTATTAAAAATAATATTTTAAAAGTATTTATATTTAATAAGGTAATATAATTCCTTATTAATAATAATAAAGAAAAGGTTTTTCTTTTATTATTATAAAGTATAAAAAGAGGTATTTATAAAGTTAAATATATATTTAAGGTAAAAAATAATAAAACTTTAGCTAATATTTAAATATAAAGTACTTAAAAATTATTATATTTTTAAAAATTATTAAATTTAGCATAAATTATTAAAATTTAATATAATAAGAAGCTTTATTAAATAATTCTTTATACTTAAGGTTTTTTTTAATAATTAAAACCTATTTTTAAAACTTTTAAGTAATTATAAAAAGTATATTAATTAATTACTTATTAATATTATAATAAATACTTAAGCCTTATATTATAAATACTTTTTAAAAAGCTTTTTAAAGTATATAATAAGAAAAAACTTAATTAATTATAATTTTATAAAAAAATTAATAGCTAAAAGCTTAAATTAAGGCTAATTAAAAGATTATAAGAAGGAAGGTTTAAATTAACCTAAATATAGCTTTTATTAATATTAAGGCTATTTATAAAGCTTAAATAAAAATAGGAAGGGTATTAAAAAAAAGCAATACTTTTAAAAAATTAAAAATGCTAATAAAAGAGGGATTATGCATTATAATGATAGGCAATTAACGTTAAAGAGAAGGCGTGTATGGGTACTAAGGGCGGCTGGGAAGGGGGGGCGGCCGGGATCGGGGCCGGGGACGTTATAGCCCCAGAGGCTATACTAACTAAGCGTTTTACCTTGCGCCCTCCGTTTTTTACCTTGCAAATATCCATATTCATTATTAGCGGGTTCAGGATTATAAAATTATAATATCAAAAGGCTATCCTAAGATAATTAATAAAATCCCGTGAACCACGTCATAATACCTCAAATTCTTTGATGTTAAGGAAGGAGCAGAAATCTTCGCTTGTCCTTGACTCTTCTGCGTTCAACTTGGCAACTTTGTCAGTACGCTTATTTCTCAACTGCTGTACCTAAGCCCCCCCTCCCACATTGTTGGAATATCTGCACTTCGGTGACCGAATAACGGTTACTCCATGGAGTATTTATACTTATAAAAGAGAATATGTAGTGGGTTTGCCACTGCAGAGACTTTCTTTAGTACTTAAGTCAGAAGGAAATCCCTTCTGACCAGAGCAATAGTTATACCGAATATAAGGATTCTGGACCCCATTTCTCTCACACATCAGGGCGATGGAAGCATTAATTATCTAGAAGTAATAGACTGTTCCCTACTCGATGGTCTGAAGGGCCGCATGGTACCAATTCAAGTGCAACAGTCACTTTTGTTTTCACTAAGCAAGATTTAGTATCATCAACAAAGTCAAGTGGCGATAGATTTGAGACTACAGTAGGATCTGATGACGCCAGGATTCTTGCCAAATGATCCCGTTTTTTTGCAGATGTCCTTTGCTAAAAACAATCATAGTAAGATAAGTACCCCAGGGTAGGGGGATAGCCCTAGGTCTGCTCTCACCTGAAGGCACGCAGCCCCTGAGACAGTTTTAGACTATCGAGTGCTGCACAATAGCTGTCCCGGCTAAAAGACAACAATTCTAAGTCTCACAAACTTAGAATTCAGCACTTATAAGCCCGTACCGTCACAGTCCCACCCTATGTTTCACACAAGAGCCCAAGCAGACTTACTCGCAGGCATGATGGCTGTCCTCATTATCGCACACGCTGAGACAGAGGTCAGAGCCAGATTCAAGAACTGGATTGGGCGGTTGGAGGTCGACTGGATGATGGCTACATCCCCGGACAGCTTGGATACCCAGCAAGGCTTCTGGAAGGGGCTAAATTCGGGCAACTTGATCACAATATTCGACATCAACTTCGAGCAACGAACAGCGGAGGTACCCTTTGCTGCGGACTACACACAGGCTTTTGGCCCGTCCTTTTTTGCTTGTAGGAGGGACTTACGACCATTCGGTATGTCATACCGAAGACCTATACATTGCCGCCTCTAGCCGAGCCCCCGTCAGATATTGAGGATACTCATTCCGATGGAAGTGTTGCCACTGCGAAATCCCAGGATAGTTCTGGTGGCAGTGTGTCTGTTAAACACGCAGATCCTACTCCTAATAGCAGGCAGCATAGTCCTAACCAGATGGACTTAAATAACTTGCCCTAGGCGGCGATGGTAGAGAGCCCAGACGAGATACATTGCCTTTGTGAACAGCTCAACGTGGCTGACGTTAACCTAGAGGAGCTGGAACAATGGCTGCTTGGCCAACTCAGTGAGGAGGGCGAGGTTAAGACTTTCTCTACTTGGTATACGCACTGGGAGACTAAAATTGATGGGGCGGAAAACTTTTAAGATTAGATGTTGGTGCGGACGTTATTCACCTATACGTTGGGCCGAGTCTACCAACTTCACTCCCTGTTTAAGGATTTGGCTAAAGGCTTCCTCCTGACCGATATGTTAAACGACGAGGAGTTATACCTATTATGCGATGCTGCAGAGGTACGATCGTCCTTAGGCAAATTACTCATCTTCAAGGCTTAGGCGGAAGCCTTAAAACAAAATGTGAAGCCTGGTCAAGGGTTCTTCGCATCTCGAACAAGCTGAACAGCAAATTCTGCGTCACCGAGTTCGTTGAGGAATACGCCGAACATCACGTCCTGCAATGGGACACAATGTGTTAGCTTAAGTCGTAAAACCAAATTAGGAGTAAATACCTTATAATATAAGCCCTGATTTAAGTTTGGTTAACACCAAAAACTCAATATACTTGCTAATACATAAAGAAGAACAGATAATAGCCATTAAGTGTACCCAAATATAAATGCATATCCTAGGTCTTTCGCACTTAAACCAGTCGTTACCATTCTCTGCCCTCACGGAAGAACTCCTTAGCAGTCTTGCGCGGCACCATGGTTATATGGTGCGAAAAAGCCTGGTGGGGATAGTTGTGGTAGGGCCTGGTGGAGAGGAGACACGGATGCTAGAGGCGGTTAGTACTAAGTAGGAGAAGAATGAGGAGGAGGAGAAGAAGGAGCAGAAGGAGAAAGAGCAGGGAGAGCGACCACGACCGCGACCGCCTCAAGTACAGGACTCTGGTAGCTGGGCGGCAGTGCATTGCCAGCAACCGGGTCAGAGGGCTGCCGGGGAGCTGGCCTTGGTGCCTTGGTGTCTGTTGGGGCCAGAGGGCTGGTCGAAGGTGATTTATTCACCGAGCGTCGTGGAGCGTCACGGAGTGGTGGGTGAGGCGTGAACGGATCAGAGGTGGGCGGCTGACTAACCCGTCTAGGACAGGCCGGGCGGGAAACCACGAAAGACTACCCAGGTAGGCTTGCCGTTAAAGTAACTCAGTCTTTATTTCAACCGCAATGCCCCACCCAGCCTATTGCACGTGAGTCAGGAAATCGGTTTCCATAAGCCGAAAGAATTGCTTCAGCGCGCCTTGGTCGAGTCGTGAAGACATCCCACTGGCAATCTCGGAGACCCGGCTGTCATGATCCAGTGCTGGTACCCGTCCAGATTTTCTCTTTCCGCTGTTAGAAACAAGTACCGCGCAGAAACTAAGATACAAAACATCACGTGGATCCATCTCACTCTGAACATGGAATAGGCAGTCGGAAAACTTTTTACTCTGAGGGTGCTACTGTGCACCATAACAACCGGTGGCGGTTGACTCTCAATGCTTTTGACATTTGTGTTGTCTGGTAATTTCTCACCTTAAATCAGCTGTTAAAACGAGTTAGAAATCTTACTTTAAAAAGATACGTGAATGTGTGCATGAGACCGCAAGAGAAGACACCGCCCTGGGATTGTGAGTGATCGCTGGTAACACTGTTTTAGTAACAGGCACCTGATATGCTATTGCACAACTCAAACGATCGGTCCATAGTAGCGCGCGCACGAATCTGGATCCACTGGTCTTCCCGCATCCAAGCATGTCAAAAATTGATTTTATTGTTGTGCTGTTTCATTATATAAAACGGCACATCACATGCTATTGTGTGAGTAGAATTTAATCTGTCAAGCCGTTCTGATACCACCACGCTAGGAATCGTGACGACAATTTTCCACATTAACTCTTTGCACAAAACTCGGGCTGTGATGACCGCTATGGCGTCAGAAAAGATTGAGGTTGACAGCGGAGGCTGGAACAGACTGCCCACGGAGCTTCACATGATTCTCGAACGTTGCACACGGCAGAGTGACGGAAAGGCCGCCTCACCGGCCGGAACAAATCAGCTCGCCGCCCTCACCACTGTCTGCCGAGACTGGATGGACTTCTTTGAGGGCAAGCTGTTCGAGCGACTGACCCTTACGACCGAGTCCGACATACAAACTTTCGCAGACCTTGTTCAGGGCAGACGACGGGCACGCGTGAAATGGATATGGCTGCGTGTCGAGCTGCCAATGTACGATTGCGAGCAGTGCCACCGTCTTGAGACCCGCGAGGATGTCCAGGTCCAAAAAGCCACCTTCACCAATCTTTTCTGGAACCTGTTCGGTGTCTTATCCACGTGGGAAAACAAAGATGTCCGAAATGACGACCGAAAGGACGACCGAAATGACGGCATCACCCTCGAGTTGAGCGCCCACTCTCCGAGCGACACCCACCATTTCAACAAGGATCTCCGTTTCCGCCTCCACGATACGGCGTGGGACAGATGGGACGACCGTCCAGTTCTACCACATAACGACCCGTTTCACGGCTGGAAGGACGGAAAAAGGGTCAAGACGATCCCTCGGGACGCCAAATATCGAGTGTTTGGTTTTGGGCTGCGCTTTAACTACAACTTGCCATCCGTCCGCCGTCAGCGCATGCGCCTGCCCAAGGTCTCCGTGGTCGCCTCCCTCGTTATCCGGCGACAATTCCCCCGTGCATTCGCGGCCCGCAAGGCACTCCATCCCATGATTTGCAGCCTGACGCGCCTCAGTAGCTTCACATACGAGCCCTGGCGTGGTCCGACGATCACGTACCAGAGGAACCATGACTGGCACCACGCGTTTCTGGCCAGGGAGGCATTGAAAGCGCGGACGAAGACTTTGAAGAAAGTTGCAATTTTCGAGAGCCACGATGAGATTTCCTATCGCGAGCCCCGCAACGGTACTTGCCAGCGTTTCACTGCGGGCTCGTTCTCCCGCGACCTCGCGCGGTCGAGCCGCCACTTGGAGGAGTTGTACGTGGCGAACAACATCTATGCGTTCGAGTTCTTCTACGCTTTTCACCCACAGGCCCCTCCGGCGCATAGGAGGTGAATGTTGTGGAAGGACCTGAAATGCCTCTCGCTTACGACCCAGCACCTATCGCCTGGAAACGGTGGTCTGATACTCCTAATGGCGGCGAAGGCCGCGGAGAGGATGCCGAGGCTGGAGACCATGGAGTTATGGAACTGTTGGAGGAGCAGCGGCATAGCGGGTATCTTTCGCTTCCGGAGAGGGGAGACTGAAGCCAGCATTGAACTCGTGAGCACATGGTCTGCCCGTTTCACAGCGGAGGAGAAGGCCGCGTGGACCGGCGTCGCAACTGTGAAGAGACCATTGCCACTGCGCGTGAAGGAGAGGTACTGGAATTCCGGGTGGATCGATGGGGATTATTCTGTGCTACGGCAGTTGGAATTGGTGGAACGCATGCTCCACCCCGTCTCGCTGCGGCAGATTGCCAGGGAGGACCAGAGGCGTCGCGGGGAAAGAATGGCCTAACAATTCGCTGTGTGCCTTACCACAGACTGTCATGATTCTGCCATGGTCAAGTCCGGAACCGCATTCTTTCCGTCCGCTTCAGGGAACAGAGACGTGGAAAAAGTGAAGAGCGTGAAAGGGCGTTGCTTGAAAGTGTAAAGCCCGTCAGTGTTGGGGCGTCACAATTCGAGGAAGAGCCACGTCGCAGCTTTTTTCAGGCGGTGTAAATAGTTGAGAAACGGCAACAAGAAACTCTAGTCAAGGTCCCAGGACACTTATGCAGATTCAAGCCTTTCTGTGTGTCCGTAGATTCTGCTGCATCCGGGCTTTTAGTGAATGCACAATAATAATTCAGTTGCATCTTGCCTCTACAGTGGCTTAGGCCCGCACCAGTGATAATATCTTTCACGTAGGTAGTGAGATTACTACACCGGGATATAGTATGTGGGACTTGCATCTACTGGGTGCTGCGGTGGCATGAAGTGTCGTTGATGGACCGGATAAACCTCGGCGACTCTGTTCAGCGCGCAATATGTGATATCTCAATAGGCCGCTCCCACACAAACGTACAACGAGAAGAATATTCACGGGCTTTCAATAATTCAATTCCGTTCGCATAAAAGCACACGGGCTTGCAGTAGGCCTTAACACCGTCCACGGGACTATGATCAAGGCGTAGGGCCGTACGTAGTACAAGTAAGCCCACTGCCCACCGAGGCTTTTTTTCAGTAAACTTATCTTCTTGTCCTCTGTGCTTCGTGGCATTCCAACTGCACGAAAGCTTCTTTCTATCTGGGCAAAATGCTCTCGGTGCCTGGGGAAAGCCGGGGTATGTGCACAGAGCAGCTGGCCAAGGCTATGCGCAACTCAGCCACCTCCCCACTATTGCATCAAGGATATCCGCTCGTCATGACTAATTCAGTTAGAACGGGGTCTCCATTAGCTCATAGATACCCTCTGATGACCGCTCGCTTTGAATCTATTACCCAATCCCAAGACAATGGACCGGACGCCCCGGACGGAATGCGGCACCCTCACAAACTCAGGTCACGACTGAACTTCCACACACGGAGACAGTCAGCAACACCAACTTTGCAGTCTTATTGTTTTACCAGCAAATTTTCATAAAATAAAGAGATGACGGAGATTGGTATATAGTTTGAGCTGAAATGAATGGAATAGTGAATCTTTTGAATGTATTGCAGCCACTTCCCTTCAGAGGCTTCGAGGTACAGCGCTTCTTGATATCTCCAAGCAAGCATGCAGGTATTGACATTCCAGCCAATCATCTTTCACCGTTGGCTACAAACGGTCCACTTATGTCTTGTGTGAGTCTTGGTACCCCGATCAGGTTTAGGCCATCCGGACACCGAAACTACCCACTTATGTCTTGCGTGCGTCTTAGCACCTTGATCAGGCTTAGGCCGTCCAGGTACGGACAGTTGTGCTCAGTTGTGGAGATCTCGAGTCAAAGCTTGAGTATTCTTTGGTGGCCAAGGAGAATTTGCGTATGCCTCTTATGACGGCAGTAATCGTGTAACAAGAAATGGGACACTGCTTGGTGGAAGAGTGTAGACTCTTGAGTGCCGGGGTTGACTTGGTGACTCGCTTATTTAATGGGGTGTCTCTTTCCTCGCTTCCAAGTTGGCTGGCTCTGCTGGCGAATCAGTTTCTTCCTACCATTAATTGAGCGAAGCTTTCTTTCCCGTTTTCAAACCATTTCGCAACCATGGGCAAAGACACTGTTCATGCCCCCGTCTTGGGTGACCATGTCTCGGGCCAGTCCAACAAGCCTCTGTCCCAACCGCCACACAGCCTGACGAGCCAGCAAGTCCTCGACGAATTACGCAGCAATGTAACCACAGGCCTCGCCCCGGAGGAGATCCCTCAGAGGCTTGAGGAGATGGGACCCAACGAACTAGAACAGAAAAAGGGCGTCCAGCCCGCCAAGATCTTTCTCGAGCAGATCTTCAACGCCATGACGTTGGTGCGTCAACCCTAATAGCATCTCCCATTTCACATATCGTGACATCTTCTGACAGTGGCCGCCGGGCTAGTCAGGTGCTAGTATTGGCCTTGGCCGCGAGCTTTGGTATCCAGGCCTGGATTCCCGGGGGCATCCTGGCCGGCATCATCATTTTCAACATCTTCCTCGGCTTCTTCCAGAGCCTGCAGGCTGAAAAGACCATCGACTCGCTCCGCACCCTCGGCACACCCAACTGCAAGGTCTTTCGGGGCGGCAGGACCATCACCATCCAGACCGTCGATGTCGTCCCCGGTGATATTGTTGATCTGGAAACTGGCGACTCTGTCCCTGCTGACATGCGCCTCATCGAGGCGGTCAACCTCGAGGCCGATGAAGCGCTGCTCACCGGCGAGTCGGTGCCAATTTTAAAGATTCCTAAGCTCACGTTTGACGCTGATACTGGTCCTGGTGATCGCCTCAATGTGGTTTACAGTTCGTCAAGTATTACCAAGGGTCGCGGGCGTGGCGTCGTGTTTGCTACGGGGATGTTTACAGAGATAGGCCTCATCGCCGGAGCTCTTACCAACAGCGGCGACCCAAAGGATTACGGGGATGATGGTCAGCGCTCTGTATTCCGCATCATCTGGGATCCCGTCCGCGCCTGGGTCGGCGAATTCCTAGGTCTCACAGTGGGCACACCTCTCCAGAAGAAGCTTGCCCAGCTCTTTCTCTGGCTGTTCCTGTTCGCAATCGTGTGCGCCATTATCGTCCTTGGCGCCAACAAGTTCGACTCGCGTAGGGATGTCATTATCTACGCCATCACAACCGCCATCGGGACCATCCCTGTGTCTCTCCTGCTTGTCCTGACCCTTACTATGGCCGCCGGCACAAAGAAGATGCTCGAGCGCCATGTCATTGTCCGAAACCTCTCCAGCCTCGAGGCCCTCGGAGGTGTCACGAGTTGAGTTCACCCACACCCTTTCAATGCACTCTGCTCGACTTTCTGACAAACCATTTGTTCCCTCCCACTAGACATCTGCTCTGACAAGACCGGAACAATTACCCAAGGGCGCATGGTGGTACGAAAGGCGTGGATCCCTGGCTGCGGAACCTACTCGATCGCGTCGACGAGCGACGTGTACAACCCCACGGCCGGCGAGGTCTTCCTCCTTAGCTCGCAGCCCAAGGAAGTAACTTCCACCGGCCAAGATAATCAGGACGGGCGCCAGTTGATCTCTCCCCCCGATGAGGCGGCTACGAAGTCCGCCCTACGGTGGTATCTCAACGTCGCGTCTCTAGCCAATCTCGCCACTGTCGAGCAGAGCGACCACGGCTCTGCAAATCCCGGCCAGTGGGAGGCCAGGGGCGCTCCGACTGAAATTGCCATCGAGGTGTTTGCCGGTCGGTTTGGATGGAACAGGCTCGAACTGACCCAAGGCCCGAAGGCTGAGTGGGAACATGTTGCGGAATATCCCTTTGATTCGGATATTAAGAAGATGACGGTGCTCTTTCACAATAATAAGTCCAATGAAACTCATGTCTTCACAAAGGTTAGTCTAGAATTCGTCGCCTATTTTGTTATTTTTTTCCGACTAACAGTTGAGATCTAGGGAGCCGTGGAACGAGTCATTTCGTCCTGCAAGTCCATCGCCATCAATGACAGTATTCAACCTCTCACCTCCGAGATCAGCCAAGACATCCACTTCAACATGGAGGTGCTCGCCAGTCAGGGTCTCCGTGTTCTCGCCTTCGCACACAAGATCAACGATCGCGTCATCTCTGAGTCCGAATTTATCGGTGGCAACGTACCCAAACGCGATGTCCTTGAGCAAGACCTAATATTCCGCGGCCTTGTTGGAATCTACGACCCCCCTCGCCCGGAATCCCTCCCCAGTGTTCGCGCTTGCCAAGGAGCTGGCATTGTCGTCCACATGCTCACCGGCGACCACCCGCAGACGGCGCGCGCTATCGCTATCGACGTCGGGATTCTGCCTACTCCTGAGAAAGCTCGACTGCTCCCGGCTGATGTCTCGAGCACCATGATGATGGTAGCCCACGATTTTGATGCCCTCACCGATGCCCAGATTGACGATATGGCTCAGCTTCCTCTAGTCGTTGCTCGGTGCGCACCTAGCACAAAGGTCAGGATGATCGAGGCTCTTCACCGACGACAACGCTACGTAGCCATGACCGGTGACGGCGTAAATGACAGTCCCAGTCTCAAGAGAGCAGACGTAGGCATCGCAATGGGGACTGGCTCAGATGTTGCCAAGGAATCTTCCGACATTATCCTCACCGACGACAACTTTGCGTCTATCCTCAATGCCATCGAGGAGGGCCGTCGCATCTTTGACAATATCCAAAGGTTCATCCAACACGTGTTGTCTGCCAACGTTGGATTCGTCGTTACTCTTCTTGCTGGTCTCGCGTTCAAGGATGGCAACGGCGTCTCCGTGTATCAGCTCACTCCCGTCGAGATCATCTGGATGCTCATGGGAACCGGTGCCTTTTGCGAGACTGGCCTTGGCTTCGAAAAGGCTGTCCCTGATATCCTCAATCGGCCTCCTCACAATGTCAGTACATCTGATCTTTTTATAAAAAGTTCCAAGGCTCACACTCTATAGCTCAAATACGGCGTCTTCACGCCCGAGTTCCTCACAGACATGGTCGTCTACGGCTCCATCATGGCCGGCTGCGTCCTCGGCTCCTTCACGATCGTCATCTTCGGCTTCAGCGACGGCAACCTCGGCTCCGACTGCAACAACAACTACTCGGAGGCCTGCGACCCCGTCTTCCGCGCACGCGCCACCTGCTTCACCACCATGACCTGGATCTTCCTCCTCTTCGCCTGGGGCCTGATCGACTTCCGCCGCTCGCTGTTCCACATGCCCGACGGCCTCAAGGCGTGGGCGGGACACCTCTGGGGCAACCAGTTTCTGTTCTGGTCTGTCGCCGGCGTCTTCTTCACTGTCTTCCCGGTGATGTACATTCCCAAGCTGAATCACATCGTCTTTCAGCACACCGGCATCAGCTGGGAGTGGGCTGTTGTCTTTGTAGACGTCATCGTGTTCATGGTGTTGTCTGAGTCTTGGAAGTGGGCGAAGCGCGTCTATTTCCGACATCAGTCCTTTCAGAGGGAAGGGCACTGGAATGAGGTAGACGTCTAGGATGTGGTGAGGCTGCAGCTGACGTCCGAGGGGACTCGTCGACCAAAGGGTATGTCTCCCGGTTCGTCGCATCCATCCCTTGTATATCATCATCGGCAGAATTCCTCGACGTCGGACTACTCGTCATGGTCTTTTCGCGCGATAGGCGCGGATGGGCCGGCTCCTGCAGATCCAGCCCGCACAGCGATGTGGCCGGGTCGCCGAGCACGGGGATGCTATCCACACAGCGCGGCCACGGCTCGACCCCGGCATTCTCGTGCGCGAAGCGGAATAGCTGAAGCGTGTTGTTGGCGATCCATTCCGCATCCTTGTACGTTCCAGTGTGTTCTACCCCGCGGTCTGCGTGCTGTTTCAGATGGCGGCGGTGGCAGCATCGCAGGCATGGCTCGAGAGTATATGAGAGCGTTATGACGATAGCGCCGAAGATGTAAATAAATGAGAGACCGAAGACGGAAAATGAATCGTGAGACGTAGGAAGAATTTTCTGGAAACACAAGTGTATTAGTTCTTGAACTCCAGGCAAAGGGTCGTGCTAGCAGTGACTCTGAGCCGAGATCATTAAACGATACGAACTGGATGGGAAATTGGTGTAGGGTGTTAGTGAGGCGCTGAAATCGGCCTGCCATAGGCTCGGTCGTGTTGGTGATGTTGAACATGTTGGTGTCGTTAAACATATCAGTAGCCTCAGTAGTTGTCCCGGAAATGGGCGCAGCCCCTCGTACAGCGTCGATATGACTCGCCAGCGGGCCACAATGGTCCTGATCGGCATTACAGAACTGGTATTGATTTGTACATGCAAGGGGCGATGCTGGGACATCAGGTCTGTACATTGTTGAGTTGCCGTTTGGGAAGACCATGTAGCCGAACGGAACTATCGTGCGAAACCATTTGTCCCTAGTCAATTCCATCGTACGAACACCTGGGCTGGACAGAAAGTAGAGAGAGATGTCGGCGTCGGATCTCCGGCACGAAGAGCATTCGTCACTGCACAGCACAGAGAGTAGAAAAAGCAGGTACAGGCGGCGAAAGGCTCGCTCGCTGGTGTGACGCCAGGCCCAGCAGAGGCCAAGAAAAGTGATGAACGCAGAGTCTGCTGATGGAGAGTTCCGAAGAATCACTTGTCTCTGGTGATACAGTGCACCCTGGGGACATGAAGAGGAAAAGAAGCGATGGCACGCCAGAGAGTGGATCCGCCAGAACCGAACTCCAACAAATGTTACAAAAACACCAGTGAAAGCTATAACGAGATCGGAATTCTGCCTTGAAATCGTCAAGGTGCGTCCAAAAATAGGACCATATGACCAGTTGGTCCAGAAGCCGTGGTAAATTTCGAAGGCAGGGACACGGTCCCCAGTGCTGAAAACGGGATTGTCCATAGCAACCGCTGCCTAGGTCGTGGAGAGTCGAGCAGAACAGCAAGAAAGATGGGAGGAATGCCAAGATGATATTTGATACGGGAGTCTGGCACAGGCTTATATCTGCCAAAGGTAATACAGAACATTCGGCTGGCCCCCCAACGAGTACATTTGCCATGATCAACATGGACACAGCATCCGGCTTCACACACAACTCTCACACTCATTGATAGGCTGAAATTGAAGGTCTTCATCAAATACTGCTCGTAGGCTCTTTTGTTTTCCAGTTCAGTGCTGCATGGTCACAATCGAGCACAATCGAAGCCACACATTTGGCTGACCAGGTGGTGTGCAGTCTACAGCGATCAACTTTGATATGCCCTTGACCTAACCTCGGAATCGGGCCTACCTATGTGCTCATGGCAGCTGCATGCAAAGCGCATGCAAGGTTCTAATAAAAGCCATTGCCGTTGTTTTGAGCCGAGACCTTGCCTTCTTTGGCGGGCGAACAGCGTGCCAGAAACGTGCTTCTCCCGATTGTGGAACGGGTTAGGGGCTTGGCGGCTTACGATGCTGCCGAGGAGACTGGGTATGTTGTGCCGGGTTCCTGAGGGGGTATTTCAGCTCGAGCAAATGAGTGTTCTCGAAGCGCCGATATCTGCTCACCCAGTTCTGTTGTATTGGACAATCTACAATCGCCCCCAAAATGCCCAGAGAGCTGAAATGCAAGGTTGGTACCTGCCGCAACGCTAAGCTGCGGACGTTGTGAACCACTTGCACTCTTCATAGGTTCGATTGGACAGCGACCGCGGATCACCTCACATTTCTGGGGGGCTGCAGAATCTAGGTCGACGTCATGCCTGAAAGGAAGCGCGGAAAACAGCGCGAAGCAACACTTCAGAGCCTCGCTTGGTAGGGAGCCCTCACGCATTCGAGTCAGCGTGATTTGGAGGTGTTAGATGATAGTAGTATAAGCATGGAAACCCGATCCAACCTTGTTCATATATCTGGCATTTAAGTTGGACCTAAGGGCTAGTGGTTATCTCACAAATGCGTTCTTCGTCAACTATCAACCTTCACACACACGGGTCCCGTGCTATATTCTTGCATCCCTCTCTTGTAGAAAACCCTGGGCTTGAAATATCGGGACCATGGCGACAACGAAGGCGTGGCAAGGAGCCGAATCCACCGTCAAGGTAAGATCATCGCGAAATGATTTGCGACCTGCGCGTCTTTTTTTCCTTCTCTCTCTCTGAAGAGGTCACTTGCTAACTGTTTCCAAAGTATGCAGTCCACCTTGGAGTTTGGACTAACTGGTCTCGTGGTGCCATCATGGGGGCCACACTCACTTTGCGGCGGACAGAAGGCAACTACCTCCTTGCCTTCACCTCTCTGTTCATCACCATCGTCGCGAGCTGCTTTTGGAGCATTGCGAGGCGGGCGTTGCATCGCTGTTATTCAACTTCGGCGCCGCGCGACACCCTCTATCATCAACAGCAAGCGGTTTTGCGCAACTCGTCTTCCGCATTCGAGAGCTTTCAGATTCTTTGCTCGCTTGCTTGGGCGTGGCGCCGCACAGTCAAAGGCAAACGTTGCCTTCTCCGCCTGGTGCCAGGTGTGTTGGCGGCTGCGTTTGTCGTTGTTTCTTTCGCCATTGCGTCGGGTTTCTCGTCCCAGATTTTTCGTCCGCGATCGGGAATCAGGTTCGTCTTGACGGGACAAATTGCTCGCTTGTTAATTCAGAGGCCGACGATCCCAACTATGATGCACACTCCAGAGTACCATACCGGGCGCGAATGGTCACAAACGATGCGAACTATGCCCAACAGTGTTATTCAGCCAACTCGTCCTCGGGAATATTCGACTGCACATCTTTCGTCAGAGCAAATCTACGCAGTACCATTGACACAGAGGCGCCCTGTCCATTCGCAAATGGTTTGTGCCGGAGCGATAACGCAAACATTCGGTTGGATACTGGGCACATCGACAGTAACGACGACTTGGGCATGAACTCGCCCGAGGGTGAAAGGATCCTGTTCAGGTCCGTGTTGAGCTGTGCGCCTTTGTCAACTGAGGGATTTTCCACAAACCTCACGACAGAGACAGGGGATTTTACCTTGTACGATTATGGGAACAAGACAGTGGGTCAAAATTATACGTACAGGGTTCGGAGTCTCCAAGAGCAGTACCCAGCTGACGATATTGAAGGGGCTCGCGGTACGAACTTTGTTTTGGCGTAAGTCCATGCCTTCAATGTAGCCTATGCATGAGGATACGTTCCTAATCTGGCTCTGTGGGAGATAGATCATTCGCGGAGACCAACTACCAGGAAACCACTTACACGCCGTCTTCGTCATTGCAGACAGACACAGAATATTTTCCCAAAGACGGTGACCTTCATCTCATCTTTCTCTCCGGAAACGGTATCAGATTCCAAGAGCCCGTGAACGATCCTTGGTATCGCGCAACGGTTCCAACTAGGCCCATTGTCGCAGCGACCAAGCCAGGAACGTCTGCTGAACACCCTGCATATCGTTCTGAAGAAGCAGCGTCACCAATGGCCTGCCTCGAACAGTTTCAACTTTGTTATGGCAGTACAAGCCGATGCGGGCCGCTGGCCAGCTGGCTGGATGCTCAAGATGGAGCTTCGAAACTGCTCAACTTCCCTCTCGAGAGGGAAGGTCCGCCGGCAGACAACCATCCTGCATCCCGATTCTACTGGTTCGTGGCGCTGTTTACCTATGCTGTGCCTGGCCTCCAGCCCGTCCTTCTCCAACTCGGCGCAAACTCGTTGGCTTCAATGCGCAGCCTATACGCTGGCGTCATGGGCCCGCTTCCGGACAACCAGTGGCAAGTCGACGTGATGCAGTGGTGGGCTACATATTTGGCAGGCATCCAGAGCGCAGTCGTCTCGATCGCGTCCGGCCCCATTGATCCTTCACTAGAGCACCTGCGTATCAGGCCTTACAACCAATGGATTCAAGATAGTATTTGTAACAACCAGGTAAGGTTCTTTTCCCTGAAGATGTGTTTCATATTTGGCCACAGTGACAGCTCCTGCAGACCGCTGACACACCACAACCCAGATCATTCGCAGCTCCGACTATACCTCCTTCAGCCTTTTTGGCCTATGTTTCACTTACATTCTTGGGCTCATTATCGTCATTGTCGCATTCTGCCTGGATCCAGTCCTGGATACATTGTCAACCCGTTTTCACCGGGGCGCATATTCTTATGTGGAGTGGACCTCTACGGACACACTACAACTGCAGCGGATGGCCTTTCAGGGCGTGAAGTCGGGCACTTGGTCCGGCTCCGCGAGTTCAGTTCCTGTGACTTCAAAAGCGGGTGAAATCATGGCGAACCTGCCGTTCGAGTACCCCATCAGTCAACTTCGCAGCGAGAAACCCGGCTCCAACGTTGCGATAAAAGCGACCGCAGGCACTTCAGTGCCGACGTCACCTCTGAAAACATCAATTACTCCCTCTAAATCCATTGATACACTGAAAAACTCGACAAGGGTGGGCACAATATCGTCCATGGACATGGAGGTTTCACCTATCACTCCGACAATTACAGCGGCCAAGTCCACCAAAGCATAACGCCCTGGTCGATTATTTCACCCAAGCCTTTCAACGACCACTACCATCTCATCACTCTTCCACGAGAATCTCTATATATTTCGCCGCGGTATCGTGCTGGTTTTGAGGAGGTCAGGGACATTGAGCTTGTACCCTGAGCTGGTATGTAAAGTGGATTAGAGGTGGATGGCCATTAGGGACCAATGTTTGATGTGAGAGGAATCAGACTACGGCGTGAAATACTATAATACAAGAATACGAATGATTTACTCCTGGTGCTCCATTATACAGAGTTCTAGTTGTGAACGGGTCTCCATAAGTACCCCATTGTAGCTATCTTTCACCCATGTATGCTTGTGTAATTACCAAGCTTCAACGGAATCCTAACTCAGATATACGCACTTAGGCACATGAGACCAACAGTCCAAGATTGGTTCCTGCTACGGCACCTGGTTATGTACATCCATGTGGGCTGTCGGTTCGGGGACGAGGACAAGCTGCAGAAAGGACAGTTTCACAGCAGGTTGAAAAATGCACCCGGGATGGGCTTACTACTGCAAGCTTCATTTAACAACCCTAATGCAGAATTTGGACCTCGCCGGCCCCTGTTTCAACAAGCGCACTCAAGCAAATGATGGCCGGTTGATGAATGATGTAACGATTGTGTTTCAATTGAATATCCTTCTCTGAAAGTATGTTAGGGTCATCACATTATCTGATCTACAGCGGCTTAAATCTACTCGTGACATTGAAAGGGGTCATTGTACATCGCTCAAGGCCAGTTGGTCCACAGCGTACAAATATCGACAATCAAGTGTCTCGTGGATTTGTTTCGTGGCACAGAGTCATACGACATCCGTATCCTCATCCACCTAGAGTGAATTGCCAGCAGTGTTCATTACAAAGGCGGCTCGTAGCACGCATGGGCCTCCAACGCTGACAAGGCGCCCGGGTGGCCAGAGGCAGCAGTGGCTGACGGGTACCCAGCCCTGAATATGTGGTCCTGCTGAGCATTGGCTGTTGGCGGCGACCTCAGGATCGTAGGCACCGTTTACTCGACAAAAAGCACCACAAATGGCCCTTTACGCATTGACGAGGATCGGATGTACCACCACGCCCTAGAATAAGCGCGCGTGTCGCGAAAGCGATTGGACGCATCGCGGTCCAGTGGCACTGCAGGTAAGCCTGGCCTCCGGAGGTCGGCCTTGTTACACAGATTCATTGTTGAAGGGGTACGCAGGTCCTGCGCTGTGTTCTTGGTGTTGGGTGATTCTCATACGAGGGCCAATAAATCAGGAACGTTGGGGCGGCCACGAGACGGCCCTGCGGACATTCCGGCCAAGGCGGTGCTGTTACACGGATCCCAGAGGCCTGCCATCGCGCCTCGGGTATTTCCGTGTATGTATGTAAGCCGTCGCCCATTAGTTGGACATTTAGCATTTTACACATTCCTACCGTAGCCCAGAGTGTATCGTGGACATGTCGCGGTCCAAGCACGGAGAAAGGCGGCCGAGGGGCAGGGGCAGACGAATTAATTTAGCCTCCGGGTACAGGAGACTCCGGGGGGCGCCACTATTCTTCCGTGGGAAGGGAACGACAAGTCGAGCCCCGCTTGCAAATCTGCCCTGCTTCGAGAATAATTGTATACTTGCTTTTCTCGTATCTATCTATATTAAGCCACAAGGAATAAAACGGAACGCATAGCCCACGAAGAACCGGCCATTGGCGATAGCGCAGCAGCATTGTCGCCGGCTCGGATTCCTCGCGTCAGACCTACGCCGTCCCAGCGATGGCGTAGAAGCACTGTCGCTGTCGAAGTGGCTGGTGGTGTAAGAAACAGTTTTGGGCAAGTTACAAGATGTGTGTGTTGATTTGTCCCAGCCGAAAACCGTAATCGTAGAACCTTCGCACAGACAGCGTTATCCGAACACGGATGGGGTATCATTGTTAAACAAGAGGAACAAAACCGAATATGCCAAAAGGAAAAGCCAAAAAGATAAGGATTATCGGAACCCATCCCGTCGTCTCCGCACGGATGCCTGGTATGCCTCGTTGGAGAAGTCTTGAGAACGCCCGTCCTAAGAGTGGCGCAGCCGCGCCATCAGGCTGAGAGGCTCTTAGCCTTCAAGATCTCTATTGTTGCAGATCTGGTGGATTGCCGCTTTGTCTGAAAAGGGGATTAAGCAGGCTCTTTGGTGTCGACGGGACTTTGTATACTGAGAATGGAAGTGGTGACATGCATGTTTTGACGTTGCTATTCACGTGCATTTCGTTTTGTGGGCCGTGGTTCGGGGGCACTTTGCGCTGCCCCGAGGCAAATGGGAACCATCTTGTCGATTTTTGCCCACGCCCGAGGCGGATTCCGTCTCCGTCGGCGGGCCGACGTCGAAATAGGATTGCGCCGCCTCGAGGACGTGATTAGGCAACAGGGGTTGCTGGACGCCCAGCTCTAACCCCGCCGGCCGATCCGAATCCTCCCAAAGCCTCGCTGCACCTGCTCGCGCCGGGCTGCACCGTCCTGGAAGTCATCGGCGGAGGAGCCGTCCCCGCTGACGATCTTGTGGCTGGGCTTGTTGCCAAACACCTGGATGAGGATTGTCATGGCGAAGCTGCTGACGATGCTGAGGCACAGGATGCCGATCATGGCCAGGTTGCTCCGGCGGTACCTGTAGGGGCCGGGAGCCGCGTCCTCGGGCCAGCCCGTGTAGAGGGCGTAGGTCGTCGTGATGCTGCCCAGGTTCCCGAGCCCGGAGACGAGGGCGGCTGCGGCGGCGACGCCGACCTCGCCGTGGCGGCGCTGGAAGATCTCGTTGGTCCAGGTCATGCAGATTGGCACCGTGGGGCCGAGCCCGAAGCCGACCATGAGCAGGCCGCCGTAGCGGGCCCAGGAGTTGTTTAGCGCAAAGGTGACGGTTAGAAGGCCGGCGATCTGGATGAGAACGGCGCACGAGAAGAAAACGGGTCGTAGGCGATGGAAGCGGTCCGAGATAGGCGTGACGATCAGGATGGCGAAGAAGTCCATGATCCAGATGGGGGCGAACAGCAGGCTGACCTGGATGCTGGTGTATGACGGGTTGATGGAGGCAATGATGACGTTCCCGTAGAGCTGGGTGCCGATACCCACACCCACGACACCAAAGTACATCAGTACCAGCGGCCATAGACGCCAGTCGATCAGGACGTAGCCCAGGTCTGCCCATGTCCAGGGCCGGGGGTGGTAGACTCTCCTAAGATCGTGGTAGTGCACCAAGGCGTCCTCACCTATGAGAGCCTCGGGTGGCGCAGGGAGAAACCTCATGAACTTTGATCTCTCCCGCTTCTGGCCGGGAGGCAGAGGCCTGTCGGGAAGCCACCAGAGCAAGGTGAAGCCCAGGATTACGGCCAGCGCGCCGTAGATGAGGAACATCCACTGGAAGCCGACGAGCCCTCCCAGCCCGTCCATCTTCTGGAAGCCAGCGCTGACGAGTCCAACAACAGCCGCCGAGATCTGAGCAGCGCTGAAGTAATAGCCGATGCGCTTGCCCGTGCGGCTGGGTGGGTAGAAGAGGGTCAGGTAGTAGCTCATGCCGGGCCACATTCCCGCGATGACGACGCCCAGCAGGAAGCGCAGCAGCTTGACGGACCAGGCTGCGCGCACGGCGGCGAAGCACATGCCGATGAGGCCGACCGCGAAGACGATGCGGGCCATCCAGACGCGGGGGCTCAGCCTGCTCATGACGAGGTTGGACGGGCAGTCGAAGATGACGTACGAGACGTAGAAGAGGGCCAGGGCGGTGGAGGTGTCGCGCGCCGTCAGGTTCAGCACCGACATGAGGTCGTGGCCCTGGGCGGCGTTCATGGTCTGGGCGAGCCCGATGTTGGAGCGGATGGCGGAGCAGAGGAAGTAGAGGATCCAGAAGGCTGGGTGGCAACGTGGTGAGTCCAGGTACCTACAGAGGTGACATGGTGTGACGTGATAGGTCCGATGTGATGAGAGTGTGCGGGCATACCTGGGATGATGCGCATGTCCAGCTTCCGGTAGACTGCCTCGACCCTCTCGACGGGATAGTCCTCCTGATGGGGCGCAGCCAGGACCTGCGCATGTGGCTGTTCCACAGCATCCTTGGTGTAGTCGTCGTCGCCCACACTTACGCTGCCGCCCGTGGCTGAGGGTTCTGGCGCCTTGGTGGTGGCCATACTCAAACTGCAAAGCAATGGAGGAGCGTGCTATCAGTTTTTTACCGGCCAGGCACCCAGGTGTCACGACAGAGAGGATATATCAGGCTTCAGCAGGAAAGACGGTGTCGATGATGAATGCTGAAGCTCTCCCCGGTGAGAGCACTGATCTTGGCATATACGAGTCCGGAGTGAAAATTTAATCGAAGCCGAGACGACGATGAGATTTATTCTCTCACCTCATGTTCAGACTGATTCGGGGTCCGGATCAGGAGGGCTATCGGACTAGAAAAGTGGAGACTGCCAATCCCACCATTTTGATGGCCGACTCCGTCCTCGCTAGTTTTCTCGGTTCGGTTGGGAGCGGCGCTTCAGTGTTCTAGCTGCATGTGCTGCAGACTCGACAGATCAGAACTAATCGGCTCCAGTCCATGGTCTCTAGTGCGGATACTTGAGTCCGTCATTCGAAAATTTACAGGTACTCCTCTTTCTCTTTCGAAATTTGCCTTTTCTTCCAAGTAGAAAATGAAGCAAGTGGAGTTATTCAGGTTGGCGTTAGAGTAGGCAGACTAGGTCGAAGCGTTATCTGATCCGAGCTTATCAGATGCTATTGTAGGGGAGACGAAAGGGTTCGGGTCGTTGACACTCAAAGAAGTCTTGTGGGGGGGGGAGGGGGGCCATTTCTATTAGGCATCAAAGAGCGTGATGTTGTGGAGGTGCAGCCATCACCAGCTTCGAGTGACCATTTCGGTGAGCTTTGAGTCAGAGATTAAGAGAATTTGAAGTCTTTCATTTGTTTCACACTATTACATACTCGCACCTAATCTATTTGTTGTCAGAACTTTGCTCCATGGTGCTCACTGAACTCCCCGGATTCAGGCCTCAGGCTGCAAGGCTGAAAAGTGCAGTGATGCCTGGGCCCGTTTTGTGAGATCTGTTTGCCTGCAATTCCCCGCCTCAAATCCTCATCTCAGATCAGTCTTACCAGTGACTCGTTCCATCATCACAAGCTCTCGTGACCACGCCGAGGCAGGATCAGGTTGACACACCACGTTCTTATCTCTTCTCGTCTCTCTTCTCTACCACAGGTCACGGGGCGTCGACAACGCTGGAAGTGCATGACCTGTCAACAGGACAGCAACCCGTCGATCGCCATCAATGTTGAGATGCGCACCGCACGTCTTACGACGCAAAGCTGTGCCGTTACGAGGTTGCCAGCTCCATTGGGCCGATCTCAGCAGTTCACCAGTCCACTCGGCGAGACATATGCCCCCGTTCGCCCCCTGCTCACGAGGTTCCTGACCTTTAGTTCTCGGGAGTAGCGGAGCTGAGTCACCAAAGGTACACGCGGTGCCCTCATGACACCTTCAAGTGGCTGTTGCCTTGGTGGAGTCCATCTGGGGTGCACGAAAAGGGGTTCTTTACTGCCAAGCTCAAGGCCACAGCAGCTCGTCGAGGGAGTCCAGGTGCCCACCTCCTTCGGCATCGCGCCCCGTCCCGCAGGCGGATGCGACCTACCATGGAGCTCACCAAACTGGAGCCGGTACAGGCTGGGTCGACTGACATGGAAGTTGCCTCTTTCAGCACTCGTCTGCCTTCCAAGGTTCCGTGCTCATCGGTCGCGCCTTGCCGCCTTGGGACTTGGAGATACTGGGCGTCCCTGATTGGGACTCAAGAGGCAAGTAGCACATACGCACACACGCATACACGCATACAAGCGACACACACACACAGGCACAAGTACAGTACAGTACAGTACAGTACGGTACGGTATTGCTGCACCAAAGGCAGAGCTGAGCCAGGCTGCCGCGTTCTTTCTGTCCCGTCAACACTTTTGCCCCTTGAGGGCGCCTCATCGTCGCCTGCCCCGCTTGTCAAACACACAAGCAGGCTATGCAGCAACTCCCTCCTCCGCTGTCCAAGCAAGACCTCTGTTGGCAGTACCAACTCCCCAGCGACCTGCTGCCTCTTGCTGTCGCGAGGCCTCGGTGGGTCGTGGCTTGCTGCCGAAGCCTACCCGTGCCACGGCCCGAGCATGGACGTGCCTGGGACGCGCCCTGAGGAAATCCTTCCGAGGGTCACGGACTGGGCCACGTTGCGTTGGTCTCTGCAGACTGGTACGGGCGCTGGCAAGTGCCAGCAACCAGGCCGGCGACCTAAGGCCGCCACATGGCATTTTGTCAACGTGGCGGTGCAGCTGACCCATCTTCCTCCTCCTACCAGCATCTCTGTGCGCCCAAGGCATCAGACTGTGTGCCCTGCAGCATTACTGTGCCTGACGCAGGGCCAAAAAGGGGCATAGGGCTGAGAGGACCAAAGTTGTTCACCTCAGCGGGGAGGGATCAGTCGGGCTGGAGTTGGGAGTGACCGGGTGGATTGGTTGCCTACGAACGGCATGAATTTAGCCCAGTCCAGGGCGTGGTGACTCACTCCTGCGCTTCACTGCCTACTCCGTACACGCCGGCGTCCTTCGAGTCATCTCAGATGCCTAGCGCAGTATGTTTTTTTCCTTGTCCCTCCTGTCTCGTGGTTTCTTATTAAAGAACAAAGGGGTTCCCGGCTGGATCAAGCCTCGAGGCGTTGTGTGTTGCATCGAAACCTTTTGCAACGATGACGACGACCAAAACAGCCTGTTTGATTCGGTAGAGGCAGAGTTGCCTTGCTTTCGTGTGCATTGTTTCCGCCACACTTCCCTTTTCTTATCGTTATCGCGGGCACTAGGCTGCAAGTACCCCGGTACAAGAGTACTCAGGTACCTCCACACCCCGGTGACTCAGCAGAGCTCGGCTTCCGCTAGCATCCGCACCGGCCACGCTCATTGGACAAGGTTCCTTTAGAGCTTGTGCTGGGAGCACAACACCTCGGGCTGAACTTTGCTTCCGCCTGACCAGGCGCAGCAACACCACGATCACCTCATACGCCTTTGTGCCAGTTTCTACGAGCCGCAACTCCGGCGCATTACTTATTACTCTACTGTACCACATCTTCCCGGCTCCTACGTTCCACCGACCATTTGTTTCGACATCGACACACCACCGAGTCCGACAAACACCAGCCATAGGTCTGCCGCGGATATCCGCTCCCTGCGCGACGAAAAGTAACCACCCCCACAAACGGCACATCGCGACGCTTCCCAACCCCCCGGCGTCACGATGAGTGTCGCATACGAGCCGCGGTCGTTCCACGAGGACAGTCCGTACGCGCCCGTCGGCGAAAACGACCATGACATGAACAAGTTCATCAACGAGGCAAACGTGGACGACATGGCAAACCTGGCTGCTGCCACCTACGAGCCTGCCAACCAGTCCTCCCCAGCCGTGTTCCACGCATCGCCCTCCCCTGCTCTCGACCTGCACCCCGTCGGCCCCCCAAACGTCGACCCTACCAACGTTCCCGTCCGAGACCTATCGCCCGCAGCTCCGAATGCGTTCAACTCGACCCAGACCCAATCTCAGCGCATCAAGCCCATAGCCAAGCCCAACCGAGAGGTGACCAAGAGCGAGGACGGGAAGTTCATATGTACATATCCTGACTGCAACGAGCTGCTCAAGAAGTTCCAGAGGAAGTGCGAGTGGAGGTAAGTTGACTTCTTGAATTCCCACCCCGCGCTCTGTCAGTTTTTCGTTTGTTTGCTAATGATTTCTCCAGTAAACACATGGACAAGCATGAGCGACCCTACGTCTGCACCGCCAAGGGATGCGAGAAGATCCAAGGCTTCACATACAGCGGTGGCCTGCTGCGACACGAGCGCGAGGTCCACGGAAAACACGGAGGGCCCAAAAAGAAGCTCCTCTGCCCTCACGTCAACTGCAAGCGCTCCAGCGGCAAGGGCTTCTCCCGCCAGGAGAATCTGTCCGAGCACCTCCGCCGCGTGCACACGTCCGCCGGCCCCATACAGATGGAGAGCCCCGGCAGCGAGAATACCGACAACAGCACGAGCGATGTCGCTACTGCTGCCTTTGCGGCTCTGAATAGCGCCGCACTGAGCCCCGCAAACCTGGACAGCCACCCCGCCGACGCGCGCGAAAAGCGCAAACGCAGCATCGACGACGACGCCGGCCGCAGCAGTGGTGAGGGTGGTGACGGCGACGACCGATCCGAGGAGGACGTCCGCGCGGAGAACAAGCGGCTCCGCAAGGACAACGCCGAGCTGCGCCAGCAGCTGGAGGAAACGGCGCGCGCGAACAGCGAGATGCAGGCGCAGCTGGCCACCATCCAGCAGGCCCTGGGCACCCCCATCAACCAGACCCTGGCGTTCCAACAAGCACCGGAGCTCTAGGGAGGTTTCCAGGATGTCGGGGCCGCACAGGGTATCGGGCGACAACACCGGGCGGATACTCGTCAACCGGCCGCGCACCGTGACGACAACAGTTATCCACGGGAGCCTCTCGGTTTTAGCATGGTCGGCACGGAGCTGTACTACTTTGACGAGCAGAATGGTTGGCAGCCCACTGTCTGAGGTGGTTTGCATTCTCTGTCACATGGCTCCGGTTTGTTTTTTTGTTTTTTCTTTTTCACTGTCCTGCAATTTTGGAGTTGCATCAAAGGAGTTCACGAAAGGGGATGGGTTCTTTGATTGATTTACACGGTGTTTGGAAGGATCTCAATGGTTCGCGGGCTGATGAGTAGCTCGTGTCCTTTCCATCTCATTATCAAGGGCGAACTGTGTAACACGGAGTTTGAGCGCTTTTTTATTTTCCTGTTTGACTATGGGTGGGATTATTCGCAGCGTTTTGGGGGTTCACTGATTTTCTATGGCAAGGATTGGGCTCAGTGTGCTTTTTTGGACAACGCAAAGATATCCCCCGCTTTCTCTTTTGTACACGCACGGAGGCGTTCAGGCTGAGGAGATTGGGAGTCCATGATTTCATTTGTCACGGTCCTGCAAACTGAGATACCCCCATGTAGACGACGGATACACGAAAACTAGATCGGCTCGTTTTTCTTTAAACCCCACAACAACTTTTGTTTCAGTGCCAAGTCGTAATTCTGCTCTTCCGTGTCAACTGAGCAATCTTTGGAGACGGCGGAAGGGTTACAGGGATCCACGCGTCATTGACGGCTTCACGTGTGTGAAGACTGCGGCAGGGGACACAATATTGTAGCATGTAATTTATAATAACATTCCTTGTGGAAAGGATGGAACATACTGAAGGCTTGGTGGTTGCCTGCTTTCTTTCGATCGACACTTTCTGCCGAGCTGCGGGTGGGTTCAAACTCGGTCGTGGTACCACGGCAAAAGTCGATGATATACAAAAGGATAAGGTATTTTCGGTTATGGCTTCCATAATATACCCGCGATTGACTGACTACTAGTACAGGTATCCTATCCAAACTGCATGGTGGACGGAGTAGCTTCTATAGCGCCATCTCGCGGTGCCCATACGTCGGACACTCTCCTACGGACTCAAAAAGAGAATTCTCGCCAGCGTCGGACAAGACACTTCTTGATATCGGACTTGATCAAGGCCATCGCGTCAACGTATGACATGCTTGGCAAACTTTCAACCAATCCAGGTATATTGCTATCCAAACTGGCATGACATTATGCCAAAGGATCCTCGCCATATGGAAGATTGCTCGCCTGGCTGACTCGTCTCCCCTCGTGGGCCTTGCGGTCCTCGGCCAAAGCCTGTGCAAACTTGCTCTTCTTTCTCACCACCGGGCCCTTCCAGTAGAACACATAGACCGGGACGACGACCATACAGGACAGGATCGCCAGGATCGTGCTGGCCCACTTGGTCGGATACTCGCTGCCGATGCCCTCGTACATGGGGATGGCAAACATGGCGCTGATGCCGGCCAAGAAATCCCTCGCGAAGGCGTTGCCGCCGCACGCCGACGCCGAGTACGGCCCGTAGGCCGCGATCATGTAGTCGACGGTGGAGAAGTAGATGGCGTAGTTGGCGATGCCGATGAGCAGGCTGAAGATCATGGGCGCGATCCAGTGGACCCTCGGCGGGCCGAGCGACGTCCACGCGAAGCCGATCAGGCCGACGGGCTCGAGGGGCGCGAGGAACAGCAGGATCTTCATCCGGCGCTCGGCCTCGAAGTCGTCGCCCTTCTTCTGCCGGGTGCGCGTGTAGCGGTAGATCCAGGGGAGGTAGATGAGGTAGGTGACGAAGTAGGCGAGGTTGATGGGTATGACGGCCCACGCGGACTCGAGCACGCCGAAGTCCCAGGCCTCGTAGACCACGGGGAAGCCCTCGAGGAAGATGAAGATGAGGGCGTCCGAGAACCCCGAGAGGAGGGACAGGAATAGGACTATTGGCTCGCGGACGAACATCTCGAACGGTCGCGCCCAGATCTTGACGGCCTCCTTCATGGAGATGCGCGGCATCTTGAGCTCGTTGGGCCCGTAGACCTCGAGCCCCGGGTTTTCTTTCCGCCGGCGCTTGGCCTCCTTGTCAATGAGGACGGTGCTTCGGCACTCGGGCGTGAAGAAGTGGATGAGTTGGACCGCGGCGCCGAATATGAGCTGGATGTAGAAGAACCAGTGCCAAGAGAGATCTGCGGCCGGGGTTAGTTGAGGCTGAGCCAAGGACGGCTTCGTGCAGGGAATAAGACCACCTACAGGCTTGGATGGGGCCGCCGATCACTCCTCCTATGCTTGTGCCGATGCACGAGGATAGCACGATGAATGCTAATGGCCACTGCTGGTCGTCGGGCTCATACAAGTCGGCGATGAGTCCTAGAGTCACACTGCCCCCTGCAGTGGAAAGTCCACCCTGGAATAAAATTCATTGGTCAGATCCAAGGTACAGCACAAGAGAACGACGTCGAAGACTCACCAGAGACCGGCAAACCACGATCGTGCCGAAGTTGGGTGCAAAAGCACACGGGAGCTGCCAGATGTTGATCAAGAACATGCTCAGCTGCAGGATCGGCCAGCGCCCGAACTCCTCGCTCCAGGGCGCCCACAGCTCGCACCCGAAGCTGTACAGGACCAGGTACACGCACTGGCCGACGCGGGCGGCCTGCTCGCTGATTCCGAAGTGCTCGGACAGCGGCGTCACGGCGTTGGGGAAGACGGAGGTGTTGAAGTTCATCGATATCTGGATGCAGGCGATGACGCACAGGAAGCTCCACTTCTTCCACCTGGGCCAGCTGTAGGCCAGCTTGTCGTAGCAGTCGTCCTCGGTCAGCTCCTTCTTCCCGTCTGGAAATGCAGGGCGGCCCTTTCTTGTGAGCCCGCCGAGGGAACTGTGGCGGTGGTATGTCTTTGTGTACGACTCGTACGGATTGGGGTCAGGACCCTCCTCCACTGCGGTATCATCATCACGATCGCGGGGGACCTCCCAGTGGCCCTCTTCTTTGTTGTGTTCCGCCTCTGCTCGGCGATTCGGGGCCTGGGGGGTGTTGAATGGCGGCTGCTTGTAGGCCTCGGGGTCCATTTCGGGCTGTTTCTCGCCCTTGGCCGGATTCTGTCCTGCGACCATGTTGACTCGACGAGGCGACTACGAAGACGGACAGGAGTTTGTTCAGGAACTACGGGTCAATGGCATTGCATTGCATTGCTTTATTAGACATTTTCCGTCAACATCATGACGTATCCGTCCCATGACGAGATGCAGAAGTTGATCCATGGGTGGAGGCCCGGATTTGCAACTACTGAGTGCAGCTGAGGGATAAACTGATGGACTTTCCAACAAGGCATCGCCCTCGTCGGTGTCAATCGAGGTCGGTCGCCGTTGAGTGACGCAATGCGGCTGCGGGCTGTTTCCACTCCCCGGATGTCTGCATAAATGGGTCTTGTAAAAACTGCGCACTGAGCTTTTTCGGTGGATCGTGCATGTGGGAGGGTGGGAGGCTCGATATCAAGTCCGGAGGTGTGTAACATCGTCAGCACCACGCACTCGGAGATAGTGTTTTGTGGAACTGTGGCAATTGACTTGAGTAAGAGTATTGTGTTGCCTGCCGAGCCTCTTGTCGCCGCCCACGGTCCGACCCATCTTTAATGACATACTAGTGGGTAGGAGATCGGCCACATGGTTTTGTCTGCCACCCCACCGATGAATTCATGGCTGTTGGTAATGCCCCCTTGATCCGGTCCATTGTGTCACTAGACCTCGATCAGGTCCGTCCTGCATCTCCAATCCTCCGAGCTTTCGGCTCTAACCCGGCGAAATACGACGTCAACTCTGCCAGAGTCCGCTTTTATCGGCCGATACTCCGGCGGGATCGGATCCGCGTTCATTGCTCACACTTCCACCACGCAACATTTTAGCTCGCATTTGAGGCATAGTCTTTGAGTATGGGCTAGCCTCAGTGGCAGAAAACGAGGCTACTGTTGCACGTATATCAGGGTAGTATGATGAGTGGTAAGAACAGAGAAGTGGGGCTGCAATTAATACAATTCTGGCGCTGCTGGCTAACTACCCTCAATCAATGGTGACAGATCAGATCAAATTGCTTGTGCAATCAGGCTCGTCAGGTGCGGCGTAAAAAGGTCGGATGGCCGACGTATATTTCTCGACTCGAAATAGCATGCCACTACACCTTGGGTTCGATCGACTGTCGTTAAGAGTCATCCCAAGAGTCATCCGAAACTCTTTCGTGTCTCCTCCCAAGATATCATCTGCCACCCATCACTCTCCGTCCACATCAGCCCTTGCAACCCGACAACGTCGAGCCAACCATGTGCTTCTCTCTACCGATATAACCACAGGTCTTCTACCTCAGCCCTGGGAAATCAACATCCGACCTAGACATGCTATCGCAGCTGTGCGGTGCCTGGAACGCAAGAGCCTCTATATGCAGTCAATGCCTGAGATCAGAGATTCTCGAATCTCATGTGCCACGCCGCCTTTCGTGTACTAAATGTTCTTCAACGCGAAGATCTGGGTGCCTCACTTACCGCCATGTTCCTGACTAAAAACAAGGCAGCAGCGCATGCACAGTCACATTTCAATCTGACAGTCTCAATCCGACAGCCTCTGCGTTGACCAGCTCTCGCACTGACCGGCACCGGCACGTGAGTGAGGCTTGTGATGGGTGGCTTGGGGCACAAGTAGTCAGAACAAACGCATGGTTAATGGTGATATAAGCCGCCTTTCTAGTGGTTTCTGGGGTTGGAGGCCAGGTGAGGTCATTCTCGACTTGTTAAAGCTAGGCCAAGGCTGATTCGGCAACTTTCCAGCCTGCCACAGTTGTACTACCAAACTGGACAGAACGACTGACCTGTCAGCCAATCCACTCAGCAGACAGCTCGTTGGGCGGGGTAACGGTGAAATTCGCGCAGGAGCTTCCTCAACAGGCCACAAATGTGTTCCACTTCCCGTTTTTCTGTTTTTGAGCTTCACAAGCGGTCCCATGGTTGTGTTGAACCTCGACGAGCGTGTACTTACACTTGATCACCGCTTATCTCATTTCACAATTATTGGCCGAGTTCTGATCAGAAATCATCATCTGCGACGTCACGCGTCCCTTTACATTTGTTTGCAATACCTGTATCCGGCACAAGCCAGACTTCCCGAAGTCCGCCCGTCACGTACTCATTCTCCTGCCACCTTCCAAAATGTACCGTTACCAAGCACTTCCGAGTCGAGAAGATTATATCCGACGCCTTGTCCTGGAACCCGGCGAGGACGACGCACCACTTGTCGGCCGTCTTGAGACGATCCAGCTGCGAAGCGCCGCTGAACTGAATCCGTTCAGGGCTATATCCTATGCCTGGGGTTCAGGCAATAAAGATCAGATTATTACCGTGAACGGAAACCGCCTCGAGATCACAACGAGTCTGCGAGATTCCCTGTTGCAGGCAAGGGATGCACATAGCACGGTAGCACTATGGGCAGACGGGATCTGTATCAACCAAGATAACGACGAAGAGAAGAATGGACAAGTCGCACTTATGGGCCGGATCTACGAGACATCTCGGTGCACGCTGATATGCCTCGGTCCCGGTCTTGGTACAGAGGACCGGCAACATGCTAGCGACGTGGGGCTGATAGCCGAAGTGGAAACATTGATACGGGAGGTATTTGAAGATCCGAAGTTCTCGTGGGACTGGAACAGCTTTCCATACCCTCCAGCAGATCATGCCCTTGTTAGCGACTACAGGTGGGATTCCTGGGAGCGACTAGTTCGACAGCCATGGTTCCATCGTGGGTGGGTAGTGCAGGAGGCAGCGCTTGGGCCAGATGCTCTTACGCTCTGGGCCGGGGAAGAAATAAGGTTGGTCAGTGTGCTTCGGGTTGCTTATTGGATTACATGGCGGGCTAAAACACTAATGGCAACGTTAAACATCTTGACGATATCAGCGATTCATCTTGATAAATATCAGATCCAACACCCGGAGGAGGCCCGGACATTTAGGCCGTCGAGCCAGCAACATCGCATCGAGGGGGAGACCCGCTCTCGAGATCTTACACTACGCTCGAGAAATGTTCTTGAGCGACCCGAAAGACCGGATCTACGCGTTTATGGCTTTGAGGACTTTGACAAGGCGATGCCTGCTGTGCGACCGAACTATGGGAAGGACGTATCGCATCTAGACGTCTATCGGGACTTTGCCATCAAATACCTTGAGCAGACCTCGGACTTGGATATTTTGTGCTTTTTAGATCACGAAGAAAAAGATAACAGCCCGTCTTTTGTTGCTGTTGCCGATGCTCGCGTTCCTTCCTTCCCTTCCTGGGTTCCGCGCTGGGACTCCGGGCCCCTTATCTCCGAAATTATCGACAGAGCAGCCAGGAAGATCACCTGCATAGAGGGCGAGCCCAACAATTCAAGAGGGTCGCCAATCTCAATTATTGAGGGCCTTCCAGTACTCCGAGTTAGAGCGATTGCTTTTGGTTCAGTCATATATGTATCCGAGCCAATCGAGGAGCACGACGATGCACCCGAGAAAGCAGTTGCGCAAGTGTTTTCCTTATGGAGGAACCTTGTGCGGCAGCCGAAAAAGCACCCTGGCCCCAACTGCGGTATTTCCGGCCTGGCCTTCCTCACCGTACTCCTTTTCGGACGTTTCGTCGGTGATTGGCAAGACTTCCAGAGTCTGCTTGACCTTGCACGAAGACTGCAGTCAGATCAGCCATCCCACACCGCAGACGCCTACTCACAAGATCTGGCCGCCCAAAGAATATCACTGCTTGTCGCTGAACAGTCGAGGAATAGACGAGTTGTTCTAATTGATCGCGGGTATTACGCAACAGCCTCCAACATTACCCGCGAGGGCGACCTGTGCACCATCATTCATGGAACACGCACGCCGTTCATACTTCGTAGGGTTCCCGGCAAGCAAGACCAGTACAACGTTGTCGGGCCGGCGTTCGTCTTGAGCAAGGAAATTGATGACAATGGGATTCCATATCGTTTAGCCGAGGAAGATTTCTGCGACGATTGGAAGGACTGGGACTTGCAAAGCGAGGAGATCATTCTCGTGTGAGATAAACAAGAGCACAAGCACCTCAACTGCAGGTGGCCACTCCAATCCAAGTTCACCTTATACACCACCGTTGAAGCTTGGCGTCGAACAAGGTTACCGTGGGAATACTATCTGAGATTCTTCTCTGAATGTAGTGCCAGGATAGTAGTACATTGATGTAGATTAGCAAGTAGTATGCCAGCTTGCCAACAAACACCTGGGTAGCAGGCAGCTATGACAAGGCCCCTAGACTCGGAATGTGTGGAACGAAGATCAATGTTGAGCGCCACCCCGGACCGACTACGCACGCCATGGATTTCATTTGCATCCGTTAGGAGGAAGTCTAGATCTCATTGGGCCAAGTCCTCCCTCCTCCATAAAAGATAAACTCCATCAATCTAGGACTCAATTCTTCCACGACGACATGATAGTCAAAGCAGATTCCGGCGTACTGGCAATCTTTGGATACGGGACCTCCGGGACAAAGGATATGCTTCGGCCATCCAAATCATAGTTGGAGTTTGGCAATCAAAGCGCCACACAACGCCATACTCACCTCACGAGCCACTTTGCCCGTGGCAGCTCCGCCATTCCGATTGGCCCGATTGCAGTTGTCTCCTTGTGCCAATGAATCCACGGAAGGATCAAGAAATTTGAGCAGGTCCCGGTCTACTGGTACCGAGGCGCGAGTGGGCTGGTCCCTAAGGGGAAGGAGATCGGTCGGCGCAATGATGATCAGCATAGTCGACTCTTGTCCACTAGAATAGATTAGGCGAGGGTTTTATACAGCGACCACATACAGACTGGCTGTCAAACATTGATGCTATCTTACTCTTCAAGTAGTCGTTCGTATTCTACAGCATCTAAACAACATCGCGGAGGGACTTGTTACTGCGGATGGGTTGGCAGCTTCTTACAAATTGAACTTCCAATATCGAACAGGCAGCCATCTGCATGCAAGGAGCTACTAGTATGAGCCATGGTCAGGACTCATTCCAAACTGGAGCGGAGTCTTCGACGCATCTGAGAATCACAGGCAGCTTCGATAAGAAGCTATTGAAAACGGCCCACCGAGGTAGAATAGAGAGCACGTTCTGCTAGTCCCCTCTAAAAGAGGAAGAAGGCGATCCAGCGCGAGGGAGGAAATAAAAGGAATAGAAGAGGGTGTAAGGTGCACAATCGCGAAGCTTTTTAAGAAGACCTGCAAATAATGCGTGGCATAAGAGAAAAAAAGAATGGATTGGATTCTGAGCGGAGAATTTCTATAGCAACGATTACCTGGGGACTTCTATATACCCGCCGCTGAGGAAACGAATGTAACCCACTTCACCCCACTACACTATTCAGAGCGGTTTCGCTAATCTCGCAATGTAAACGAAGCCATCCTACGAACACAAGCCGATATTCATATCGCAAGCCAGCTCAAGGCTTCTATTGTTCCAGGAGCAAATAGCTGGATTGACGCCTCGCAGAACCCCTACTATTGAGGAGACCCGTGTTGAAGGAGGCAAATCACGTTAAAACGTAGCCGCCTCGGAAAAGCCAACCGCCACCTGACATCGGCACCCAGTCGGGGTCTTCCCCCGGCCGGACCGGGCGTCGGTCTGACGCGTCAGACGCCATCATCAAGAGAACAGATATTCGTACAGAAGGAAACGGATGGTACACAGATACCTGTTTAATGATATCCCCCCAGCTAATTAGAGTATAACACCCACACCCACGCCCACGCCCAATTTACACATACATACACCTAACTTATAAATTAATATCAATTGGGCTTGGGCATGTGAATTTGGTGTAGGTGTGTTGATCATGGGTGGGTTGACTATAGGTGTATAGGTGTGTGGGTTGTCGGTGTATTGGGTGTGGGTGTGTTAGGAGTGGGTGCACTAGGCGTGTAATGTAACTGTATACCATCCGTTTCTTTCTGTGTGAATATCCGTTCTCACAATCAATGGGCGTACCCTGGATTGCGCGCTCGCGCATTAACCAGCGGGCCCGTCCTGGTCGCCAACCAAGACCGGGCGGGTAGTAAAGATCAGACCTTCACCTGCTTGGTTCTTCCATTCACAAAGGAGGCCAGTGCAAACATTTGATGTCAGAAGTAAATCCATACTATACTTTCCTTTCAAGAATGGAAGGAATGAGGAGGACAGCACTTAAATTACTTGGCGTACTTACAACCAAATCAACTCACTCCCCATCAAAGAGCAGCTTCAGGTACCCGCCTTGGCACCGCGTCCAAGACACAAAAACCAACCATCCCCCCGGATGACGCGCTCCATGTGCCGCTCAAGAGTCACCGACAAGCCAAACAGCGACAGCGAGATGCACCAGAAACAGATTCTCTCGCATCCCTCGGAAGGCAGCTTGTGCCGAATGCACGGAGCTGCATCCTAGGTAGAGAAACCACAGCACTTTGTAAGAGTGGAACAGAGCGCTAACCTCCAGAGCGCAGACATCACACATATTGTTGCTCACTCACAACCCCGTTGTTACAATATATACATAGCATTGTGTGTTACCTATATACATGAACGCACGACCATGTGTATGCTATATACATGAATATGGGAGAATCTACAACGTGCGCCCCTTCATACTCGTCTAGCAGATGCTGGTGGCGTTTGTCCTGATCGCCAAAACCTGTCCGCCTACTACGGTATCGCCATTGACGGGCGCCACCATGCCACCGGCGGTGGTCACATACAAGACATTCGAGTCGTCCGTCCTCCTCCCGAACCTCGCGGAAGAGGGCTCCGCGATGGCCGTCGAGTTCAAGTCCCCAGCCACGACCGCGACGTTACCCCCGGGGGTGACCCTCTGGATGGCGTTTGACCCCCCCGTGGCCATGAAGACGTTCCCGTCGCAGTCGATGGCGAAGTCGTCCCACTGGTCCAGCGACGAGAGGCTCTGTGCAACTGTCTGTGCCTCGCCGGCGGGCGTGCCGTCGTCGGGGTTCAGGGGGACCTTGACGAGCGTCCCCTGCCCGACGTTGGACAAGTACAGCTCCGCATCCCGCACCCGCAGCCCGTCGGTCGCGACGCTGCCGAAGCCGTACGTGACAGCGGGGACCGTCTGGGTGTTGTTGATGGTGGCGGCGGCCGCCCCCGTGTCGACGTTTACGGCGTAGACCTCACCCGTGCGGATGTCCCCGGCCATGAGGAACTTGTTGGCCCCGCCGGACAGCAGGTCGATGCCGTTCAGGCAGGTCGCGGCGGGCACGTCGGCCAGCTTGCTGACCTTTGGCGGGCTGGCGGCAAGGGTGGCGGTCGAGTTGATGGTGGCGCCGCCGAGGTCGACGCTCCAGATGGACCACGAGCCCTGGGTGCATTCGCCCGTTGAGAAGGAGAAGTTCCCGGCCAGGACGGCGAACACGTCGTCCTCATATTCGGCTATGCCGGTGATGCCAAGGGCGGCTGGGAACTCATGGATGAGAACGGCCTCGCCGGGCACGTGCGGATCGACCAGCCAGAGCTGTGGCGAGGTGAAGACGTCGAGGAGGATCTGGCCGTTGGCACGGACAGCCAGGTTCTCGACGTACGTGTTTTCCGGGAACTGGTAGATCGTCTGGATGTTGTCCGTGGAGCGTGGGGAGGGTCTGGCGGCCACTACTGCGGTCCAGCCGGAGAGCATGGCCATGGCGACGGAGGAGTTGGCCAGCATGATGGGCGGCGGGCCTGCAGGCGTTCTGAGTTCCAGAAGGCGATATCTTGCAAATGTCTATGCATGCGCTGCTTCTAGAAGCATCGTGGGCTTCTCCTTGTTTTATAGTCCCTGGCCGGAGATTGGCGGGCAGCGGTACAGTCCGAGGCTGGAAGATTCTTGCTCCACCCGGGGGCAAATCGTCAAATTCCACCCGCTCTTGAAACCTGTAGTAAAAAATCGGGGACACCCCTTTTACACCCAATCCCGAAACGACTTTCATCTGAGGCATATTATCCCAATCCTCGTCGCTGGGGCGATTCGGGCCATCTAGTGATTCGATTATGGGGCGTAGGATGCCGCTAAGCTACGCGATGTCTTGCACCTCGGCAAGTCGAGTATACCAATTCCGGGGCGGGGCAGCGTGTGATGCAAGGCAAGGTCTGTGTTATTGTCCTGGCATGGTTCCGAGAAGATGTCTTGGGGGGTTAAACCACAGGCGCCATGTGTTGTGACTTTTAGTGGCCGTTGGGAAAGCCGCAGCCGTCCGTGAGTAGTTTTTATAAGGCGAAGAATGAGTGACCCAGGGTCATGGTATCGCAAATTCCGTCCCTGCAAGTGAGATGGGGTCTTCCTGTGGAGAGACCTTGCCGCGGCTCCACTCAGGACGGCGTCTAGGCCAAAGGCGAATATAGCGCTGAGAAAAAGAAAAAGGCCATACCGGGCATGATTTTGTTCGCAATACAGCCGGATTAAAAATAGGATCGGGCTACTCGTGAGTCGCGACTCCAGTCTTTATGTGCAGCGGTCGACACAAGTCCAGCATTGTCCAGCTGCAAGCGAGCCGAGTTCGTCATGACCTCGGCCGTTTTCATGCCGCCAGCTGATGAAGCAGCATCGAGACGCGTCTCCATCTCGTCCCGCCTCGCCTCGTCCCGGGATCCGCCAAGCGGCGATCTGAATTAAGACAGTTCGCCGTACCCAACGACGCACGGTAGACAATCCTGCAATCTCGTTCGTAGCTACACTATTTGTAAGCAGCTGCAACCGCTAGGAGCTGCCACTGGCGTTGGCTCCTGCGCGGCTGCGCACCGAGGGCGTCACGGCCATGACGAGCGAGAGCTGGCTGTGCGAGTGCGTGGGGTACGCGGGCACGCCCGAGAGTTCAGACCGCTCATCGGCATCGTCAAGGACACGTCGGCCGACACCAAGAGGGTCCTGGAGAGCCTGGCGCCAGTGGTGCCGGGGGGCTCCAATGTCTGAAGCTGGGCAGTAGACCTTTGTGTGGCTGGCGGGAGGGGTCCGCTTGAAGGCAAGGCTCAGTCGCCCTCAGTTCTGGGTGATAATTATAATAGATGAATGCAGAATAGCATAGACGTGATGAGTTTTATCTCATGGATATAAGAGCAGCAGTAGCCTGTCTCTATTATTATTATAAGCCAGGGTCACATAAAAGTATATGCTAGTAAGGCAAATCCTGGCATAAATCTGGATATATACCTTGGCTGCGGAGCGGACACCTGAGCAGAGCCCGTGATGATGTCAACCAACAGCCCAGCGTTGCAACACTTTATACGTCAAACTCAGATGCCCGTCTTTGCGCGAAATGCTTTCGTCAACTTTTCTTCAGTAACGTACAATTGTGGAACAAGCTCCCCCTTTTCTACAGCCCCAGCACCGATGCGATCAACCCACAAAACGCAGCAAGCGAGATATTCCGAAATGCCCCGGTCTCAGCACCACTCTCTGTCGTCGATGGCGTGGATGCCGGGATGGAGGAGGAAAAATTCGCAGACGCAGAATCGCCCGTCTCTGACGGACCCGATGATGCAGACGCAGCCGTCTGAGCCGATGCGGAGGAGGTGGTGGTGATCACAGCCAGTATCTTCTCCAGGCCGGCCGTGATAGTCACCTGGTGCAAAGCACTGATTGTTTCTTGTTCATAGATCATCCGAGACGTTTCATAGACTTCGGTCACGCCTGATGGGCTTGCAACTGTCATGTCACAGTCGTAATATCCGCCACTGATGTTACATTCGGTGTCCCAATTGCTTGTGGGGTAGTTAGCTTGAGTTGTGTGAGATTTCCGCCGGCACGGAAATCTCACACAAGAAGTACTTACATAGCGTCAGGCTTGGTGAAGTGTCGAGCAAAAGTTTAAGGGCCGTTGACGTATAGTCTGGTCATTGTTGACGGGTCTCCGGGACTCTCGCACTTTCAAAGAATCCATTTCTATCCAGTGTTAGATTCGGAACGGAACTTCAAGCTCGGAACCTCTGACCTCGACGGTGCAGTTGGGGTCAGCCAATCCCCTAACTAGGTACGTGGTAGCCTTAGGTGCGGCGGAAATCACGGATCCGACAAAGGTTGCGTTGCGGCTTTCGTCGGTGTCGAGAAACAATTCCATGGCCGACGCGGTCTGGGCCATCGTGCCTAGCGTTAGAGCCGCGGCTAGCAATAATGGCTTGGATTCCATAATGGGAGCCAGATTATTGGTTGTCTGTTAGGTATGAGGCTGGGTGGTAATTATCTAAGTTGTAGGTCGCGCTTGCTGAAGGCCAAGGGTGCTGGGGTTGGAATCATAGGTAGTCGATTGTCTGAAGAGTTGGACAATCAAGAGAGAATCGGAAAGACTCAAAACCTCATTGTTAAAATTCCGTGTTCCTTATTTAATTGATTTTATATCCTTAGCGCCAATCACAAAGGATTTCTGCCAGCAGCAGAGTAATCCTATTAAAGCCAACTGATAATAAATGTACCATGGATAAATAGCTTTATAATAAATTTATTTTAAATTTACAGGTAATATTATAATAAATACTTAAGGTATTAAAAGTTATAAATTAAAATTAACTTATATAATAAATTAAAATAAAAATTAAAAGAAAATATAACGTGGTTTACCAGGAAGTAGCGGATATTAAGAAGTGGCGGATTTTTGCAACTTTAGCCAACTTTAGCCAGCCATAATACCTACTTAATGTAAATAATTTAATTAAATTTAGCATTAATTAATGTTAACTATTTTAATAACCTTATTTTTAATTAATTTAATTAATTTAAAGGGATTAATATAGTTACATTTAAGTTTAAAATAATTAACTTTTAATAAAGGGAACTTATTTTAATGTAAATCGCATCCTAGTTTTTTATATTAATCTTGCTTTAATCCGCCTAATTAAATATTTAATATATTAAAAATTAATAATTATTAATATATTCTTTATTTAAAAAAAATAAAATCCTTTTAATTATATAAGTAATTAAAAACTTAAAGAAAAATAATGCAAAACTTATATTTATAACTTAAGCTATTAATATCTTTAATATCCTTAAAACCATATTACGCTATAAAATAAATTAATAATACTTATATAAAGAATTACGTATTAATAAGCATAAACTTAATTAAATTAAAAAGTAAATGCTTATTTAATATATTATTAATTAAGATATTTAAAGATTTCCCTTATAACTTTTTAATATAAAAGATATGGCTAACTTTTTGCTAATATTATAAAATGCTAAACCTATTAATAAGCATTAAGCTTAACGCTTTATAAATTAATAACCTAGCCTTAAAATTAAATTTAATTATCCCTATAATTATTAAAAAGCCTTTTATAAAGATTTAAAGATTATTAAAAATTAATTTAAATTACTTTATAATATAATGACTAAATATTAAATTATTAATAATAACTTTTATAACTTTAATAAGACTAACTTTATAATAAGTATAATTATTATATTAATAGTTATTATATGTATTAATAAATATAAAAAGGCTAAATTAATTTAGCTTAATAATTAAGAATAAGCAATTATTATTAAATGCATTAATATAAGTAAATTATGGATTTTATTATTTATAATTATTTAAAATGCTTATTACCTTGCTAGCTAAGCAATAAAGTTAAGTTTTTTAAATAATTAAATTATTAAACTTACTTTTAATAAATAAATAAATAATAAAATTAATTTAAAATAAATTTAGCACTTTAATAAGCATATTAAATTAAAAAAAGATATTAATTATTAAATATTAATTATAAATAATTATAAAAGCTATATATTAGCTAAATTTAATTAATATTATAAAAATAATAAAATTATTATTATTAGCATATTATTATATTTATTTTACTTACTTTAGCCATTAAATATTGTATTATATTTATCTTTAAAATATGCATATAGCAATTAAATTAATCTTTTTATTTAAGCCTTTATTAACCATATTACTAAGTTTAAGTTCTTTTTTATATTTAAGGCAGCTTATAATAAGACTTTTATAATAAAAAATATTAAGTTTATATTTAAAGGAGTTAGAATTTCCCCTTAGGACCCTAATTTTATAATTTCTAAGCTTAATATTTACTTATAAACTTTTATATAATCCCTTTTTATTTTCCTTTAAAAATAAAAGTTTTAAATATTATTAAATGCTTAATAAATTATTTAATAATTAAGTTTTATTAAGGGCAGGATTTCCGCCCATTAAGAAAGCTTCTTTATATTAATTATAAATATTGTTAATTAATTAGCAAAGAATATATAAGTAATAACGTACTTATTTATTATAATAAGCAAGTAAATCCGTATACTTTAAAAGGTTAATATAGCGCTTATAAAACATTAAAGGGCTAAAAAAACCTAAATATAGCTTAAAAAAGCACTTATTATTAAAAAATCTTATACTTTTATTTAAGAAAAATAAAAAAGAAAGCGGTTAGCTAATAAAATTAATAATAATGCTAAGGAATTAATTCGCAATAAACCAATTAAAAGATAATATAATAATTATAATAAAACTAAGCATAATGCAAGAACTTATAAGAAAAATAAAAAAGGGTTTATTTAATTAAATTTTAACTATATTATAATAAATTTAGCTTAGTTAGCATTAATTAATGCAAATATATAGGTATTAATGATTCGCAGCAAACCAACTTTTTAAGGGTGTAATTAGTATTAAATGGTGCTAAATATATATTTCCTATTAAAAGTTAATTAATTTAAATTAGCATTATAATTACGCTAATGCCTTTAAATTAATGAAATTAATTAGAAATAAGGGTTTAATTGTAATTAGCACTAATTAGTGCCAAATCTTATAAATCTTTTTGCATTAAGTGGGTGCTACGGCTAGCTAAAGTTAGCTAAAGTTGCAAAAATCCGCCACTTCCTAATATCCGCCACTTCCTAGTAAACCACGTTAATATATTATTTTATTAATTATTAAAATTAATTATATAAATAGAAATATAAATAAACTTTATTAAATAATATTTCTTTAAAAAGAAAATTATATTATATTAATATAATTAATTAAGTTATATTTATTATTAATTATATTTAATTTTTATATATATTATTAACTTTAATTAACTTTTTTATATTTATAAGCTTAAAGGGATGTATTAAATTTATTTATAAAGTAAATATATTATATTTGCTAATAAATTAAATATAAAGTTATTATAACTTAACAATTAATATTATAATAAATACTTAAGTTATTAAAATTTATAAATTTAAAATTTATTTTTATTATTAGCTAGCTTTAGCATAAATTTAATAAAGAAATTATTATATTAACTATTAATTTTAACTATATATACGAGGATCCCACCATAAGAACGGTGTAGAATCTGACAAGTTTAATTCATAGAGATTTATGGCCACGTTAAACTAGCTAGATAACAAATATTCCACGATGCGTTGGTGGTTGCTCAGACAAACGGCTGAACTTGCTCTTCAGTCCATTCCCAAAATCTCTCGGAAAGCCCATTCCCGCCCTCAGACCGTGGCTTCAACTCCATGTCTATATCCTCTCGCATTTGACAAAAGCGGCCCCATGGCCCAACTAAAACCTTCAGTCAGTCTCTACCATGCACCTTAGGTCCTCAAAGCGGAGAATACAAGCTCATACAGGTCAACTATTCCGGCAAACTTACTCCAATTCTTGTGTCTTACAGCTTCGACCGTCAGGTGTGCCGAGAAACCAGCAAAGAGCTCCGTGTATGCCCCATAAATGGGTGGATAAAGGATGAAGGTGCGAAGGAATTTGGTCTCGAGCCATGAACGATTTCGCGTCAGTTCGGTGTTGAGATTGCCGGGATTCAGAGCGACGCTCACGACGCCGTCTGATTCCGCACCATGCCTCCTCGCTACTTCTACCGAATGGAGGTAGTTACCAACTTTGCTAATTGCGTATTTGGTAACGGTTGATTGGTCCTTATGATAGTCCAAGTTCTCAATATCCAGACCATATTTCGGTGACAGGTTCACGGCGATGGAAGAGACCCAGATGACGCGTACAGAATCTTTGGGGCTGATTTTTGCCGTATTGATAAGCGTCGGAAGGAGAAGCTTTGTGAACAGGAACGGCCCAATAGTATTTGTTCCCAAGTTCAGCTCGTAGCCCTGCTCTGTCTTGGGTCCATCGGCAGGAGCCAACACCCCGGCGTTGTTGAAGAGTACATCAAGTCGTGATTCCCGCAACAGAAACTCGTCCACAGAGGGCCTGATAGCAGATAGGTCGCCTAGATCAAGGTGGAGGTAGACAAGGACGCCTTTCGATTGCGGATGCGCTGTCTTGATTGAGTCGATCGCAACTTGAGCCTTTGCTTTTGACCTGGCAGCGACATAAACCTTGGCATTCTTGGAGTAAAGTATGCCCGAAAGGTCTTTGCCGAGGCCGGAGTTTGCTCCCGTGACGATGTATACCTTGCCCGCCAGGTCGGGTAAGTCTGACTCGGTGAACTCGGGCTGCGGTGGAAACACTTGCAACCAGGAGTCCTTGAAAGAAGCGAATCCGGCGAACATTGCGTGGCGGTGCTCCCTGGATGCAATTGTGTGCTGTGTACTCTTCACGAGGCAGAGGGATATGCCTATGTCTATCCAGCAGCATCTATGATAGCAAGAGCAAGTGGTCTTGGACGGCGTGGCAGCCACGAGACGACAAATTGAAAGCTCGGCAATCCTAGAGTTTGCATTAGCTACACCTGAGTCGTGCTACAGCATTCTCACCGCTAGATTCAGATGTCTCCCAAAGTCTCAGGATAGCGCGTGTGCCGGAATACAGATATGGCTTTAAAAAGTCTATTGCCAATGAGCAGTGGCCCCTAGTTAATTAATTTTATTACTAGAGTACCAATTAATAATTATAATACCTTTATTAAAACTAAGTATTTACATAAAGTATATAGAATTTATATATACTCTTTATTTAAATTTATTATTAAACTCATTATTATAAATATATTATTTTAAATATTTTATATATTATTATTATATACCTTATATTAAGTAAATGAAAATTAAAACATTTTAATTAATTTAATTTTATTTATATTCTTTTTAAATTATTTTTAAATCTTAACCCTTTTTTTATATATTATATTATTCCTTAATTAAAAATTATAAGAATTTTAATAAAAGTAATTTAAATTTATTATTATTAAATTTAATTATAATATTTATTAATATACTTATAATATTATATATTATATAATACTTTTATTAATAATTAAATATTAAAGTATTATTATAATAAAAAATAATATTATAAATAATTAATTTTATTTATAAAGTTTATAAAAGAGTAATATAAAAAAACATACGGAAATCTTCTTTAAATTTAAATTTCTAATCTTTAAAGTATATAAAAATTAAATGCTTAGGAGAACTAACCCCTGAAAGTGTAGGGGGTCCCTGTGGCTTAGCAACAGACTTTCTGAAAGAACCTCCCTACCCGGTATCTGCATCTTGGATACAAGCTCGCGGTACAATTTGCACTAACCAGAATGGGTCAACGGAATCGGGGTCCGATAAAACCCCTAGCTAAGCATTAAATTCATATGCAATCCACCCAGACAACCCGAGGGCCCACAGGGACCTTAGGGTTCCTCAACTTCATTTGTTCATATTTCCACCCAAACTCGCTTTCGCTAGCAACTAGGCAAAGTGTAATCTGGTGGGACTCTTTCTTCCAATAAATAAGAGTATAAGCTAATTAATTCTTGGCATCCTGGCGGAGGTGTACGACGCCAATGCAGGTCCCAAACAGACTCTGGTTAGGGTACTTTCAGCATAGGTACCCAGCAGTCGGCCACGCAAGCGTCCGGAGAAACAAGATTGACCGACCAACCTCGTCAGAGAGACACCAAAAGCCTGCCTGATTGTGTGGCTCGCGAGACGTTTACCCTACTTGGCTGATTCTGCAAAATTCTGAAGCGACGAGTCTAAACCTCAAGTGCTTTCTGACTCTCATATTTGCGAGTATCGTGGTCTCTGCCGCTCAGCACCATCATGCAAGCCGCACCATTTCCACTTGAGCCGCTTTTGACCGGCCAGCCCTTAGCACTTGTCTTTGGGCTCCTGGTTCGTGATCCTCTGTTGAGCACTCATTTTGTTTTCTTGATTTTGTTCTGTTTGGGGGGGGGGGGGCAAGCTGACGATTTGTGGAAATTGCAGGGCTTAGCTTTCGCAGCGATTGTCGAAAAGGCAATTTATAACGTCTTTCTTCACCCTCTGCGAAAATTTCCTGGGCCTCTGTTAGCAAGAGCCAGCCGCTTGTACTACTCATTTTATCGCAGCACAGGACAGCTTGAATGGAAGACGCTTGAGCTACATCAAAAGTACGGAAGTGTGGTACGCATCGCACCGGATGAGTGTAAGTGCACGTGTACTATTTCATTGCCAGATACGGAGTCGACTACTGAATTTGTTGTCAGTAAGCTTCAATGGTAGGACGGCATGGGACGATATCTATGGGCACAGCACCAAACGGCGGAATGGGCAAAAGCTGCAAAAGGAACCATTCTTTTACATGGGCGCCATGGCACCAAACGGCGAAAAGAATCTTGGAGCTAGCTCCGATAAGGATCATAGCCGTATTCGCGGGGTCCTGTCCAGTGCCTTTTCAGAAAAGGCAGTCTATGCGCAAGAGGATCTCTTGCTTCGCCACATCAATTACATGGTGGAACGGATCTGCAGCCTTAATGGAACGCCCACAGATGCTGTCCGCTGGCTTCACCATTGCACGTTCGACATCACGACGGACCTCTCCCTCGGCACCAGTGCCAAGACACTGGCCTGTGACACATGGAGTCCGCAGGCTCATCTGATGTTTGAAGGCATCAAGGAAGGCATCACCGCCGTTGAAATACTGCGCTTCGTGCCTTTCAAGTACCAGGCCTTTGGTATTTTGATCAAAATGTTCGGAAAAGCGCGGCTTCAGGCATTCGAAGCGGCAGTAGACCAGGCACGCAAGCGCATGACCCATGCTGCCACAGACAAGGGGGACAGGAGGCCGGACTTCGTATCGTATATCGTCAAGGCAAACGAGACGTCCAGAGCGCTGACACCGAGTGAGATCACCGCGAATGTCGCCCTTCTGCTTGATGTTGGATCCGAGACCACGGCCTCCCTGCTTGCCGGCTGCCTTTTCCATCTAGCCAAGAATCCGCACATCCTTGAAAAGCTTACTTCGATGATCCGGAAAGAGTTTTCGACACCCCAGGATATCAACTCCAAGATGCTGGCCAGAATGAGTTACCTCACAGCAGTGTTCAGTGAGGCTCTTCGCATCTATCCGCCAGTGGCAGGTGCTACGCCCCGACTAACGCCTCCAGAAGGCTCTCAAAGTAGGGAGAGCTTATTCAAAAACGAAGAACGAAGGCTCTTCTGCTAACAAGGACCTAGTTGACGGCCAATACATCCCAGGTAATATGAGCGTCGCTATCAACCAGGTCGCCATGAATAGGTCTTCTCGGAACTTCAACAAACCGGACGAGTTCGTGCCCGAGCGCTGGCTAGGTGATGGCTGCTTCGCGGAAGATCAACCACAAATGTGTCTGCCATTCTCCCACGGCCCCAGAGCCTGCCTTGGTCGCAAGTATGTATCTCCCACAATGCTCTCCACGCAAGCATGTACTGATTTCTCGAACACAGTCTCGCCTGGGCTGAAATGCGACTCATCCTGGGGCATTTACTCTGGATTTTCGACGTAGAGTTGATGCCTGAGTCTCAAGATTGGAGCAATCAGAAATCGTGGTTCATTTGGGACAAGCCAGACCTTATGATACGCTTCAAAGAGCGCGAAATAAGAGTCAACGGCAAGGTGCGGAAGTAGCCGCTAAGCTGCTGAAGAGACTTATGGTTGGAGTACACTTGGGGATGAATTTCGGGCTTTTTCAATTGTAGTTTGCTCTTTGCTGGATGCAATATTGTCTCCTCGCTTAATTAAAGCCACAGTGCGTGTGTTCTCAGAGTTTTCACATTTTGAAGGCAGTTCTCAATGTTCGGAACGGCAATGCTCCTGAGGATTTGCATTTGGGGCTACGTAGAAAACACAATCAATCGAAAGACTCCTCATCTCTCTGTCTGCAGCTTTGAGTTTGATGTGTATAGCAATCTAGTCGTTCTCTTTGAAGTACGGTGTAAAAAGAGGTACCACTGTCATACGAAGTTCTATAGGTATTGCAGTACGAGTTTCCGTTCAACATCAAGTGAGGTCACGATTCTCTAGCACGCTCTATACCGAATACATTTAGCGTCAAATTTCTCAAAAATATACCACATATTACCTTCCCATACTATTACTTATGTCGGCTTAGATGTCAAGCTGGGTTATTGAATTGTACTTGTTGTAGACATGTTACGGACATTGTTCGGACTACTTAAGCAATGGCAAGAGTGTCTGTATAGCAACATTTAAACGAGCTACCAGACGTATTTCTGGGTAGCTACGCCATCAGATCTACTTCTGAAAGTAAATGTTCGACCTAGCTCGGGGGTCCGGGATTGGGACAGGACCCCTTGGAGGCTTGTCCCCAGCAAGCCACCCCTGATGAGTGGTTCGAGTGCCCATCTCAATCGGATAGTCAATCTTGGAGTGCATGACTCCCCAGTTGAAAAACAACAGCTGGTCTCCCTCTTCCTCAGGGCCAACGTAAATATTCTCAGGGCGGATAATGCGATACTGGAATTTAGTGAAGAAGTCGCGCACTTCCTTCACGTCATCAATAACCTTAGGCTCCTCGTCGAGGCTGCTGCGGACAAACACCCGGCGCACTATATTAGGTTGCACGTGGAAGTGTTTGCCGCCTGTCACCGGGTTGACCCAAACTAGGGGGAGCTGCGAAGAAGCATCTCAGTCAGCTTAGAAATTTGATATGAGGCCTGTTGAATGCGATAAAATGAATGCTTAAGAGGAGAACACTTACGACGAGCTGGTCATCTGGATTTCTAGGCATGGCTTCCATCTGCTCGTCAGAGGCTTCTCTGCCCTCACAGGCGACATTCAAACCCTGTGGGTTTCCGCGGCAGCGAAGGATCCACTCGTAGGGGAAGAACTGGTACTCTGCCCAGCTGTGATCAGCGATGGCTTGCTCCTCCTTGGACAACATGTCGTACAACCTGGCCGTGCTAAAGAAAGCAGTGCGTCCAGGCTTGACCTTTTTGGTCATGCCTGAGCCGTCAGCCCAGTCCACGGTCTGCTCACCCTCGGGGAACTTGATGATGCGGAAGGAGGTGAACATTGGGTGGTCAATCTTGTACGACGGGCCATCAATGTGCCACGATTGAAAGCGTGCCACGCCCTTGTGGTAGTCCTCGTGGGATAGGGGCTTCGAGTAGTAAGCATCTGCGAACACTTCGGGAATGTCGACATCTTTCAGGCCCCAGTGGTCTTTGCCCTGGTACCCCTTTCCCATGAGGAACAGACGCTCAGTCTCTGGGAGTACAAGGTAGCCTAGCTTGGGCTGAACCCGGCGCACATTGTCAGACATCAGGAGACAGTACGATCTGGGGTTGGGCACGTACGAGAATCCCAGCGCCTTTGGGGTCCGGGTTGTACATCAGAGCCCATTCTTCCGGCGTGAACTTGGGAGCGTCAGGGCTCAAGCGATTGAGCAGCTCCCAGTTCTTTTGCGGGGTCTCGTCATGTTGATGCTTGATAACCACGAGAAGATATCGCTGGACAGCATCACGTAGCTTGTCGACTTGTTCATCTGAAGTGTAACTGGCTCAGTCTCATTTCTTCGACGCAATACTGGCTCAGTGCAGGGACAGCGCAACCAACGGACCTGTGATGGTGTTGACGTCGAGGCCATAAATCTCGGCTCCAAACTAGATAATAACCAAGCAAAATTAGTTTCGACCACTTGCAAGGACGGATGGTCATGAGTGGATTTGACATACACCAAACTCTCCGTTCATAGGCTTGACAACAAAGTCCTCTACCATTGAACCCATCTCGATCTCAAATTTGAAAATTTGGCTAAGTGTATAAATAGGAGAACACGATTTGTATCATTTCATCTTCAAACCGCCCCAGGACAGCGAGCACATCGCGGTATTTTAGTTCGCTTTGCTCCCTGACTGTCTTCCCCCCGCCTGTCGCTAAACGCATATGGCTCTTATCATACCACCACACAATATGAATTACGCATCATACCTCGGCCACCCCACAATGGGCTCCGGGATCCGAGTCAGGAAGGAGTTCCAACTGGGGAGGCAAGTTCCGCCCCGGTGTTACACCTCTACAGGCATCCCAATGGTTGAATCGTGTACAACTTTTCCCATTGGTGATTCTGGACCCACCAGGTCACACTTTGCCTAATTGTGACTTTGGGAGGGAAAGTGGTTATTTAACGTTTGGGATGCCTGCAGAGATGTATGCTAACCCGAGCGAGCCTACCAGGGGGAGGGGGGGTTTTTGACAAGGTCACGCAATGAAATCTTTTTTTGCAATAATGTAGATGTTATGTCAGAGTTTAGACATTATAATGAAATACTTATGAAATGCTAAGAAACATAAATACAAATAATGTTTAAGAATAAATATTAGATTAAACTAAGCATTATATTAAGGTAAACATTATATTAATATATATTAATAAAATTTTTATGTTAAAAGCTTTAATTTAGCTTATTATAAGTTTACCCTAGACTAATTTTTAAATATCTTTATAATTACGTAAATTCTTTTAAAATAAATCATTGAGCTAATAAAGAGTAAATAAGTAATTAAATCAAGGATAAGAAAAAAAACAAGTTTTTTTTTTTTTTTACCTCTTATATTAAGGGTTAACATTACGTTATAATATGTTAGGAATGATTATATATTATAATATATTAAAAGCAACTATATGTTAATAACGTATAAATAATGCAAGATTTACATAAAAAAGCATGTTAGAACCTTGATTATGTGTTACTATTATTTCACTATTCTATTGATATACTGATGCGATGTTGACAAAAAAGACCCCTCCCCCTGGTAGGAGATTCTGCCGAACTAGAACCTTATCATTACACCCTGCATACGCATGCATTGAGGCCAAGCTTTATCGTCAACCGCCACAACAAGACCTTCCGGTTTGTCTAGACCTTCCGGGTTGTCTAGACCTTCCGGTTTGTCTCGACCCTCACCTGATGGATCGTAACATTGCAGCGGAGTTGCAACATTGCCAAGCAAGACACAAGAACTGGCAAAACGCCTGTTCGGGTAGCAAAATCCACACGCGTGTGTGGAGTGCGGGAGTAAAGCTGACCCATGGGAGTGATCCCAGCGATCATAACGAGGTATCGAGCCGTCGGCATCCAACTGGCATGCCTACTATCAGTTCCCCTTTTCGGACGGTCCCGCTTCGTGCCTTTTCACTTGGCATCCTGTGAATGGCATGCCTCTCGCTGAACGAAATGCCCCTATTCCTCGCGGATAACATTCCTCAATGCGCATCCATCAGCCAGGCTAGTATTTTATTTCTATCAGCTTGAAATATCGTTCATAACCCATTTTTGAACAATCTTAAGACTTCTCCATAGTTTGTCCATGTATAGTTTACGCAAGATCATGAATAAAGCAAGGAGGGAAACGGAAAGAAAACAACACTAAGCACGTTTGTTGCGCCACAATCCTGATCTCATCAGCCTCTCTTTCCGTTAGGCTCGCAGTAGTTCCAACATGACCCTCATGTTGGGATTGGGAAAACCGAGTAAATCCTCGATTTTCCGTACCTCAGCGTAGAGCTGAATATGCAGATCCGCCATAACAGAGCTTGCGTATTCCAGCCCCTTTACCTCCTCGATAGCCTCCAGGACGAACTGCTTTTGCTCTAGAGTCATACCCCCATTCTTTCTCCCTGTTGACAGCATATTGAGCACTGCCATGTGGCTGGGTTGTGTTTGGAACAAGTGAATGAGTGGCAGTGACCACTTTCCGTCGTCAAGATCCTCGCAGAAGCCTTTCTGCTTTATGTACTACAGGGATGTTATTCTCCGTTCGAATCGTAAGAAGATCATTTTGCGTGTTCAGACCGGCCTGGGGACAGTTACTCACGTCGGCAGAAACCAGGTTCTGGTAATCGTCACGTATCTGAAAACAGCGTCCGAGAAGGGTAGTCAGTCCACGAAGCAGACTCCGGAGTTCAGACTTAGTCACTGCATCTTCTGCTGCGTCTAGCATCAGGTCGGTAGCTATTTGAAAGAGCTGGCCTGTCTCTAAGCAGGTGTCAGTCTGCTGCTACTTCAGAAACAGAATTTGACCGTGCGGTCATGTACTCACTTTGGTCCACCATTCTGTAATACTCCTCTTCAAGGGGAATACGACCATTGTAGGTCCAGAAAAGGTCCATGGCTTGACCTTGGAATAACGTCGTGATACTGTCTGCAATTCTACTGAGCAAATGTTCGTGCACAGCAGCAGTTCTGTGTATTGACCGAATAGTTAATTCAAGTCCAGGATTGGTACTCACTGATTACTCCTCGGGCGCAATTTCCCGTAGAGAACTCCATTATCTGACCGATCACCCCAATGATTGAGTAAGCCGCAGTATTCACAGTCTGCGCCGGACCAAATATTGTATGTGTCGCTGGTTTGCCACGTCTCAGAGGCGAATTGTCCTGGAAGTCATCGAGCCTAATAAAAGAATGAATTTCTCAGACGCTCAACGAGTTTGCTCCCAGGTCCCAGTTTTACGTACAGTAATGACGCATTGTGCAAAGTTCTGACGGCACTTTTTATGAGTTGCACTTTGTCATGCGGAACGCGCAGCCATTCATTCAGGCCATCGATGAACTGATCCCTTACGCCTTTGGATGGCATGGAAGCAATATACTTGTAAGGTGCCTCTAAAACCCCTCTCTGTTGATAAATTTGAGTTTAATTATCTGCTCAAGAGTGCTGAGGAGCACCTTCGTGTGCCATGTCTGGAAACACATCATAATAACATACCTCGAATACTGTGTGGGTATGAGTTTGCTGTGATGCGGCGGAGCTCTTCCGGCTCAACGAATAGTCCGAGACACTAAACGGCGAAGAGTTTTGTTCCGTATCTCCACTCTTGTCGCTTTCGACCGTGGAGTCCGAATCATTTGCAACAGCTGAAAACCCGGGCCTGTCCGAGACGATCTTCACGTTTACCTCTGGCCGTGGCGGCACCCCCAGCCGCATCCATTCTCGCTGCGTCTCGTTGAAATTGATGTCCGGGTTGTACCTCGGACATTCCAGACTCCAGACCACATTTCCGGAGATACTATAGAGCATGGCGTCGAGGTACCTGCGGAGATCGAGCGAAATTGATTCGTCGTTCTTAGTCGCCTCAATAACATCGAGGTACTTTGCGACGTGGTCCACAATGAGCTTGCGACAGATCTGCATAGCTCCATCGACATCGGTCTGATGCTCCTGCATCAGAACCCATATTGCATTAACAACATGGTCCTTTTCGTTCATTTTTGCAGCATCTCGCTCCTTCGGCCAGGACCAGATGTCGTTCTGAAGTCCCACAGCAATCCACGCATGTGACATCAGCTCACGACAGAGATCGAGCTCATGATCGGGTATATGAAGACCCAATCCGAAGGTTACAAGCCCAAACCAGAACCTGCCGTGATTTCAATGCATTAGAACCGGTGTTAGTGTATTTGAGGAAAGGAATGCGAAGTGTTGATCTACTCACATCTCTCCCACGTCCATGATACGGTATGGTATGTACTTGGCGAGCTCGACAAAGCGTGTCTCATGTTGGCGGCTGGACCCGACCTCTACGAACCGTGCCCATGATTTCATGGTGGTCTTTGCACATTTGGGATCAATGGCGAGCATTTCGAGGAATAGCTGCGACTGAATCCGCTTCTTCCCTTCTCGCCGTGTGTCGAGGGTTGAAGTGTCGATGGTGCCGTTATTGGCAGCCTCGAGGAAGGCTGTCATCATCTCATTGTTCTCAACCTCACCCTTTTTGTACATGTTAGTGGATATGTCCTGAAGATCAACAAGACCAAGGAGGTGGACTTACCGTGTCATGGGAAACATGGTCGGTGACATCTGTGGAATCATGTATCGTGTGAGACCTCTGACAGAGAATATTAGATGTGCCAGGATGAAGGAGAAGGGACAGATAAGCAAAATTGGGCCATCAAGAATTTCGCCTCACGTACCATCGTGAAGAAATGCGAACTCATTCGCGTAGGAGATGACCTCTAGTCTCTCAGGTATGCAATCTGGTACCGCGACCGAGATAAAGCTGAACCGCGGTCCAAGGGTTCCGCGGTACTCACGGCAAGGGGCGACGTGCTTATTCCAGTCCTCATGAGCTCGAATGGCACCTCTGTCCTCAAGAAAAGAGTACTTGTTCCTGCGGACATCAATGCCGTCACAAAGACCCTCAGTGTGATATGTCGAGGGATCGACGACTTCCGAGTACTTGAACTCCATGTTTGAAGACTGGTATGTAAGGCCACGTTACGATGAGAATGAGCACACTGAAAAAGAAATAGAAGTGAGTTTCAAGAAACTCGAATATCAGGGGCTTTATGGTACGATTATGCTCGAACTCCATGTCACTGACCTGGCAATATACTTGGACTAGCTCGTTATATGGCCCGTTGTGCAGTTCTAAAACGTGGTTATCTGAGGAGAACATCCAAATTTATTTCTTTTGAACTTTTCCTATCGTGTGACGGAAATCGTGCTTGTGTATTGTTTATACCAAGTATTAATTTGAGTCTTTCTGGTTTTTTTAGCCGTTTGGTGCGTCTTACCAAAATATATAATATTAGGTAATGTATTTAGCATGTAACTTAAAACTTAATTTTCAATATACTTTTAACATTTTATTTTAAAATGAAAACTTATTTAAAAGGAAGATTATGCTTAATTTATTATTATTTTATTATTTTAATAAAAGAAATTAATTTACCAGATTATAATTATTAAAAACCACTTACATGTTATTTTTTAAGCTTGTAGTTAATGGAAATTATGCTTATATATTGTTTATATTAAGTATAAACTTCGGCCTTTTTTATTTTTTATTATTATTTAATATTAAGTAATATATTTAATTAATGTAATAAATTTTACCCTTTTTAAGTAAATAAAAATAATACTTTATACTTAAAATATATTTTACTTATTTTAAGAAATATTAAAAATATTTAATTAAGCTTTAAATAATGCTTAATAATGCTTATTAATATTATTTATTTTTATTTTAATTAACCCTTTTTAAATTTAATAATTAATTTAAGTAAAGTAAATTTATTAAAAAAGGGTATTTTAAGGTACTTAAAATATAAATTTATGCATTTAGTGAGCGTTTTTATGCTAAATAAATTTCAATTTATTAAAGAAGAATTATTATTTTTATCCGCCCGGGGAGGGTGGAATTCGTTATGCCGATATCTGGTACATGACTCAGAAGCTGGTTTCCAATACCGTGGTTCACCTGATGAAAATAAGTCGTTACAGCCCCTTGTTCCAAGACACTACAATACGCTTGTCATGCCCAACCAAGCACACCACGAGTCTGCTTATAGAGTTAACGGGGCATGAAGCGAAGATACCATGTGGGTGCAATCACTGCATATTCTTTTTTTTCTTGAGCAGGATTACACGGTGTAAGCGATTAATGTCTCAGCCCCTGTCTCGTAGCTCCGTGTATATTGTATTCGAGTCAAGAGGACTTTCCCTATGGCCCGCGAGAAGCGAAGTGCGGTTCAAAATCAGTGACATGTGCTCCACACAGTCCGAAATTGAATTTTCTCGTGATTGAGCAAGTAACCTCTTTCAAAACCAATATGCTCGAGTACCAAGTGCCAAGTAGCAATTCTCAGTCTATAGTACTAACCTTATGCTTTACGACTCCACCTGGTGGTCGAGGATGCGGCCAGCGTGTGCCCTTAGCCCACATTTTCGAGGGATGCGCCTCGAACAAGAAAACCCACTTGAAGTACCTCAGCGGTGAGTTCTGCGGAAAAGGTCCCTCCGCGCTAAAAGCGAAGGTTTCGGCCCTTGTCACGGACTTTTGCGTCCTATCTTTCCCACAAATTCCGCAACAAACAAGAATATCTTCATTCCGGTTGTGGACTCCACGGCTCTGGGCCTGGGCCTTTTCGGAACAGGCCCCAAGGGCATGCGTGAAGCGCCACCGGGTGACCGGGCCACAGGTGGACCATGATCTTCTGATGCGATATTGCACAGTATGAACGAGATTTTGAAGCCAAGCTTAGCGATTTGCGCTCATCCTAATATACCTGTACTGTGAAAACCATCAGAGAAATGCGGAGATTACCAACGAACCTAATTCCCTACTAACTTAATCCCATTATGGCCAAGAGGGTCATGAGACAGTGACCGGGCTCGAGAAGCCGGAACGAGCGTTTGTTGGAGCGATCTCGATTCAATGTCGTGATCATGATTCAAAGGATCTCGGATCAATGCGATATGCGCCCGAGGAAGGGACAGGGGGAGGTTGCTCCACGCTCCGTACTCAAGTGTGCTGGACAGCGACACTCGGTCATTTACCAGACATGGTACATTATGCGCACAGCCAGAATGAGAGAAAAACGCCGTTGGTGCAGTAATGGCCTGTAGATCAAAGACCGGGCGGGTAAGGTCGAGCGCAAATTTGACGACACATAAAGGTTACGGGTCAATACGGAAGAAGGTATTTCGAGACGTCATATTTCTCCACCTAATGCGAATGCCACCGCTGCAATTGTTTTGGTGATTATTCCTGCATCGTTCAAGAATAGTGATATTCGGATTTGAGCACATTGAACATCCAATGAGCAAGCTGAAAGAATTGGTCGGCATGGCCCAGGACCACAAAGTGCAAACCCTTTGCATTGGCCTCGTTCTTTACGCCTTCATCACTTTCGCAATAAAGATTGTGTATCGAATTTACTTTCACCCTCTTGCAAAGTTCCCTGGTCCCAAAATCGCAGCTGCAACCCATTTATACGAGATCGCCTGGGACTATTTTGGTGATGGCGCCTACCTTTACGAGATCCAACGCATGCACCAGAAATACGGTATGTGCCCTGTTACCCGGCGAGGAAAGATTGTTGCGTGAAAACGACCAGCTGAAATGAAATTGAAGGACCAATTGTTCGCATCAATCCGATCGAACTATCGGTCAATGATGCGGAATTCTACAACGTTCTGTACGTCGGGGGATCGGTAAGGAAGACAAATGCCCTGCCAAGTTTCGGGGATGGAATGGACTTCAATGGTATCTTCACCTCAATAGCAAGTCCGCGATGCTCTAATTGCTTGTACTGAATGGCATTGCAGGCTCCCATGGAATGACAGTCGACCATGATCACCACAGGCTTAGGCGTAAGCCAATGGAACCCTTCTTCTCCAAAGGCAGTATAGCCAGGTTGGAATACCGGCTCCAAGAACTCACAATCACGTTGGTACAGCGGCTTCGGGAATACAGGGGAACCGGTAGGGTTCTGAGGCTTGACCATGTCTTTTCTGCTATGGCTGGAGATGTCGTCAATGTCTTATGCATCGCCAACCCGACCATGTCTTTCATACGTGACCCTGACTTCAACCCCTACTGGTACACATTATTTCACACCTTAATCCGCTCCATGCCAATTTTTATGAACTTTCCATGGATCATCCAGTACGTGTCATCATTTCTTTCAACGATTCTGCCCTCTGACTTGCTTCTCACAAATTTCATTAACAACGGAATGCTGCAAATAGAATAGTCAGATTGATCCCCACGTCGGTACTGGAGAAGTTAGACCCTCGAAGTCAAATGTTCCGTGACTGGCGACAAGTAGGTCTAGCCCGTGCACCATCCATATTCACTGACAAGTTGAGCTAAAAAAGCGGGTCAGATGTCGGTCGATCACATCATTGACTCGAAACGACGAAAAGAGAAAGGCCTCATGTTCGTGAACGAGGAGGACAAGATGAAATGTGAGACGCTCTTCGACCACATAGTCAACAGTGACCTGCCCGAGTCAGAGCTGTCTGTAGAGAGATTGGCGTCCGAGGCACAGGTGGTCATGGGCGCCGGCACGGTCACCACTGCACGCACCATGGACTTTCTCGCCGTGTACATTCTGTCGAATGACCGAATCTGCCAACGCCTCAGAGAAGAACTGCAGGAGCCCATGAAAGACTTCCCGGAGAAGATTCCACCCTATTCTGAGCTCGAAAAGCTGCCCTGGCTCCAGGCATGCATTAAGGAGGCCCTTCGCCTTAGTCCCGGCTTAACGCACCGGCTGCCACGTGTGTCACCACATGCTGAGCTGGTTTACAAGGATTGGGTGATTCCCAAGAATGTGAGTGATCTTCTTACACGACTTCAGCCTATGTAACTAACTCATGGCCCCCCCTCATGTGACAGACACCCGTCGGCATGTCGGCATTGTTCATGCATACGGACCCTGACGTGTTCAAGTCCCCTATGGAGTATCGCCCGGAACGGTGGCTGGAAGTGGTAACCGCGGAGATGCACAGGAATTATGTTCCTTTCACCAAGGGGTCTCGCCGATGTCTGGGTGTGGAGTAAGTGAATCCCGAAACCTTATTATTCAACTACGTGCGTCACGACCTGACCAGGAAATGTAGGTTGTCGTATGCAGAGATTACGCTGGTATTTGCTGCTCTCTTCGGCCCAAATGGACCGAAGCTCCAGCTATTCGAGACAGACGAGTCAGATGGGGATCCGGCCTGCCACTTCCTTCTTCCGCTTCCGCGTCTCGACAGCAAAGGCATTCGTGTCACAGTGGAGGCTTGATCCATGCTGAGAGCTTATAGTGGCACGATCGTGACCCGCGAGCTCGGACAAAAGTCGTGGTCTGGAAGAAGAAGGGGTATTGAACCAGGCTACCTAACGGTTTGAAAACAGTGGCTCGATTTGATATTTGCCCCTGATAGATAAGCACTTTCCCAAGTTCAGAGAACTTCCGAAGCATTGAAAATGAAACTTTCCATGGCCCCGGAAGGTTTGACGGCGTGTCAGGGGACAACAATTAGAGCCATGGTACAGTGCAATGACAGCTCCGAAAGAAGCTGATTTGTGACTTCTAACCCTCGTCACAACGAGACAGGGAGACCCCTCTGCACAGTTTTGAAGATAGGGGTAGTGCTGGCGCATATAATAGTATCTCACCTTGTCTTTAAATATGACCCCGTCCTGACCAAAGGAGATAATGCATGCCGGTTCTCTAGTCAGATTATATCTCGTCCTTGCATCACCTCAGATGACACCTTCTCATTCACAAAAGTCCGGCTATCATTCCAGCGGGGCCCCCTCTCTAAAAGCTGCCATGTTACAACATGCACAAGTCAGACCGCCCCGTGGGACCACCCCCATCCCTGCGTCCGAAGTGGACGCGCGGACTGACGAGGAAATATTGCGCTCAATCACGGCCTATATCGAACCGACGGATAGCGAGAAGAACATGTGGGCTTACTGGCACACCGGCTGGGCCAACATGCCCCCATGGACCCAGCGCAACGTTGTGTACTGGGCGCGTATCCTTGGACCGACGTGGACTATACGAGTTCTGGACGGCACCCCTGGCAGCGCAAACTACTATGAGCGATTCGTGCCACATGAATATCTTCCGGCAGCAATGAGGGATGGGCACATGTCTGGACCATACGTCGCCACACACAGTGCTGATTTCGTGCGCCTCCCACTGCTGTTCCTATACGGCGGGTGCTGGCTGGACGTGGGCGCCCTGCTTGTCCGGTCCATCCAAGACATCTGGGACGTGCTGGTGGACCCGGAACAAAGTTATGAGTTTGCTGCATTCACTTACGTGATGCGCCCAGGAGAGACAAGCATCATCAATACGTGGATGATGGGCCGCAAGAACATGGAATTGCTGCGCCGCTGGCACGCTACCTTCCTGCACGTGTGGGGCGACAAGTCGTCGTGCGATGGCCTGCACAAGCACCCGCTCTTCTCACACCTACGGCCCCTCGAAAGTCTGACTCATGGGCTGAAAACGGACGAGAACAACGAGCCCGTGGCCAAGACAGACAAGCTCATAGACTACGGGGGGCAGGTCTACTGTCTGGAACGGCTCCGAGACCTCGTGGACCGCAATGACGGCTGGGACGGACGCAAGTGCATCGAAGAGAAAGCATTTCTCCTACCGGCACTAAAAGAGATGTGGTACTACCAGGAAAGGACAGGCTACCTCGGGTCGAAACAGCACGAGCTGTTAACCACTCGGACGGACGCTCCGGAGCCCCATAGGAGTAATGCCGAGGACTTCGTCAACGACATGCTTGCCAACACGCTACTCATGAAGTTTTGTCACGGGTTAAAGGACACGATGGTTTCAAGCCTGGCTGATATCTGGGATGACCCGGCTCACCATGGCGACGACACCGCCAGTGGCACCTTTGCCGAGTACCTGCGCTGGGGCACGGTTCATCTGCGCCAGACAAGGACCCTGAAATCGGTGCCGCTGACACCGCCGACTGGGAAGCTTCAACGCGTGGCAATGTTCGAGGCGTTCACCGCAGAGCAGTGATCTCCACGTGCAGGGTTCCACTGCTGTTTCGCATTTCGCTCTTTGTGGAACTGGACGGTCACGAGGCCTTCTCGTAGCTATGCACAAGAGCGCAAGCTTCGATACATCGGGATTCCTGGCGCACGGTGTGGCATCTAGACCATTATGAGTGGATACCCTGCCAAAATGCTCCTTGCACAACACTATGTCTGGCGGCAAGTCCCGCAACTTAATCGAGTCAGACCTTAATCGAGTCAGACCTTAATCAATATAAGGTTTCTTGTATATCTCCGCCAACATTCCAAAAGTTTATTACAACGCGGGTGCGAGTCAGGCAAGTATGGCATAGGCAAAGCAGGCCGAAGCGAGGCAGGCTTAGGTAAAGCAAGGGTAAGCAAGGCACGCCTACACGTAGATCTTAAAGTACTATCCTTTCAATCCAGAATAGCCTTGGAACGGGATTTTTACCCAGACCAGGTTTGGAAGGGCAGTCTCTTCCTATAGGCGGTGTGTGACTTGAACATCAACTTTTGCTAATTTGGCCATGATGCAGGATATAAGCATATGTAAGAAACAGGTATATTCAACTCACGGGACTTCGTACGTGCAAATGGGGGGGTTGCTGCAAAAGACATCTATCTGATCTGCTGTCTACCCAATCGTCTGTGCGCCGAGCACGCCGGTTAGCAATCAAATTGAGAGAATTACACTTGCCTTTTTGTTAACAACGCGCACTGCCGAATGACTTCCCGGTGTATCCCACGCAACACTGAATCCAGAGAAACTTGAATACACGCGTGCACCGCCGCAGGCTTCGGGCAACGAAGACCCCAAAATGCAATTGAATTTAGGAAATTTGGTCAGTTTGGCGGCCGTTGCCGTCGTTGGAGCTTTGCTCTCGCACCTGGCAGCCTGGGTCCGATATCACCTGAAAGTCCGCAAAATTCCTGTGGCTCATGATCTGGGTTTGTGGGACAGGTTGCTCACCCGTAAGGCTCGGGTGGAGTTTGCCACAGACTTCGAAGGTCTGTCGCGCAGGGGGCTGGCAAAGGTATGATGGCTTTGCCAACTGGAAAGAAATGTGAGGAACGGTCAGATACTGAAGCTTTGATAGAGCAAAGATGCTTTTCGGGTCCAGACAGACTTTGGAGACATGATCATCCTGGGAGGCCACTATGCAGAGGAGATGAAAGACGACAGAGGACTATCTACTGGCGAGTACACCAAGATGGTATGACAAAAATCACGAGCGAATTTTAAACTGGGACATAGCTGACGCTCGCGTGGCCACAGGAACTCATGGGTGACCTTCCGGGCTTCGAACCGTTTTCCTTCGCGGGAACTCACAGGGAGCTAATGCACACAGTCATCACCAAGAGGCTGAACCGAATCCTGCGTAAGAGCCCCACCAATGATCTGTTCAGCAACAGCTGAGAGCCTTTCAGTCCTAATCTCTGCTAATCGATGACCTCGAGTTGCGACAGCCCGGCTCGCAATGGGACAGTCAGTGGAGGTCGCAGACTTCCTAAAACAGAAATGGACAGACTCCTCTGGTATGGCTGCAGGTACAAAATATTTTCACTCGACATGACAGCTAACAAGCTTCTTCTCCAGAGTGGCATTCTATCCCGCTCTATCAGATGCTCATGGGCTTGGTGGGACGAGCATCTGTGTGGGCTTTCCTTGGCCCTGAACTCGCACGTAACGAGCGATGGATTGAGCTAAATGGCCAGTACACGATGGTCGCGATCGGCGCCGTTCACGCGCTCCGACCGTGGCCACGTGCCCTCCTGCCGCTCGTTCAACATTTCGTGCCCAAGGCGAAGGCGGCCAGAGCAGTATTAGCGGAGTGCAAGCAAATCATGGAACCGATACTTCGGAAAAGGGCAGAGACTAATAGAGTCGACAACAAGAGGTCTGAGGAGTCAAGCAATGCCCTGGATTGGTTCGAAGAGGTGGCTGCCAGCCTCGGAGAGACATACGACCCCACTGTGGCACAATTGACATTTGCAGTGGCAGGCATGCATAGCACTGTGGACCATCTCTGCCAGATTCTCATCGATCTGAGAGATAAGCCTCAGGTGGTGGCTTCCCTAAGGCTAGAGCTGGTTGAGGCTTTGACCGAGGATGGATGGACTCAGGCGGCGCTCATGCAGCTGAAGTTGATGGAAAGTGTCATGAAAGAATCTCAGCGGATGAAGCCTATCAATCGCGGTGAGGAACTGACAGTAAGCCCGCAATCGACTTTGTCGTCTCGCTGACTTTTTGGTGTAGTCATCAACAAGCGAATCGTCACTGATGATCTCAAACTAAGCAACAACGTCGTCCTGCCAAGAGGCGCATATGTGGCCGTCTCCGGTGAGCGGATGTGGAACCCAAGCGTCTACGATGATCCAGAGTGCTATGATGCCTACCGATTCATAAAAAAAGCCGAGTCCAACCCAGAGGCAGCGCGATTCACCAGCTACACAGCTGTTACCCCAGACTGTGTTGGATTCGGCTACGGCAGGCACGCTTGTCCCGGTCGTACGTACGTGACTCAGGAGATGAAGGTCATCTTGGCTCACATACTGCTCAAATATGACATGCAGTTTCCGGAAGGGTATCAGCCTAAGGGGATCAATGCTGGCTTTGATAGTCTTACTGACATCATGGCCACATGCATGGTCAAGAGGCGTAAAGAGGAAATCAGTCTACCAGCTTGATGTGCTCTTGGAACAGAATGGTCTCAATGACACAGCAAATTTTGGTAGGGAGAGGCTATAGATCATGTAACCGTGATAACTCTCCATACAGCTTCAACGACAAAGAGTGAGGTCCATCGAGGGTTCTGGAGAATTATGCAGGGTTAGACAAGAAGTAGCTGCCGCATTACGAAGCCCGACTAATACTTCGTACCATCATATTGCAGTCTCCCATTTTGTGTCATTTCACATTTATGCTTTTCATTGAGAAGTAAAACCAAAGAATTGTTTCATCATAATTAATGGGTTTTCCTAGAATTGCTACGTACTCGACGGATCTAATGCGCACATGATGCAGTATTGCAAGACGTTCTGATGCAGATGTCCGAGAAAATCTATAGATACATTAACTAAAGAAGTCACTACTAGCCTGTGAAAATCGTTGAATAGGCTGAACCGTATTGTATTTGTATGATCTATAGAAGGCTGGCAGCAATCTTCGAGTTGGATTCGAAGGGGCTGGTGGCCCGTACGCCTATATAATTGATATCTACTCCAATCACAGACTTCTATGGCGGTGCACCACCGGCGTTTAAGGCCAGGGATTGTCCCAAGAATACTGTGGAATTTTAGGTCTTAAGCACAACCTCAATCAACGCCAGCATTGAGTTTTTCGACTCGTGAATCTGACGGATCTCAAACCTCGGGTCAGCCTCAGTAACGAGTTTGTGCCACTCTTCGACGCTCCTCTCCCGGCCATTCATGTGTGCGACCAACCCCAAGTCCATGGCTCTGTTCAAGATAGCTTTATCAGTAAATACTGCCAGTCATACAGAGTCGCCCATAACTCACCGCATGTCTCGCTCCTTCCAGAGAGGCAGGGAGCTTGTGCCAGGCACTTCTGGGAGAAGGCAATCATGGATCAGGACCCTCGCTCCGGCCTCGAGATGGGCGGTGTGGGCGCGGAGCAACTTGGTGCAGTACTTGTCGGACCAGTCGTGGAAGATCTGACGGATGTAGTAGACCTCGGCACGGACAGGCTGCGTCGTGAAGATGTCACGCGACATGAAATGGACGCGGTCCTTGAGCGCGTCGGGCACGGCTGCATGGGCATCGGCCTCGTTCATCTCCATGTCCTGCACGAGGAGGTCGAGGTTGGGGAAGCGCTCGGCCAAGGCGATGGAAATGCGGCCCCTGAAACCCCCAACATCGATCACCTTGGCATTGCCGAGCCCTTCCCAGTCGTATCCGTCGAGTAGATGGTGCAGCTCGTAGCCTGGGAGCTCCCACTGCGTCGCCATGCCGCTTGCAAAGAGCTCCGCGTTCTTGGCGTCTTTGGCCACGTTTTCGAAGTACGTGCCCTCCACGTTGTGGGCGAGATTGAAAGCCTGCATTTAGATTAGAATACCTAGTCTCAAACTTTAATGACGTGATTATTCATTTTAAACTTACTGTTTGATCCTGTTCTTGAACATCCGGCCACTTCTCTACTGCATCGACAAGCTAGAATGGAGAGAACACGCGTCAGCTGAGGAAAGTTCTGGCACCGACGTCCCTATGAAAATATGCCATACCTTGAAAATCGTATACCATCCCATGTCCGCCCCTGTTCGCAAGAAGGCAAGAAGAACCTTCGATCTCATCGCTTTCGAAGCCTTGGTGTGGGCGACTTGGCCAGGTTCCGGTTCCTGGAAGACACGCCTACACATGGCGGAACGCAGAAGTCGCTTGACAATCGACTCATCAACGCCGGTCTTTTTGGATATTTCGTTGAATGACACCCGCCCGCCCAGGGGGACAAAGTTGGGGATGTCATGGCGGGAAATAAAACCAAAAAAGGCAACATATTCGTTCTATGAGTCGATCAGCATCCGCGGCACGGTTGAGCTGATGTTGCTCTTTTTTAACACAGGCGCCCGGTGACATATACTCACAGAGATGGTCTTCAGGACCAAGGCAGTAGGCTCGAGCAAAATGTCATGCAGCTCGGCCGTGGCATCGAGAACTGCGTCTTGAGCTTTTTGTGCCTCGGATGGGAGTGGACCAGGGGAGGCATCTTCATCAAAAGACGGGGACGGTACTCCTTTGCTTTTCAGGATAGTATCCAGCTCTGCCACCGATTTCCGGATCGTGTCTGCCAGTTCCGCCATGCGGGAAGCCTTGTGAAGACTGCTGGTGCTCATACTGTCCATCTTTGTTTCAAGGTAGGTTTCAAGAAAGGTTGTTAGGCTGCTAGGCACATACAAATTGAATTGGATCAACAGCGTGAGAATGTACCACAGTCCGGATGCATGAGGCGCTTGTTTAATTGGGACTACCTATGGGGTGAGTTGCCTGCATCTTGGATATATAAGCGTTTGAGCTTAAACAGTGATGTTATCCTTCAGCCCCGTTGCACCAATATGTCTGCCATCGCATAACTCTGACATATCCAGCTCATCTTTCATGCAGTCCAGACATGCAATGAGGATGAGAGATTCATTATCGCCCCGATACAATGATATTGAGCAACAAGGGTTACGTTCGGCTCGGCAAACACGGCACAGGTGCAGTCTCACGTTGTACTCCTTTGCGCCTGCAAACGCCAGAAAATCACACTACACCTCCGCAGGGGTAGTAGGCATCCTTACCTACTTCTCCACCCGAAATCTCTATCAACAAAGTGGGCAAGTGGTCACCTAGTGCTGGTGGGTCTTAGTAGTGTACTTTAGAAAAGATATCATGCGATGCAACGTTCATTACCCCCTACCGAAGTATAGCCGGATTGTGCTCCGCCGGGGTAGTTACAAGCAACATAATAAATTCCACCCTCCCTAAGCAGATGAAAATAATACTTTATACTTTTTTATATCTTTATATTCTTTCACTTAAAATGCATTTTGCTTATTTTAAGGAATATAAATAATATTAAGTTAAGCCTTAAGTAATATTTAGCAATATTTATTAATATTATTTAATTTCATTTTTATTAACCTTTTTTAAATTTAATTATTAACTTAAGTAAAGTTAATTTATTAAAAAAGGTAATATTTAAAAATTTAAAAGATGTTTTAATGTTATAGGCTAGCCTTGGGTTGTCTGCCGTAAGGTATTTAAATGGGGTTTATATTTAAAGTGCAAAGGAGAAGGTTTGCTCCCTATCTGCACCTACATTAAAGCCTATTCTTATAAGGCCAAAGCCTATTAATTAATTATAATGGGCAAAGCCTAAACCGTAATATATCCTCCTTTTTTAAATTCCCATAGCGGGCCTTAAAGGGCAGCTATATAATAAAAATAAAGAACACCATAGTTTAATTGCAAATTAAATATCGCTCTTTGCTTAGTCATTTAATTATATCTTAATGCCTCCTAATTGCGCTAAAGGCCCAGCTTATTATCCATAATTAGCACGCCTTGGCCCCTATAATTTAATATGCTAATTAAAGCAAGCTAATAAAAAATAATTATTTAAATATAAGCTAGCGGCTAAATTAACAGCATTCTTATAATCCTTTAATACAAGCCTTTTATATAAGCTTTCTTATTTAAAACCTTAAGATTATAGATTTATTATATAATTTGTAATTAATTAGCGCTTAATTATAAGCAATTTGCTTTATTAACGGGAATTTCTTAAATTTTAAGCGTTTTTACAACGTTAAATTAGCTAATATATAGCTAATTCACTTTAAGCCTAAGTTAATGCTAAGCCGGCATTACTTTTAAGCCCTACCTTATAAAAAAGATTTTATGCCCCCTTAAATAAATTCCTCCCCCTTATTAATCTTAATTAATAAAAGCTATATCCTTATTCTTTTACAATAATTAAGATAATTATGCTTATAATAGCTAAGTTAGCTATATATAAAATACTTAACTTTGCTTATTAAAATTACCGCGATATTAATATTTATTACTTTACTATTTTAAAATTAAGTATTATCCTTTCTTATTATAGCGTTAAAAACGCCCTTATATTACCATAAGATAAAACAAAAGGCCTTAAATATATTTAGCTACTTTTTATAATTAAGCTAAGCTTTTATTATAAAGATTAAGCCATTAATTATTAATAATATTTTATATTTATTTAGCTAACTTTAAGCCTTTGCTATATAAGTTAATTAATTAAATTAAGTAAGAAATTCTATTATTCCCTCCTTATAACGCTATTATAATATAATTAAGCTAAGCTTAGCATATTTTTATTTAAAAGGGTCTTTAAGCGCAAGGCAAACCTTTTTTAAAAAGCTTTTTAATTATTCCTTAAATATCTTTATAAAATTAATATAAGGTAAAAATTAATTATAAAAAGTTCTTAGTTAATTAAATATATAAAAGAATTAAGCCCTTTTAGCATTAATTACCTTTCTATTTATTATAAACTTAGCCCTTATTTCTATTAGCTAAGTTGCTAAGTATTCTTAAAATAAAAGTTCCTTTAAATAAGGAAAGGCTTAATAAGCTGCTATTATTCTTTTAAGTTTCGCTATATTGGGTTTTATATGGTTGCATTATAAATTTATAATATAAAAAGACTTTAAATATATATTATGGGCTAGCCTTGGGTTATTTACCGTAAGGTATTTAAATAGGGTTTATATTTAAAGTATAGAGGAAAAGGTTTGCTTTCCATTTGCACCTGCATTAAAGCCTATTCTTATAGGGCTAAAGCCCATTAATTAATCACAATGAGCAAAGCCCAAACCGTAACATTTAAGGTATTTAAAATATAAATTTATGTATGTAGCTAGCGTTTTTATATTAGCTAAATTTAGATTTCCTATAGAAAAGTCATCATTTTTGTCCGCCCGGGGAGGGTGGAATTCATCATGCCAAATCACAAGTCACTCCCGAAGACAAATAAACTTTTTCGTTTCTGCAGGTTCTTGAATGGTAGAACCGACGGAACATCTGTCGCAGAACCGACGGGGCATATGCAAGACCCTCATCTATCAAAGACTACCAGCCGTTCGCCAAGTTACCAATCATCCCCTTGCTCATATCAGGAACTCCTCATGTGTACATCTTCTTCGTCATCTCCGGCGATGGCCTATCATACAAGCCACTCAAGCCCTGTCGGCAGAGGCGTTTCGATGAAGCAGCCTCGGTGCTTTCGGCATCCACATTCCGCCGCCAGGCCCGGCTGTTTGTCCCGGCCACGATCATCACCATTTTCTGCGCTGTTATGACGCCTCTCAACTGGTATGGCAAGGCCGAGCACACGCCCGGGGTCGCTCTTCCAGAAATTGAGCCACCACACCTTGACAGCTTCTGGGACCAGACGAAAGACTTCGGCTGGAACCAGGTTGCCTTCATGGACCCCATCGGACGCACCGTCGCAAGGTCTGATCCTGGAGAGCAAGTCACGCAGCTTCACCATCCGTACGACTACGCGCTCTGGACCCTCCCTGTCGAGTTCCACAGCTGCATGGTGTTGCTTATGTTTCTCATGGCATTAAGCAGAGTCAATAGTATAGCTCGAATGGTGGTTGTCCTCGTTTCGGCTGTATTGCTCGAATTCATCTTCATTTACTGGGCCGTTTTCCTCTTCCTCTCCGGGATGCTGATCTGCGATCTCCGGATGGAAATCGAGGAGCGCTCGTTACGGAGACCGGCATCGAAGCCTAGTATCGAACCATGGTTGAGAGCGACACTTGGAAGCATAGGGGGTGTGGTCTGTTTTGTGCTTTCCTTGTGGGCCCTCAGCACACCACACTTGGCTTTTGTAGGACGGGAAGCCCCGGGGTCCCGCATTTTGACGTCCATGATCCCGGAGAGATTCGGTGATCAAATGCTCATGCCCATTGCAGCAATAGGTCTAGTCCTCACACTTGACAACAACCGCTTTCTTCAGAATCTCTTCACAACCTCCTTCGCGATGTACTTGGGGCGGATTTCATTTACCGTGTCTCTGATTCATGGGCCATTGCTAAATACTCTGTGTCATGCGTTAGCACGGTAGTCACTTGCAATTGTAGCAGGCGAGATGGATGAGAAATATCTCACTGCAATTGCCCTGGCTGCAATTGTTTGGTGGCTTGTTCTTATCTTACTGTCAAGTTTTGTTCACCGATATGTTGATGCACAAGCTGTCGAATTGTCCAAGTGGGCTTATGGCAAGCTGCTGCGAGCAGACACACGGCCGATCAAAGAAGGATGAAGTAGAAGCGATCTTGTTTCGTAATATTCAGGTAGATAATGAACGTACATAGAAAATGATAAAACGAGAAATTCCTCCACATGTTACCTGCTCAGTGGTGGGCTTCTAACCTTGGAACTCATGTACATCCCACGTGCCCAAGGTGACATATCTGCCTAGGTATTATATGGAATGGGGCCGAGACTGATCGTTTCTGGGTAATTTTCGAAGTCATCGTAGCTTTCCGGCGGTTTTGGAGAAGCTGATTGGTTTTCTAGGGCTCACTGTGCAATTCTCGTCTGGGTCACAGATATTACCTCACTCACAGCAGAGACGGGGCGAGGCGAGGCGGAGGAAGACTATGCATTGGGAAGACGCGAGTTAATTTGAAAAATGGACGAATGACTGGGCGAAACGACTGTCATTGATTTAAACTTGCAACTAGTTTGGTAGGTTGGCAATCATACTACGGTTATGATGGTGCATTATCTATCTAGGCATCCTTCTCAGCGATCGATAGTGTCAAAACTATCTATGTTCAACAGACTGTCTCCTGTGCTTCGCCGAACAAGTATTTGAGTTGTAAATTTGTAATTGTGCTGGTCCAGCTCTCCCTCAGTCAGCTTGAAGTCATACTTGAACAAGATATGGGTGAGGAGCATCTTGGCTACGGCGGCGGCAAAGAAACGACCAGGGCACGCGTGCTTGCCGTAACCCCAAGCCATGTGCTCCGGGCTCACCGCCGTGAACTGCCTCGGCTTGTTGGGCTTGAGGCCCTTGGCCATGTTCAGATGTCGGTCAGGTTCGAACTTTTCCGGCTCCGGGTAGATTTCTGGATCGTGCATCCAATGTCCCGAGACAACAAACAAAGACTGGGCGGGTATGACGTTGCCATCATCCATTCTGATATCTTCCTGCGCCCTGCTTTTGAGGAATACTACTTGTGATGTCAGCGGCTTTGTTCTCAAATAGCAGTCAACCAACCGTCCATATTTATTTTTAAGGGGTACTTGCCTGCCCCGATTGGCTTTAGTCTCTGAGATTCCTTCATGCATCGATCCATCAAATCCAGCTTTGCAAAGCTGGATTTGGTCCATGTGTGATCTTTCAATACGCGGGATGCTTCCTCCTTCAATTGATCAACAAGGGCAGGATTCCGCGCTAGGTCACAAAGCAGCTGGCACATAAAATCTGTGGTCGTGTGGAAGCTAGCAACGGAGAATGATACCATGGCCGCACCTGGGTTGTAACTCTCTCCCCCGGCTTTCTCATCGAGCCAGGCAACCCACTCGTCAGCAACTGGCGCTACCTTTCCAGAGCGAGCCGCTTCCGCGCGACGGCGAGAAATCTCAGCTCGGCGTTCCTTGACGAATGGGAAGAGATGTTGGTTTACGTCCTCAAGTGCGCGTTGAAGCTTTTGAGATGTGGGGTGAACCCTCGCAACCAGAGAATGCAGTACTCGCGGCCACACCATCAAACTGCGACCTTCAGTGAAAGCGAGGGTTGAATATGTGAACAAGCTCTGGATGTATGCATCATTGCGGCAGAGCTCTGTGTTGGTGAAGAAGCGCTGTGTAGTCTGGGCTACTATTGCAGTAAAAGTTTCGAACAAAGACACTGCGTGCCAATCTATTGGATCGCTCGGGTCAAAAACTGAGATTGAGCGCAAGGTCCACAGCGGTGGTTGACAGTGGATGGGACACAGACCTGTGGCATCGGTCCAGCGCGATTCTAAAGCATGGGAGAGTTCTTCGGACAATTGACTTTTGCGGCTTGCTACAAAACCAGTGAGGCGGTGAAGAATTATGTCCGCGTTTCGCTGCCTCCATTGATTCGAGGCGAAAGTGAAAGGCTCGTATCCGGGTGCCCTGATGGGCAATTCCTGAAATACAACCACAAATCAGAGACTTGGTGTGAAGGAGACGACAGGTTATTTGCTCTTACCTGCTCTGTATATGCCGCTGCGCTGCAGCCATGGCCGTGTCGGAACTTCTCGATATACTTTGGTGAGACAACAAGCACCTGTCCAATCGTTGTATTGATCCTCCAAATGCCCCGGTCCTTAGATATATAACACATTAGTATAAGGGTTGTCGTTTGATGTCTGTCTTCTGTGAACTCACCGGAAATTTAGCAAAGCCTTTTGCGATCAACTCTTGCGAGCCGTGTAGCGCCTCTATTGGGTGTACCTTCTTTCCATCGTACAGAGGGTAGGCAAACAGCCTCCATTGTCTCAGCAAATACGTATAGCCCCTGGATACAAATAAAATTGTGAGAATAGCTACCGCAAATTTAATCAAAATGGAACCAGGCTCCCAACTGGCTACGGTCGGCTGTGCCATCTTTCATGATTCATGCATATTTCTGTCTTTCGAGATCTTAGGCTTTGAATCAACGGAGCAGTGGGACTTTGCACGCGGATGATCAGACTACTCTTTAAGAGCGACACCGGCGAGGAGTATCTCTTACATGTCACATCACTTGGCAGAGAACACACCAGAACCTGTTGAATGCTTCCGATCGGGTAATTGTCTGATTCATGGCATGCATACTCTAGTGGCGGAGCAAAACAGAGAATTAGGCGCTGCGTTTTCTGCCATGTGTGTTATTCTTCCAGATCGCACTAGTGTGCCTCCGTCAGGATCCCAAGTGTTATTATTCAACAACTCGTATTTGCTACATATGTAGCAAATTGGGCAAAGTGTGACCTAATGGGCCCAGTGATGATACAAAATGGTACAAGGCTAACCAAGTTTTGGGATCCCGACGGAGGTACAGATAGTAAATTAATCATTAAAACTTAAAGTTCGCCAGGGGCGAAGTGAATCGCCGTTCGGCTCGCTGCTTGAATATGTAAGATCGAAGTACACCTCTGCATGCATCCTAAACATTAAATTGTGTACAACATTTTTCTATTAGTAACTCTAGACCTACCAGGTTACATTTTACTTAATTTGCTAATAAAAGCAACTTTCGGCAGAATAGTTAACATTTAACATTTAGGATGTTTGCAGAGATGTAAACTCTACCTATTAAGGGAAGGAGGGGTTTTCAACAACATAGCGTCACTATGTTAATTATATAGCAACATAATAGTGACATATAATTAATATTTTAATAAAATATCGTTATATATATTTAATATAACTTATATATTATTAATATAAAGATAATTTTAACATTTTATAATATAATATTATTATTTTATATTAACTTAAGAAATTAACTTTTATTTTTCTTTAACTTATCCTTAACTTAGCTCCTTATTTAATATTTATTAACTGAATTATTCATAGCTTTAGCTATATTTCTTTTAAAAAAAGTAATGTTTTATTAATTTATTTGCTATTTATTTAGCTTTTTAATTATTTCTTAACAGCAGCTTTAAGCTAATGCATAAATTTATATATAACCTTATATATTTATTTATATTTCATTAATAAGAAAACCTTAAAATCCGCCTTTCTACCCTTTATTTTTTTTTACTTTTTAATACTTTAAAGCATTTTTAATTACTTATAATAAAAAAGTAAATTTAAAGCAATATAATATAATTATACTCCTTTACATTACTCATATTATTATAAATAATTTATTTACTTTTCTTCAACAATTTCATAAAAGCTTTATATAATAACTATAAATAATTATTAAGGAAAAATATTCTTTATTTTAACTTTTATTAATGTTAAAAATTTTAAGGTTAAATATTAATTACAATAATAGCTTATATAAGATATGTATTAATATAAGTGGAAAGAAATTAAGTTTTTAAACGTTTATTATTATATAAAAAGATTAAATATATATTGCTTAAAAAGTATATATAAATAAATTAAAAACAAGATTATCCTTAATTATTTATTAAGAAAGGGCTTATAAAATTATAGAAATATTTAAAAATAGCTATATAATTAAGATTTATAAGGGTTTAAACTAAAGCTTTTAACATGAAAAGTTAATTAACATAATATAATATAATATTTAGCCCTTAATATATTTTATTCCTAATAATATATTACTAGCATTTTACCAGCATTTTGCTAGAATTTCAAAATTTTGATTAAATGTTAAATTATCATTATATTGCGTAACTTAGACGAAAACCCCCCTCACCCCTAGTACGTAATGATAGGGAATGCGTCATGTGCACACAAATCTTGTGGTACACTGGCCGTTCATTGTGTTCGTACTTATCAGCCCCACAAGACAGGCCTGGAACCACTAGGTATCTGATTACAGTCAATTGTCCGTTTTCCCTCGAGTTAGGGTTTCACACCGCTGTTTCCGACGCAATTGAACGGAGTCACCAAGAGGTGCCACGATTCAGGTCCGTATGTATGTAACGAAGTAAACGTCTTGCAGCATATCGACCCCTTCATACTGTATCTTGTCGATGAGACCCACGTCAATGACCTCGAATGTCAACAACGGAATCACCTCTCCAACATCCTATCTGGGCGTGGATAGACACAGCTGCCTGAAACCCGGCTGGAATCACCTGAAGCTTTCACCGGAATTGCAAACATGGACTTCGTTCGCAGCAATACCCGGGGTACGTCTGAGGCTCCCTTGAAGCCGGATATGTCCACGAAACAATCTGTTGTTCCTCCTGATCTCGCGCCAAACAGCGCTGCCGACTTCTGGTGGAGACTATGTAGACCCGAAATGTCTGGCCTGCTGGAGCAAGCTGGAGGATATACTGAGTCGCAGAAGGAATCTCACCTTAGCTTTGTTCGAGAGCAATGCGCGCCGTGGATGGGGCCTGTTCCAACAGGTCATATGGCACACGAGGCTGTGGCACCGGTAGAATTCAGCGTCAACTACGTCAGCACTCGAGAGGAGGGCGTGATGCGGTTCCAAATGGAGCCTTTGACTGCCGTCTCGGGGCCACACACCGTGGCGGATGATCCATCCGGGAAGAAAGCGGTCGCCTCGATGCTTAGTTCATTCGAGCAAGTTTTAGATGTTGATCTTAAGTGGGCGTGGCAACTCCTGGACAAATTTATGGTAACGTCGCCCGATGAGGTTTCACGGCTCCGGGAAGCTGAGAAGACCTCGTTGCCGCCGCCGCTCGACCTGTACCAGCGGACCCCTCAATTCAACTTCGCCTTCGACCTCAGTCCTGACGGCAAATCAATGAAAGCCTACTTCCTCCCCCTTGCGAAGTCCCTGGCCACTGGAAAGAGTGCCCTGGATCATTGTCTGGACGCTGTGCGGTCGCTGGATCCTCATGGCGAGGGGCTTTCAGCTGTTGCTCACCTTCTGCATGAGTTCTTGACCGTATCCTGCCCAGGTCGCATGTCTTGCGACTATTTGGGGATCGACTCGACGGCCCCTGAGAATTCCCGCGTGAAGCTGTACGTATCGTCGCAGCAACACAACAGCTTCGACTTTGTCAAGAATGTCTTCACCCTCGGAGGGCGGGCTAGCGACCAGACAACACTGCGTGGCGTGGAGTTCCTACAGTCAATCTGGCATCTCTTGGTCAATGGTGAGGCCGGAAAGCTTCTCGATCATTCAGATCGGCCTCCAAAACAGTTGCCATTTTTCCTGGGCTGTCTTTATTTCAGCTTCGAATGGCGGACAGGTGATCGGCTGCCTCTGGTCAAGATCTATATCCCGCAGTGGCAGTACGCCCAGAGTGACCGCAGAATAGCGGACAACATATCAAATGCGTTGAGGAAACTGGGTCGAAATAATGCGGCTGATGAGTACTTGACCCGCATCAAGAAGACCTTCCCGAGAGCCGATTTGGACACCGATGTATCTGTTCACAATCAAGTGTCATATGCATACAATGATACCACAGGCGCATATCTCACAGTATATTACAGTGTCAATAGCAAAGCTGTTATCAAGGATTAGTTAGGAGAATGCTGAGCTGTCATGGGTTGGTAATGAAATAACAGATTCAAATTTTGATGCCACGAGTGTGACGATTCTATTTTAGTGTTCTGGTGAATGTTGACTACATGTTGCACGTCATTGGAAAGAAAACTGTCCCCTTCCAAGCATCTAGTACAATTTTTCCCGTTCTCGTTTGCTCAATACTTCAACAGTATCTAGCATCGGGGCAACTTCCGCATCTCCTCCTCAATGTTCGGCCTCGCACTAGGTGGCAACCATGCAGCTATCCAGTAATTGCCCGCAGGATCTTTGCCGAGGATGTTGAACGCGTCACGGGCCGTCTGGCTATGTTTCGTATGGAGCGAATGATGATAGACGGGCTTCCCTGGCTCAGCGGCCACTGGGCCCTGCTTCCCACGCCTGATAACGGCCGGGCTGAAGTCGACACCCTCACAGATCTTGGTTTTCCCCCAGTTGCTGAAGATGAGCGGTTTTGTTTTTGACGTGCCAACAATGAGGGCTCCAAGCTTCGTTTTGGTTAACTCACGGAACATGGCGCGTATTTGAGTATCCGGCACTTGTTCCAGCAGCGATTTGCGCACCATGTGTGCGAGCTCGCCCAGCGAAGTGCTCATCACCTGGCCGACGGTAGTTTCTGTAAACAGTGCGAAGGCAAAGTTTCCGACGTATGCTGTGTTATGATTGAAAAGACTCGATAGGCAGCCTCGAACGTCAAGTGCGTTGATGATAGTGATAGGCTGCTGTGAAAATCGTTGTGACGCCAGATGAAGACATGGCATCCGAACAGCCCACGTCGTGATCACATCACCCTCACTAAGAAAAGCCGTCTCGAACTGGCCTGTTATATGAGACCCATTTGACATGTCCAATGACTGCCTGGCATCCTGCTGCAGAGCCTTGACTGTATTGGCCGGGAGGTAGATAAACCTGCCCTCCTGAGGTCCCCAAAGAAGGATCCAGACGTATCGGACACCCTAGATAACGAGCCCAATACCACTGACGAGTCTGGTTTTCAATATCCATTCATTCTGCTTCGAATTGCTTCCTGGGTGCTCAGGAGTACTTGACTCTCTCTTTCTTGCCTATACCTCAAAAGCGTTCTATCACAATTCTTAGGGCCTACAATATTTTCCTTGCCTCACTTTTTCTCCTTGCACTTTAAAAACACAGTCTCTATATCTTGAATGAACCCGAATTTCTCTTACAGTTGCCATTCTCTGTTCAGAGGGCAATTTTGAATGCTTCAATTACACTCCTTGGCTACGATCAAACTCATGCTCGACGTGTCTCATCTGAAAACGAAGCGGATTTGACACGGCAGTCTCGTGGTCGCATCACTATACGAGGCAGGGGACGCGGTCTTGAAAGGAGATGGGATCCTGAAAGGAGAAGGGGGTCCTGAAAGGCAGGGGATGGGATCCTGAAGTACCTTCGGCCAAGGTCGCTGCCCACCGAGCTGTAGACGCTGAAGCCCTGATTTTGGCCAGTCAATCCTGAATGGCAAGAGGGGGGGGGGGGGTTCCGAAAAGTAAGTGGCACCCAATTTATATGCTTAATTTAACTTAGGTATATAGGAGTTTAGTATGGATAAGCGAATTAGGCCTGGGTGATATGCTCTGATTGGCTATGGCTATGGTATAAGTTGATGTATCGGTGTACCCTCCGATTTTGCAGGTGCGAATCTCTATATTCTTGGTCAGTACTTGTTAAGCTGTGCAATATGTCAATATCTGGAGACTCCATATAGAGATCTGGGGCCTAACCCATATACTCCAAGGTTCTAAACCACCATGCCCCGGCACAAAGCCCACACTGAATGATGCGATTTGCTTAACTACTGGAAACCTTCCGTTGAATGCCATAACTCGACTGACTGTTGCAGACGCTGCCGAATCAAGGGAATCTCAAGAATGCAACAAAACCGCACCTGCCCATCGCGGTCATGTGGCTGCATGCAACAAGACAAGCAATAATTAAGGTAGCTCTGTGGACAAAGCTTGGCCTGCGCTTATTATAACTCGTGATTGTCAAGGTATGTTGCGGCATCTCCCACTTTCTCCTCCTTGCTGTCTTGGCCCGTCCCAGCTAATTGCTCTGCTCCAATTGTGCGGCAAGACTCTTGGCGCTGTGCTACCCAAGACATCGGCCACCTTCCCTTCAGGGTCAAGCGAGGCGATATAAGTTGCTAGTCTGGGCCAACTCCTCATGGCAGAGAGAAATCCGGGGGCTGCACACTTCGGAATTCTTATCAATCCCACTTGGCACAGTGCTGGGCAAGGCTTAACCTTCCTCATCCACGATGGCGCCTGCTGCTGTTTCTTGTCCATTACTCATTCAAGAGAGGAGGTTGACTATATAAACAGGAGCACACCTCGTTTCCTAGACGGTGCACACAGTTTTGGGGGGCAGCCAACTTGCAACCGCTCGTCTGCCCATCATGAAGTCACTGCTGATCTCCTCGCTCCTGCTGCCCCTGGCAACCGCTGTGGCGCTCCCGGAGAGGGAGGCAAAGGTCGACTATACCGGCTACAAGGTCCTGCGTGTCGACGTGGGTTCTGACGCCGCGGTCACAGAGGAGGTGTCCCAGCTCGCGGCCCATGTGCTGAACCCTGGCAGTACCGGGGCTGTCGATGTCGTAGTCGCCCCTGACTCGGTGTCTGCCCTCGAGGGACTTGGCTTAAGCAGCACTGTTCTCGATGAGGATCTCGGCGCCAGTATCGCTGCCGAGGGCGAGATCTCTGAAGCTCTAGCTGGTGAGCTACTCCATTTGATGCTCTCGTTGAAGCTGCTGTACTGATAAATTCCTTCAAAGTTCCCGACGCCTCATGGTTCACCGCGTACCACGCTTATGCATCCCACCTAACCTTCCTGAACGACCTCCAAGCCAGCTTCCCAGCCAACTCGGAGGTCTACACCGCCGGCACGTCGGTCGGCGGGCGTGCCCTGACCGGCATCCATATCTGGGGCAGCGGCGGCAAGGGCTCCAAGCCCGCGGTCGTCTTCCACGGCAACGTCCACGCCCGCGAGTGGATCACGTCCAAGACCACCGAGTACATCGCGTACACGCTGCTGACGCAGTACGCGTCCAACGCCGCCGTCAAGGCCGTCGTCGACAAGTTCGACTTCTACATCACGCCCGTCGTGAACCCGGACGGCTTCGTCTACTCCCAGACCACGGACCGCCTGTGGCGCAAGAACCGCCAGACCGTCAGCGGCAACTCGTGCGTCGGCCGTGACATCAACCGCAACTGGCCGTACCAGTGGTCCGTCGCGGGAGGCGCCTCTACGAACCCTTGCTCTGAGACGTACAAGGGTAAGAGATACATTCCCAATGGACGCGTCGCATATTGAACGTGGCTGACCGAGTTGTTCCGCCCAGGCCAAGCAGCGGGCGATGCTCCCGAGAACAAGGGCCTCGTGGCTCAGATCCAGCAGCTGAAGGCATCCAACGGTATCAGTCTTTACATCGACTTCCACTCTTATGGCCAGTACATTCTCTGGGGTAAGTTTGCAACCCTACGGCCGAATCTTCCCTCTCAGCCAATTCCGTCCCTGCGGGTATGCAAAGCCTGTCATTTGCTAACCTTCACTTCCAGCTTATGGCTACAATTGCGCCGCTACTGCCGAGAACAACGCCGCCCTTCAATCCTTGGCTACTGCTGCTAGGAGTGCTATTGCGGGCGTCACTGGAACGTCGTACACCATCGGAAAGTCCTGCAGCACGCTGTACGCCACCACCGGGTCCAGCGTGGACTACATCGATGCCACGGGCAACGCAACATACAGCTATACATACGAGCTGAGGGACACGGGCACGTATGGCTTTGTGCTGCCGGCCAACCAGATCAGGCCAACAGCCGTGGAGACTTGGGCTGGCGTGCTGGTTATGCTCCAGAGGGCTTAAATCGCCCTTGGGACTCCCGAGGCCGTTTTCATTTGACATTGGCTCTCGTGAACCGCAATTGGTCTGTCCATCATCGGGCGTGCTGTGGATTGGTTGAAGCACATACGGTATAGCTACTTGCCAAGGTGGTTGATCTCTTGTTGATCATCTACCATGACGGCTTCATTGCCGTTGAATTGCACATGTCAATGAAATACCCTCGAAGATGGTTGTCCGTTGTGCGCGCAAGCTCTCAAACCTTTGACGCTTTTCTTGTTTCACATCTCCTTCATCCGTGCTCTCGATGCCTGTTTGGACTTGGTGTTTGGTAGTAGATGTTCACAAGCTTAATTTTGCTCTTTGAGCTCTAGTTACCGTTTCGAGATGCTCGTGCCTCGTTCGCGGTCCATTGAAGCCGATGAAAGCGCCGACTCGCCGGAAAGTTCTCACTGATCGTGCTGTTCCAGAGAGCAAATTGTGTATCCGTCTTTTGTTCCCCCTGACGGAGCTTTTGACTTGACTTACATCAGTCTTAAGGGGGATCACAATCAGCCCTGCGCTATTTCCCAAGAAGAAGAACCATATGTTTACCAACTCTTTGGTTGCCCCGCCTGCTGTCTTTCTGTTTGCTAGTGGTATGTCATCCAGGTCATCGACGAAGGTCTTTGTTGTCGGTTGGAATCGCATCCATGGCCGACGATGCTCATACTCACCATAGTAGCTGCCTTCCACTTGACACCTGATCGTGTCAGTCTTAATAAGGAGGCCAGTACTGATCAACGACCTTCCATGTACATCCAACAGCGTAGGCATCACAGCACCCTTCAGAAACTCCACTCCACCATTGACCGAGGCCCACGACCAAGTTGGAGCGCGAGAGGACTCCTGTCTAGAAAAGACTAGGCCTTCTTCGTTTATGCGCCCCACATGTTTCCACATGAGCACATGGTGCGCCTGATGTTGCCAAATACCGTAGTGAAACTCATGCCCGAGAGCCTCGGAGACAACGGCTGTCAATCCACTAATCGCAGGCAGCTTATCCGTCTGGAAAGTGAGGTCCCTGCGGCTGTATTCCTCGACGAGCTTCACCCACGTGGAAAAGATCTCCGACGCCGTGCCCAGCACGCTGGTGGATGCTGTCTGTTTGGGCAACGCGCGTAGAACCGTCTCCCGATAGCTGCAACAGCTACACTCCCAGGAAATTTCTGTAGTCCCAAAAGTGACTAAGCGTCGAGAGAGCACAGCCTCTTGCAAGGCCCAACCGCGCCGACTCAGAGGCTCCATTTGCTGCCCAACATTGGGCAGGTCTACTCCCAAGTATACAATTTCCTCGCTCTTTTGTCTCTGTGACACCGGGCAGTAGGGAGTCTCCGGATCGGGCCGGGTACGAAATAGGCCATCGCGACAGTCTTTTTCTGCGGCTGCCGCGATGGTGAGGGAAGCTGACCTGTATATCCTCCCCATATCTTGGGACTGTTCTTCCGAATCGGCGGTCGAAAGGTCACCACTTCCTTGGATGATGCAAAGACTGTCGACCCAAAGATATCGGAACCCAAGATACCTCGCAAGCACCATAGCGTCAACTATAGTTGGGGGAATCATTTCCATGGGAAGTGATTTGTGTAAATCCTCCATGTTATCGATAGTTAAGTTGAAAAATGGACCACGACCCCAACACTGGCAGTAGCTCAGTGCCAGATATTTGCCGCGACTGCCATTGGTAGTGACCAATCGTGAGCTCAGCGAGCCATTTCCAAGGACCTGCCCGATTCCGATCACTCGTTTCGGGAGGACTTGCGTCTTGGTGGTGCTCGCATTTCGTACCATGGCTCTCGAGACAATCGGTCAACCATTGAGAAACCAATTCCAGACATTGACAAGAGCCAGAAATGGCGCTACGCAGGCTGAAGACCGTATCTGATTGGGTTCGACGAGTTTCAGCGCTATACCAATCGTCAGAAGCTCCCCAGGTGTCTCTAGCAGAACTTTAGAATGAACCGGGACAATCCGGAGCGTGAAAATCCTCACCAACTCGCGTCTGAGTACACCATGAGATGTGACCGTAGCACCCACGGCTCCTTATCTGGTGGTCCTATGCGCCACGACCCATCCTCGGCTGGCATCCAAGAAAAGCTATGGCTGCCCCCCGATGGCATGACCAAGATGTCCACGCGGTCCACGCGTCGGATCGCGCCAACTCCCCGCGGTGTGTTGCGGTAAATCCTCACGTTGAACTCGCCCCCGACGAACTCCCCAACTAATTGACAGAACACTACGTCGACTTTCAAACCTCAACAATCTTGGGACCTGGGTGGCATCGAACAGCCTAAACGGCGTGGCCAAAGGGCGCATACACACTTTTGTACCGGGAGGAAGGTACATGCGGCATGAATCACTCCAGGTACGAACGCCACCATTCTGAAGCCTATCGCATATAGAGTTGGGCAGCGGAGTCATGGCAAAAGTGTGCTCTCACAAACACGCGGGGAATAGTGTTCGCAGCCAAAAGTATGCTGGCCACTGCATGCTCAAGACTGTTTTGGCTAACAAAGCTTGCTTGATTCAGTACGAGGACAGCTGTGCGTCGGTACGCCAGACTCGGGCGGCGTGATGATGATGAAGATGTTCGGCAGTCACTGTGGATGGCTGGGCATGGGTGCGTATTATAGACCTTCAGCCGCAGTCTGACGCAGTGGTTGTCCTGAGGGCGTGATGTCTCGCCATTTCGTTTGATGTGCACAGAGTGGGCAAGGGGAGTAAACGGCCATTTATGCCAACCTGACCCAGGTGTAGCGTTACTGAAGGTCACATTGGTAGACACATCATGTGGCGTTGTGCAGAAGCTTCAAAGCTGCAGCGATGCTTGTGCATGTCCTCATCAACTCCAATTTTGAATGCTATGGCAGCTGGGCGGTAGTCGAGTCACTTCATAATCGTTGTCCTCGCTACCGGTCAATATTGGAGTGCGGTTCGCGTTAAGAACTCACAGCAACAGCGGCTAAAGGAGCTTCATCCCTGTGATGGTTGGACCCTTGGCCATCTGAGGACCTTCGGGGCGGGCGGAACGCTGGGGTGCACCCATCCGGACATGGCAAGCCCTGGTTGGAGGGGTTGGAGGGGTGGACCCGACGCGTGAAGCGGAGGTTTGTTGAGACTCGAGCTCGATCGAGGTGAAACATAAGATCAACACCAACGGTGCGCAAGCATTGTTCGTGTAACCTGACGATACGCGACCATGTCATCTGTCAGATGCTGCAAGATTGTGTTCGAGATAATGTTCGAGATCGAAGGCCGCGATTGCTGTCAGATTCACGGCTGCCGGCAGACACATTGCTAAAGTAGATGGCCAGCCACATGGAGACCAATCCAGACTAAGCATGCATGCACGCTTATTAGATGCATGCGATCCCACGCTCTGGAATCCCAGTTGTGTGGACGGAGGGAGCGTGGGGGTTTGGGGTGACAAGAGGCCGGACGTGGGAAGAAATTTCTCCACGGACCGACCGCTCTGGTGATGCCGAGACGTAAATACGTCCGATGGACGGCAGGGCCGGATGGGTTCGCGGCTCGCGAGATAGACTACCCACAGCGAGACTGGGCAGCTGCCCAAGCGTGCAGTCATACCGACCGGACATAAACAGTACAGGGCAAGATACCACGGGATCCGCAGTGTCGAGCGGTGCTGGTTGTCATCGCAGGGGAAAATCGGCGAAAAGACCCCACCATGGGCGAAACAGCAACCGCGGGGTCGTCAAGGGCGCTGAGTGAGCCCATCAACGTCGATTTGGAGGTTGATGCAGTAGCTCGAGCTGCCTCGATGAATGGCTGGCCATGCATGTTGCTTATCTCATTCCAGCAGCGAGGGCAGAGCGGCGATGGGAGCATAGGAAATCGTGAATAGCATCGCCCCAAAGCTCGGTAGATAAGCGAGGGGCCAATTACTCAGTCGGTGATAAATATGGAGACGGTGACGTCTGGCTGAAGAGACTGACGCTCGCGCCTCGAGGAGCAATGGCCGAGTTGGCGGTGACGTCGGTCCGGCTCATCCGCGGGGCAGCAACAGCGGCAAAATTTGAGAACTTGAGACTGAGAGCAGACCCAATACGTAGACCTGGGCAGTAGACTGGACAGGAGGACAGTCTGGCAGGCAGTTGAAAAGACGCCATCGTGGTGGCAGCGGGTAAAAGACGACAGGCTATGGGGAATTTCTGTCAATGATAGCCCGAGCCAGCTGGCCCGCCGGGAAAATGCATGGCGCATGGCATTGCTGCAGAGGAGCCAGGCGAGGCGAAGCGCTCGAGTCGTCAAGCTTCGTGCCTGAGTACGGAGCAGGAAGCGTAGCAGCTGGCACTGCCTATTGTTGACAGTCTGTTGCCCCCCATGTCGACGCCGATGCTGGTACTGATGCTGTTGTGATGTCCATACGTACGTGTTCTCTGGTGATGCGGATTCTGAGGGTGGATCCCAAGCCAAGGCGTGTCACGAAGGTTGTGAGGTGTTTCGACAAGCTCAGTCATCACCGGCAGGGTGTATCCAGATGGGTGGTTGCCAGGGCAGGACGGGCCAGAGGGATGGATGGAGCTGGGATGGGGCAACCACTTGAGGCAGGAGCACGAAGCACGAAGCAGCAAGCAGGAAGGAGGAAGCCCTTCCCGCCCTTCCACGCCTGCGGCCGAGCCCAAGCTCAAGCAAGCTCAACCATTTTACTGGGCCCGCCTGCCTGCCCTCTTCTTTACCTCACCCCTCCTTCTGGAACTTGTTCCTCTTCACATCTTCAACTCTCACACCTTCCAACCTTTCTCTATCTATCCATCCACCAGACCATTTTTTGAACTCGAAAAACAGTCTGCCAAGATGGGTTACACAAAGACCGACGAGCTCGCCATCAACACCATTCGGGTCCTGGCCGTAAGTCGAGAATCAAGCCAAGCATTCCTTCCATAGCGTGCGGCAACGGCCAGCTTGCCCCTCCATCGCCGTTGCCGCCGCCGCCGTTGAGAGCTGTTTCACCATGAAAACCTGCAGCAACCACGCCTCAATATGATCAATTGTGCTCACCATTTCTCTCTCTAGGCCGATGCGACCGCCCATGCCAACTCTGGCCACCCTGGTGCGCCCATGTACGTTGTTCTCTCGATTTTGCCTCGCCGCGATTCGCCCTCCACCCAAATGTTGAGGACCGCGGGGTCATGCGCGCATTAAAAAAAGCCTGTGAACTACGCTGACAATGCTCTCAATACAGGGGCATGGCACCCGTGGCCCACGTTCTCTACAGCAAGTTCATGAAGTTCAACCCAAAGAACCCAAACTGGCTGAACCGTGACCGCTTCGTTCTCTCGTGAGTAGTTCTCCCTCGGCGCCTCTGGCCTCCGTGCCAGCGTCAACATGACGTGCTTCTGACCTCAACAACTCTCCAGCAACGGCCACGGATGCATGCTTCAGTATGCTCTGCTTCACCTCTACGGGTATGCCCTGTCCATCGACGACCTCAAGGCCTTCCGTGTAAGTTTTGCGCCGTGTCCTCAGGGGGCCAAGACCAAGGCGAATGATCTGGCTAACACCTGAGCTTCTAGCACGTTGACAGCATCACTCCCGGCCACCCCGAGGCCCACGATACCCCCGGTGTCGAGGTCACCACCGGCCCTCTGGGTCAGGGAATTAGCAACGCTGTCGGTCTCGCCATTGCCCAGGCCCACACCGCTGCCATCTACAACAAGCCCGGCTTCGACCTGGTCAACAACTACACATACGCCTTCCTTGGTGATGGCTGCTTGATGGAGGGTGTCTCATCAGAGGCCTCCTCCCTGGCCGGTCACCTGCAGCTCGGCAACCTGATTGCCATCTACGATGACAACCACATCTCCATCGACGGTGACACCAACCAGGCCTTCACCGAGGACGTCAAGAAGCGATACGAGTCCTACGGCTGGCACGTCCTCGAGGTCTCCGACGGTGACAGCGACCTCGACAGCATCGAGAAGGCCATCAAGGAGGCTCAGGCCGTCAAGGACAAGCCCACCATCATCAAGCTCAAGACCATCATCGGCTTCGGCTCCAAGAACCAGGGCACCCACGGTGTCCACGGCTCCCCCCTCAAGGCTGACGACATCAAGCAGCTCAAGGAGAAGTGGGGCTTCAACCCTGAGCAGAGCTTCGCTGTGCCCCAGGAGGTGTACGACCTGACCGGCAAGGTTGCCTCTGCCGGTGCCGCTGCTGAGCAGGAGTGGAACAAGCTCTTCGCCAGCTACGCTGAGAAGTACAAGGCCGAGCACGACGACCTGACCCGCCGCCTGTCCGGCAAGCTGCCCGAGGGCTGGGAGAAGTCGCTGCCCGTCTACACCCCCGCCGACTCTGCTGTCGCCTCCCGAAAGCTGTCCGAGATCGTCCTGCAGAAGATCCACTCCGTCATCCCCGAGCTGGTTGGTGGCTCAGCCGATCTGACTGGCTCCAACCTGACCCGGTGGAAGGATGCTGTCGACTTCCAGCCCCCATCCACCGGCCTGGGCGACTACACTGGACGTTACATCCGGTACGGTGTCCGTGAGCACGGTATGGGCGCCATCCTCAACGGTCTGGCCGCCTACGGTACCATCATCCCCTACGGTGGTACCTTCCTCAACTTCGTCTCGTACGCCGCCGGTGCCGTCCGTCTGTCGGCCCTGTCCCAGCAGCGCGTCATCTGGGTCGCCACCCACGACTCGATCGGTCTTGGTGAGGACGGCCCTACCCACCAGCCTATCGAGACCCTGGCCCACTTCCGCGCTCTGCCCAACTGCATGGTGTGGCGCCCTGCCGACGGTAACGAGACCAGCGCCGCCTACTACGTTGCCCTCACTTCCCAGCACACCCCCAGCATCCTGGCCCTGTCCCGACAGAACCTGCCACAGCTCGAGAGCTCCACGATCGAGCGTGCCGCCAAGGGTGGGTACGTCCTGCACGAGGTCGAGGGCGCACAGATCACCCTGGTGTCCACCGGGTCCGAGGTGTGCATCTGCGTCGACGCTGTCAAGGAGCTGGAGAAGAAGGGCATCAAGGCCCGTGTCGTCTCCATCCCCTGCTTCGAGGTGTTCGACGCCCAGTCCAAGGACTACCGCCTGTCCGTCCTGCCCGACGGCATCCCATCCCTGTCTGTTGAGGTCATGAGCACTATGGGCTGGGAGAGGTATACCCACGAGCAGTTCGGCCTGAACCGCTTCGGTGCCTCTGGCGCATACCTGGATGTGTACAAGAAGTTTGAGTTCACGCCCGAGGGTATCTCCAAGCGCGCACAGGCCACCATCGACTTCTGGAAGGATGTGCCCAACATCCGCTCCCCCATCAACCGGGCGTTCCAGCAGCTCATCTAAAAGGGGGATTGTGACTGGGTAGAAAAGGTTTACGAGGGATGATACAGAGCTCGCAGCAAGGGGTATTTAAATAGACTACTCCGGTGCATGTTTATGAAGACTTACACCATACACCACAATCAATGAATTTCGATGCACTTGACATATCAGTCCGAGTCTTGCTACCTTTCTGAAGAGTGATGACCCAATTATGTGTCCGGGCTCGACTGGCAGCTGAGACATGTCACCGGTACAGGTTCACGAGATGGGCTTTTCTAAAAAATAGTACTGTGGTCCCTCGACTACTTTTTGACGGAGGAGAGTCACTCCTCCCCTGCCCGCTTTCGCATGCTCTTCCTTGTGGCAGCGGACCTGGACCAAAGTCTCAAGGAGTCCGACTTCAAGTGCACACCTTCCACCCTTCATGCAGATTGACAACCTTCCTAGACCTTCCCGTCTCTCACGTGGCTGATCAGTCATCCACACCCTGGGGCCTTTGGTTGCGCTGTTGTTTTATCAAGCTCGAATGTTGCATGTTGACAATGGTCGGACCCGACCGCCCGATATCGGTTCCTGCCCCGTGTTTTTGGTGCGGTGGATTTGTCCGATGGTCTTGTCCATCCCTCTGATTCACGTCCGGCTGCTTTGCTGCCTGTTGGCCTGACCTGACCTGTATCGCATCTGCACATCTCCCCTGGTTTTGTTTGGTTGGCCGCCCAGGCCTTGATTAAACAGAAGGGCCTCTTCTGGCCCCTCTGGACTTGGCGCCCTTTCTTTTTGAATCCGAGACTCCTTTTCAATAAAGCCACATCGGCAGGCACGGTCGCTTGTCGCGATACCAATGTGCGCCATGCGCGGTATTAGGAAACCCTCCCCATCCCGCCGCGAAGCTGCCTCCCCGTGGTATATCACCGACGGCCCGTGGAAACCCATTCGGCCTGGAACCCCCTGGCCACCTTCTCGAGCCTCGCCGTCGCCCTCCTGGCCTCGCGCAGGTCCTCCGCCCGGGGCGCGACGACGGTGCTGGTCAGCATGGGCGGGTCGCTCGGGTCGATGCCCTCCATGTCGCCGCCGCCGCCCCCGCCATCGTCCCCCGCCGGGTCCAAGGCGAACGAGAGCGGCCTGGTAGGCGTCCGCCTGCCTACCTCGCCCCTGGGAACCGCGTCTGAAGCACTTCCTCCTCGACCACCACCCCCGCCCCCTCCCGCGTCATCACCGTCGCCGTCGCGGTCATCCCCGCCGTTGACGGACCCCTGCGCCGACCCGACCGCGCCGGCGGCGGTGTGCAGGCTCGTGTTGCTCGTGTTGCGGCCCGGGACGCCGAGGGCGAGGCCCATGGGGCACATGTAGCTGTGCAGGACCACGGGACCGCCATCCGGGTACTCGACCATTGTGCGCAGCGGGGCGCCGCGGCCGATGCGCTTGGCAGCGTCGTAGGAGAGGAGGGCGGTGGCGGAGAGGGATGTCAGGGCTTCGGCCTGCCTTGAGCGCGGGGAGGGCGGCTCGTCTTCGTCGTCTTCGTCGGCTGAGGAAGGGGTGGAGGAGGAGGGCGAGGCGGATGAGGGCGGGGAGGTTGAGAAGGTTGTTGGGTGTCGTTTTCTCTGTTGTTTTGAGTGGTGTGGTTCTTGTTGTGCTTGTGGCTTTGAGGAGGAGGAGGAGGGGGATGTCGAGGAAGTAGAGGAGGAGGCGGATGATATCAGAGGGGTGGTGGCCCTGTCTGTCATGTGTATGGCCAGCGAGGGGTGCTGCGCAGGGAGAGTCGCCATGTTGGCCGTCCAGGAAATGGGGGCCGAACACTGGTGTGTGTGTGTGTGTGTTGGATTGTAACCCAGGGCCGGTAGTTGAAGGTCTTAGGTCTGGCGATCTTGACCAGCAGAGGGAGGTGGTCAGGACCGAGTCTTTGACGATCGCCGGGCTGTGTGACTTGGGGGGGACAGTAGCCGCCGTGAGCGCGCCGGCGAGGATGTGCGGGGTCCAGTTTGCCAGTCCGCGAACGTCAGGCTGAAGGTGTGGACGATAAGGCTGAAGGTGTGGACGATAAGGCGGCGAAGGAGAGTTGCTGGCTATGTCGTGGGCGTGTTGGGATGTTCAATTGACTCAATTGGGTGGGTACCAGCTCGCATATCAGTATATCTGGTCGTTGACGTGACGAGATGACCGACGGAAATCCGAATTGTGCTGAGGTGGTGTGCATTCATTCCGTCAGTATCACGAGCTCCCCCTAGCTCTTGGTCGGAATGGCCGAGTCTAGCCGCCCCATCCCGCCGTGTGTCATTGTCAGGGTTCGGGGCTGCTGCGACAAGCCACATGCGAGCAAAAGTGTGTTCTTTTGGCCTCTTGCTAGAATCACTCTCTGCGTCTCTTATGGCTGTGAATGCATGACATTGGTTCGAGCCGCCGAAATCTTACACGCTGAGTCATTATCAGTTATCCTCTACCGCCCAGAGCCGGGTGTAATGGAAATTGCTGCCAGTCACCATCTTGCATCTCAAACGGTCCCTTGGTGAGATACTGCAGGAGCACCTGAACTCAAGCTCAAGCTCAAACTTTGTCCATGTATTATCACCAATTCGGTGTTCATTTACTGTTGTTGGAACCACCATTACATGCAGAAGAAGGAGGAGGAGGAGGAGGAGGAAGAGAAGACAAAAGGGAAGAGAAGGTCCTGATAGCTTTTCTATTCCAAAAGTCCCAGGCCTCGTGGCTACAGGTGGTCTGTGCGCTCTGCATGCCCCTAGGCCTACCTGCTGTGCCGCAACTATGAATTTATAAACATGCTAGCAGCAACGATTGTCTCCATCCATTTGTTCTTTCCTGCAAGCCAGCTGACACAACCTATCTAAAGCGCCGGACGGAATTTTGCAACTCCATCATATTTCAAGTCAACATCGACTCACCATCATGTCACTCAAGCCTTGGTGGGATTACCCAGGGCAGGAAGACCCGAAATACGCCAATGTGCCCCCACCAGAGAAATTAGAGATGAGTAGAGCAGAGCAGGCTCTGGACGAGGTCCATCTAGTGGCATTTGCACGCGCAGTAGCAAACGTCCTCTCAACGGAGCTCGCCGAGTCAACATTTGCGCAGCTTGTTGACGGCTTACCACTGTGGGATGTTGTTTCCGGCCTTGGCCATTACGGCCTTGACAGGGAGGAGCCCGTCTTTAAACACCGCGAGTTGTGTCCCGGTGTATTAGAAAAGACGAGAGCTTTTCGCACGGCCTTTGACTCTGGAGCACTCGACATCCGGACTGATGTGAATAAGTAAAAGAGCTCCCAGCTTGTCTTCCGATGTTCTGACGCATGTCTCCAGGTTTTGCATCGATACCAATCCGTTCCGGTCGGCTCTCGGGCGTCAAAATTGCCTCTGATCGAGCTCATCGCCGTCGCAGTGCATGCCATCGCAGTCCAACTCGTCAAGCAGGTTGATGGCGGACTACATAAGAGCGATAAGTTTCCAAGCGATGAGCATTATGAGCAGTATAGTTGGCGCCGAAAAAATCAACTCCGTTCTCGCTCTGGCGTTACGATGACCCCGAACAATATCCTGACGGAAATGCCGACATCGCGGCCTATTGGGCGGAGGACCAGATCTTTGGGGGAATTGTCCTATTTGATCGAGGAGAGAGCGGCTCTGAGGTATGCATACTTCCCTCCCAAAGCTCTTAGCATCTTATGGAGCACCATCAATGGAAAGTAATCAAACTAATAGTTTCTTAGCAAAACAGCGTCTGGTTCCATTCTTCGCGCCGTGGGATTACGGACCATGTATACGCTTTGAAAGACGAGCAGACTGCATCTCTACTCCTTTTTCTTGAGTCAGAACCTGGCAAGGCACCATGTCCTTTGCCGATACTAGGGGATAAGGAAAGCATACGGAGAGATTGGCAGATCTCCATCCCGAAGTACAATATCTACAGGGATCGTTGGGAGCGCAAGATTCGGTTCAGAAGCTACTATTGGTATAACCACTTTCAGAGCAGGTGCAGAGCATGCGACGAGGATCCAGTGGAAAATCCAGAGTGGGGCCACGACCGTGAGCCATGATTTACTTGGGGGCAATATGTTGCCAATACTTGAAAGACAGTCATTGCAATTATCTGGAGCTTATTATTCGACGGAAGAATGAGTAATTACTGCTACTTTCATGTGCTCTAAAGCATATCGAACGATATCATGGACTCTTCTATGTGCAGCTCATCGACTGGACAAGGAACTGGCTCGACCCAGATGCCGATACGCGGTAACCCTCGAGGCTCTGGGAGTTCCGGAGGTCCATCTTCCAGTCCAGACCCCGTCCTCATTGGAAATCTGCGACTTTTTTGCGACAAAAGATGGGGACTTGATGTCTCTTACCGCGGCGCAGAGCTCAGCGATTGCGTAATGATCCCCAAAGGCGACCCCAGGTTCAAACTCCTTGCACATTGTATCCACCTTGGCTTGAGATTTCTCGAGCACGAAGTCGGAAATGCAGCGTTGGTGGCAACAGCCTCTAAGATAATACTGGAACGACGCAACTTCAGAAAGGCTGACGATCAAGACACCCGAGAAGCGGGCGCGAACGTATATGATACAGGAGACAAGGAGAGGCCTCTAAGTGAGATGAAGCACTGGGTTAACGATTTCCTGAAAAAGGTGCGCGCAGACTTTCCCACTACCTATGCCACGAGGACTCTTCCGCCTTCTGCCGACGGAATGACGCATAATTCAGCATGGGGCACCGACATCGCGGAAATGAGCAAAAGCTTGGCGGGCGCCTATATATCCACCAATGCGTAAGTCTCAGAGGTCAGAGATGCTGCAAGTATCTAACTTTCCCCTCAACTCAACACATCACTGTCGTCTTCAATTTACTAAGTCCTTCACCTCCCTACGCTGCTTTCCTCGATCGTTAAGAACAAGAAACCCTTCCTTGTCCGGCCAAAAAACTGATCTATAAATCAAATGTGAACTAACGTCTTGTGAGTAGATGGTTGATCAGGCCATCAGCATAGCAAATGCCATTCACAAACTGGAAGAGAAGCTACAAGCAAGCAAGAAGAAAGTGAACAACGAGAAAGACGGGAAAGAGAAAGAACGGCTAAAGGAAGCGCAAAGCTCGGTGGCGAGAGACCTTGCAGCAATGAAGACCAGCTACGACACCGCTATCTACCACCTGTCTATCACTTTCTCCCATGAACTCTGCCATTTGTTCACTGGCTTTTTGACTGGGGCGAACCGACCTCGTACGCCTGAACAAGTCACAGCGGCCGACTATGCCACCCCAGGATATTGTAGTGAGCATGGATGGGCCTGGGAGTACAAGGTGTTAAACGGCTGCACGTTCTTCTTCATCGATTCCAAAATGGAGAAATTTCCACTTGAGCAACGAGCAGGGACGCCTTACGCCCATGATGACGATGCTACAATGCAATCTTGGTACAAATACAAGCCAGATTTTATGTCGAAGATGGTCAATCTTGGTAAGTATTCGAAGTAGCACATCATGAATCTTTTGCGAGCATTCACTAACAAGTGAAACCCAGATTTTTCATCCTTCCTGGCAACCTCGAAGAAGCGGTTTCAAGCGTTCGACCCACAAGACCCACTGCAGCGATCAGGCGTCCCCGGAACGGAATTGAGCTTTGTCAGAAGGAAGATCATGGAGGCCGGTTTCATCAAAATCGGGAAGGTATTCCCTGAGAATATGCCGACGCGAAGAGTTCCGCCAGTGCAGCGAAATGTGCTGATGCATTTGAACACCTTGTCTAAGTATAATGTGACAGTTGCTGATATCCATCTTCCCCTCCGACCTTCGGCTTTGCGGGTTGCCTAGTTAGATATAACTTAGAAACAATATCAAGCTATTCACTATTCCATGAAGAAACACAATCTTTCCAGTATAAAGCCCGAGGGGGGGGGGGGTCCAACCAGGTGGATAAAGCATACACTCATAGACAATCAATTACCCAAAACACCCCCGGAATGGGCTTAAATGAATGTCAATGTACAATTAAATACATTTGGCATTTCTTTGATTACTTAAATGAATTTTCGGGCCGTTATCATATCCATCAGAGAGGGGTCACAAACCTGCCTCTATTAAGCCATTAGCCCTGTGCTTTGGTCTCGTAGACAAGAGAAATGAAATCCATGAAATTACTTATTCTCAGGCTGCAGTAACCAGCCTAATTTAAGCGCTCACATCATACACATAATTACAAATATAAAGGCTTCACAGGGTATCAGTGCCGCTGTATCATTCCCTTCTAGTCTTTGCAAGTCTTTATGGTTCTACCGCCCAAAGTTCTGCTTGTAAAAAGACCTAACCTCCTTGTTCCCACCCACCCCAACCGCCAGCCCTCTAGCATTTCCCACGACCTCGAGGCCCCGCAGGCTCGTGGCGCGCGACAGCGCAACGTATACCTGGCCATCGGCAAATGCCTTTGACACGTCGACCTTGACCTTGTCCAGCGTCATCCCCTGTGCCCTGTGTATGCTGAGGGCCCAGGCGGGCGTGAGGGGTATCTGCGTGCGACACAGCAGCGAGTAGGGCTCGTCGTCACCGAGCTCGTTCACCTGGCACTCGGCTCGGATGGGGCGCTCGATGCCGTTGCCGAAGCGAACGATGGGCCAGACCGGCTCGTGGACGGTCTCCTCGTAGGTAGTTATCTCGATCTCTTTGAGCCCGGCGTGGTCACCAGAGCTGGGAGATAGCTGTGTCCCGCTCCCGTCAGGCGACGTCCATCCAACAACGACGCCCTGGCTGCCGTTGCAAAGCCCGTTGTTCATGTCGAGGTTGACCAGCAGAACGACCGGCATTCCGCATTTGAGCTCCACCAGACGGTCCATGGAATGTTCATCGAGGGACTTCAAGGACCCATCTGCGTGCTTCTCGCCCCTTCCCTCTAGGTGTGGGTGCTTCTCCCTGTTCCAGACAAAGGTGTCACGGCACTGGAACGAATACGACTTTGCGACCAAGTTCCGAAACCCCCTCTCGTTCACAAGGCGAACTTCCTCGCGCGTCGAGTACAGCTCAACGGCTCCCGTAGTGTTTGTTTCGTGGTTCATCAGGAGGTCCACTTCCTCCGGCGTAAACGCCTCGCCCAGTCGACACTTGTTTAATAAAGAGATGAAGTCTGCATCGCGTTGCCGGTGTATCGTGTCAAGATGCACGTAAGCAAAGTTGCACTCCTCCCAGGCCTTGCTCCGGAAAGCCCATTTCTCACTCTCGTGGTATTTCGCACTGCACCGACCGCAGTGGTGCGTCTCATCTTCCACATCCAACTCCATCTCACCGCCGCACTCCATGCAGTGCCTGAACGGCCGCACAGGCGGGAGCTGCGCAAAGTCACCCGTGACTATGACCTGGACGCCGCCAAACGGGTACTCCTGCGCCGGGTACCCGCGCTTGTGCCGCGCCGCCTTCATGACCTGGTTCAGGCGCTCCAGGTGCAGGTTCTCCACCATGCTGACCTCGTCGATGATGACCACGTCCGTCCGCCGGAAGCGCCTCCGGACCGCACTGTTCTTCTTCCTCGCCATCGCCCTCAGCTGCTCGATGCCGAGCTTGTGCGAGTTGGGGCTCCAACCGGCAAAGGTCCAGGTGGTCGTCCCGTTGATGGCGAGCGCGGCCCGGCCGGTCGGGGCGACCACCCTGACGCGCTTGCCCATGTGGCTCAGCCGCTGCACCAGGGCGCGCAGGACGGTCGACTTGCCGCATCCTGCTGACCCCGTGTAGAAGATGTTGCGGCCGCTGGCGGCGAGCTCGACGACCTCGGCCTGCTCCGGGGAGAGCCGTGGGCCGTCAACATGGAGCAGCTCACTCCTGCCACCCGGCGCCTCGGGTTTCCTTTTTGGCCGACGTTTTTTTGACTTGTGTTTTGGCGCCTCTGTACTGTTTGTACTGCTGCAGCTTAGGATAGTGGATATTGCTTCTTTGGAGAGCTCTTTGGCGCGCTTTTTGGCATATTTGTTGACGGTGGATAGGGCACGGCAGTCCAGGCTAGGGACGCGCCAGGCCGGTGCGCCAAGACCGTGGCATTGTTGCACCAGACGAAGCGACACCACGCAATGGAATAAAGACCGAGAATAAGGCCCAAGCACGGCCTGTCCTCTCAGGGACGCCATGAGCCTGGGGATGATTGATCACCTGAGACCGTGATGAGCACGTCGGGAGCCGGTGGACGACATTGAAAGGGCAGGGTGTGGACAGATACGACGGGCTGTTCCTCGTCACACATGCTGCTTGAGCTAAGTACCGCGGGAGAGAGGACTGAGGGGCGTGGCAATCCCGCGGGAACTAACGATTAGTACCAACCTTGGAAGGACGGTTGCGACATACCAGTGCTCACGCAGAATTTATTCCTTGAGGAAAGTTTTTGATGTTGGCATTGAAAGGACCCGGTCTATTGACGAGGAACGAGATTTGGCGGAAGGAAGAAAGAGCTAGATAGAGTCTCCTTGCTGCCACTCTGAAGGGAAAAGTAAGTAAGTAAGTAGTATTTAACGCCGTGCTATCTCTACATAGCGGATAAACGAGCTTGCCTCCCAAAGGGCATATTGGCATGCTAAGCTGATTCTAGAGTAAAATACCCCTTCCTTATTTAATAACTTATATTTAATAACATATAACCCTTTTTCTTAGCATTTCTTTTATAAAAAAATTATAAATAGCTTTTTAAAGTAAATTTTGCTAAAAGAAAATATTAAAATAATTTATAAATTATTTTTATAATACCTTTATTGCTAAATATAAAAAGTATTAACTTTTAGTTTAATCCTAATTTATATTATATACTTATTAAGGCAAATAAGGAAGTAATTTAAGGCGCATAATATATTATTATATATTACTTTATTATAAAAAGCATGCTAATTATTATATTATATTCCATAATAATTATAAATAAATAAATAAAAAATAAAAAATAAAAACCTTAAGAAAAATATAAATTATTTTCTTATAATAAAAGAAACTTTTAGTTATTTATCCTTATATATGCTTTATAAGATAATTTATAACTATTCTTATAAGTTATTAACTTATATATTGCCGCCTTATTATATATAAATTTATAAATAAAATTATATATTTTTTAAAAAGTTCTTAAAGGTATTTAACTTTTTTATTAATTTATTAAGGTATATCCTTTTTTCCTAAGTTATATATGAAAGTTATTATGGCTAATTCCTAGGCTATAATTAAATGGTAAATTATGTTAAAACCTTTTAATAAAAAATAAAATGCTTTAGGACCTTTAAGTTTTTATAATTATAGTTTAGCTAAGCATTATTATATTTAAAATGTTTATAATATTATATAAAGTTGCTATAGCTTATTTTTATTGTTAAATAGTAATATAGTTATATTTTATTAAGTAAAAGCTTTAATAAGCATTTTATCTTATAATTTAAGTTAAAAACGTAATATTTACTTAATAGCTTATTTTTTACCTTATTTTAATATTTGTATTAAAAGTTTTTTAGCTTATAATATATTATGCTTTTAATCCTTAATATAATAAGGCTTATGTTAAGGTTTGGGTTTGCTATTTATTTAGCCTTAGCTAGCTTATTAGCTGCTTTATTCCTTAAAATATTTATATAATTTAGGCTTTACCTTATTATAACTATTCTTCTTTTTATTTCTTTATAAAATTATAAAAAGGCTTATTATAATAATATTAACATTTATTCTTAAAGGCATTAAATAATTAATATATTATTTAAGTAAATTATAATAAGTGTTATGGGCTGGCCCCAGAGGGGCTGCAGGCTGGTTAGCGCCTTCTCCCATAAGCTGCAAAAGCAGCAACCTTTTAACTAAGCCAAAAGGTACGTAATAATCCAAGCTCCCTTGGATTACCTAGCCAGCCACTATAAGGCTTGGGCTTCCAGCCCAAGCCCATTACAATAAGCTATCTTAAATAAGCTATCTTAGCATGCTTAAGTCCTTATAAAGCTTTAATAGCCTTTATATTAAATACTATAAAGCATATATTAATTATACATAACCTTATAATGATAAAAACTATATCCTTTAGCTAGTTTAAGTAAATTACATAGCTATAACTTAATTTATTTTATTTCTTAAAATTATTTAAAAAGATAATTACTTGCTTTTAGTTTTAAAAGGTAAATTAATTTATAAATTTCTTAGCAGCCTTTATCTTTAATTATCTCCTTATTAAGTTAATATAACTTCTTAATATATACCTTGGCTTTATAAGAATTAATTTATGTATTATATGTAAAAACATGCTTTTTGCTATTTATACCTTAATATATAAATAGTAAGGCATACTTTAGTTTCTTCTTAATGCAACCTTTAGCATCTTTATCTTATAAATAAGTAGATATACCTTATTTAACTTTTATAATTTATATATAAAGTAAAGATATAATTCTTTAAAAGTTAATTTTACTATAAGCAACCTTATATTTTAATAGAGAATTTTATTTAGCGTTATTTACTAAATTAGCAAAATGGCTTATATTATGGTGGAAATAACTTTTTGTATTTATTTAATATATTATTTAATCCTTGCATTAACCTTTAGCTTTCTTACTTATACTTAATTATAAAAGGGCTTTATTTATTTATTATATTATGTTTTAGCCTTATATAAAAGTAATAATAAAATGTATATTTTTGCTATTATATATATAAATGCTGGTAAGGGTTTATACTTAATATTTGCTAAGTTGTGTAAGTAGTTTACTACTTATATTGCCTTGCTGTACCTTTTTATTATATATTGCTAAAAGATAAGTTTTTAATTTAAGAAGATGTTAAGTTAGCATAAGGTTAGCTAAATTAATTTCCTATTATTTATTCTTAAATTTCCGCTTTAAACTTTTACTAAGTTAATTATAAGTTAATTATTAACCTTAATGAAAAGGTTATAATTATTATTTTGCTTTATAATATATAGTAATTTATACTTTTTTAATGTAAAAAATACTTTATTTTTATTTCCTTAGCTTAAAATATTATATATATTATTAGCTAAGTCAAGCGCGTTTTTATTAAATATTCTTTTTACTTATTTTAAGGTAAGATTATTAGTATACTTAAAGTATAAGATTATATCTTTTTAAAATAGCTTTATAAGGTAAAGAAGGAAGATTAATAAGGATTAAGATAAGCTTTATAGCATTTTATAAATTATATTTAGGAACTTAATAATAATATTTTTTAAGTAAATTTATACTTATTTTTTACTTAAAAAGCTATTTATTATATATAATAAGTAAAGTAATTAGCCTTAAGCCTTTATTTATTATAAAAATTATTTTTATAAAAATATATTAAAAGCCTCTTAAATATTTATTATAAGAATTAAGATAACTTTTTATATAGCTAGTGCTTATTATGTATTATATATAAAGGCTATGATTAAGTTTATAGTTAAGTACTTTAGTAAGGCGCTAGCTTATTATAAGTTAATAATTCCTTTCTTAAGGGCAGCTTATATTATTTTCTTTATTATAATTTGCTTTAGGTTTTTTTTTAAGTATAAAATAAGTATAATTAAGCGCTATAAATAATATAAGGATAGGTTAGGCTTCTTTATTTTAAGAATTATTATAACTTTTACCTTTCTTTATAATTAAGAATAATATCCTATCCTTAAATATTTATTAAAAAGGGCTTTTATATATTTTTATAAGGCAAGCTATATAGCTTTAAGGAGATGAATTATAATTTAATTAACCCTTAATAAAATACTGCTAACTTTAATTATATATGCTTTTACTTTCTTTTTAATTGCATCCCTTATGCAGTTAAGTATTAGTTTTGCCTTTTTTAGCGCTTAGCCTTTTAGCGGGTTTTTTATAAGGTTATTTTTTATAATAAAGCATTATATAATAAGCTTAGCTAACTTTAAAGCCTTGCCTTTAATTAACTTTATTATGCTATTTTTAATTTTAAACAAGGGGGACTTATATCTTAGCCTTAGTTTATATTATCTTATTATAATATATAATTTTTAATTAATATTAGCTAAGTTAATAATCTTTCATTAATATTCTTATTTTGCTATTTAAATTATATAATAAAAGTATTATTTATTATTTAAGGCTTTTTTTTATAAATTTTATTTATTTAAGTTTTAATATGCTTTTTAAGTAGCTTTATATTTTAATGTTTATTAAGGGGTTGCCTTTATTTATTTTTAATTAAGGGATTTAATAACTTAAATAACTTTTATAAAGGCTTCCTTAAACTTTTAAATTTAATTATTTATTGCTGCCTTATTTTTATTTTAAATATTCTTTAAGGATGGTAATTATATAAATATAATTATAATAAGCTTTATAAATACTTATAGCTTTATCTTTAGTATTTATATTGCATTTTACATTAATAGTTAATTGCCTTACCTTAATATTATTATAATAAAGACCTTATAATTTAATCTTATTTAAAGATTTTTTTAAACTTATGTTTTTATAAAGGGAATATTAAAAAAGATAAGGTTTAAGATATAACTTAACCTTTATATATTAATTTTTAATTATTTTATATAAGTTATTTCTAAGTTTAATAACTATTAGGCTAAAGCATTTCCCTTATTAATGCTGCTTATTTTTAATTCTTAAAGTTTATTATATATATTTATATTATTCTTTATAATGCATTTATTTAATAATATTAAGCTAATAAAATACTTTAAAACCTTATTAATCCTTAGTTATTAATAAAAGTTAAAAATAATAATATTATTTACTATAAGCTAAAGCAAGTTCCTTAAGTAAATTAAATATTACTACTTAATTTAAAATACAGCATCTTTATATATATATATTGCAACTTAAAGTTTATTTAAAATATTATATTATTTATTAATTAATATATAAAACTTAAAGGTTAGGTAATTTTAAATTTTTATTAAAAACTTAATTTATAGTTTTTAAATTAAGGCAATATTTATATATTATTTAAAATAAAGCTATAAGAAAGTAATATATATCTTTAAGGCTTATTTAATATTATTTTATATTAGCATAAGGTTTTTTAATATTAATACTTGCCTTATTGCTAAGTTATTTTATAAAAAGCCTTTATTTATATATAATATCTTTATTATAATCTTTAAATGCTTTAAACTTATTATAAATTATTTTTTATAAATTATATATTTTATTACTTATAGCTATATATTATAATTTTTACTATATTATAAGTATTTTAATATTTTCTTTATTGCTATTTAATAGTATATAGCTAAGTATTATTAAATATATACTTACTACTTTTTTTCATTCCTATTCTTATATTATAATGTTATTATTTAGCATTATAAGCATTAAATTCTATTTTAACTTTAATCTTAAGCTTTAAGGCAATATATTAATTATAATATATTACTTACTTTTAACTTTATAAATTGCTTTAAGGGCTTTTTTTATTAAGTAAATAAGGCGCCTCTTTTCTTAATAAAGAGCTGCTAAGTAGTTTTTATAATTTACTTTATATAATTTATAGCAATTAATACAATATATTAATTTATTATACTTTAATTCTTAATACTAATCCATCTTATCCCTATAATAATAATACTATATTTACTAATTACATTATTTTTTATTATAATATTCTTAGCAGCTTAAGCTATAAAGTTTAAACTTTAATTTCTTATTAATTAGCTAGAAAAACTTGTTGCATTTAAATAGCTTAAAGGCCTTAATTTTATAAAGAAAGGAAATAATTTAAAAGCCCTTACCCATAATTAAGTTTAATATATACTTAAATAACTTGCATAATACTAATTAAAGTTTAATTTATGCTTTTACCTTTTTATTAATAATTATTATTATATATATTAAGTTTCTTACTTTTTAAATTCCTTAAAAAAATTATAAAATTAATAAAATAATATAATTATATTAAGTTTTTAATAGCATTATATTTATTGCTATTGCTAATTACATAACTTCGCTTCATGCTTTTAAGAATATAAACTTATTTTAAATAGCTTTTATTATTAATTAAATAATATATTTTATCTTTATATTATTAAGGTTTGAAATATTTATTAATATAAAACCTAAGGCTTAATAAATTTAGGCTTTAAGAGCGAAAGCTTTTTACCTAAGCACTAATCTATATTTTATATTCCTATTTTATAGCAAGAAAAGGATTTAAAGATCTTTTTTAGCCCCTTAATTATTATAATTTATACTTAACTTCCCTAATTATATTAAGGCTAAGGTAGGTAAGTTAAAGATTATAAAGCTTAAGCTATTATATTAATAAGTAATTTATTATTTTAAAATATATTAAATATTATTATTAACTTTGCTTATAAGGGCTTTAATAATATTTATTTAAGAAACTTTCTTTATTAATTAAAAGGTATTAATTAAGTTTAATATAATGCATAATAATGTATATATTTAGCTATTGCTAATAATAAAAATTATAATATTTAAGTAAGTAAATATAATGTTAATTATTATTTAAATTTTAATATAATAATTTTTTTTATAAGCCTTTATAAAAAAGGTTATAAATATATTTAAATTATATCTTAAAGCTCTTAAAATCTTTTTCTTAATTATAGCTTATTAAATTATTTTATTTAATTATAAAGTAAAAGCCCTTATAATAATTTTAATAAAAATAGCAGCCTTCTTTTTAAGTTTAATTTTTAGCAAGGCCTTAATATTTAAAACCTTTATTTACTTTATATACTATAAATTATTAAGTATAACTAACTTAAGGAAATATATAAAGGCATTAGCATTTATATTTTAAGGCTATAAAGCCCTTACCGGCATTAATAATAGTTTATTTACCATTCCTAGGGAGAAGGGTAACTTAAGGTTATAGCTTTTTTAGCTAAAAGGGGGGCTATTATTAAGCAGTGTAGGGTAATTTAGGTGCGTGCACTAACAGTAGGCGCGCCAAGAAAAATTATGTCGGGAAGGATGCACTCTGAAGGGATGCAGATCGACCGGAAACAACCATGTGGCGCCGGCTCTGAAGAGGCACCTATGAGAGTTGCCAATGTGAAATCTCATATTCACCGTGGAGGCTTCAACGCACAGCAACTGAGGCGGTTTTCTGATAATCCCAAGAGTCTTCGCATTATCATAGCCATGTCTGAGCAGTCACAAAGCTAGCACGACCCAAGTCCTTCACTTGTTTTGCTAATGTGCACCGGTATTTGCCATTTGAGGTCCAGCCATTCTCCTTCACCCCTCCTACCAGTAGATGACGCGGCTCGCATTGAGTGAACCGACACCTGAACGGCGCCCAAACGACGAGGTGCGGTCCACGCCCGTCTCTGCCTCGAGATCGAAACAGCCCGTCGTCAGGCCATCCGCACAGAGCGGCAGGATCTCCCGGGTCTCCATGTTGCAGTGAGTGCCCTCCGCCAGAGACACGAAGCTAGGCCCACGGGAGGTTGGGTGCCGACAGAGCTCGTCCGCGCTGTGGGCAGGCAAGGAGCTGACTACGAGGCGGCGGTCGTTGTTGAGTCGCCGGCGGCGGGTTGACTCGTCACCGTTCGCGGCCTGGTGCTGTTTGCTGTCCGCGGTCGCGTTGATGACCGACTTGCCGCCTTCCTTGTCCCACGCGCCGAAGTAGGTGCCGCACCTTGCTACGCCACCGTCGACGGGGAGGACGGTGTTCGTGAAGCCGGTCCAGGTGATGGCTATTCCGCCGGCTTTCAGGCCCTTGGAGTGGTCTGCGTCGATCCAGGTGCACAGGGGGCTGTTGCTATTGCAGGACACATGTGGTCAGCTTAGATATCGAGAGGTGCTCCAGCGTCATAGTCTTACTTGTCCCATTGGGGTTGCTGTCGGGCATGTCAGTCAACAATGGTTCGTGAATATAATAATCGCATCGAGTTCACGCACCATAATACCGCTGTAATACCAGTCGATGCCGCATATCTTTCCCCAATCGCCGACCCAGCCCCAATGAGTGCCGTCATGGAGCGTTGCGCCAATCGCTGCGATGCAAACGGCGTCTTTGCCTGCGAAGAGCTCGACGGTGGCCGCCTGTTGAGGAAGAACCTGCCACATGGTAATGGTCTATGGTTAGAATGGTTAGAATGCTCATAACTTTTCCCAAGCGCCTAACGACAACTCATGTTCCTCGGAGGGGCCAGCTTCACATCGACATACCTCGTCCGAGCCTGACTTGAGTTTGGGAAACTGACCACCGTGGCCGATTTCGAGTCCGTAGCTGTTGAACACCTTGGAGTAGTAAATGTCACCGCCAGCGTCCGTGAGGCAGCACTCGCCGGGGTCGCCGGGGTTTGCAGTACCGTCAATGCCAACGAAGACCTTGTAGTTGGAATACATGTCCTTTTGCTCTGGGAACATGTTATCGCCAAAGGACCAGAAGCCTATGATGCCGGAGATCAGGCCGAGAACTTTGAGGAAGTCCATATTGTCTTGGTGGTTGGCTTGTAATACAGGAGCTGGCGGATGGGTCGATACTTGGAAGGAAGGTTGTCGAATGGCTCACAGAACATGCGAAATCGGAGACTTGGGCTTCTTGGCAAGTAGTGGGAATTCAGTGTGGCTCAAGGCAGTCACTCAGGCAGGTCGAGTTTGATTCGTAGTGAGCAGGGAGGACAGTTGGGCAGCAACTAGGGGCGTCACTTCAAAAGTGCAGAACCATAAACCATGTCGTTGACATCACTCTGACTCACTCATCGATTCGTGAAGGCATTCCTTTCTCTTTACCTTCTCCTTAACTGTTTGGTACTTGGCAGCCATCAATGCAAATTTGACTTGCCCTATACAACGGCCAACACTTGCCGCAGAGGTGACGCTTCTACTGGCTTTTCTTGGCCCGGCCTTCCACCAACATTTAGACACCAGTATGTTAAATTCATAGACATGAGTAATCCAGATACATATCTAAATATCCCTCATTGTCAACGGAGGGAGCATTGAGATCTGAAAACTGCGATAGCACCCCAGCGTTATCAAATGAACCGTTGCTGACGGCAAATTCTGTCTCTGCGCTCATCGCAAGATCATCCGTCCCCAACATCCCCAGAATCGCAGGAAGTGCAGTGCCTGGAGCTGTAGGCACCAGTTTTGACGACTCGTGTTCCACGTTTCCAAAGGCAAGGGTATTCATATCAAAATCACACGGCGGACAAAAGTCACCTGTGTCATTGAAGCCTGGTGCCGACGACGACAGCGTTGTTGCACTCGAGTTCACGCCATCCTTTTCTGTTCGATTGCAATCCTTGGCCTACTGGGCTGGAGTCATCCCCATTCCTTGCTTAAAGACCTCGTGAAAATACCGTGGTGAGAGCCCAACTTGCTTGGCGACATCCTTAAGCCTGCTCACACCCCGACTCTGCTGTAATATTTCGCATCCCTGTTTGACGGCCTCGCGCTGCCGATCTTGCGAGGTTGTCGTACCAGACTCCGGCTCGCATCGCTTGCATGCTCGATATCCAGATGCGACTGCTGCGTCGGGTGAATCGAAGAAGACGACGTTCGCACGGCGAGCAAGTCGTGCAGGGCAGGTGGGGCGACGGGAGATCCGGTTGGTGGTCACGGCGTAGACGAAGGACGAATGAGCAGAGGGATCGCGAACGCGTACAGCCTACCGGCGCGGGGCAAGCAGATAGTGATGGGGTACACACGGGACAGGATGTTACCCAGACATGAAACTATTGAGATTGTGTCACCACTCCACAGCCTTGATATTCTTGCCGGAGCAAAGTTTTCGTGGCCCGGTGTAGCCAGTGGCAACGATTCTGAGCTCGGGAAGTCTTCTTGTCGGTTCTTTCTGGAGGAGAGGGAGATGAATGGCCACGTGTACCGAGTCTTCATAGGATATTGCGGGGATGTGCAATATCTCGCGGGCGACCACGGGGACCGGGAACCTAGGGAGCCCAAAGCAGCCACTCGAATATTGCTCTTCATACTACCCACACTTCTCTCTCAAGGCAACGAATATCCCTCTCCTGGAATAAAGCCTTCAACAAATAGACAATGATGCCGCCTCCACCTCCGCATCATTCCGCCAGGTTGCTTGCCGCGAAAGAACAAGTATCTGCTAGTCATCCAAAGTCCGCCGTCGACACCCACTGCTGACACGACGATCGTCTCAAGCTTTGTATACAGAATTTAACCGGTCCAGAAGCCAGGATCGAGTACGGCACACACAAGTATCTACTTACGGTGGTAACGCTCCATCGGGTGACTGTCTTGTGCACAAGATGCTGGCGTCAACCTCGGTGAGCTTTGTCAGCCCAATCGCATTGGGAATCCTTGAAGAAGGCCCGGGTATCGTTAGCTCGGTCGATATGTCATACAGTGGGAGCCTAGAGCCCGATGCCACCGCACCATGGATGATATGAGCAGTAACCTGCGCATATTAAATGCTGCTCATCCTACCTGCAGTCGAGGCTCTTCTTCCTGATTCGATCAATACCTGCATCTAGCACAGCGCAGAGTAAGTGGCTGATGTTTGGGGGGTCGGACTGGGCACTTCATGGTTGATGGGGAATCGCCCAGCTTCACCGGTTAGCAGCTTGTTTCTTGGAGGGTGCCACAGGCAGGCCGTAGGGCTTTTATATTTCAGTACTTATAGAAAACTACTAATTAAGGCCTCTAAGCATTTTTACAGGGTGTGAAAGCCTACCTTTTTGTCATAAGTTAAAATTAAATTTATAAACTTTATTACACCATTAAAAACTGCTTTAAACTTTAAAAACTTTAAAAATAATGTATTTAAGCTATGATTTAAAATTATTTTTATTTTAAAGTATAATATAATAAACCAATTTTATTAAATACATACGTTAAGTATTTTTTAAACTAATTTAATTACTTAAAGTTTATCTTTATATAAATTATTTAATTTCAAAATCTATATGCTGTATAAGCTAGAGGAGATGTACTTTTGGAAGTATTTAGCTGACAGCTTAGTGATAAAGAAAGAGAAATTGATAGCTCTAGCCTGGCTCAGGAAGGATTTCTCTGTCTCTCTCTCTCTCTCTCTCTCTCTTTTTCTCTTTTTCTCTCTCATTCACTCTCACACACACACACACACACACATATACATACACATACACACACACACACACACACATATACATACACATACACACACACACACACACGCTCTGGGTCACGATTTGCTCCGCTGATCCCTGTGGCCATTCGAAAAGCATAGGGCTGGCAACAAAATATACGTGGTAATTTGGTTTATTCACCAAACCTTGCGAAGGGCCGAACATACTCAATTGACGGAGCGGCCACGTATATCTTTCATACTGCCAGGCCCACAACATCTGAATGTTTCTGACGCACTCTTGTACAACTTGAGTGTTTACCGGCCGAGATGGAGTACAGTTATACAGGCATTGAGACTGCGCGCGATTTCCGCATCCTTAGGGTTCATGGCGCCAGTGACCCCGGATCGAGTATTCGTTGCGACCTGGTTAACAGGTCCCTCGACATTCAGGAGCCTCAATACGAAGCTCTTTCTTATTGTTGGGGGGGACAAAAACCGAGTCAAACAATATTCTGCTCCGGACAGCGCCTCCAGATCACAATTAACTGCAAATCTGCGCTGAGACACTTTCGTCCAACAACGGATACCAGGACTCGGGATCTATGGATAGATGCGATCTGCATCAATCAATCAAGTGAGCAGGAAAAAACCCATCAGGTGCAAATCATGGGCGACATATACAAAGGAGCTTCTCGAGTTCTGGTTTGGCTAGAGAATGAGACTGCGTCAAGTGGAAAGCCCGAATTCCTGAGCAGCGAACTCCACGTCAAGAACTTTGCTTGGCTAGTCAGACTTGCAGAAGCCTCGGCAGACTTTCACAACAAAGAAACTCGGTTCTTGCAAGTGGCGAATGAGTTAAACGAGTCATTTGGAGTAAACAGTACAAGTCAGTGGTTCTCTTTATTGAGCTTAGCTTGCAATTACTGGCCTGATATTTCGTCTAATCATCATTAGGTTTGAACGAATTCCTGGCCTGTGTACCTTGGTTCAAGAGATTATGGATTATCCAGGAAGTCGTGCTTAGTAAAGAAGCGATTCTGGTCTACGGGGGGCGTGAAGCGTCCTTGGATGCTTTGCTCGAAGCCAGAGATATTTGCTCCCATTTGATGGGGCAGGGGAACCACAATGTTGGGGCCGCTATGTCTATTCTCTGGAATCTGTTTGCCGTTCATTTCTTAGGGAGGAAACTGTTGCATTCAGCCCGGACTGAGACCGCCTCGATCGACAAAGCACTGGGAAAGTTCATCGCGGAGGTGCGCTTTTCAAAGGCTACAGACCCAAGAGACAAGATGATTGGTTTATATGGCCTTTTCAAGGCGTCTGGTGTAATGGTACCGGAACCACATTACAACAAAACTGCGGCAACGGTCTACCGAGAAACAATGGTTGCTCTCATGGAGGCAACAGGAAGCGTGGACCTTATCAAGCAGGTGGATGGCCTAGGTTCACTGCCATATAGGTCGTCTTGGGTACCAGACTGGTCCTCAACGAAACACATCATAGGACCAGATGGCGGGGCCAGTTCTGCCGCAGGGAATTCGGAGCCTGTGTTTCGCTTTCTAGGAGGTTCCTCGATGTTGGCTCTCATGGGATTGAAACTTGACACGATAATCAGGCGCTCGTCTTTGGCTTACATGCACATCAGCGAACGGATGGGTGAGCCGGCAGATTATGTGCGTTGGACCCGAAACCCTCCAATTGTCGACCGCAATGTAGCGCAGCAGCTCGAACAGCAACCACACCACAGCACTGCGATACTTTTCATGTGGAATATTCGAGTTCTACGCGACTTTGTAACAACTACCTTGGGTAAACCCAGCTATGGCGACCAAACAGTCTGTACTCCGCCTGTTTCGCTTGTTACTCAGCCAAACGGGGGGAGCACCTGGATTCACCAGACCTCGGATTTCAGAACCCGGATGTCTGTGAGCAAAACGCCCGAGAGTTCTTTGCAATACTTCTTGGCCGATTTGACGAAGAGGAGACTCCGTTTCCGGATGAGGATTGGATTCTTGGTCAAGATTTTGCAATCAGGGCTCTTTATCAACCAGCGTTGCGTGGATTGCTGCATTCAGAAGAGTACGCCATACTGCGATGCATTTCGCGAAGCCCTGTTCGAAGAAGAATTTTTGACTGCATCAGGAGGATACGCTACATGACGGTTTTCACAACTAAGCTGGGCCGCACCGGCATCGCCCCATGGTCCATCAAAGTTGGCGACGAGCTCGCGTTGTGCTCGGGACTTGAGGTACCGCTAGTGATGCGGCCAATGGAAAGTAATTTCAGGCTTGTTTCTTGTGCATACGTTGACGGGATTATGCACGGCGAAGCTTGGGGAGCTCATTTAGTCCATGATCTTAGTGAACTTGTTTTTATTTGACATTTATATGTAGATATAGGTTAGCCAATAAATATCTTTCAACTTGGCCATCTGGGACGAGGATCTCTTATTCTCCATTCCGGAGCAAATGAAGTCGGCGGCCGCGGCCCCTATGATGTGCGCCAGGGCCGCAGTCTACTCGGCCATGTACCGCGCAGGCATCCGCTGGAGCGACCGCGTCGGGGTTTATGGCTTAGGCGGCCTCGGCCACATGGCTGTCCAGTTCGCAGCGAAGATGGGGTGCATGGTCATCGTCTACTCGCACTCAGCGACGAAAAAGTCGGAGGCGTATCGTCTTGGAGAAACGGAGTTCTACGACTTGTCAAGCGCGGCTCCGCGAGAACAGACCAGCCACCCCGAGCAATCGACTGCCTGCTCCTCACCGGCGCTCAGCAGCCGGACTGGTCGCGTATGATTCCGATCGTCAGGCGCGGCGGCACTATCAGCGCCATGACGGTCGATCCGACAGAGCTGTGCCTCCCGTATATGGATCTGGTCATGACCGCGGTCCAAATTCAAGGCAGCCTGCCAGCGACGCCCCGACTGCACCGCGAGATGCTGGGATTCGCGGCCCAGTACGGTATCGCTCCCATCATAGAGACGTTTTCGTTTGACTGGTCAACATATCCTGGGGCCCCTGTATCGATGCGTAGGTCCCAGTGTTGCACATCATCCGCATCCGCAAGAGCGCTGTGAATAACTTGGTGCAACGCACGCCCGCATGCTTGTCACTGCTGACCATGTCATCAATTTGCCTTCGAGCGTTATCGAGGACCCCATCGTAAGCCTGTCGCTCTGGAGGCGATAAGTAGAGTGAAACGACTTCCTCGCGGCTTGCCGGAAGGGAAAGGCAGGATTCGGACCGCCGTATACAGTAAGCTTCCATGTATGCCCTCAGTGGCTTTGAATTAGTGGTCGATTCTGAAAGAGGCCTCAAGACGTGTTTCTCGAAAGAGTCCTTGGAGCTCAAGGGAGGGAGCTGCAAGAACCCCGCAAGTAAGGCAAGATCTTCCATCCTGTTCTGAATCGGCGTTCCCGATACACACCATTTCCGTGCTGTCCAGAGATTCGCGGCCGCTTTCCATTGCTTCGAAGTGGAATTCCGTACGTGATGAGCTGATGGGAGGCTGAGCGAAGATTTACGAGAGGGAAGAGCCCATGAAACTCACCTTCATCAAGCACAACTCTATACCATTCCATGCGGTAAAGAAGTTTCCGATCTTCATGATCCGCAGCCAAGGTAGCATATGTTGTAATAACTATGTCTGGGGTTGCGAGAGCCTCCACAGTCTGCGGCCGGCTCGGACCATGGAATCGTATATGTCGAAGGGTATTCATCGAGAAGTGCCTGACACGGCATCAATTTCACTTTGACTCGGTTTTGATCATGTTATTGAAGTATAATCCCACTTACGTGGAGATCTCGGACTCCCAATTTTCCATCAGCTCTGAAGCTCATTGTCAGTGCTCTTTGGCCTGCCGACGCTATTCGTACTTGGAGACTGGAAACTTACGGACAGATGGCACGACCACCAAGGTCGAATTTGTGAGCAAAGCTTCAGTTTCAGATCCTCGTACTGGGCGCCCAAAGTAACTGAAGTCTCGGGCTTTGTTTGCCGAGTGCAAGATCGAAGTGAGCATTGTCAGGGTTTTTCCTACACCCATGACATCTGCGATCAGACCACCAAGCCCACAACCCATGCCATCTGCTTGCATAGGAGACTCGGCACCAGTGATCTGTGAGACATGTGCTGAGAGTTCCCTGCAGAACGACTCATCTCGCGACAATTTCTTTTCTTCTGATAGCAATTGTGATGTGCCAATGAGGTGGTTCATCGTGGTGTTCTGCCCGGGAAAGACAACCATGTCTGGATTGTGGTACTCGACACCATCATGCAAAGTTTGAGGGTGCTGGAGAAATGCATGGACCTTGGACAAGGCTCCGGACACATCTTCAGCAGCATTTCTTGGGCCGAATATGTTAATAGAAAGTTGGAAAGGTGACGAGGACTTGGCCTTTCGCTTGAGTATAGTGCGGTTCGGGACCACGGCCTCACATCTCACGCCGGAGATCTGACGCAAGACCACCAACTTAAAGGCCATTTGCACATCCAATACGGCAAGCTGCGTCTACTCAAAGAATATTGAGAATATCCCCGTGGTTTTCTCTACTATACTGAACGTTGAGAAGGAGTTTGTGGCTTCAGTTGTTGTCTGTCTCATGAGGTTTTGGTTCCCACATGGCTTGGCGAAGGCGTCGAATAACTGCGACTTTCAGTTGCCCAATACTTAGCTCGCGGATGCTAGATGATTTATTCTCACCGCTCCATAACAAATTTCAGTCTTGCATTCGTCCATCATGGTGAGCCGGCTTGTATTTTGGGGGCCTCTTCACTTTCTGCGCAATCAACCGACATGTGTTGAAAAGAGCGAGACTAGGACTTCGGAGATCATCATCTCTAGGAATGATAATGTTTGAACGTGTAATGGTCCACACTCAGACCGACAGTTGCTGTATCGCAGTCAAATAGTTCGGGTGCATGGCCTTTCGCACACTGCCTCATTCTAGTCTCGCCGTGGCTGCCGGGCTGCCCACCATGTCGTGATCGTGACGTCCATGGCCTTGACAGGAAAAGATCCGTTCCTTGAGCGCCTTTGTGTCGCGTTCTGCTGATAGGATCACGTCGAGGCGGGGTGGGGCCTGCATCGAGAGCCGCCTCGAGTTGGGCAAGACGCTTGAGGATGGCAAGGTAACAGTGGCCGGCCTGGTTTCTTGTTTGGTCGCCATCTGACGAAGACCTTCCTTGATGTGTCCCGAACTGTGGATCGAGGCTGACAAGGGTTGTCAAGGGAGACGGCCGCAATCTCGGCTGTGACTGCGTTGAGACGGGTGAGCCTGAGAAGAACCCGTCGTTGGCAAATGACGTTGCCTCTGGTCTGTCCTTGAGTATTGCGGCAGGATACGGACCCCTCAGGGAGTCATCCTCCGCTCCCAAGACCATGTCTCCGCCGTAAACCCCATCGGGGCCGGGATGACTGTTCTCTAGCCCCACGGATAGCCCAGCCCCAGACAGATCTTCTATGCCGTCCGGGGCGTAGCCTGTAGGTTTAGGCTGCATCATAGACACGGGACTCGGAGTGGTGGTGGCATGTCGTCGACGCTGGCTGTCATGTGACTGTGACTGAGACTGTGACTGTGACCGTGGAGTGGTGGCAGTGATGGGCGACGACGAGGACGAACCCGATGTGCAGCAGATGGTGCAACAGATGGCTTCCTTGGCCTCACCATCCGCCGAAGTGGAGAATACACACAGTCGAGCCTGTTCTTGGAGCACCGGCGACATGACGGCTTGTCCTGACTGCACTTGACCTTGAGGTTCTGGCAGGCGTCACAAGACGTCCGAAGTCTCGTCCCATTTGTCTTCCGTGCTGAGAAAGCTGAGCCTGGGACAACATTCGCACCCGCCTGGATGTTCTGCATGACTGTGACCGGTCCTGTGTCCATGTCCACGTCCGAATTCATGCCCATGCTAGAGCTGAGTGGTGATAACATCGCCTCTGGCTCCTGCCTGAGCCTTAAACACCATCAATCACCAATGCGCGGAGAAATATGCACCAAACAGGTGCGATCAGAAGCATAAGTCCCAAAATGGCCTCCTTACTGGGGATCTCGTAAGCTTTCGGGGGGATGATAAACGCATGGATGCGCTTGTCGCATCCTTCCGAGAAGACGAAGATGGACCGGGGATCGGCCCACACCACCTTCCACCCTCCTCTTAGACCCAAACGATTACATCCCCTCCACCTTTCAGGCTTATTTAGTCAGTTGCGCCCGCTACACTGAGCACATCGTAAATTCTCATATTACATGTGATCGTAATACTCACTGTCTTGGTCCGAATACTGGAGTTGCTGGCTGACCCTCGCGTTCAATGTCGCTGGTGGTCCGGTGGATTAAGCCAGCCCCCCCCCCTGTCTAAACGACCATAAGATTGAAACAGTCACGGATAACCGCTATCAGACTTCGAAGCATAGAGGAACATGCCTGTGAGAAATGAGGAAGCACATGGCGGGATTTTGGGGACCGAAGACTTGAGCCGCGTGAGGCTAGGCAGCCGATTTGGGCTCGAATCACAGGACAGTTGATCCAACGCCCACAATGGTCGTGTCTGGGGGAATACACACAAGTATCACCAAGCTTGTCATCTCGAGTGTCAGGATGAACTCAGGAAGGCGGCGCTGAGAGATGTATCACAGACGGCAACAGTCGAGCCCTCAGCTGTATTGCATTTTCTCTCCTAATCTCTTCATGCAAGTTCCGCCTCAATAAGACCCTCCTCCTGAGGGCTGACGCGATGGATCTTGACGATCTTCAACCCCGCAGCATGTAGCAGCGCTGCCCAGTCCTCCTCGGTCCTCTCGCGCCCGTTCAAGATAGACATCATGTTGATATCAAGCAAAGCCGGGTAGAGCGGGACGCCCCTGGCCGGCAGGATCCACTCGAAGATGAGCAGCTTCGAGTAGCCCCTGGCCATGGCCTCGGCGATGCGCCTCATGATCTGGACGCACTGGTGGTCGGGCCAGTCGTGGTAGATCTGGCGCATGTAGTAAGCGCGCGCGCCCCGTACCGGCTGTTCCGAAAACATGTCGTGCGCCTGGCGGATTACCCTGTCATCGAGCTGCTTGATGTTCGCGATCACGGGCGGCAGGTCCTGCAGCACGAGCTTCCCCGGCGCGTCGGGGAACGCATTGGAGAATGCCTCGACGTCGTGGCCCTCGCCCCCGGCCACGTCGACTAGCAGCGTGGCTTCGGGGTTGTTCCTCTCGGCGCCGGCTAGGATGATGCTCTCCGCATCGAACTTCCGGAACCAGTCGGCACGCATGGCCAGGGAGCCCGACATGAAGTGGTTGAAGTGCGTCATCATGTCTGAGTTCTTTATTAGATGCGGGAACATCAGATCATCGGTGTTGTTGCAGTCCTGGAAAGGGCCCGGCGCCCCGTCGACGTCCTTGAAACCTGTCTTCTCGAGGTATCGTGGCATGTTGGCCAGCGAGCGGGTGGCATAGTCAAACATGAACTGGTAGCCTCCGATGAGGGCCGGCGTGACGAGGGCCTGGGAGATCGGCGTGGCGGCGTAGGTGTACTCGGCTGCCTCGTGGAAGACGCCCATGGATGTCAGCGGTCGCATCATACGCACGATGAGCTTTTCCGACGCGCCGGTGCTCTCGGCAAGTTCCTTGCTCGTCTTGGGCTTGCCGCTTGCGACCAGGTCCGTCACCACACCGCAGCGGATCAGGACCATGAGAGCGGCTGGGCCATGGGGCTGGCGAAGGATTAATATGCAGGCCTCTTCCTGGACGTGGTGGCCAGAGAGTTGCTTACAGACATGATCATCCTCCAAATCGTTTCAACAGGCGCCTCGACCTTGGCCGTCGCACATTGGAGAACATCAAGGAGCTGCTTTCGAGAGGCATCATGCTGAGCGACATCTTTATTGATCGTGTCAATATCTTGCGCCAAGGTGGCGATTCGTGCTTTGATACTCATTTTGGAAAGTGAAGATGAAGAAGAATTAGTTGTGTTCTTTATGCTTTTTTCTCGATCCTGGAAAATTCTTTCTGAGCACTCCGAGATGATCGATGGGTCTTATAATGAGAAAATTCCCTTCTGGTGGGTGACAGCGTTGCCGCGCGGCCCACGAAAAAGATAAGGACATGCATTTTGGAAGGTGCAAGATGAGGCTCTGCCTGATTGTTGATAACGTACGGCCAGTGGACGCTCACTTACCCCCCTTCATTCTCTCACCGGTCGTTGATTACTCCTGTTCTGTCCCATACTGTGTGTGTGCATGAACTGCAAGCCACATATGACGAGTCGGCATCCACCATGATCTATGGAGAACTGGAGTATCACATTCTCACTGCGGTAAGCCGTGAGGCGGCCAATCCTCGAACCGGAGTTCACGCGCAACCTAGATGGAGTTTGAAGTGGTCAGATTGCTGCAAGATCAATACATTTTGTCCCACGGCACTGATACCTCGTGCAACGGATCGAAATCCTTCCTTCGCGCCACTCATTGCCCAGAGCCTTGTTGAAGACGGCGTGACCACCATCTGACGCGCTAAACTTCCTCGTGTTCCCATGACTTTAGTAGGCGGACTGTTGGAAACAGCCGAATGGCCCCCAAATAGAACATGCGAGTTTATCTTTGGGCTGGCTTCGAATTATATATAGACGCTGCCTTGTCATACAGGCGTAGCTATTGAGTCCGTTCTTTCCAAAGGGTGCGCTTCACGTAGCACATCTTATTAAGTCCTGGGGAGACAAGTGGTGAAGACGAAGGAATAGATGATGTTCCTATCTCTGTAAGCAATGGCGGTGTGGAAATGGAGTGAAGACGTTCTGTAATCCTCGGGTTACTCCATCTCCTCATTACCAATTTTGCTCCAATTTTAAAACGATTCTCCTATTGGCAGGAATATTCACATTCAAGGTCCGTCGTATCAGACAATCAGGATCGCCATGCGTGCTGCTTGCAGTAGAACACATACATCACTATCGGAAACGCGGTACCGAGTAAAGTACCGAAAATCTCCCACTATTGGGGCCTGCTGGAGCGTATTGTACCATTCCTACTATATTGCAACACAGGATATCGGATTTTCGCAGCCTATCTCGCCCCCCCCCCCCTCCCCGACCCTCCCCCAGACGTCAACCATGGCGCCGGCCTTGTTGCCGTCGCCTGGGTAGAAGCTAGCCTGGATCTCGTTGTATTATTGGCCCGCATACACACGAGGGTTAGGATTGTCAAGAAAATGGGATCGGGCGACTGGACTCAGGAGAAAGATGCAACCAATGATAACAACACCACTTCGACCGTTCAGGAGGCCGAGATCCATTTTCCTTCAGGCATCATCCTGGTCCTCATCGTCAGTGGCCTATTGCCGAGTATGTTCCTCGTCGCTTTGGATATGGTAAATTCGAACATTCTATACTTGAAAAAGAGCTGGCTGGGCGGTGACTGAATTAACAATTCACGACAGAGCATTATTGCTACGGCTATTCCAAGCATCACGTCCCAGTTCAGCAGGATGGAAGACATTGGCTGGTACGGCAGTGCGCTCTTCTTGACGCTGGCGTCGTTCCAGTCCATGTGGGGCAAGGCATACAAGTACTACTCCTTACGCCTTGTCTTCACAGCCTCCATTGCCTTTTTTCGAATTTGGAAGCCTCGTATGTGCGCTGGCACCCAGCAGCATGGCCCTGGTCATCGATCGTGCCATACAGGGTGCGGGCGGTGCAGGCTTGACAGGTGGTTGTTACACCATCGCCGCTTTTGTTGCGCGCCCGGCCAAGGTGCCCATAATCATCGGTCTGCTCGGGTCAACGTTCAGTCTTGCCAGCGTGGTGGGACCTCTTCTTGGAGGCGTCTTCTCCGAGTGTGTCACATGGCGTTATTGTTTCTACATCAACCTCCCCATTGGCGGCGTTGCTGTGCTCACCATGCTCCTTTTCCGAACCCCGGAACGCGCCAAAAACCATTACAAGATGGGCTTCAAAGAGACTATAATCAACTCTGACCTGCCTGGTCTCGTGCTTCTGCTCTGCAGTCTCATATGCTTCTTCTTGGCGCTGCAATGGGGCGGCGTCTCCAGGGAGTGGAGCTCTGGCACCATTATTGCCCTATTGGTCCTCTGGATTCTTTTAACTGTTGCCTGGCTTTGTGTTGAGTTGTTCCAGGGCGAGAAATCTTTGGTTGCTCCACGAATACTACGCAGGCGGGCTATTGCTTCTTGCTGTGCCTTCATTTTCTTGTGAGTGACCCATATCATCCCTCGCTAGACATTTATGAAGACCAGTTTACTAAAACAAATCGGCAGTCTCAACGCCGCCAATTTCTCTCTGATTTATAATCTCCCCATCTACTTTCAGTCTATCGCTGGGGACAGCCCACTCATTAGCGATGTCAAGGTCATACCGACCATTTTATCCACTTCACTTAGTACTGTGGTTTCCTCTTCCTTGGTAGGAAGGGTCAACCACTACCAAGCATTTCTTTTGATCGGTGCGGTGTTTGTTACGATAGGAAGTGGCTTGATCTACACGTTCGGCTTCGATACAGCCTCGGGTCCAGTCATCGGCTACCAGGTCCTGTATGGTGTTGGCACAGGTCTCTCAGTGCAGATCCCCGTCATCGTCGCAGGGGCCACGAGTACCGCATCAGACTCGGCCGTTACTTTGTCCACAGTGCTCTGTAAACAATATCAATCCCATCGTGGCCTGTTTCATACATATTAGAGTCACTAACATGCTGCCTCAGTCTTTCGGTTCGTCTCTGCCGCCTACGGAGTCGGTGCAACGGATGCCATTTTGAACAACGTCATCCTCATCAACGCTCCCGGAAATATAGGAGGAGCTGATAGGCACGACGTGCTTAGCGTCGGCGCTGGCGGTCTCGAAGGAGCGTTTCAGGGCGACCTGCTCCGTGGAGCGCGCAGTGCGCACCTTGATGGCCTGCACGCAAGCTGGGCTTTGGCCATTGCGTTGTTTGGTGTCACGTTCCTTTGTGTGCTCGCCCCGACTGGTGTCGGCAGGCTATCTCCCATGAAAGTTCCAGATGAGAAGAGCAGTCAGGAAGAAGCCGTCGTTGTGCAAGGTTGATTGAGATTATTTACTAGCAAGATCTATCGAGGCCTTTAAAGGGCCAGATATGATACATCACACTATTTTAATTGTCATTCACGAGTGTGTGCACAGAACCAACGTGCTTTTGTGTTACTACCAGTAACTTACGACTCTACACTTTTGGGAATATAACCATTGAGACTTTGTGGTGACCAGGGGCACTTGTCATTGCTGCAATGATGAACTTTTTGTCTATCTAGTTTGTTGCCGATCTGAGTCCAATATTGTCAGATGCGATAGTCTATCACGGAGACAAGACGCATCTCAGTTTCCACTACAAAGCCTTTGTCATGCAGCTGACGTCGGGTGAGTGAGGTACTAGACTAGTATGATATTGGAATAGACTAGCCTTGCAGTAGAATAAAGCGCGGCAATTTTAAGGTTGAGATTAAGGATCGGATGCGCCGGGCTTGGCCCCATTGAACTTCAGCCCCTGACACGTGGTAGCCTTACTCAGTTGGTGCTGGCAGGTTTCCCTACTTGAAACACGCTCCATTCTAGCAAAGGTTAATTGGTGCCTACGTAGGCTATCAATAGATTGATACTCAATTTCGGGAGTAAAACGTAAAGTCTACCATGACAGAGTTCGTCTATAAACGGCATAGACAGCAGATCCCGCTGGCATTAAGCGCTGCAAGCCTCTTGGCTGCGCCCCTGAAAGCAGCCGCAGGCGAGATCTATAAGATGTCGACACACTGCACAAATGGTGTGGATGTTCTGAACCTGAAAGAGTATCTTTCATGTTCGCATGTATGACCGTACGTCGTTGCATATACTAGAAAGGTGTCATTCTCTTCCATCCACAGTCTTTACAGATGGCGTTCCGGAAATTCGCACTTGGTGCGCTCGTCGCGCACGCGGCACAGGCGGCCCTACGGTACAAAGGAGCTGATTGGTCATCCGTTGCCGTTCTGGAGCGTGGTGGCACCGAGTATAAGGACCTTCAGGGCACTGTCAAACCACTCGAGACCATCTTGTCTGAAAACGGTGTCAACATAGTCAGACAGAGAGTAGTGCGTATTCCCTGGCGGGTGCCCGGGCCCAGAAGATTACTAACTAACACGGTGCTCTTGTGTAGTGGGTGGCCAAGGGCGATTATGACCTGGACTACAACGTCGCTCTTGCGAGGCGCGCGAAGGCTGCAGGCATTGATGTACACATCAACCTTCACTTTTCCGATTCCTGGGCCGACCCGGGCCAACAGAAGATCCCAGCAGGTTGGCCCACGGATCTCGCGGGTTTGACAACTCAGATATACGAGTACACGCTCAACGTGAGCAACACCCTCCAGGCCGCAGGCATCCAGCCTGCCATCATCGACATAGGCAACGAGATTGCCGACGGAATCCTCTGGCCGGTTGGTAAAGGAAGCGAGAATTGGACCAACACGGCGCAGCTTCTTTCGTCTGCCTCCAAGGGCATAAGAGACAGCGATCTCAGCCCGCAGCCAAAGATCAACGTGCATCTCAACGCCGCGGCCGACGCTGGAGTTCAGGACTTCTTCTGGGAAAATGTCTTGAAGGCAGACCCCAACTTTCCGACGCAGATCGACATGTTCAGCGCGTCTTTCTACCCATTCTAGTTCGTGCTGCCGCCTCTTGAACCCCGAACTATGCGAAGCAACTTGTAACTAACCTTGGTCCTTCACAGTGGGCCTGAGTGGAACTTCACCAGGCTATCAGACACGCTCACGCACATGACGACGCTGCTCCCCGGCAAGGACTTCATGGTCTCCGAGGTGGCATGGCCGTTTACCTGCGAGCAGGGCGGTAACTTCGCCTTTCCCCCCGACATGAGACCTGGCATTCCCTTCGGCGCCGATGGCCAGAAGACATGGGTCGCCGAGGTGGCGAAGAGAGTCGAGGCCATCACTGGCGGCGCCGGGGTTGAGTACTGGGAGATAGGGTGGGTGAACAATGCCGGTCTTGGGCAGACGGGTTGCGAGGACAACATCATGTTTGAATTTGCTGGCAACGCGAGGTCGTCGCTCTCGGTCTTTTCTGAGATTTAGCGAATTCCGAACAGCGAAATTGGTGCTCACCTGCTAAAGCCCAGGCAAGCCTAGCAAGATGCTGGATGAAGTACTGACCGCGCTGGGAAAATAAATAAGACGACCGAGAATGAAATAAATTAAAACCCAAGAGAGGATTGGCAGTGTCACACAGCATGCGGTTCCACAGACGCCACTCGCGTGCCAGTGCATTCTTCCGGGCCTCCAAGTTGCCTCGGCCTCGTACGAGATCCACGATGGAGCGACCCGGAGCTTGTGCCGACTTCCTCGGACCATTGTGAATTACACGCTTCGGAAGCGTCCGAGGCCTCGTTTGCACCAAAATACCTGCATTGTGTTTGAATTGATTCCTGCAGAGGTGTCGGCCACATGGGGCAAATGGCTTGGAGCGTAAGCATAAGCAGCACATAAGGGGTCGAAGGACTAGACGAGCATAAGCTTGGCCCGGGCCAGGGGCCAAGATCAGCTTGTCCAATCCCCCGTCCGGGCTCACCAGGCCCGGCCCGGCCGTGTTCGTCCCAACATGAGATCCTTGGCGCTTATGATCTTGCCCTGCCATGAAGCCATTTTCAACGGAGATTATGTCCTAGTGGCGGCCATGTCGATTCGAGGGCTGGCCAGGCCCCTCACGATGGATTGTCCTAAGGAAGGCCCCGGAGCCCAAACGCTGTCGAAGACAGACTTGAGACCTGCGATGAGAGCCCGCCATGACCTTCTTCGAGTCTCGGAAATCAGTTGAGGGTTTATTCAAAGCAAAAGAATGTGTTTCCCCGGCAGATGGCAGTCATACGCTCAAGTATAAATGATGCGGGTTCCTCTCCTCGAAAGACACAACTGAAGACATCATCAACAATAACAACAACAGCAAAAGCATCCAAACAAAACAACTAGAACCACACCCACCTCTCATCTATTCGCCCAAAAACCAACAATTCTTCCCAACATTCAAAATGCGTGCCACTACCACCATCCTCTTCATCGCCGGCCTCGTCAGCACCGCCTTCGCCGCTGACACCATTTACTTCTCGGACGAGACCTGGTGCGTAGCATGACTGCCCCCAACTACCCTCGCCGCCCACCACCACACTGGAAGCTAACCAACACCCCCCCAGCGATACCGAGATCGGCAGCGAGGGCTTCAGCCTCCTCGCCACCGGCGACAAGCCGCTCAAGGAAGGGGCCAAGGCGGTCAAGGTCACCAGCCTCACTGACACCTGGTTCGCCTACCAGGGCAACGAGGGCGGCAAGTGCAAGGGCGACCTCATCATCCGGCTGGACGAGGGGGACGAGCCGGAAAACTGCTACAAGGTGGCCGAGCTCGGCATCGGTTGCACACGGCTGTGCGCAAACGCCCTTGGCGGCGGCGAGTGCGCCTCCAAGACTGCCTGAGCGTAAAACAGTGCTGGTCTTGGAGGGCGGCAGGATACGCTCTCTCCGGCACGAGGGATGGCGGTTCAGTATAGTTATGTTGGCTAGAGTTTGATTTCATATAGACTATAACACTTTTGATTCATAAAATTGCTTTCGCTTGTTGCGTGAATGAACTGGTATGAATTTCAGCTCCTTATGTTATATGGTTCATCCCTCCACGGGCTATCACTATTTGGAGTTTGTTTGAGATGTACATACTGTCATATGACAGTGCCATGTTGTAGCAATTTCATACTTCTATACCTGTTCTCTCCTTTTTGTTTTCAAATCACACTCTAGGAAATTAATTTTTGCTATTAAGGCCCCCCCCCCCCCCGCCTTGGTCCGGGTACCACAGCAGAACTATCACACATATGAGAGCACGCTGCTCTTATTTCCAGATCCAAGTCGGTAAACATCTTCCCCACCTGTGGCGCAGTATCAGAGTGCGTATATATTCAAGTGCTGGGCTCTGTACCGGCATTGAGTGAGTTAGGACGCAGTCCTCATAGTGGCCACGCGTAGCGATGACCCATCCGGCCACACGGGAACTTTGCAATCTCAGTTCAGACCGATCACGCTGACCTCTCAGATCTGCCAATGAAGAATGAAAATATCACGAGCCACCCTCCCTCTTCAGGAACTCATCGATAGCCGCCTCCCAGTCCCCGAGGATGCTCTTCTCCACCGGCTTCCACCCAAGCGCCGCCAGCCTCTCCGACCGCACCCGCATGTTGATCCCGAACCAGGTGGCGAGGTGGATGACCCACGAGTCGGGAGGCGGCAGCGGCGCGTCCGGGTCGAACTCGCTGCTCCCGGCGAGGCACGTCCGCGCCGCCTGCGTGTGCGTCACGCTCCTGATCTCGTCCGACCCCACGACGCCGTGCCGCCGCAGCGCGGGGACCATCGCAGACTGGAGGTCGTGGAAGGATACGTCCTCGGCGCGCACGAAGTAGTACGCCCGGTCCCCCCAGAGGGGGAACCCCGCCGGCTCGGCGGGCTGCCCATCCCCCGCGAGGGCGGCGAGGGCGTTGTCGACGAGGAGGAGCATCGCGCGCGCGAGGTCGAGGACGTGCACCCAGCCGCTCTCGTTCTCCCCCCGGGCGATCTCGAAGCCGGACCCGAAGGCGCGCGCGGTGTTCAAGAGGGGCCCCGTCGTCAGCGGCACCGGGTGCTCGAGGGAGGGGCTGATGCCGCCGATGCCGACGGGCGAGACGACGGCGACGTGGGCGTCCGCGCTGGCGGAGCGCACGAGGTTGTCGGTGGGGACGTGCGTGTACGACTGGTCCGTCGCCAGGATCTCGTCCATGTCTGTCACGTCGTCCCAGACCCGGCCCTCCTTGCGGCCGTTGGGGTCCTTGGTGTAGAAGGTCGCCGCGCCGGAGAGGTGGATGTAGAACCCCTTGCGCGCCCGGCTGCCGTCCTTGAGGCCTGCCAGGATGGCCGAGACGCCCTCTTGGTGCGTGATGTCCGGGGCCGCGTTGATGACGATGTCTGCGTTGCGCGCCTCGTCTTGCAGGGTCTGGTGGCTGGACAGGTCGCCGAGGGTGGTCTGGACGGATGGGTATTTGCCCTTCAGCCTCGCTGCTTTGTTCTCATCGCGAACCAGGACCTTGAAATCGAGCTGCGGATGCTTTTGCAGCGCAAGGTCGAGTAGAGCACCGCCGGCATGGCCGGTTCCACCAACACTGATGCCATTGTGTTAGACATTTTCCCCCTGCGACTTCAACGAGGGTAGACGAGGCGGTTGCTTACATGAATACTTTCGTCATCGTGGTTAGTGACTTCGCTCACGCAGCCGGGGCGCATGTATGTATGAAGAGAGGAGATGAGTGAGACCAAGGAACAGCCTGCGGTCTTTTGCATTGAAAAGTCGCCGTGCTCTGTGGTTCTAGAACTGTTCCGCGCATAACGACGGAGTCTTCGTGCGCTTTTAGGCCCCCGTTGGCGCGGTGCCGAGTGCCTGCGGAGACGATGCGACCCACCCCCGTGACGACGTTGCATGGGGCAATTATGTCCTGTCATATTCTGCTCTGCTTCAGCAAGCGGTGCTTCTGTGTTGTGCGCATTGCATTCGTCGGTTGCCGATCCACACGTGTTGCCACTTTGACGTAGACCTGGAGGCTTCTATCAAACTCGGGTGAAAGTCGGCACGCACAATAATCTCGTGGAGAGATACCCGGCCGTAGAAGAATTAGCCAGAAGGTTGCCGTCGACAACTGGCGACACTGAATTGGTCGTCATCAGCGGGGAGCACACAACAGCCCTTGTGAGGACTTCGGTTACTCACTTGCTGGCAAAGACTTGTCCTGGATTGGAAGTAGAGACGTAGAAAGCGGCCAGAACACTTGCAGAGCCACCATAACTTCAGTAGCCTGAACTGCAATTAATTTCCAAACTACCAGATACCAGATCCATGCTGTCCCTCTTTCCGAACGCCTTACGCTTTTCATGCTTGTGCCAAGTTTACTCAATCAAGAAGGCTTCCGATAAAACCATCTCTCCACGGGTCAACAATGAAGACCCTGACTCGAGGAGAGTGCAAATAAGATAGTCGATGACCATGTTCAACCTCAGTGTACTCAATCATCCAAACTCGTTGTCACTTCCACTGCTCCGTGTTTGGATTCGGGGAGGAGTAGCCCAAGTGATGCCACGCCAAACGTATACCCGAGGGCTGAGAGCGGAAGGATGGCCACCAGGCCGAATGTCCTGCTTTAGAACTGACCTTTTTGGTTCTTACGACTCCTCGGATGGTATAGACGTGAGCTCAGAGATGTCAGAAAGATCCGCTTGCTGAGGTGACGACGGTGTTGCCGGCGCAAGTGGACTTAGCGCCGGTTGCTTGTTCCATTCAGGGTGAGGTACGGGTTGCGATAATGGGGAGGTAGGAGCGGGAGCCTCTCCAAGGGCCCCCGAGCCATAGAGGGATGGGTCAATAGGCACAGCGGAATCGAGAGGTACCGCGGGCTCTGCTCCCGGTGTGGAGAACCGGTGGCTGTTAGTCTTTTGTGTCGAAGAACTCGCCTTTGCAGCCAACTTGCCAACGGTCTTGAGCTAGAATTCCATGGGAGGGTGGTTGTGGGGCGGGCTTCCATTGGGGTGGTAGCGGACCTCGAACACGTTGGTTCCCTGGCCCGTCTCTCCGAGGATGAAGCCGAATTGGCAGCCGGTCTTCTTGCTCGTCCTCTTGCGGTAGGGCTTGCGCAGCTGGCCGCTCTTTGTACGGATCAGTGTCTCCCCATTCTCGTCGGTCATCTTGTATCTGGCCTCGCCGCCCAGGGCACATCGGATGGCAACACGAACACGCTCGCCCGGCTTCTGGGTACTGCGCAGGGTAGCACACTTGTAACCGTGCTCCTTAGCCCACAGGTTGATGTTGTCAAGCAGGCCTTCCAGAGCCTTCTTGGCGCCAAAGTTTGGACGGAACTGCATGCCGAGAGGAGGGTAGGCCATGTCGGGCGGGTCTCGCTCGTCGTCGTCGTCATCCTCCTCCTCCTCCTCCTCGCCCTCGCCGTCCGGGTTGCCGCCGTTGTCCATGGCAAGCTGAAGACGCTCCTCGGTGAAAGAGACCTGGTTCTGGAGGGTCTGTTGACGCTGGACCATGATGTCGTTGAGCTCCTCCTGGCGGTTCATCATGAGCTGGGTCAGCTCGAGCAGCTTGTTGACGGTCTCCTCGAGACGCTGGAAGCGGCGGCCATCGATGACAAGCTGCCTCTCGGAGTTGGGAGGGCGCCCGGGGCCGTGGTGGGTTGGGGCAGGAGCCGGGTGCGGGAGGATGCTGGGGTGGGCTGCACCCTGCTGCAGGTTGTTGGCGGCAACGGCGACTTGCTGCGGGTGCATGGCGGCGGAGAGGTTGGGGTCCATGTTTAATGATGACATGGCAGATTTGCCAGTTGGGCAGATGCCAACGATGCAGGGTTGGCGTGGCGTCTCTGTGTGTGAAAGGGACCTGAACTCGGCGACGGGGATCAAGTATTGATGATGGCCCTGATGGTGACGCGTGAAGGTCTGGCGGCAGCGCGCCTTGTTTTCACTGAGGGCAGCTGGGCTGCGGGAGCCTCAACCCCGGTGAATTGAGTCTGGCATTGCATGTTAGCCCTTGTTTTGAGGGACAGACACGTCTCTCGTCTTGGCTTGGTGGAACGCAGAGTGCGGTGAGGGGAAGTGCGGTGTGGTGAGGTGATGTGAGGTGAGGTGGGTTGAGGGCGATGATGAGGTTGATGTTGACACTGAATGTTGACGTCGACGTTGAATCATGGTGTTTCTTACAAGGGGATTGTTTGTGCCGTCGATTAGACCACAATGCAGGGCCGTGGGAGGGCGTGCAGAGGGCGCGGGTTCCTATTCCAGGGATGATCGCCACAAGCGCGAGACGGCAATCCCAGTGCGCGTAGCAATGTGTGAGGCGGTGGTTTTGAAGGAAATGATAGAATTCGGCGCACCGGGAGGGCGAGTGGAAAGAGACGAGGGGAGCAGGCAAGGGCGGGTGGGAACAGGCGGGAGCAGCAGGCCAGCGTTGCAAAATTCGCGGGGTGGTGGAGTTTGTCCTCATGGGCAAGTGCACGAATTTGGGGCCCACCTTTTCTCGGTGGTCAGGGTTAGGAATAAGCCAGCCTTGGACAGGACGTACCCAAGTCCCAGCGAATATAGGCGACATGTAGAGAGTGCTCCAGTTCTCAGTGGTGAGTGTACCTTGCCAGTCCTGAATTTGGACCACCCTCTAATATACCTACTGTATGCTTCATTACCGTCATGAGAACCACTTGTGCAAGAGACACACCGCCCCTTAAATCTCGAATATCTCCCCCAGCCCCTCGCCGCCGCCTCTCCTGCCCTCCACAAGGTCCAGCCTCCAACCCTCCCAGTTCTTCAAGCCTCTCTTGATCTCCTTGATCCTCTCGATCCTGGCCTTGGCAGTCTCCTCCTGTGCCTTGCGGAACGCGTCCTCGTCGAAATCCTCGTCGTCGTCCAGGAACCCATCCTCATCCTGGTGCTCGTGGCCCCCGCCGCCGGTGAGCGCGTTGAGCCCGGTGGCAAAGAAGTCCCCGAACCCGCCCTGCTTGCGCGCGGTGGACGGCGACAGCGGAACGTTGGTGAACTGGCCCGTGCCGTCGTCCATGGGTGGCTGCATCTCGCGCCGCCTCTCCTGCCAGATGCCCCTCTGGAGGTCCGTGTTCTCCGCCTCCAGCTGCCGTATCCGCGCCTCGAGCTTCTTGCGCTCCTCGTCCTCCAGCTCGTCCAGGTTGTCGTTGTCGGTGCCGCCCCTGTCCTGGTTCTCCTGCTTGCTCAGCCGTAGGGCCTCGGCCTCGGACTTCTGTAGCTTGTTCTTGAGGTCGACGGCCTCGTTCTTGGCCTCGGCCAGGTCTTTTTGTAGGCGGTTGATCTGTGACTCGTCCTCCTTGTGCAGCAGCTCGAGAGAGACGACCTTCTTCTCCAGCGCATCTGCCGTCAGCTGGGCCTCATCCCTTGCCCCCTTGACAGCGTCCAGCTCCTTCTCCAGCTCCAGGAGTTTGGCCTCGAGCTCTGCTGTGGACTCAGACGTCGCGCCACCTGGTCGCGTGGGAGATTCGGTATCGGTCGGCGCGAAGGGGCTGGCAGTTGTGGTGGGCTCTGCTTCTGCTGGGGTGGACGGTTCGGCGGCCGCGTCGTCCTCTTGCGCCTCCTCCTTGGGTTTCTCTTCTGCCGCCTCGGCTGCGGCTGTGGGCTCGTCTTCCTTCTTATCTGCAGGGGCCTTGTCTTTCTTGGCCTTTGCGCCGGCGGCCTTCTTCTTCTTGAGCTCCTCGGCCTTCTTGCGCGCCGCCGCGAGCTTCTCTGCTTTGCTCTGCGCGTCGGCCATGACTGTTCCTCTTGTGTTTTGGTCGACGGTGGTGCTTCAGAGTTCGACAATGACTTCAATGCAGTGGCACGTTGGATTTGAGGGGTGGTAGATGGAGAGTGCTTGGATAATGGATCGAAAAGGTGACGATGCTGCAATGCTTGGGTCGTGGGGTGAATCGAGCTCCAGCAGCCCGTCAGAGCTCCAAGCCCGGCCAGGCTACTGTAAGGTGTTCGTTCCAGTGTTCAAGGGTACGGGGTGGCAGGGGCCCCTGCAACATCCCTAGCCGCCCCTGCGTCATTGGATGTTCTACGGCTAGGTACACGGGTACATTAAGATGGACCACCACATCACAACAGGCGCCCATAAGACAGCAAAGATCAAGCACTCGTCAATCCACCTCCATTCAGACTCGGTATCTACTTCGTTTGTACTCCTGTGATGATCACATATAAGATGTCTTAGCTTTCTGCTAATTGCAACCTATATACTAGTATCGTCCTGCCTCGTGTCCATGATGGATGTTTCGCTACTCCTGTCAGGATTGCCTCACCTTGCAGGCAGCTGAGGGCGGCTGAATTATATAAGCATAAGCAGGCCCATTTCGGGCGGGTCCCAAGGCCAGGCAAGGCCCCGCTCGACTGTCAGCTTCCTCTTGTCTTGGAGATATGGCGCTGACATCTCGCGGCTCCGATGTCCTCCGATTACATTCACGGGGCAGTGAGCAAACCACGGCCTCTGTCGGAAGCCAGCCACGATGATGAGACAATTATTGTCGAACTACCTGATGACTGGTGGGCAGATTCCCCTCAAGACCAGCAGGATTGGTGTCCAACGTGTTTGTGGGATGGCTCATGGGACAGCCTTCTCCTCAGGTCTGAACGGCGGGGGCCAGCCTTAGACAGACTCAGCCGAGACAGCCTTCGCGCCTCGGCGTCAGCCAACAACCTATGTTGCGCTGTTCTGCTTGGTATTCTGTGCCATACCGAAGGCGGTGGTCATGAGCGCATCGAGCTCACTGATGACGCCGACTCGTGGGTCCGTCTCGACGACTGCGAGGGCTGGGGGGCGCAGACAGACATGGGTCATCTCTTCAAGGTGTTTGCTAGCACGTCAGAGAGACCTCCCCCAGGAGTGCCAAGCTATCCCCCGGATGACCCACCGCCCCTTCACACTGGATCGGAGAGAAGCTTGGCTTGGGCGAGGGACCAGATCGAGCAGTGTTCCAAGCACCATCTCGAGTGCCAGAGGGTGAGCCCTCTTCCTTTGTCCCCTCTAGACTCATTCAGATCCCCTCCGACCCTCGATACGGGGTATTCTTACGACCCCGGGCTGACGTACCAGACGATACAAAATATGCGGCTTTAAGTTACTGCTGGGGCAAGCGTCAGGCCTGGCCGGCCTGTCGAACCACACGCTGGAACCTTGCCAGCCAACTGCATCGCATATCTTGGGCCACGCTTCCCGCGACCGTCGAGGATGCGGTCAAGGCCACGCAGAAGCTGGGTCTCGAGTATATATGGATCGACTCCATGTGCATAATCCAGGATGATGAGGCGGACTGGCAGGTTGAGTCGATGCAGATGGCCACAGTATACACACACGCCCATGTCACACTCTGTGCAGCCCTTTCATTGGATACCCATACCGGAGTCTTCAGCAGTCGTGATGCAGAGAACCTGAGCCACATCCTCACTATCAGGTTCCGCGGCGAGAAATATCCTTTACACGCCTTCCATGTCCCTCAGGAGAGCGGAAGGATCGAGCCGAGGTTGTTGGCAGATATCTGGCGAGGGTCCTTGGAACGGAGCCTGGAGTACCCGACGTTCAACCGTGCTTGGACATTTCAGGAGAGGCTGGCCTCGCGACGCGTGCTCCTCTTTGGGAAGGAAGAACTCATCATGGAGTGTGCGTCTGGATGTGTCTTCGAGGAGAGCTTATACCGGCTGCATGCGCCCCAATTGAGCGACAAGACCCTGAAGGAAGCATACGCGGGTGCGATGAGCTCCCCTCAGAAGACATGGTGGGAAATCATCTACACGTACAGCAACCTGAAGCTCACAGTCCCCACCGACAGGCTTCCTGCCATTGCCGCCGTCGCCCAACGCCTTGCGTTGCAAAACCCAACAGACGAATATCTATGTGGGCTTTGGCGAAGGACGTTCCTCAGCGATCTACTGTGGGAAAGAGTGTTGAATACTCTCGACAAAGGTGATCCCCCCGTTGTTTCCATTTCCGCGAACTGGGGCGCCGAATCATACGTCGCACCGTCGTGGTCATGGGCTTCTTTCCGCAGCAAAGCGAGGAATATCACAAATATTGTGGAGCCTCTGAGCAATGTCCTCAACATACACCTTGAGTACAGAGACAACAGCAGCTTTGGGCGGGTCTCTGGTGGAAGAGGATCAGATCAGGGCTCAAATCAGATCAAACGAACAAGGCTTTCCTCAGCGAGATTTCACGGATGCTCGCTCCGTCCAAGGTGATTGACAGCCTGAAAAAGACCACCCGGAGAGGACTCGAAAGGGAAGGTAATTAGACGAGAAACCTTACATAGGAGCAGACATGTATCGCCGCACTACAGCTGGATTTGTCATGACCTCGCCGGCAACACCGCTAGTTAATTAAAGGGCGCCAAGTCACGGGTGGTGCGGGCCAAGGCTCCTCGTAGAGCACCCTGATGGGGCTCTCAAGAGTGAGCCATGCTGGGTTGGCCGCAGTGCTGTGGTTGCTACCGACAAATAGATACAGGAAGCAACGGGTTCGTGATATTTCCATCCGAGCCGGGCGCACAGAGGGCGCTGTTAGGAGCAGCCGTGGAAACATATCTCGCCAAGAGGTTTAGTCAGGGGGAGAGTTGCGGGTGGTTGTCGCAGGATTAGTTGTTGATTTGACGCGCTGGACGAGTCTTGGCTTTTTCTTGCTCCAAGACGAGAAATGAGCTCAAGACCCGACGGAGAGAACTTGTCCCGATTGAGTAGGCGACGAGTGGGTTCACTTGACTTTAGCGGCAGTTTAAATGGGCAGGTGAACGCAGTCGAGAATAGTGTGTTGAGTCAGTTCTTCGCACAGGGGCTTGGGGGTTCCGCCAAGATGGATAGCCCTCGAATAGACACGCCTGCAAGATGTTGGCCTGCCTTGGGGATATCGACAGCGAGGTCGGACAGGCATGTCTGATCCTCCATAGTAAATGCGACTGGGGCAGCGCATACAAACCCCATCGCATATAAGATGGGCTCCTCCGTTAACACAGAGCCCATTATTATGACAGTCCCAAGACTCTTCTGAACTTGCTACCCCAGGGGAGTTACTCGACTTGCTTTCGTTTCTTATTCCCAGGCTGTACCACTGTACATATCACAGCCATGGATTCACCAAGCTCTTTTGGACGCTTCGTCGTCGCCTCGCTCTTTTACCTCGCTCCTGCTCTGGTCGGTGCCCAGGACACCGCCAGCAAGGGCGCTGCTCTTCAAGAATGCCTCAACACGGCTGGTGTTCATAACATCGTAAGCACCGACCCAAGCTGGGCCAACGAGACAACTGGTTTCCAGAAGCGCATCAAGGTCGATCCCGCAGCCATCTCCTTCCCCGAGGACAAGGACCAAGTGGCCCTCTCCCTCGACTGCGCCCGAAATGCGTCCGCCAAGGCCACCGCCCTCGGAGCTCACCACTCCTTCCAGGCCTACGGCTTTGGTGACCCAGGCAGCCTGGTCATCAGCATGGCTGCTTTCAACTCGGTCTCCTACGACGAGTCCACCCAGCGTGTCACCTACGGTGGTGGCTCCCACGTTGGACCAGTCCTCAAGTATCTCTGGGACACTGCCGGCCGTCACTTCCCCCATGTCCGCGGTGCTCACGTTGGTCTCGCCGGCTCCAGCATCGGGGGTGGTTTTGGCTCCAGCTCCCGCCACCTCGGCACGCCCATGGACAACCTCGAGTCCATTGAGTATATGTTGTACAACGGCACCATTGTCACCGCCTCCAAGGGCTCCGACCTCTTCTGGGCCGCCCAGGGTGCCGGTGCCTCGTATGGTATCATCCTCTCCGTCACCACCAACACTCATAAGCCGCTCTTCGACACCGCCGTCAACTTCACCGTCTCCATCGGCAGCGTCGATGTCGATGCTGCCGCCAAGGCCCTCATCGCCGTCCAGGACTACTCCCTCAGCGAGGACTGCCCCGATGAGCTCGCCCTTCGCTGGTCTCTGAGTGCTCCCCCTTACACTGGCGCCGGGTATTTCTACGGCAACCCCGCCGACTTCGACACGGTCATCGCTCCTCTCGTCTCCACCCTCGAGGAGATCGCCCCCGGCACCACTGTCGTCAACAAGACCGAGCTCCCCTTCTGGGACATGGAGGTCGCCGTCGCCGGAGCGGGCATGAACCAGCCCGAGGGCGGCAGTCTCGGAGGCCGCTCGTTCTACACCCAGGCCCTGACCACTACCACCGACCACCCCCTCACCGTCGAGCAGGCCAGGATCCTCTTCGAGAGCACCACCCTGGCCTTCAACCGCACCGATCTCAGGAAATCCGGCTTCCTCGACCTCTGGGGCGGCGTCTCCCGCGACATCTCCGACGCCGACACCGCCTACGCCCACGGCAAGAACCTCTGGCTCATCCGCTGGGAGGCCAACTCGGTCGACGTCTCCAGCTACCCAGCCGACGGAACCACGTACATGAAGGGCCTCATCCAGCCGTTCGAGGAGGCCCTCGTCGCTGGCGGCGCCCCCCTGCGCGGCTTTGTGAACTACGCTGACACCGAGCTCACCGAGGCTGAGTGGAGCGCTCGTCTCTACGGCGCCAACTTTGACCGACTCAAGGAGATCAAGGCTGCCGTTGACCCCGAGGGGCTCTTCATAAACCACAAGCAGGCCATCCCGCTGCCTTGAGTGCATTTTGTTTTGGAAAGTATTCTTGCGAGCAGGGAAATTTAAGAAAGGCCTGGCCTGGGAATCGCGTCAAACGTCACCAGGCAAACAAATAAAAATACTTCTTGCACCTGTCATACTGCGTATTATTCCTACGAAAACAATGCAAGGGTGATGTATGCTGGGCAAGACTGATGACACTCGAAACCCGACTCAAAAATCAAGATCAAACAAGTGAAACCATAGCACGGAGACTGGATCGACACATCGGCACTGTATACAGTAATCTCTCTCTCGGGTGCCGCTGTAGTACTGTATCTCCTACGCGTGCAAGTGTGCCCGCAAATACGAAAGCCTCCCAACCTTGATTGCGAGAAGGCAGCGGCGTTTCCGCCTGGATTCATCATCTGCCTTTGGAGACCATGATCGTACTCAAACAACTCAAACAGGTGCTCTCTCATAATATACCAGAGACATTGAACTCAGAACAACTTAGTCATAAATACCGCTTCCTCGCCATGATCACCCTCCTAACAGCCGTCGGCGCCGTCCCGACCATCATCGGCACGACGCAGGCGATAGAGCACGGCCAGCGCCAAAACGCGCGCAGACAGCACCGCGGGCGCAGGAGCAACCTGGTCGTCACCCTCCCGCGGAAGAATTCTTACAGCGCCCTCTTCGAAGGCGCCAAGGTCGTGCTCAGGGACCACAAGCTGTACATCGACACAGCTTCCAGCATGCTCGCAAGCACTCAAGGTTCAGCTTCACAGGAAGATCCAAGCATTCCCATGGAGACTTCAGGACCAGAGGCTACCGGCCACCTGTTCTCCGGCTTCTACCTCCCGCACCCGGCCCTCCAGCCGCAGTGGGCGCGCCGGGGCCTCAAGGGCGAGGGTCTAGTCTCGACCATCCGCGAGGAGCCACCGGACCTCAACTGGATCTACGTGGACCGCGACAACACGCTCGAGGTCAAGTACGGCTCGCGCGCCGAGTCCGAGGGCCACCTGCTGGGGCCGTGGGACTGCACCGAGCGCGAGCGCCGGGTCACATTTGAGGGGTGGAAGGGCTTCCTGGCCGTCGAGGACACGCCGGGCGTGTGGGCGCTGTGCTTTGACCGCGAGGACGACGCCCTTGGGGGAAGGTCGGTGAGGCGGCTTGCTGTGCTGCTGAGCCGGCGGGAGCCGGCTAGGAGTAGGGAGGTGAGGGAGGAGGAGGCTGGGCTGGCGCGGAGGCGAGCAGATGGGGCAGGTGAGGCTTGAAATGAGAACGAGGACTCATCAGCGGTAGAAACTGACTTGCTAATATTGCCATCGGGGCTACTTCCGTGGCGGTCTTTTCGGGATAGCAACTATTTTGCAGATGTGTATCTGCGTATATCAAGCAGTTGTAGTATTTTAGCGCTCGTTGGAACAACCTAGAATTGACACATGATCTGTCTCAAGTCGTTCGCGCCAATCTTCCTCAGCAAAACCTTTCGACGACTGACTCCTGGCCCGACTAACTACTCCAGAGCCTTGCACCCAGCATCCACCAGCCATGAAATGGAGCCAAGAGCCACGGGAAATATGACTGTCAGGAACTACTTAATCCATAATCATTACAATCTTGCCCAACACATGTGTCGGAATAGATTCGGAACGCCTACAGCAGACCAATATTCACCCTCCCGTGGACCTCCAGGTCGAGTTCGATCTTGAGCTTGACCGCCAGGCCCAGGTCGATGGTAATATTGAGACTGGGGTCCTTCTTCTTTTCCTCGTCTTCCGCGGTTTCCCCTTTCTTTGCCGCCTTCCCTCCAGCTTTCCCCTGTTCAAGTTGGAACAGTCAGTAGGATACTCCCCATCGGGAGTTGAAGTATGGAAACGTTTCGTCGGCGCTTATAATGGGTGAACATACACCAAGCCCCGGATTCCGTCTGGGATGTAGGGATCTTGTTGCTGGATCATCCAGGTTGTCTTGTGCTTCTTCAGCTGCGGATGGTACTTTGGGCGAGCCTTGCTTGGTAGCATCCATTGTGGAGGAAATGGCTTTTTGAGGGTCTGTGAGGGCGTCCACTTCAGGTCCTAGTCGACATGACGTCCGGAGGATGAAGGCTCGAGGCTATTCTTAAGGTCAATAGTCTCGACCCTCTGACGAGCAACTCCACGAGACTCGAATTCTGTGTCCATTCTGTGATACTCTTTCTGCCCCTTCCAATTTCCAGCACACGGTGATCTTGTTAACACGCTACGTTCTGTGCTTATGCCTGGATACATAGGTGGCCTCGAAATATGATGCAAATTCATGAGCTTGTACTCCAAACACTGACAGTGTCATGTATATCTAGGACACAAGCCTCGATCTAGATTTTCATTTGACAATCCGTTCACACCTCGTGACAAGGCAAAGTTGGAGAGGCGCATGCACTGTATACGCAGAAGTGTGCAAATTTATACACAGATATGCACACAGAGACGGTGGCTTGATGCACAGACTTGAGAAAACCACGTGTGGCAAATTTGTCTCAACACACTCAACCACAATGACCACGCCATTGGGCTCGTATCCGCGGCTGTACACGCCGATTTCAGTGGCGACCAGCACAGTGGTTGACAATGTACATTGAACTCGAGGGCGAGGATTAGTAGGCGAACGTCACGAAGTCGACATGTGCGAACCCCCTGTACGACATCGATGTTGCTTCCCTCCACATCCTGGAACACCCAGGCCCCGTTTCCATCAAGATCGCTCGTGCATACATTTCATCCTCGCGTTGGATCCTGACAAATCTAGCGTTGCTCTCTGAACAGCCACGCCTCAAACTGTGCTTCGTCGAGACCCTTGGGAACCATCTTCCTCGTTGTGCTCCACTTCTTAGACAGCAAGCCGTAGCTCGTGTGTTCAGTTGGCTTTGTCGAGAGTGCCTTCATCCTCTTGGTTTCAGGGCTGTCCTCGCCCTCACAACAGACTCTGGCCTTGTACGCCTTGTCCGCAAAGGTACTCGCCCGAGCCTGGTCCCCGTGGCTGATGCAGATCTGGAGGGCGTCGTAGTATAGCCTGCAGCCGTGAGCTCCAGTGTAGTCCTTGAACTCTTTCTTGAGGGTGTCGAGTAGTTTGTGGCAGTCCCGAAGATTTTCGATCGGCTTGGTCGCCATCCGGTATGGATCACCAATGGCCTCGTCGAGACGCTGGATAAGGACTCGGCGGTCGTCACTGGCTCGGAGCTCAGCAGGCGGAAGCATGCAGGTGCTGCATTTGCAGTCGAAGCCGAAGGCATTCTTCAGGAACGCCTGTCGCTCGGCGGATGGAACTCCATGATCGTACGGGATCGTGATCTCTTCTCCGGCCTTTATTGGCCGGATGGCGTGGATGGTCTCATGTTTGAACAGCTCGTTCCAGTTGTTATGGGAGTTTGGGAGGCAGCTGTGGTTGATGAGGCAGATGGTGGGATAAACTCCACCCGCAGACGAATCCGTACCACAGGGCAGGCCATTCGTCTTTAGTATACTGCCCAGCACAGGCTTTCCGGGGAAGTTGTTGTGAAGGGAGAAGTATTGACGTTGCTCGGTCTTGGCCATGGCCTTGAGCTTTGAGGCCAAGACGAGCTCCAAAGCCTCGGGAGGCATGGATTCAGCCGTGAGGAGAGGCTTCTCACCGAGAATGCGAGTGCCTGCGGCGATGTCAAGACGGGCGACTAGTCCTTTCCCTTTACCGGGGATTTGCTTGACTTCAAATAGTAGGTTGTCAACCTCTTCTTTCGGTTCAGTGCCCGCGAGGCGGGGATTGCCAGTGATGCTCGTGGAGATCTCGCTATCGGCCTGCTGCGAGTGAAAACATTAGAAACAGTGAATACTCTCACAGACAAGAAGAAGTTCTCCACAGACCTCGTCGTAGGATTTGAGTGACTCGTTGACTTCATTCCAGTTGTAGTGGCCCAGCTGATCGGAAGCCTCATTCCAGTACTGAATTCGAGCCCCGAAGCTGGCTTTCGCAAGGGCTGTGACCGTGTTGATGTAGCTCTCTGCGCGTGACTCTGTCGCAATTCGGCCTGACACCTTCGAGCTGAATCGGACGAACTTGTGGCCCTCGAAAGGCAGACAGGGTTGTTCGCCCACTTTGAAGAGGATGTAGTTGGACTTCGTCTCGACTTGGGCGTCATCCTTGTAATGATTCTTGATGGCATTGATAAAGCGGTCCCAATTCTGGGTATCCGCGGTTTCTCGCGAGAGACGAGGGACCATGTCGAAGCCTGCGTCAATGCCCATTTCGTTCGTTCGTTCGTTCGGAGACGGAATTACAAGAGAGCAATGATGGCCGGTGTGAAAGAGCTCCAATATCATCTTGGGGCATGGGAAACTTCTCCATGTTAGTCTTATATCTCCCCAAGTGTAACCACACCCAACTCATTCCGTGTTGGCATCGGTCGGCCTCCTGCATAATGTTGACATGCCACCTCATCGCACCTTTGCACTAGCCTCGAAAAGGTCAAGTTTGCCCATGGACAGCTTCAATCATCTCAAAAGACGGGATGCTCAAACGGATTCTGTTTGTCCAATATTGATGTTTTGGGACCCGGGTTGTTTGAGCTGATGATCACAATGCGAACTTTGCCAACACTTCAAGTTGTGGTCCAGACTTCAAACTCCATGCACATGCATGAGGGCTTAGGCGATTGATCAATAAAATAAACCTAGGAGACAGTATGAGATTTTGAAAGCTCAGTGTCGTGCAACAGAAAAAGGCTGCACTGTTCAATGAAGCCTCCTTCCCGCAATATTGATAGAGGCTTGCACATAGAATTTCCCACCGGCTCTGTCCAGTTATGGCTTCGGCTGAAGTGCTGCACATATACACACATGCAGCATCGGTGCATCCTCCGACGGACTTGACCGTTTTCGAAATAACAAGTCGCGCCTTTCAAACTCAACATCGCCGCATCTGTGCACGCTGCATGTTATGCAGTTGCAATCAACCGAAATGGCGCCTTTGCCTGGCCGTGGTCAATGCGAGCAAAGGCGCAGGTGCGTGCACTGTTCACGATCGTCATTGCCCCATCAGATAAACATTGTCGATTGCCGACAAGGCTACACGCAAGTAAAATGGAGCCGGGGCAAGCGATCAGCCTTCAAAACCCACAGAAAAAAAAGAAGGCCAGCGACGGTGATGATCCCCCTCCGCAAAACTCCACAATGCACATCATCAGGGTCCACAAGGCGCATGAATGAAGGAGAGTCAAGAAAGGTTTGGTTGATCAAGTCGGACTTTTGTTCAGTCCACAGAATAGATAATAATTTCCCCAAGGTATATACACTAGAAGTTAAGGTCTATGCAAGCATTGCCGTCGATTTTTCATTTTTTTCTCCCTTTCCCCAATCGCCTCAAGGATGAAAAAAATGTGAGAAAAGGACGTGGGGCTCGTAGGTGAGAGCAAGTCCTGGGGCATCTTTGGAAGGAGTGAAACCAGGAAGTGCCCATGTTGTATGAAGAAATGAAGAATGCGCGGCCAAAAGAAACAAAAGTATCTGGTTGTGATACCCAGATTCCGCCTCCCTCCCATTGACGCCCCAAGAATATGGATTTGTTTTTTGCCGAGCCCTGAATTGTGGGACTGCAAACCTTGGATATCATGCCAAATGCCTCGTGTGATGAGTTTGGAAAGGAAATTCGTCAAGCCTCCCAATGCCCGGACGGGCAGGGTACGGAAGGCCGGGGTCATCAGACTGGAGACCAGCAGCAAGAGGACAGTCACCGTGAAGAGGCTTAAGCCCAGTTCCAGGAGATGTCGATGCGGCCGTCGGCCAGGTCGGCGAGCTCCTCGAACAGCTTCTGCGAGACGTCGATGCTGCCCGCATTGCAGCCGGGGCACTTGTCATGGATGACACCCGTCGAGCTCTTGCCGTTGGCGTTGTTGTAGATCTTGATGGTCTTGCCGCACATGGGGTTGCCATTGGACTGCGAGCCCATGGTCGCGGAGGACATTGCGACGATGTTCTCGGTCATGTCCTTGCCGCTGTCGTCCTCGCCGCAGGCACCGAGCCCAACGGCGTAGTACGTCAGATCTCCGGACTGGAAATCGGAGCCCAGCACAGAGGCGGCGTTCGAGTTTGTGTTGACGGTGGAGCCCGTGTTGGCGGACGCCGCGGGGGTGTTGACGGCCGCGACGGACGGGGCAGCGGCAGAGGGAGTCTCAACCTTGGGTGCCACCGGCGCGGGAGCAGGGGACTCCACGGGCGCAACGGTGGCTGGGGAGCGACGTAGACGGACGAGGAGCTGCTGCTGCTGGTCGTGGGGACGGGAGCAGGTGCTACAACTGCTGGGGGCGAGCTGGGGGTCTCAGCGACTGGCGGCGGGGCAACAACCTGGGGCGCGCTGGATGGGAGGGCCGAGGAGCCCTCGAAGAACTGGCCGCCGGCGGATGATGTTACGGTGGCCAGGGTAGTCGACGGAGCGCTTGGGGTGGGGGTGAACCACTCGGTGGTGGTGCCGTCGACGACCTCGGTCACGGTCTCAGTGACCCAGACGGTGTCCCACTCGGTGACGAGGTCGCGCTTGTGGTGGTGCTGGTGGGCAGCACGGGCCGGGTGCTGGTGCTGGTGGTGGCCATGAGGCTGGGCGATGGCCGTCGAGGCCAGGGCGGTGATGATGAGGGATGCTGTCGTTGACTTCATGATGAACGATTCTAAGCTAACAGCGTTGGATACGATCTAGGCGCCCCTTGCTGGGAAAGTTGAATGAAGGTGGGTGGGTGGGTGAACCAAAAAGGGAGCAGGCTGGCTACACTGGAATGTTGTCTCGAGTGTGGTCTTTGTCTTGGATGCCGTATGTTTTCGGGTCAAGCCACTGGATGGAATTGTCCGCTTTCTGTTGCCAAAGTGTGGTTGGTAGGACCGTGGATGATGAGAAGTGTCTTTCTCGTCAAAAGGTGAACGTGAGCACTGCTCGGTGGAAGGAATGAATGAATGAAGGACAGGGCCTCTTGAGCAAGTGGGCAGCAAACAGGCGTTGCGAGCGTGGTGAAGGGGAAGCCAGAAAGGGGAACAGGCGCAGCGGGAAGCAAGGGGGCAATATATTTATGAATGACTAGATAGACTGCCTAGGCATCTGGGCATGTCCACCCTCGGGGCTGAGGCACCACCAGGCGTTGGGTCCTAGACCGGGGGCGTCGGCTAGGGGAGGGAAACCAGAAAGGGAAGAGGGGGCCCACAACACGACCAAGGACAGAAACAGGAACAGAACGTTGCATGTGCTAGGGAAAAGGAATGCCATTCCACATGGCAAGTGCGCCCCACAGCAATACACAGAAATCAAAGAAGGGCTTACACCCGTGCGGGAGACCTTGGGTCGTCTTCTTTCTCTGTGTGGCCCAGAACTATCCCGGTGTCCCGCGGCGGCAGCAATTGGACAGGTCAGACCTTGAAACAAAAAAAAAACAGACGAACGGACGGTCAACGCACCCGTCACTATTCAGGGGGAAAGAAAAAGGTTGACGGACTCCCGACAAGGGGTAATGCCGGAGCGAGGATTCTGTCATGAGAAGACTGGCCATTGACGGCGTGTCGTTGGCTCCTGGGCGCAGCTGTGATCAGCCCGGCTCATCCTTCCACCTGCAAGGTACAGGGTAAGATCCCTGCCGATGTTCAGGCACAAGTAACCCAAGCGTCGTATTTCTTACGTCCAGCCATCTGACTCTCCAAAGTGGGCGTGCGTGGGTGTGGAGGTGGCTGCAGGGGCCTGTCAGCCTGTGAGACCGGGGAATCACAACAGCAAGCTCGGACGGTCGGTCCTGCTCATCAGCCAGTGCTGCAGTGGTGCTGCAGTGCTGCAGTCTGGCCGTGTGGCCGTCTGGCCATTCGGTAGTCTCGTTGGGCCAGGGCAATTACCGCCTTGGCCTTCCTTGTTGCTTTTGTGTCCTTGTTCCTGAGCCGACCTGGCAGGCTGTCCGTTGCCCGGTTCCGAATAATAAGCCGGAGTATCGCAGTACAGCACATGGTGCATGGTACATGTGCAGATTAGCACGTACGCAGCAAGTGTGCTGATTCCCCCAGTGAGGGAGGGATCGCCGCTGGTCTGGGTCCCCGGTCCTGGACCCACGCGCAGCCCGCCCCTCCTTGATCAACAAAGTTGGAATCAGAGTTGGAATAAGGTGAGATCTGTTTTTGCGGGAATTCGCTGCCGTTGCTGTGTGCGTGGGGACACTGCGGAGGCCTCGACCTCGATGGACTCAAAGCACACCTGCATCTTGCGTCATGAAGGCGATGCCATGATGTTTGCCGGGCACTCTGCACATGCGTACTGTACGCTGCTGCATAGGGTAGGCAGAGGCATTCCAAGCTTTGCTGCAGCCGCTGGGGATCCAGAACGTTGGGGCTGCCCCATCTTCTTTGACACGGTAATGATTCTCGGCCCGTGGGTGGCACAGTCTCATTGGCATGGCAATTGGCCTTCTTTGCTCCTTTGGCGCGAACCTTGAGTTCTGGGCCTCCTTTCACCCTGCATGCACTGTAGAAAGAATCATTCCTGTTGGCGCTTGGGGTGGCCAGATTGGTGAGGAGACGGCGCTGGGCGTCTGATAGCGTCCAGCGTTCCCGTGCCGCTGATAGAAATTGCCGCAGGCGCCAGCGGTGGGATGCCGAAAAGGAGGGGGAGGCGATTCTAGGCCTCAAACTCTGATTTCTATTACCTCTTTGCTATGCACGCTCTATCATGGTTGAGTGCCACCCAGACAGCCCGTCAGGACTCGTCAAGCAGGCTGGCAGGCAGGATAAGCCGCACAACGGAGTCATCTTCCTGCAGTAAGATCGTCGGGGATGCATCCGAAGCTTCCTTCCAGCCTGGCCGTCTTGCAGTAGGCCGAGTTGCCAACAAAGCGATCTCGCTGCCGGGACCCGCGAGGCCTTCTCTGCCTCTTCTTGGTCTCCATCCGTGGCAAGTATTCTCTCATCGTGACTAAAGGCCGTCAAAATCTGCTCTGGAAAAAAACCTGCAGAGCCCTCGGTCTGCTGCGGGGTTGTGTTCGGTCTAACATGGCGCTTGGCCAACCGGACTATGGCAACACCAGTCTTGGTGCAGTTCTGCACGCGCAGGTGTTGGCAGCCGTAGTTTTGGGAGTAGTGTACCCATACAAGTGCCGTAGTCTAGTACTTATTATCAATCTGGCAGGCTGGCCACAGTGTAGGAGGTATCCAGTCCGCCCCACGTCTGCCGCCCCCAGTCGCACCTCAGGATGTTGGTGCTCGGTTCTTGCTGGTAAAGGTGTAAAGGAAAAGGCCCTGCCTGCTGAATACGGGGCGTTCATCATCAGCGACCTCCGTCACGACAAAGGACTTCTTGGCGTTCTTCAAAAACTGCATGTCGGCGCGCCGTCTCTTCATGAAACAGAAGTAGACCGTAGCGGAGGGACAAAGCGCCAGAAGGTCCTTGAGGGTCTGCAGCAGGAGCGGGAAGGCGGGCTCGAAGTAGACACAGTCGGCAGCCAGGATCACATCCGGCTTGAAGTCTATCGTTTCCGAGGGCAATGGCTCGCCCCTGTTGGATTTTGCCATGGTTAGCCACGCTGGGGCGGGACACGATAGGGCGGGACACGATAGGGCGGGACACGATAGGGCAGGAGGACGTGACACTGCATGTTGCCAGCGTAGCCGATAGACAGGATGGTCTCGGGTATCTGTCTACGATATGCGGGAGGGAGTGGTGGTCTGGTGGAGGTCTGCACGCACCAGTTGAGTACCATGGGCTTGACACGGCCTTGTGCCTCGTTGAGGAGGACGTTGTGACCCATCAGGCTCAGCATCTCCAACTGGTCGGTAATGTGGAGAGGCTGGCTGAGGCTGCACCCGTTCGCTACCGCCAAGCCAACGAGACCTCCACCAGCTCCGATCTCCAATCTGGTGCACCAGTCCATGTCAGCTCCCACGTCTCCTCTTTTTCTTTCTTTCTTTCTTTCTTTCTTCCTCCCCTTCAACAGCTCTCGTTGCTGCTCGTGCACCCTCCATGACATGAAAAGGCGCGACGGCATGGCACCGCCCGACACAACAGACGGCAACGTAGGCCAGTGGCAGATGAGGGCGCAACAGGGAAGGATATGGTGAGGCAAGGGGAGGCAAGGTGCGACAGGACTCACATGCGCGCATCGCGGAGCTCGTCCCGGTGGTATCGCAGCATATGCCTGGCCAGCACCACTCCCGCCGGCCACGTCTGGCCTCCACAGCCCGAGGCAAGGTCCTCGTGGACCTTCAATGGCGTCTCAAGCAGGCCGCCGAAGTCTAAAGCCGTGTCGCCTGCGGGCTTGTAGTCAGGGAGGGGTGCAAAGTCGATGCCAATGGCGGACGGGTCCAGCTCCGGTGAGGACGAACGGGAGAGCTTCATCGTGGGTTGGTGGAGGATTGGAGGGGGGTGGCTTGGTAAAATGAGAGGCACAAGACGCGTGGACTGAGAACTGAGGACTGATAGGTGAGTGAGGACTGATAGGAGTGGTGGTGGTGAGATGTGAAAGACGAGGCACGAGAGGTGAGGGATGAGTTGAGAGGAGTCAGAGTGGTGAGGGCGAGAGAGAAAAAAAGACGCAGTGAGGCAGCGGCAGTGCGGACACGACAGGGCAGGAGGAGGGCAGCACAGGGCGGTGAAGGAAAAGGAAGTGATACTGATGCCGACGCCGATGCAGTTTGCGATAAGCTTAAACCGGGGGCCTGGGCTGGGCTGGGCTGGGCTCGATGATGAAGTTACACGATGCACGATTACGGCCCGCGATACGGTCGGTGGAGTGGTGGGGACCTTGTCCGGTGGCGAAGTGGCTCCCTCTCTCCTGCGAAGTTCAAAGCAGGAGCCACCGCCGCAGCAAGCAAGTTTGGCGCCATCGTGAAATCGCCGGTCGCGCCTTCCCAAACCCCCCCAGAGCCCAAAGCATGCTAGCCGCTTGTGCACCGAGGAAGGCGCGGGCCGTCGAACGAGTCATCCAAGCAAAGCACCAGCATCAGACTGCTGCGTTTCTCTCCTACCGTTCATGAGCTTGAGCTTGAGCTTCACGTCTGATCTCGACTTTTCCACCGTGCAATTGACCTGATCGAAGCGGACTGTAGTGGAGGTGAACAAAACCCTCCCTTCCTCATATCGCCTTCCGGTCTGATGAAGCCCGGCCCTCCCACATTCGGCAGCATGTGAAGAAAGTCGGCACACTGTCAATATGGCACTTGTTTTGTTTCTGATTTCTCTGGACCAAACCATCTATTTTTCAGTTTACAAGGAGAGAAACAATTCGTCACCAAGTCGGGAGCACCGAGGGAGCAGGGCACCGGCAACGGATCCCCCTCCCTTTCGCTCCCTGTCTTGCCTGTCCTGCCTCCCGCCGTTTGGATCCTCCCTCTCCCCATCAGTCAACCGTCGACTGGAATGTTGACTCAACTACAGTCTCCTAGTCCCGGCCTCCTGGACTGGCCATGCATGATCTTCTCTTCCACCGCGCGTCCATGTCAGCCGAACAAGATGCCCTCAAGGGGTTGGATCTCTGCTGCCCACAACGCCCTCAAGGGATGAGGCTCCTTCGCTTCGACATGTCTTCGGCCATGTCTCCGATCATGTCTCCTGGTAGGCCATGACTTTGTGCCATCCTCCTCTTCCATGGCTTTTCCCCGTCTGCTGGCAATCCTGTCGTCGTGTCGCCTGCTGTCCGTGACCTCATGAAATCGGCGCTCAAGATCCGTTGTGACACACCAGACAATGCTTCCTCCCGGGGCGAGGACGCTCCTCCTGCTTGCCTCACTCGGTGCTGTGCGCGTCGACGCCGTGCCGACCATCTCGTTCCCCATCAACTCCCAGGTGCCGCCTGTTGCGAGAATCTCACAGCCATTCTCATACGTCTTCCCCTCCTCGACATTCACCTCCTCGGCCGGGTCACCGCTGTCCTACGCCCTCAAGGACCCGCCGTCTTGGCTCTCCATCGACAGCGACAGCCGGAGACTGTACGGAACACCTCGTGATGCCGACATTGCGCCAGGAGCAGTGGTCGGCGTGCCCATCACCCTCGTGGCAAGCGACTCCACCGGCTCGACGCCTCTTTCAGTGACTCTGGTTGTTTCTCGCAATCCTGGACCCGCCGTCCACGTGCCCGCCTCCGACCAAATACGGAAATTCGGTACCTACTCCGAGCCGTCGTCCATTCTGTTATATCCAGACAGAGACTTCATCTTCGCCTTTGCGCCGGACACCTTCATCGACACGCAGGCCCAGAGTCTCAATTACTATGCCGTCACCACCGACAACAGTCCCCTGCCAGCCTGGGTTTCCTTCGACGCAGGCACTTTAGCCTTTGCTGGAACGACGCCACCATTTGCCTCTCTGATAGAGCCGCCACAGACCTTCTCTCTGAAGCTCATCGCGTCAGATGTCACAGGCTTTTCTGCGGCATCCATCGCCTTCTCCATCGTGGTTGGAAGCCACGCCCTGACAACAAGCCAGCCAAGAATCACCCTCAATGCTACTGTTGGGACGCCTTTCTCTTACACTGGGCTCATTGGGAGCGTCAAGATCGATGGCCAGCCCGCAGCCATCAGCGATGTGCCCAGGGCCACGGCGGTGAACTTGCCGTCATGGCTTGTCTTCGACTCTACCTCGTGGGCCATCGCTGGCACGCCACCAGACACGGCACAGTCAACCTCATTTTCCATCATAATGGAAGACGACTTCTCAGACAGACTAAACATCACATTTGACGTTGAACTTGCACCAGAAAATGGTGGCTTTTTTCAAGGTATCTTTCCGACCTTAAGCCTCGAGCCTGGTGACCGCTTGTCCTTTGATCTGAAGCCGTTCGTGTTTGATCCATCTGAGACCGAGATCACGACCGACGTCCAGCCACCGACACCATGGATCCAATTTGATGCGTCGAACTTGCTCTTGTCAGGAGACGTGCCGACCTCAGCACCAAGTTCAGTCATTGAGATTGTCTTCAACGTCAAAGCAGAGAACCGTCGACTGAAGAGGGACGAGGAGACACAGTCGCAGAAACTCACCTTGCAAATATTATCTACTTCGGAGCCGACGACAGTGTCCCCAGAATCTTCCTCCTCTTCCTCCTCGTCAGCCGCCACCTCATCAAATGCCTCTACTACGCCTGGGGACCAGTCTGCACACAACGCGACGACAAATGTGGTCCTGGTCGCGATCCTCGTTCCCGTCATTCTGGGACTGCTCTTCGCCATATGCTTCTGCTTCTGCTGCTACCGCCGACGTCAGAGACGCCTTTCCCGTACTCCTTTGGAGGGGAAGGACAGCTGCGGCCCAGAGCCCACCGGCTACATACATACTCCAGGTTATGACCCCGAGACCTCACGTTTAGATTTGAGTGAACAGCATTTTGTTGGGCTCACAAACTCTCAAGCCGAGAAAACCAAACCTCGGAAGCCTAGCAATCTTCGATCAGAATACACTGGATCCCCTATTCCCGAAGCTCCGGCTCCCGCCTTGCCAATTATTGTTCACGATGCGCCCACACAAGATGCGCTACCGAGCAAGTACCGAGACCTGATGGCTCCTCTCCGCAACTTCCGTATTCCTCGCCTAAAACGGGGAAACACCCGGTATTCGAACGACTCATTTGACGAAGACGATGGCCATGGTTTCAGCATGGACCACCCGCCTTCCATCACCCTGCGTCAAAGTCGCCAGAACTCTTTTCGCAGCGAGGTAGAGGTCAGCATCCCTTCCTTGGACTCGGAGCACAGCCCCCTCCAAACACCAGACGTGGCCTACACCGTATCTACAGCGCGGCCTGCTCGGGACAGTGGTCACCATTATCCCTTCCCAGCCACTCCAATGGATCGTGGCCCTCCGCCGAGGAACCCGGCCAGGGTGCACAGTGATCTCGAAAGCCGAGACATCACACCCGTTGACCAGTCAGAGCTCATCATCGAAAAGACCCGACCAGCCGCAGACGAGCCCAAGATTCGAGAACACCCCGCCCTCCGGCACGCCAAGTCCCAGAGGTCTTTCCTCAGCTTCTCCTCGGTCGACACGTTCAAGGGAACTCGCAGACTCGCCGGCAAAGCAACAGCTTCGGCCAAGGGTGCGGCGAGCCTCGCCAGTGCCGCCGTACAGCGCAAGACCCTGAAGGCCTGGGGCAAAGTACGCCTCCATGTTCAAGATTCTCCGCACGCGAGGCAGGGCATATTCGACAATGTGACCCACAGCCGGACAGAGTTTGGAAAGTTTGGCCATTTTGGTGGTAGTGGTGGGTACATGAGCCTGCGGGACCCGGGAGTGCCGGCCACGGTACCGACCCCAAGGGTAGCAACCGCACCAGTGGCACTGAATAGTGAGAGCCACAGGAGGCGGCAGTCGAGGATGAACGGGAGCATCAGCAGCGATAGTCGTAGCAGCAGGGCAATGTCTGTCGGGGCGGGTGAGTATCGCATGAGCCGGAGCGATCCGGGGACGGTCCGGCGACACCGTGGGAGTGGCTCGTACGACATGCCCCAGTTTCCCACCACATCTCCTCGGGGGTCATACATGGGCCTCGGAATCGCGGATTACGAGGGTCTCGTCAACAGCTTGCCGTTCCATCCGTCGAGAGATAGAGGGAGGGCGGCGGTGAGGCCGACAACGACCTCGTGGGCTACGACGCAAGCACGGTTTTCGAGCGCTTCCTCGATGGATCGGCCTGTCACAGCCAAGACGGCTCAGACGGCGCAAACCTTCAGCAGCACGAGGGACTCGAGGAACTGGGTTGTACATCAAGAGAGTCCGATGGAGAGTCCGATGGAGAACAGGCTGGACAGTCCCGTCCTCCCATCGCCGGTGTCTGGGGGTCTGCAGGGAGGTGGCGTCGGCACTGCTAGTGAGATGACGCCTACGAGAAAACCGGCTGAACGGTGGGCAAGTGCTTCCTCGCGGCAAGGCACCGGCGGTGGTGGTGGCGGCGGCAGCACCGGCGGTGGTAATGAGATCAAGCGAAAGAGTGTGGCTCAGTCTGGAAAGTCTGGGACAAGTAAGGAGTCAGATGGGCCACCTGCTTTTATATGAAGAATGAATATTGTTTAGTTGATTAATACGGCGGGTGTTTGTTCGACTTTGCCATCGACGCTAGGTAGATTTTCAGTCTGAGTCTCGGTGCAAATAACACCTTAATTAATGCCTGTTTCAACTCGCACTTTCCACCTGTGGCCCCGCTGACCATGGCTTCATGGCCCAGACAATGTGTACAGCGTTCAAGGTTTCCACGGTACATGATCACACAGTTGGACTGTTGGAGTCCAACCACCTTGTCTTCGCAGCTCCACAGCAACACCAGACAATGATGGTCGTGGAAGGGACATGCTTCCCGCCTGTCGATTCAAGCTTCTAGTTGGGATTATGCCGGCTCTGCCAGGTCAAGTCTGCTGCCCTTCGAGGCTTCAAATATGACTCTTCCGAGCCCAGCTACCTCATGCCTCATGCATTTTTGCTGTTTCGCTAACCCCATGCCCTTCTAGAACTTACTACCTAGTATGGAGGCACGACGAACCTGACGCGATTTACCCAATGACTTGAAAGTGTGGTGCGCCTCGACTATAGACCATTGCCACCACTCTTCTAGCAGGGTGGTCGTTCTTTTCGGCGCAATAGGTCTTCCCACAGAAAGGCCAGCGGTGAGGCCCGCGGCCTGAGAATCAGGATATGTTGTTGGCAGTGATACAGCAACTCTCACACTTAACTCCTATGTGCCAAGGTGTGTGTATTTGCCGGCGATGCCAATAGGATGGCCAAGCACGTGGGGAGGCCCAAGCCTTGGAAAGTGTACTGGGCAGACCCCAATACAACCTCAGACAGTCGCAGCACGGTTGGAATGGCGGAGGGGCACATGCACCCGTTCTAATAAAGGGGATATCCGCCCCTCCCGACGACGCCACCATCGCCGTCTATCGGGACCAGGGATGGGAGACCCTGATTGGGGGGTTATGGGGGAAGAGGCCGAGAATGTCACGCCGGGATTTGCTGCGTGACCGATCGGGGTATCAGGGCTGGCTCGGCACGACCCTTTGGGAAGGCTTTCCACTTTCGTGGTCGACATGGCAAAACGGGGGAACCCGCGGGTTGATGGATGGTGCGGCAAGTTTGTTGTAAATTCGTCTCTATCTTCCGGATCTGTATACTGCCAAGTTCCCTATGTCTTGGCCATACCACCACAATCGGGACCAATCGAGAATCAGTACGCGTATTGTATCATCACCTTGGTACTACTCTGCCCGAATTTGGCCAACGAAAACATCGGCAGGCGAGCGGGTGAGTTATGCTGTATTTATCTCTATGTGGATTAGTTAGTTAAGAATTCTCGAAGCTAAATTGGCCAGAGCAATGTACCTCCACAACTGTTCAGTTGATATTAATAAGCTCAGAGGTTTCATAATGGCTGGCCTGCCTTTTATCAAGGGTAAAAATAACCGCTTTGGCTATAAGCTCTGGGTTACAACCCGCTTTACTAATCCCTGTGACCGTTCAAGGCTGGCAACGTTTGTGAGAAGATTTGGGCTGGTAACAAATATACGTGGCAATTTGGGGTATCCCCCAAAGCTTGCAAAGGGCCGTAAGGCTCCAAGTTGAGTGGAACAGTCACGTATATTTCAAAAGTATTGTTGTTTAACGCCCACAAGTCGGTCGGCCGAGGACCACGACGAAAAAGGTAATGTACACTCAGGCAAGAAGCCAAGCAACACGAAGAAGGAGAGAAGTGAAAAGAAACACTCCATTTTGTCCATTCAGGCCTGCATCATCAGCATGCCCACGTCTCAGCGAGGCGACCGTTTACTCCACGAGCTTAAAGGTTTCGAAGCTCTCTGGGATATCAGCGACCGACGCGCCAGCCTTGCCGAGCTCAAAAAGCTCCTCGACGGGCAACTGTACTGGGTCCCGTCGGCGAGGTACATAACGTCGGGCTGGGCGCAGGCGGCCGCCTCCTCCCCATCGACCGCACGAACATCCGACTCGGTCGTCGCACCACGGATCATCTTCCTGTTGTTGAAACCACAGCCCAGCCCGCCGAACGGCCCGTTGCCCAGGCACACATGGTCGCGGCCGCGGCTGTGCTGCTGGTCGTCTGGCGCCATGTCTTCGTCAAAGACCACGGCCTATGAGCCGGAGATCGCCATTCTCACTTTCGTTTGTAGTGTTCTCTCGGCCGTTGCATCGGGAATGGTACTGTTATTGTGGGCTTTTACAGACGACAAGGTCAACAGGAGGACATTTCGCTATGCCCTCATCATCAATCTCACCTTCGCGGGTACGGTCACGGCCACGATCTCTTGAAAATGTTGATTGTTCTAAAACTAACAACAATCAACAACCAGAGTTCATTCAACACGTCAGCAGCACAGCATCTGGGATTTATATTCTCGTGACTGGTACCTCTATTCCCTCGGGATCCATGTGCAATGTGAACGGGTGGATCGGTCAGGTTGCCGTGATGGTAAGTGCTCAAGTAGCCCTTGGGAATATCTGTCAACCGTTCAGTGTACTCCACTAACACGAGCATTTTACAATTGGTTTCAGGCATCAGGCTTTGGCGTGCTCTCAATAGCACTCGTCACACTTCTAATCTTCTTCTTCAACGACTGGGCTATAAGAGCATCTATGTTGTCCAAAACCATAATATGTGCCTTCGTTTGGCTGCAACCATTGGTCGCCGGCACTATCGCTCTGCTCATGGACAAGTACAACGGCGTATCTGGCAACTGGTGCTGGATCAGCTTCGAAGAGAAGACCCTGCGCTGGGCCTTGGGACACGCTTGGCGGTTATGCATTGTGACCATCATGCTTGTCATCTACGTCTTCATCTTCGCTCAGGTGCGACGGCGCTTAAAGAAACGACAGAACGCCTTGGACAGTACTTGTTCCAATAGGCACTACTCAGTTCAGCTTACCAATATCAATGAGGGTGAGGTTGATCGGTCTTATGTAGACCTGTTGATGCGGAGGACTCATGATGATACTCTCCTGGGGCCAGTCTGGTCCAACTCATCCGCCAGTTCCTCCACAAGTAAGCGATACCTTGGACATGATCAAACACACGATGTGCTGTTTGTTGTGCTAACAATTTGGACAAAGTGGACCTGAAAAGAAATTCCTCCATTGCGTCAACCATTACACGACCACCACTGGTCCGATCTGCGTTTTCCAATGACGAGGATGAGAAAAGCAGCCGACTCGCTCGTCTGGCTCTGAAACCTGGCTTGCGAGTCCTCCAGAGCTCCAAACTTGACCAGGAGACTCGACACTGGGCCATGATAGCTGCGTTTCCTCTGACTTGTGTTCTCGTTTTGATGCCACAGATCATCAACCGGGTGGCCGAGTTGGCCGGATACCAGCTGAAGTGGCTGGCCGTATCTTAGGCTTCCACTCAACTAACTGGCTTTGTGAATGCGGCCGTCTACGGGTTCCGGGAGCATCGTGGTGTTTTCAAAGTTTTGAAGCGGAGATATTATAATTAGGTATGATTTTTAAGATTTTTTTTTTCTTGTTTAGCACCTATCACTTTAGCGTACAAACGACAGAAAAGTGCATTCTATTCCGTTGTGGGACACTTACAAGTATGGGCATTATGAAACAAGACACAGGGAAATTAACAGAACTGGGCCATGTGTATATTGCTTGAATAATAATGTTTTTGAGAGAAGAGATTTGCAGGGCTGAAATCAGATACTATAAGGCAACTGTCACGAAAGGGCTGCAGAGACATAGCAGATAGCCTCAAATACGTCAATTCAAGATGAGCGGGCGCTATCTCTCTAAGCAAAAAAGGAGGGGCCCTGGGGCGGTGGGGGCTTAGTCAGCCATTGCTGATGTAAGCAGTCTGCACTGCACCCACACGCGCCCCTCATAAACTATTCTAAACAAATAGCAAACTTCAGACCATCTGAGGGTTTTCATTAATACTTTGACAGCTAGCAAGGCCCGAGAGTGTCATTAAGTCCCGATTCAAGATGAATTCTACCCATACCGACCAGCCCATCTACCAAGCTCTTGACGCAACCATCCCACAGATTCGAGTGTTGACACTGCATCAAGGCTCTGAGGACCAGGAATTGCGATGCACCCTGAGGACAGTTTCACTGGATGACCAACCTGAATTCCATGCTCTCTCATATGTCTGGGGCTCAGGCACCGAGAAGGACAGTGTCAACATTCACGGCCATGTGGTTCCAGTCACGTCGAATCTGGCCACGGCATTGAGACAGTTCCACGCTCACCATGACGACTTTCTACAGCTCCATTCGTTGCCGCTCTGGATCGATGCGATATGTATTAACCAATCAGACGTCGAGGAGCGAACCCAGCAGGTTCTTCTCATGGGGAGAATCTTCCGCCAGGCTTCCCGTGCTCTTCTCTGGATAGGCGAAGGGGACCAGCATTCTGATCATGCCTGTGACCGGATAAATGACGCGACATTCCGAGCTTCTTGCGGGGAGCTGAAGACCAATTCGAGGGCACCTACTCTAGACGAACTCAGAGTCAAGGTGATCCTCGAAAGGAATCTTGAAAAAAGGCGCTATTGGACAAGAACATGGACTTTGCAAGAAGTCGTGCTCGCGACTCAAGGCCCCGTCATGCTCTGTGGCTCCAGGCGGATCTTCTGGTCGTGGTACACGCAGTGCAAGAGGGGCCTGCCTGATTAATACAAGTCGTCATGCCCCGGCTCGACGTTCGACTGGGGAACAGTTGAGAGTGAAGTACCCTTCCATAAGGATGTGGATGGTTCACGCATGCCCTCTTCCGACTCCCATGAATACGTGCGTGGTGCCTACCAGGAGGATACTCACATCACGTTAAGTTATGCATTATGCGCAAGCCTGTTTCTTGATGCCACAGACCCCCGAGATTATGTCTACGCAGTGATGGGTCTGGCTCCATAAAATGAACTGGACTTGGTGGATATTGACTACGGAAAGACTCCTCAGCGGGTGTTCAAAGACACCATGGCTGCGATATGGACTTCAGCCCCGAAGGGCCTGACCAGTAACGATATGTCCTATTTCAATTTCGGCTTCTCGGATGACAAGCTAGATTTGCCGTCATGGGTGCCCGACTTCTTGAGAACGACATCGGGCAACGATTGGCATGCTAGTGATCTTAGTCTCCAAGATCTAAGGTGGAGACCTGATGTACCAGCAGAAACCCATATCGAAGACAACATCTTGACATTAAAGGCTTTTAAGTTCGACTGCATAATAGACACTGTGGAGTTGGACTTTGACCACGGATGGTTCAAAACCTTCAACCGCGGAAAGGGACCCATGGAAGTGGATATTGAACCACTCCAAAATATAGAAGTCATGGCAGAAAGAGGACGCAGAATTCCAATCCCGGCTTCAAGTCGTCTGGCCCCCCTTTCGGTCCTGCGGGACAGAACTCCCACCTGGAGCCTACTGACGGGCTGGAATGAGCACGATCTCTCGAGTTCGGAGGCAATCCCAAGAGACGGATGGCTGCCCGGAGTACCAAGAGATAGACAAAGACTGTGGGAAATTCTTCTAGGTCGGCAACAGATTCCCGAAGCTTGGAAGATGGCTTGTTCGCCCGAGCTGCAAAGAAATCTGCCGGCACTGGAGGCTGCGATCTTACGGCCTCTCCTTCTTGGTATCAACGAAAAGGCTGATGGCAAAAAGGTTTTTATATCACAGTCTGGATTCCTAGGTGTAGGTACCAAATATGTGGAGGCCGGTGATATCGTTACTCTCTTTGGGGGGATGGGGTGTATGCATGTGCTCCGGCCATTCCGGGACGGGTATCACATGGTGGGCTTTGCGAGTGTGTCGGGTCTGATGAACTGGGACGACTTAGATGAGGCGATGAAGGCTGGTACTCTGCCCGAGGAGGATCTGAAAATATATTGAGAATTGCTTGAGATCTCGGCTGGGTGATTTAATCACTCACTTATGTCTAATTTGTTGAGTCAAGAATAGTATCTGGAGGGAGCGGTTACGTCTTAGCAACACCCATTGGCGCAGACCCCCATCGCATAAATGGCCAAATCAAGCACATTGTACTTGCTCACGGATAGACTGGGTTCTCTTTCTGACTTCAACGAGGTCATTGCAGGCTGAACCGAGCTTGAAAGTAGAAAGCAGAGTGACTGCACATGTAAGTGAGTTACAGATGAGATGGGATACCTTGCACGGGCCGAAGTCTTCCCCCAATTGTGACGACTCTTAAGTGCCTGGGATGGTCTCGACTTTCAGAAACTGAGTTACGGGAAAGCCTTACCATCTAGAACTTTAGAAAGATAAGCTCATAGTTCCCAACAGAATGCCGCCCAACTAGTTTCATTCTTCCTTCGTACCACATACCAAAGAATAATCATTCCTTCCATCAAATCAATACAGTAGGCAACCCAGCGTTGGCATGTCTTTTTACAGGTCCATTTACAGGAGCAACATGGCTGCTTCTGTTGCTCGTGGTAACACTAACATTGGGGAAAATCGCTCGCTGAGTTTCCACCGTAAATCCAAAGGACATACATATGTATAGGTGGGTAATTGCCTCAAAATGGGCTCCTGATAAAAGGCGGGTGGGCAATTCGCAGCTCGAGGCGCAATCGTGCTCGCGAAAGGGAAGAACAAAAGGCCGCAGTTGCACGCCATACTTTTCTGAGGAAGCAAAGAATGTGTGGTTGCCATTTATCTGAAGAGAAGCCGTTCTCCGGGCTACTTGAGCCGTGTTTTACCCGTTCGACCCGAAGCCAAGTGTACAGAGTGCTGGGCGCCACGACTACTGCTTCACTTGGGGAGATGATTTATCCTCTAACAATGCGGCATTAAACAATCCCATTGTAGCAAAATTCTATACAACATCAAGGCTGCCGTCCACCGTACATCCACCACAGACATAGGTAGCTGCAAACAATAGCATAACTAGCCGTACTCAGTCATCCGTTACCGCACTGGCTTCCCCGACCAGTTACTGAGGTTGCCAAGTAGGCCCTTGCATCTTCTGACTCGGTGGTAAACGCGTGTAGTATGCTGCGTGCAAAGCCCGGCTTGTGGAGGGGTGACAGCCAAGCTCCTCTGCGACGTCGTGATGGTGGAGTGCGACCTTGGAGCTCTCACGTAGTGGAGAGGTTGCAACACATCGGGATTCCACGGGATGATGATGAGTCAGCTGGTCCGACCGTCACTGAAGCTATTGTAGTCTAGCATATGGCTATTGATCTTGAACCCCGTTTTCTTCCTGTTTGCAGAGATGGTGTAGAGAGCTGGGGGGCTGTTGGTGGAAACTCCCCGAGAACGACGGATTTGTATTGATCTAGGCGGGAATTGGGATGCAGGAACGTTGATTGCCGTTCCCTTGGCCAGATTGCATATACCAACTAGACTATACTAGATGCGGACCAAGAACTACTGGCGGTTGACCGCGGCGTGGACCGGAGCGAGAAATACCTTGGCCAAAGATCCACTCACACCGAATTGATGTCAAATACACACATCCCATGCTACACATTCATGACCTCCTGTCCAGAAGCGGTGCAAGATTGGCCATCTCGGAGCTTGGCCTCGTCGGCATTCCTAGTCACACATCTGAACACATGGGCTTTGGTCTGACTCGTCTGCGTGTGTCGATGCCTTCCTCAACAATGGCGTGTAGGATTGGATGTAAGGTCCTGGCAGACCTAACCAAGTTTTGTCTGTCTTTTGTGTGTTGACACTCCGAGGCTTCGGAGGGAGGTGACGGTCATGATGGATCCCTTCAAGCGATTCCCTGTTGCTCAGATGATTTCCGATGCAATTCTGTCTCAGCGCCGATATATTGGCCGTGTTCAATGTAACTCCTGTACCTTCATGTGAACACGACGACCGGATTTCTCTCAGAATGGTCGTGACCACCGCGGGCATGCATGGCGACCTGGGCACCACTGGCGTATATGAATGAGCTGCAATCGCTGCAGGTTCATCACACTCGTCTTCAGGTCGAATTTCACCATAAGCTGTCGATCCTTCTTTTTGTCCCATTATTCAGAGGTTCAGGAGCATCTAGCTGCATGATGCTTACCCGCCTAGCTGCTGTTTGTTTGAGCCTCGCCTCTCTGCTGGCTGCCATACCATTGCAGCCGGCCATCCGCAGTGACAATGGGGTCTCGGGCGATGCGAACACTGCTTCTCTGAGCTGTGGCTCTCAGTACATCTCCTGCTGTACAGATGATTCCTCGGTGTGCAACTTGGCAAAGGGTTGGGACGGTGACTTGGGTAAGCCATCTTCCGGATCTCCGTGTCACTCGCTGTTAACTTTGACTCTTTTCCCCTAGTTGGCGGCTCCGTTGACTTCGGCAATAAGACCAACCACGGCAAGGGAGCAAATTTAAACAAGCGGGACTTTGGTTTATGTCAAGGGAATAGTAATATCGTCTTTTGCTGCGGACCTCCCCCTTCCTATCAGGTATTCTTTTCTCCTTCTCTGCAAGTGACTGCATCTACTAACCATGATGAATAGGTGGGGAGTATCAATATCAACATCAATATAAATCTTTGCGGCACAATAAAACCAAAGCTGATACGGCGAGCTTCGTCATGACTTTCATTCTGGTCATTAATTCATGTCGCTCTCATTTGTAAACAGTATCCTTCAAAATCTAAGTTATGCTCCTTGCCACCTGCAGATTGTGTACCCACTCCCGATCATCATTGCATGTTCCTTTTCTAGTGAGGTCAGAGTAGTTTACTGCTCATTGGAACCATCCATTGTTATTCGATGTCTAGATGGACTTCATCGGTGAAGAATATGAAGTACTTGGGGGCCTATGTATATAGCTGGTCATAGTTTGCGAATTTAACCTGATTCTGAAGAGAGTCCCATGTGGTTCAAGAATAGGCGGGGAGCATGAAGGCAGTCGCTACTAGCGAATGTAGAAGATCGTCGTTTATGAGCCCAGCCGGCCTTGAGTTAACTTCGAGAGAATGGTCCACAGTATGACAGATCTCTAATAGTGTCGCTTGAGCAGGTAAAGGTAGCATGGGTAGAAGTCAATGGGAAGCTTGGGATGGTGTTGAAATCCAAGGCAGTTGAAGACTCAAGTCAGGGTGCACTGCAGAAATAAATACACTGGGTAGTATTTCGAGCCGATACTCAAAGTACACACAAACCTCCGATATTCCCCCTTGCCCTCACCTATACTGTACAGGTGGCCTCTTAGGCAACTCAGGCTTCCAGTCTTCTTCCTCGCTGTCGTCACTGTTGTCCAAGTCCTCTTCATCGGTGGCCTTCTTCGGGTTCTTCATGTACTTCTTGGACCAGCTGTCCCAGGACTTGGCAGCCCTATTCGTCGCTTCTCGCAGGTCCTCCGTAACTTTGCGGATCTGCCACTGTTCGGAGCCATATTTGTATCAGCTTCCGCGCTACCAGAATGAAGAGACAAGGCAGCACCGGGTGGAACTTACAGCGACGTCGTCCTCCGCATCAGGCACCTCTCGATGCTCCGGCGACCACCCCATGCTTGCGAGTACCTCAGCCTCGCCGGGCAAATAACCGCCGGGGCTCGGGAACGCGTCCGGGTTGCGCTTGTGGCAGGCCTCCTCGACGTAGCGCCTCATCAGGTCCATGGCCGGGCTTGGCTGGAATACCATCTGTATCGTCTTGTCCTTGTCTCCATCTTTATGCTTGGCTCCTCCTCCTCCCTTTTCATTCGTCTCGTGCCCATCATTACCTCCTCGTGTCTGGCCAGTGCCAGTGCTTCCGTCGACGGTGTGTGACCTGCGGAGCATCATTGCGCCGTCGTGTTCCTGGTGGGCGGGAAAGTCCCCCTGGGCAGGTCTCAACTTGTTCACGATCTTGTTCGCCGTCATCCAGGCGCTGGCGTTGACCGCCATCCACACCATGTTGACCTCGCTGAGCCCACCAAAGACGGGGATGATAAGATCGATGGTAAAGGTGATGGGCAGCAGCGCCGTTCCGATCCAGAAGTCCCGCTTGGTCCTGCTCTTGGTCCGGCTCAGCTCGCCCTTGACGTTGTGGAACATGTCGTCTGTGGATCGCGTGGACGGGCCCTCAGGGTGGATCAGGACGAGGCTCTTGACGGACTTGCGCGGCACGCGCGAGAGGAAGGTCACGTCTGAGGGCTTAATGATGCTCAGGACCCAGACGGCCCCCCGGATGGACACGCTCTGGATCCCGCCCAGGGACACAACCCTGCCGTTGTACGTCTTTGCTTTCCTGACCTCCTGCTGCCACCGGCGCACGGCTTTGTCTCGCTTGCGCTCCTTGATGTTCTTAACGGTCGGCTTCAGCAGGTCTGGCGCCGGCGGCGTATACAGCATATATCGCTGTGGAACATTCTGGAGGACTCCGTTTTTGAGCGGTTGAGGCAAAGGGATCATGTATGCCGTGACCCGTGTCGGGTTCCGCGAGTACTGAAGGTCTGGAAGTGCGCCTGACATTTGTTGGGCTTCTTGTTGGGGTGCTGCAGCAAACGAAACCTGCTTGGGCTGTGGCCGAACTGGGGCGGTTGCTCGGTTTTCTTCCTGGCTCCGATGATCCCACTCCGCCTGAAGCCTCCGTGCAAGTTCCTCATCTTCAGCCGCTGAAGGCGCTGACGGCCCTCGCCCTGCGGCATTGGCTATTTCGTGAACAGGGCCCGCTCGACGTTGTTCTTCGTCCTCCCATTCGGTCTGTAGCTTTCTCGCAAGCTTCTCATCGTCGGCCGTCGACGGCAGATGCTCCTGAAACCTGGACATTATATCGTGATTTCGGGCTTTGGGGCTTATTTTGAAAGAAGGGAAGTTGAAAAGGTACTAGATTGTTGAGGCATAACGAGACATAGTTATGCGTGTTACACATTGAGGCAGGGTTATTCCTCACTTCCTTTAAACTCGTGTGTGTCACTCCGCACTGCCTCGTTCGTCAGCGCATTCGTCAACCTTTCTCGGCGGGTGGCGGTTCACGGCTTTGCCAAGTAATCATGCTGTCAAGGCTGTGTGCTGTACACACGCCCTAGGCAATTCCCTGTCGGCTAGTTTCTTGGACGCAGCCATCATTCAATATACCAACGGCAGGCTAGGTGAGCTTGTTGCAGTAGGCGCCATCCTGCTTCTCACCTGGTCCGCATCATATGTTTCGATTCATTCCACATCGCCCAGGCGTACATACCTCGAGGCTGTGCTTACTTGGCCGCTATTTTTGTAGTGCTCTCGGAACCTGTGACGCGCGAGGTGTTGGAAAACAGAAGAATAAGCGGCGTGAGCCAAGGGCAGAAGAGCGTCAGCCTAGTACGTGCTTTTAGGTAGTAGACATTGAGGTGCGTCACATATAATAGGCTTGTAAATGCCGCCAACACTTTACCATGGGTCAGCGAGGACGGCGATTTCTATTCGTCGATGCACACCAAAGGTCAAAGGCAGCGGCCGGGGAGGACCCGTGGTTGCCGTGGTTGCCGTGGTGCCGACCTGGCTCGACTCTCGAGTATGTATGTGCACCGGAATTGAGAATGACCATGTTGCCGGAGGGGAGGCACTCAACCCGGCGAGCTCTGGAGACCTCGAGCGGCTGATCCCCTTCCCAAACTCCCGATCTCTGCGACCGCTCCGGGCCGCCATTCTCGATGTTCTCGGCATTCGTCCGGGTCTGGGTCCGGGTCCGGGTCCTGTCCAGTCCTGTCCTGTCCAGTCCTGTCCTGTCCAGCCATCCTGTCACCACATAAGGTTCCCCGTCGATCTTCTTTTACTCTTCTTGATTTTCCGCACTCCATACAGCGGCAAGGGGGTAGGCAGGTAGGTAGGAGGATAAAAAAAAAGAAGGGGGGGGGTGTTAGACGACTGGTAAGGGATATATGTGCTTCCGTTGTTTCCGCGCAAATTTCATTATGACAACAATGTCCTTCCTTCCTTGCTTGCTTCCGATTCCCTCTCCTCCGTCGTTGCGCACGCAAAGGCAACGTGCTTCCTCGTAACCCTCCACTCGCAGTCCCATGCAGGCCTTGGCGCAACAGCCCGAAGAACACAACGCCCGGACCGCCACAAGCCAGCATGACACATGATACATGACTCCTTTCGCAATACAGACACCTAACCATCAAATGCAGTTGCTCTCCTCTCTGTCTTCCTCTTTCTTCTAATCCTGGGAAACCGCTCCAAAGTCGTTGAAATTCGCCGTCAGACTCCATCCGTCATTCACGTGGCATGGTTGAAGTGGTATCGTCGAGGTGGGAGGTTGCGCAGCTGTCCCTCACAGTTACAGCGTCGTGTGGCCGTTATCACGGCCGCCCACACAGCTCAGAGTTGTTGGCCTCCCCAAGCTACTAAGGACACGGCCCACACTAGGACTCCTTCTTCGCAGCAGTCTTGGGGTCCTGGCCACCCTCTTTCGCGGTCTCCGAGCTGGAGTTGCCATCAGTGCCGGCGCCGCTCCCGCTCGCCTTCTGGTTCAGATCGAATTTGGGGTCGAGTTTCTCGGGGGTGACGGGGCTGCCTATGACCTCGTGGCCATTGTCATCGCTGGACGTGGATTTCTTGGACACCTGACTTGCCAGGTCCTTGTCCTCTTCAGAGTTGTCGAACATCTCGGTATCGTCTGAGTCGGTCAGCACTTCCGTGCCATCGCCGAGGAAGATTATTCGGCCGCGGTAACCGCCAATGCCAAAAGACTTGCCCTTGTTAGAAGACTCGTTGTCGTAGTCATTGCCACTGTCATTGTCATCAAAGCTGTGGTGGACACCGGGGCCTCGAAACTCGGCTGTTCAATTGGGTGTAACTGTTAGTACGATGCTCATCTCAACGTCAGGTACGCCACGCCGCAGGGAGCTGCAGGGACAACAAGGGACACCTTTGCCTTCTATGGCTGTTGCGTACCGTACTCGGGAGGAGCGCAGGGTCCATCGCCATTGCCGACCCGCTTAGAAACCTCCTCATACCATTCCTCCTTGGTTCGGCCCCGCAGGAAACCGATTATGATCATGGTCATGTTGTCACAGCCAACTCCGCCGGTCTCCGAGTTAGAGGCCAAGCAGTTGTCCATCATGTTCTCGCAGATCTTGTCCAGGTCCTGCTTGGCAGCGATGCCACGGCGCACAAACTCGGTGACGGCTTGGGAGGACTGGCAATCCCAGATACCTGAAGTTTGTGACTCGCGTTAGCATGCGTGACCACGGCGGGCCAGACAAGGACGAAGCCGAACGTACCGTCACATGCAATCACCAGGAACTCGTCGTCGTCAGAGAGGTCATGTACCACAACGTCGGGGTAGGCGGTCACGATCTGTTGCTCGGGAGCAAGCTCGGCGCTCTTCTTGAACTCGAAGTCGCCGATGGCTCTGGAGAGAGCGAGGTTGCCGTTGACCCGTCCAAAGTCGACGAAGCCACCAGCGGCGGTGATTCTTGCCTTCTCGCCTGGGAACAGAAAGGTCAGAAAACCATGTACGTTTGTGACGCAGCGCGCTGGGTCAAGAACGTAGGTAGCACACCTTCATTTTGGGGCTTGTGGTCGAAGGACAGCGGCTTCGCGCGGCCCTTGACACCCAAAACACTCCTGGAATCTCCGGCATTTGCCTGTTGGACATGTCAGGTCAGCTTGAGAAAGTCCCGGGAGCCTGGAGGGATAAGATTTGACAGGGCGGCACATACAACATAGATTTTGTCATCTGTGAGGAGACCGACACAGGCTGTGCAGCCAGAAACCTCCTCCTCATATTTGGGGTCTGCTCCGAGGAAACGAAAAGCATTTGTCAGCCACGTGCGCCCCTCATGGAGTCGGACAGGTCAGATCAGCCGTACCGTTGAGTATTGCGCGGTCGGTGGCGAGGAAGCCATCCTTGAGCGCCTGCTCATAGTTGCCCGCCTTGAACGTATCCTGCTTTGCGATGATGTTGTGGATGTTCTCGCCTGTGAAGAGGGCGACCTTGTCGCCGCCGTGGCCGTCGAAAACGCCGAAGAAGGACAGCCGTTGGGGGTGGTTCTTGCAGGCATCGGCGTTGGAGGCGAGGAGATCTAGGACGGTGGTGTGGGCATCCTCCATGCTGATGCGCCAACCTTGCATGGCGGACACGCCGTAGATGAGCCTGTTGTCCTGGCCATTGTCCGATGTCTAGAGAAGGGCGAGATCATGGTTGTCAGCGAGGCGCGAGAGTCAGGCATGGGCTGAAGGGCTTGGTGGAAGCTGAGGAAGGGAGGGGGCGGGTTCAGGAGAAGACAGGGTCGTGGGATCGGTCGGTAGGACATGGGAATTTTCCACGAAGGCCGATGGGATGCAGGTGAGGTTGTCCACCCCAACCGTGTCATCAAACGACGACCGCGGCAGACGTCACGGCGGCTAAACTGGAGCTGCGCGATCGCCGACCATCGGCCCGTGCTGGCAGGCAGAGGAAATGACTGGACTGGGCTGGACAAGACTGGACCGAATGGAGTCCAACGGCATTGGAAGTCGTGGAGCTGGGATCGAAGGCTTGGGATCGGCTGGCTCTGGGGGCGCAGACTGACTGACCTTCTCGACAACGGGCTCACTGAGAGTCTGACCCATGGCGCGCGAGACTTTCTGGGCGGGTGTAGACAGGCGGTGGAGGGTGAGGACGAGGGTGGTGGTGTTTGATGTTGAGGCAGGGCGAGGCGGAGGCAGAAGGTGGAGGTGGAGGTAGGAGCAGAGGAGGCAAGGCGCAGGGCAAGGCGAGGCAAGGCAGTGCAGGGAAAGACGAGGCGAGGCGAGGCGAAGGGGGCAGGCAAGGCGGGGCGAAGCGAGGCCAGGTGAGGTGAGGTGAGGTTTAGGTGAGGTCGGCCTGGGTGTGGATGTGGTGGATGTGGATGTGATTTTTTGGCAGTAGCAGAGGCTACCGCGGGGTACAGGGAAGAGGAGGGAGGGACGTGGATGGAATTGGAATGGGATTGTGAGAGTTGATAGTGACCAAACGCCGCAAGGTCAGAGTTTTCCCCTTTCTTTGCCCGTCCCGTCAGGATGGATGGGCCAGATGTGCCAGAACTAGAAGGGCCAGGCCAGAGTGAGGGGTGAGCGGGCAGCGGTAGGGCAGACACTACTTGGAGGTACTGCTGGTACCAGCTGGTCTCGACAGACAGGACAAGGAGGTCAAGGTTCAAGCAACAAGCAACAATGACAATGACGTTAGGGGCCTACAGTAGAATGTTTCGAGTTGCGCCTGGGATTGGTTGCTCCGTTGTCACTCAGTACTGTGCCTGTGCAGGTATGCCAGCAGTACTCCAGCCAGGCGGTCCAGGCGGTTTGAATTTTGGGCTGCGGGCGCCTAGGAAGGTATCAAGCAATACCTACCTACAGCAGAGCGGGGTACCTGGCCTGGCCCCGAATCCGGGCTAGCATCAAGAGCCACTGGTGGCATGCACCACCGAGGCAGAGGCAGCGATGCAGGAGGGAGCTATGGTCACCCAGCACCAGCACTGACTGGCCCGTGCTCCGGAGCCCACAGCAGCTTGTGGGGCTTCTGGGGGCTGGACCCTTGGCTTCTGCTTCCTTCCTTCCTGCCTGCTGGTAGATACGCGGTAGCATCAGAGTCAAATGACGTATTGGCACCATGGACCTCTGTTTAAGAACACAGCACCGCACCGCGCTGCATTTGGTAGGCGAGCACATGATGCACATTATGTAAAAACCAACACTTCCTCTTCACCTCCTACAAGAAAGCAACCCTGCGAGATATTCGCAATATTGGGGACGAGGTCCCCCAGCCTTTTTGTGGCATAGAAGCAAGAGTTAGCCTGCGTTTCTCGAGAAGCCAGCCCTTGAAGCCCTGCTGAGGTCGCAAGGCTGTAGGCTCTAAACTATGAGTCTGGCGTGGATCATATGAGGACTTTGTATATGTCCGTTGTCGACCTAGTGGTCTACGTTTAGAACCTGAAACACAGAGCTGGCTCCGGTGGCAGTCACTGTGGGGTGGTCCGGCCCATCGCTCCGAATGGTCACCGCCATCGGCAAGCTCGCCCACCGGCGCAGACACCGACGGAGCACAATGACCAGCAGACTTGACACAAGTTCCCCGTCACAGACTTTATGTTGGTGGTAGGTTACATCCCATAGTGAGCATCTCCTCTCGTCCACCAAGACTCTTCATCTGTCAGTTTAATGGTCCACTTGGAAGAGCATCGAGTGGACCAATCTTAAAAACAAACGTTTCGCCCACCGTCCCGTCCCGGGTCCTGGGGCCGTTCAGCTCATAATTCCCACCCGCCCTACTTGTTCTCGGCCCTGACCAGACAGATATCGGGCGAGGCCTTCAGCAACACCTGCTGCATCAACAATGGCCGAGAAGGAGACCCCAAACCCCATGGAGGGGCTACCTGAACCCCCAGCTGTCTCCGTCAAGACCCTCGCCGTCACGGGCATCATGGTCGACGTCTACGGCCTCGACGAGCTGCCCCCGAACCTCACCCATGTCTCGATCCTCTGGTTGCACAACCCTCGTCTTGGCACCAAGGCAAGAATGGCCCCCATGGCCCAGCGTGCCGTGAGCGAGTACAACGCCACGAGGCAGGCTGCGAGCACTCGGGGCCTGATAGCTGCTGCGTTCGGTAAGAAGTCTCCTGGGTAGATGCCCATGTCCCACCGGTATTCATGAGAGAGACACCTTGGCCTGGCTGACATGGCAACCGCCCCCCCCCCCCGCAGACCAACGCAACCACGGCACCCGCGAGGTTTACCCCCTCTCCAACCAGTCCTGGAACAAGGGGAACCCATTTCACGCCCAGGACATGGTGGGCATCATCTCAGGCACCGTCGTCGACACCAGCCTCCTCATCGACACCCTCCCCGGCTACCTCTTCCTCGAGTCGTGCCCGTCCCCTCCCGCCTTCGACCAGCACGTCTGCCTCGGCGTCTCGCTCGGCGGCCACTCGACGTGGCAGGCCCTCTTCGCCGAGCCCCGCATCTCCGCCGGCGTCAGCATCATCGGCTGCCCGGACTTCCAGTTTCTGATGAAGGACCGCGCCCGCCTCTCCAAGTTACCCACCTACGACAAGTCCACCGCCGGCGCGGGCTTCCTAGGCAGCCGCGACTTCCCCCCGGGCCTTGTCGCCCAGTGCGCCCGGTTCGACCCCAAGGGGATCCTCTTCGGAGCTGATGAGGTTGCCGAGACGCCGTCCGAGGCGCAGCAGGCCCGGCTCAGGCCCATCCTTGATGCTCACATCCGGGGGAAGAAACTCCTCATGTGCACCGGCGGAGCTGACAAGCTTGTCCCGTGGCGGTGCTCCGAGCCTTTTACCAAGTTCTTCACCGGCGCGGCCGAGGGCTGGTACAAGGACTCCGGCCTGGCTGCGGACAACAGGGTATACCCAGGCATCGGTCATGAGTGCAGTCCTGAGATGGTGGTCGACGCCGTTCGCTTTGTGTGTGAGGTGGTGCAGGGTGCAGGTACTGGGGGAGCTGCCGTGTCAAGAATCTAATAGATTTGAAGTATCTAGCAGGCTTGGTATGGAGTGCTCTGAATCCAGCTATAATGCCATGTCTCAGGACTTTCCAGACCGTGGTTCGTCTCTTGCAGCCCGGATATAAGCCTGCCAGAAAGAGAACATGGTCCAAAATGACCTCGGAAGCAATGTACTGTGAGGTTCACAGCACCTACCCGAGATCAAATTTAGGTTTACCACTAAGACAGTAAAGGTGGGTCCTACGAAGGGCAATGAGAACAGAGATGATCAGCATGCCGCTCTTACAAATTTATGTGTACCATGCTAGTATACATCTCTTTATGCTTAGGTAGAAGGTCAAAGGAAACGGCCAGCTCCATAGGACGGCTGGGCAGCACTGGTGATGCACTCTCGGCTTGGGACTGTGTTTATATCTCCCCCTAGTAAACAGAAGATTCATCAGAATCTCAAGCCGAGTCTACCCATCAGCCAGGGCCTTCAGCGTCTTGCCGTAAATATTGGATCTGCTGCTGAGCTTGACTAGTAATGACTGCACTTGGATTAGCCAAGTGCACTGGCGCTTTACTTGATCCTTTTCAATCGCAAATCTGTGTATCTGATGTTGGTCATCATGTGATTTAATGAGCTGTTATAAAGGGTTTCCTTAGCTCACAACTTAGGGGCCGCATGGATTTCGCTGCATTGTGGAAAAGACCGTAGTCACTCAGGCTTGCTCAGAGATTTTGAAGATTGTATGTTACTGGAAGTAGTCTGCTAGCTCTCAACCTCGAGGTGTGTCCCAGCAGTCATATGTCTACTGATCAGTCACATTTACGAGGCATTGTCTCAAGCAAGTCTTGAATTTTACCTTCCTGAAAAGAGGAACGGCAAGCTTTGTAGAGAGACCAGCCCATCAATCGGGTCTTATTGATCATTGCCTGAACTTTACTTCGAGCAAGGTCAAACGTTATCAATATTAGAGACTGAACCTTAGCTGATCAAGTCTGTTGATATGCTACCTTTGAGCATGTCTCTCTATCTTGGCAGTTTGATGACCGTTTGTGGCTTTCTCTTCTGGACTACTTCTAGTTTCATATGCCATGAGTTTAATTGTGCTACAAGGACCCTAGACATCGACATCATTTCTTCCTGTGAGAAGTTACCGGAAAGATGCAAATGTACTTGGAGAGATATCATATAATCTATCATCTCATTCTACTGCCTCAAGCTGCCGTTCGGCCTGTCTAGTCTAGGGTCGATCAGAACGAGTATCAGAAAAAGATTGTACAAGGATGTAATAGCTTCAGTCTCGGCCCCAAGGTCTCGCCTCACCTTGGACAAGGATTTCCTCGCCGTCCTCAAGCAGTCTTGTATCGATGCCACTCCGTTGTCTCTCATCCTCACTTCCGAATAATCTCTGAGATACACCCCATAGGTTCCTACGTGTTCTCTTCGTCTTGAGACCGTCCGACTGACCCTGAGGATCTTTGACCCACTCATTAACCGCACCCTCCTCTTGGCCGACTACCTCCGGGATGCCTGGAGGGTTGATACCAACAAAGTGAACCTTATCGAGAGGAAAGGCCAAGGCATTGCAGTGTGCTTCTACGAGGCGGCGCCGCTTGAAGGCGTGAGAGACGATGGTGAGAGAGCTGGGCCATCGGGAGGTGCTGCGCCAAAATTGAATTATGCTGAAGAGAATGTTTTGGTAGCTGTCCATGGCGCGCTCCTCGCATTCAACGCGGGGATGAAGAGGGATGGGAGACAACGGGTGTGAGCGAGTGAGAATGGGTGATGGCCCAGGTGGTGAGTTCAGGAGGCCCCAGTATGTGTTTGCGGCGGCGAGATTGGCATAGCTGCGGGCCTCCGAGATGGGGGTCGATGCAACAGTCGGACCGCTGAAGAAGGTTAGCATCGGTAAGTGAGCCAGATTTAAACACCTAGCCCTGGACTCACCCTGAGAATATCAGCATGGCCCGGTCATCTTCGCCCAGGATCTTTAGGCCTGCCTTGATATGTGCTGTGTACGTCGGTGTTTCACCCTTCTTCCAGCCTTGAATGATCCATTCTGACTCGTCCTGACCATTCGAGGGCCCTCCTGCCCAGATTGCATGGCCGCAGACGAGGATGAGGTGGCTTGGCGGCTGCATGCTCATGGTGTGTCGCCAACGGCTTGGTCAGAAGAAAGCGCAGGTTGCAAGAGGCAGCGCTTGTTTGTTGGGTCAATTGAACGTGGCCAATCAGGTTGGATCATGTGACAGGGTGCAAGAATGAGCCTCCGATGCATCAGTGCTCGATGATCCTGAACCGGTTGTTGCGCCCCGGCCCCCAGTAATGAATCAGGGCTCATTTTTGATCCCGTAGCCATCGCAATACATCAGAGACCAGGTATAGACTTCCAGCCACTACCACCGGGCCACCCTTGTCCAGTGCCAAGTCCAGGGTCTTGCTGATGTTCGCAGTATCATCATGGGTTTCGAAGGTGACGGCACCGCATTGACTCGCAGCATCCAGGATTGCCTTCGGCTCTTGGGGCCTGACCCAAGGCATACCGTCCACGGGTCCGAAGCGGACGGCTGTGGCCAGGTCGTCTGGTTGAATTACGACCTCTAGAATCCCACTCACATCCTTTCCTTGAGAGGCAGCAAGCACCCATGTGATCGGCCGTCCACCTGGCCGTAGCTGTTTGTTGACGTAGGCGGCTAGGACCTCGGCGGACTGGACGTTGTGTGCGCCATCCAGCAGGATTTCCCTCTCGTGAGGCGGTATCGTAGCCCTCTGGAGCCTCCCTGGCAGTCGGGTCTGTTTGATGGTAGACATCCACCGCTCGAGGCTCACGTCCTCGTCGGGACATGCGCGTCGGAAAGCCTCCAAAGCGCTGGCGATGTTCTGGATCTGGTGAGGCTCAAAGCCTGCCTGGGAGAGTGAGGTTTTCAGACTCGACATCTCGGACGGGAAGACGGTCTCGGCCCCGACGGCCTTGGCGTGGTCCTCGATGACCTGCAGAACAGAGGGCTCGTTGCTCTGGTCGACGATGCAAGGGACGTTCTCCCGCATGATGCCGGCTTTTGTGCGGGCGATCTCCTGGATGGTGTCTCCCAGCAGGAACTGGTGGTCCAGGCCTATCTTGGCGACGACGGTGACAACCTTGTGCTTCAGGGCGTTGGTGGCATCCAACGAGCCGCCCATGCCGACCTCGATGACGCCGAACTCGACCTTCTCGCGCTCCATGATCTCGAAGGCGGTGGCGGTCAGCAGCTCGAACTCGCTCGCGCCGATGCTGTCCCTGCGGTCCCTCTCCTTGACCAGCCGCTCGGTGTCGAGGAACAGCCTCTCAGACACGGGCTCCTCGTTGATGGTGATGCAGTCCCATCGGTCGATGAAGTGTGGCGAGTTGAAGCGTGCGCAGGAGCGGCCGCTGGCGTGCAGCATGGCGGAGAGATAGGCGCAGGTTGAGCCTTTGCCGTTGGTGCCGGCGACGTGGATGGCCTTCCATGACTGGGGAGTATGTTGCAGGAGGCGCGTTATGCAGGAGAGGCCGAGCTCGATCATCTTGGGTAGCCGATCCTGCTTCTCCTGCAGTGATGCCCTTCTACGAGGAATATGGTGCAACCGCGCAAGGCTGATTTATGTTTTGTGATACACAACAGCACAGAGCTGTGTGCACTGGCCAGTGCCCGTTCCACGATTGGTGACTGACGGACAGATGAGTCCTTCCGCCGAGGAGGGAGAAGGGAAGTGTGGAGGGCAATTAATGTTCACGGGCGAAAGGTGGAGAGAGTGGTGTCACGGCATGGTGGGTGCAATATATAATCTCACGAGCAGGCGAGGTAGATTATTCTCTGCATGAGAGCAGTATCTTTCTTACGGCGTCTCTATCTCGCATGCTGACAGTCATGAGTAGCTCGGTGCTCACTGCACACTAAGCAGAGGTGACGGACCAGGGTCGGACGCACGGACGGACAAAGCCTGGGGTCGCTTGTGCCGTGTGTTAGGGACTTGGCCTTGGTCTGCACCGGCGACACTAACAGCGGAAAACGTCCTTGGCATGACAACCTTGTCGCACCGTCCGTTGCCCGTTGCCCCCCCACCCACCTGGGACCCCCGATGCGCTTGCTTGCGCTATGCGTTATGCTCCTCCAATGCCCTCTCTTGCCCCTGCCGCCCCCGTCCACTCGAACCGCCTTCCTTCTCTTCGCCCGCCTTCCTGCCTTCCCGCCCCCCACCCAACCACCTGCACCTTGGACTTGCGCTTGCCTTCGCACCTTGCACCTCGCGCATTCATCCCTCGACAAACCCTCGTTTTCATCCGTAATCCTTTCAACCCTCACTTCTTCGCATCGCCTCGCGACCAGAAGAGAGGTGCCCATCACGCCGCTCATTCCTCCCCTCCCCTCCACTCCACTCCAGCCTGCGCAGTGTAGACACAGCCTGCACTGCCTCCTCATCATTTGGCAGTGACCTGAGTTCCCCGTTGTTGGGGGTCTTTTCGCTGCTCCTGCACCTTGTTCTTCTCGTGGCGCGTTTCGACGCTGGTTCGCCCTGATTTTTACCCCCCTTCCCTTTTTCTCAGCCCCTTGACTTGGACCCTCGGGCAGCCTTATCCTCTACCCTTGGATCTCGGAGCCGAACCAACATCGACAACAGTCATCCGCCATCGTCACCATGGGTTTGCCGTGAGTATAACAACCACCCTCCTCCATTAGCATCACCACCGTTACACCCTGCCTGCCATCCGCGCAACTCTGGAGCGGGATCCGCCCAGCGACGCGAACCCGTTGTGCTCGGCCACCCTAGCAGCAATCTACAACGCGCCACTCCATGCACGCATCAAAATCAGACCAGCCGCAACGCGAATGCGGGCAACGCTGATTTGTCGACGACCGTTACCGCATCTGCGATCATCTCTACTGCTCTGCGCATTTGCTGACTCTGCCCTTCCCTCTCTCCAGTCTCTACCGCGCGCCTGTCGAGTCCGATCTCAAGGCCAAGGTTCCCAAGGATCCTCCAACTCGCGCTCGGTCCACCATCCGTCGCCCCCGTCGAAGCCTCAACGATCCTAGCTCTCGATCTGCCTCGACAAGTGCACATTACTACAGCCGTCGCACCGGTCCCGGTCCCCGCGCTCGCATCATCTCGCCATCCTCTGCCGAGTCGCCATGGACCCCATGGGACAATGTCGAGCCTGCCGCTGCTGAGCCTCATGCGGCTTCGCGGTCCGCGACCCGCAGGCCTGGCGCGTCCGACCCCCTGTACCTGGTGCGGGACAGCACCACACAGGACCATACTGGCCGGCGCGAACCTGTCTTGCGCGAGGTCATCACCCGCAATGGTCCCATGAGCCAGGAAGTCGTGCGATACTTCGGCCAGCACATGGCCAGACTGTACGCCGACACGAGCTCCAGAGGCGGCCAAGACTGGGATGAAACTCCCCCTGCTGCCGGCGACCGAGAACGTGAATCTGCCTCTCCCGACGATGAGCCTCTCCTTTTGGAGGGAGACGAGTTCAACCAAGTAAGCGGTCTTGTTTTCACCAACGCACACCTGCTTTAAACCGCACGGCTCCTTGCTCAACCAAGAGCGCGTGCCCTCCAATTTACCACGCTTGCACCGACCGTTCCTGCAATCTCTCGAGTCGTGCATCCTCTCTAACCTTTTTTTCTCCAGCGGCCGACCAGCTTCGTGCGTGAGTCTGTGGCAAGACCGAGAAGTGACAGAGATGCCAGAGCTCGAACAGACTTCCTGCACCGTCAGAACGAGCGTCTTATCGTTATGAGGCGCACACTCAGGGCCCAGGAGCTGTCCGCCATGCGTGAAGGGCGTGAAGCCCGCGCAAGGCGGTCGACCCCTGGAGATGCCACGCTTGAGGCCCGCTTCGACGGACTGGGTGACCGTAACAGGAGCCTCAGTCCCGAGGGCGACGGTGTCTGGGACACGCTCCTCAGCTCCATCACCCCTGACCCCCAGCCGCCCAGCGTGGGTACCTCGTTTGCGTCCACGTCGGCGGCAACTTCTCAGCCCAGCACCGCGTCTGGCGCCAACAGCGCCAATTCGTCCCGCACATCCCTTGCCGACGGGCCCGACGGGTCCTACTCGGCTGAGGTGATTGGATTTGCCGATGCATGCGAGTCTGGCGGTGACAATTCCGACACCGAAGGGGATGAGGAGGAGGAGGCGCGGGAGAACATTCTTAGACGCTTCGGGCGGTCTCACGGAGATATGGCAGAGCGCGATGATGATGACATCGAGGTGTTTGGGGGCGTCGAGTCCATGCAGCGCATTGTACGGAACCTTGCCAGGCGCGAGGACATCCCCGACGAGTGGTGGGCCGAGGCGGGGCTCAGTCGCACGCTGGGCAGGGAGGGCTCTTGAGGAGACGGCGAGGGATCGGCAACGTGCGTGGGACTGAGGGTGAAGCACCGGATTCAGGTGCTTGCACAACCACCATGACCGAGCTCTTGGTTGAGTTTACGGATGGGGTCGTGCTCCACAGTCAATTTACGAAGTTACGGTTTACGGAATTGGAAGGGCAAAAAGATGATACGAGGCCCCTCTGGGCAGAGTGTAATGTGTGAATCGGTCTAAGCTGTTGGCGATCGGCAGAAAAGGCGATACCTTATCCACCAGGGGGTTTGATTATTTTGGCAGCTCCCTCGAGAGCAGTTGCCATCCGTCTCGCGCTGGCTTTCAACTTGTACGAATAAGTGACGCGATGCTGGTCGGCCTGCAGATGGGCAGACCTTGGCATCAGCCGTCATAAGGAATTGACTTCGTATTGTGCGTGTATCCATGGGATTACTGGTTCTCAGCAGTGCAAGCGAGTGAGTGGGTGAGTGGCGAGTCGCGACTCGCCAGACTTTCTTAGTGCAGAGTCGCGCTGCGCCCGCGTGTCGGCGTGTCAAGGTGCCAGGGTGCGTGAGCCGGTCCCGACTGCGAATCGCTGGGAGGGCGAGGATTGGTGGGGGACACGGGCGGATAAGAATATATCTCTGCATACTCTGCACGTGCATATTGACTGCGTCCCAATCGGCGTGGAGAGGCTTTTGGCTTCTAGCCTTATTACTGTGGTAGATTGATAATGGTGACGGACATCTTGGTCTGTGCCGAGTGGAAGCCTGGGTGAGCAGGGGTGTCTTGGTCATGGATTCGTGCTGGATCACGGCCTTGCTCGCGTCAGACGCGTGATTCTCTTGGAGAGGGAAAGGGGATCTCGTGCGTTGGCCGGGGACGCGCGAGGCAGTGTATTGCGGTGGAGTGATATGAAAGCACCGTGCATGTGTATCCACGATATCAGAGCCTGCATATAATATTGTAAGCATGAAGCCTTTGCCCATGTCCACCACCCAAATGCCTTGCACCGGGGCTACTCTCTCCACCCTGCTTGCCCAAGACCATGTCTTGAAGTGCTGGGTTTACCGTGCACCCCTACGTAGATTACTAGGTGCCAATATGCAACCTGATGTTTTCCCCCTGGGGCCTACCACGAGGGATAGTCTCTGTACCCTCCCTAATGATTCCAGCCTTATCCTAGGTCACCAGACAAAAGAACGTCAACAGCGTGGCGGCTCGGCGGGCGCCCTCAGGGATCCGGGATCCAGAGTCCAGAACTTTCTGACCGGGCAAGGTGGGCATGATGGGTCATCCAGGACGGAGCCATGTGGATCTCTCGGCTGATGAGCTGGACTGCAGCAAAGGCAGGCGAGGATGAGGATGAGAGGGAAAGAAAAAAAAATCGTGTCGGGTGTGACGTGCAGGAATGGGATGTCATGACGATGGTCGGTGACAGGCTGCCTGGATTGCTTGTTCCAGTGACTCCGGTTACTTCACGGGCAGTGCGTATATTTCCACGAAGCTTGTCCCAGAATGTGTATATTTTTATGTTTCAAGCCCGTTGTCTCCTGTGGCATGGTTCTATGATGAATATCGACCGTGTTGGGAGCGTAGCGGTTGCAACAGCACGTGCTTGCGAGTGTCTTAGGTAGCATGCATAGTCGAACCTGGAGCATCAATCGGGTTTCATCGAGCCATCGTTCGCGACCCGGAAAAGTCCAGGGAGGGGGCCTGTCCACGAGGCTACCTCAGGCCGCCCCATTGTACATCAACCATCATTGCCAGGCTGGACGGTACATAGACAGCGCCGGGGTGGGTGGCACTAAGGCTGGAACTGCTCGTCTGGCATTGATTGACAAGAGCCCAACTCGACTATGCATCCTGGGGATCCATTGATGCACATGCAGTGTGTAAACCTTGGACCTGATCCCCCGGCTTCCGAGACGCACTGGCAGTAAATACAACAGTAAATATTCACGAACACGGCAGTACAGGTAGAGTGTAAGTAAAATAGAATCTCACTGTGGTCCATTTCCAAGTACGTTACAATAGAAGGAAGCTCGAGGAAGGTACATATCTGGGAAGGGCAAGGAAGGCCCATTGAGGACCGACCACCTGGAACCTGGAACATGACCCATGCTGCCAGGGGGGGCCACAGAAGGAAACACAGAAGAAGCAAGCCCAAACCTAAGCCAGCCCAAGCCCAATGCTCCCATAAATTTCGGACGCAGACATTCTTATTAGACACACGGACATACAGACACACAGACACACAACACACCTGCTCGCCCGGCCATGCTTGCAATGCCAATGCAACAGCAGAAGCAGCAGCAGCTCCTCCAGCTCCAGCTCCAGCTACAAGCTCCAGGTCTGCAGCAGCACAGCCGGCTGGCACAGAACTGCTGCCATTGACCTTGGTTGCTGTCCCTGTCGCTGGTCTCGCCGTCTACCCCCACCCCAGTTGTTTTCGTGATCGACGCTGCCGCTGCCGACGCCGCCATCACTACTGCTGTTGGCGACCTCTCGCCCTGCCCAATCCACAACAACACCACCAACAGCCAAAGCTGGCCACCGTCCCTCGAACGACGAAGTGACCTGCCCGCCCGTCCGTCCCTCCGCCTCGTCCGACGAGCACCGCCCATCCGCATCCACTTCCGGTACCGTACGGCACGCCCAGACCAGGCCAGTCCATGCCGGGACACCGCGCCCCGCGCCCCACGCCCCACGCCCCTCTGCGACCCGCGCCTCACATCACACCCCGCTCTGAGATCATACCCTACAACGCCCCACCGCGAATCTCGTTGGCTTTTTGGGAAAGCAAAATAGAAGGAAGGCGGGAGAAAGAACGCAAGAGCAAGGAGAGGAGAAGAAAAAGAAGAAGCAGAACGAGCACAAGGAAAGTTCCGAAGGAACGGGCCGGAGAGAAGGCAGCGGAACAAAGCTGATACGCCAAACACCCCGTCTGAGGCTGCGGCTCCAGCCAGCTCGCTGCCGCACCCAACAGACCCGTGCGAGGCCACACGGCCAGTCCGGAGGTCTGACTGCCCAGGAGCAGGAAAGAACAGCGGACTGGCGCCGATCCATCGATCACTCAGTCAGTCAATCGGTCAATCAACCAACCAACCAATCGATAGGGCGGGCACAGGAGCTGCCCTGCCGTACAGGCCGCACCGACCAGATCGCTCCCGCCGCCTCTCCTTGTATGGAACCGAAACGGAACCTTGATCCGACCAGGGGCTACACAGGATTACTGGGAGGACGCCATGCGGACAGGCAGCTCCAACGCCGCCGAGCGAGCCTACCATGCCGCCGGAGGAGGAGGCAACCGGACCCCCGTCTCCGCGAGGACGCCCCGGAGGGACCCCGGCAGTTCCAATGCTGTCGTCCACGCCAGCGGCGGCCATGCGCGCGAGAGGGCTCTGCAGGACCCTGGTTTGAAGGATTATGTACGACCGACCAAGCTATGAATGTGTGGGAGACTGGCTAACACGGTCCAAACTGCAGAGGCTAGGCGACTGCATCGGCAAGGGCGCTTTCGGATCCGTCTACAAGGCATTCAACTGGGGCACCGGCGAGGCTGTCGCCGTCAAGCAGATCAAGATCGCAGACGTCCCAAAGAGCGAGCTGCGCATGATAGAGGTCAATTACCACTACTCCTCTGGCACAAACAAACCCAGAGATGGGACAGCCCACCCGGTTCCTGGACGTAGAGATTGCTGACGTGCGTGGGCTCTTACAGGCCGAGATCGACCTTCTCAAGAACCTCCACCATGACAACATTGTCAAATACGTCGGCTTTGTCAAGTCCCAGGACTGTCTCAATATCATCCTCGAGTAAGTTGGACTGGCATATGGAGGTGGGAAGGGATTTATGTGCTCGGGCGGATGCGAAAGGGAGGGGAGAGCTTGGATTGGAGGAGGGAGTGGGAGCTGACCGCTGGGCAGATACTGCGAGAACGGGTCCTTGCATTCGATATGCAAGGCGTACGGAAAGTTCCCCGAGAACCTCGTCGGCGTCTACATGACACAGGTTTTGCAAGGCCTCCAGTACCTCCATGACCAGGGTGTTATCCACAGGGACATCAAGGGTGCCAACATCTTGACAACCAAGGACGGCACCGTCAAGCTGGCCGACTTTGGCGTCTCGACCAGCACGCTAGCTGGTCCCGACAAGGAGGCTCAGGTGGTTGGCACGCCGTACTGGATGGCCCCCGAGATCATCCAGCTCTCTGGGGCGACTTCTGCCTCGGACATCTGGAGCGTCGGCTGTACCGTCATTGAGCTGTTGCAAGGGAGGCCGCCCTATCACAACCTGGCTGCCATGCCGGCCTTGTTCGCGATCGTCAACGACGACCACCCTCCTCTGCCGGAGGGTGTCTCGGCGGTCAGTCTTTCTTCACCCATGCTGGAGCGGGGCAGGGCAAGCTTTTGGACTGATTTGACTGACTTCTGTCGCAGGCTGCTCGGGACTTCATGATGCAATGCTTTCAGAAGGACCCAAACCTCCGCGTGTCGGCGAGGAAGCTTTTAAAACATCCCTGGATTGTTGGCTGCCGCAGGAGCGACGCACCCGTATCCAAGAGACCTGCAAACTTCAGCCAGGCGGTCGAAGAAGTCAAACAGTGGAACAAGGCCCTCAAGTCTTCAGAAACCGCGCTGAGGGCCTCCACAGGCTCCGACAGCAGCGCCCAGACTGCCCACGCACAGCCCATGTCCAGGTTCACTGCTGTTGCGGCAGACCCACACCGCGCGAACCTCGCAACTTCCGGGAAGAGGCCGCTGGGCATCACAAAATCCAAGCCCAACCCGGACGCGTTCCGCTCACCTGAGGTTGCCGATGATGACAACTGGGATGACGACTTTGCGACTGCCATCTCCCCGAGCGCCCTCCATCTTCCCCACCTCAAGCCTCAGGACAACTTCGGGGGCATGCTCTCCGCCGATAGGCTCAAGCAATATGCGTCCATTGACGAGGCCAGCGCCAGCAACAACTGGGACGACCAGTTCGAGGGCGACCTGCAATCCGCCAAAGGCTCCTCTCGCCAGTTCCTCGACCAGGACCCCCAAGAACAGACTATCCGTCCCACCCCCAGAAGGTCGAGCAAGTCTGCCGAGGCGTCAAGAACCCCACAACAGCACGGAGGAGGGCATGGACACCGGAGGACCAGGAGCAAGCAGGTGTCGTCCTCGAACGTGCCGCTGATTCAGAAGCAGCCCGCCAAGCCGGCGCTCGGCAGCAAGTTCGAGCTCCCGCTGCGGCCGGAGGCCATCTACCGGGAGCAGTCCATCGAGGACTTCTCGGATTTCTTCCCTGAAGCGGACAATCTGTTCAACAAGAAAACGAATCGTCCCAGAAAGGTAAGCATATGCGTGAGCGCCGCACAGCAGCAAAGTGCTGCCCGGGCACATTCTCGCCCGAGGAAGGGCGGGGAGCTCAAACTTGAATTGTCTGTCCAGGCCATTTACTAATGCTTCACACTGCCAATAGGAGGACTCCCAGTTGATGCCGCCACCTGAACTCAAAACTCAACACTCTCAGCCCAACATCCATATTGTGCCCCCGTCCGTTGGCAGTGACAGTCCGCGCCACCAGCGCACCCCCTCGCGGCCTCCAGCTCCAGATGAGCAGGCACCTGTGAGGAGGACACGTTCACAAATTGAGATCCAGAAATTTGCCGAGGGCGAGGACGACGAGGACTTCTCCGACATTCTTGGTCCTAATAGTGCCCTGGTAGAGAAGGAAGACAGCGACCGAGGCTCTGAGGATGGTACGGGTGGCATGATGCTGCTCTCTAAGCTGTCCAACAGCTCTTGGCTCGGTGACGACGAGGACGAGGACGACCCGTTCGCCATGATGGATCCCGAGTACAACGAGATGGACCTCGAGGCCAACATTGCCCGGGACCGGCACGCCCGCCTAGCTGAGCGGGTGGAGGAGCTTGTGCAGCTGCTCAAGGTCGGGACCGAGATCACAGGCGAGGAGCGGGTCTCCGATGTTGCCGAGGAGCTGGTCTACCTGCTGCATGAACATGAGGATGTCAAGGGCTTGATCATCGGCGCACATGGCCTGTTGCCCATCTTGGAGCTGCTCACTCTGCCGCCGGACACCATTAGCACAGCCAAGGGCCGCCAGGACATGATCTTGTGGCTACTTAAGGTCGTAAATAAGGTCAGTCTAGCCATGCAGAGTCTCGCGTTCTCGAACCACTTGTTGACAGCCAACAGATCATCTTCCGTGACCGGGAGCTGCAGGAGAATCTGTGCTTCGTCGGCGGCATTCCAATCATCACAAAGTTTGCTGCTCGGCAATTCTCCAATGAGATCCGCCTCGAAACTGCTGATTTCGTCCAGCAGATGTACGAGACATCAACCCTCACGCTGCAGATGTTTGTCAGCTGTGGCGGCATCTCGGTCCTTGCTGGTTTCCTGGACGAGGACTACGACATGTCCCGGGATCTGGTCCTCATCGGCGTTAATGGCATCTGGAGAGTGTTTGAGCTCCAGGGACCTACGCCCAGGAACGACTTCTGCAGGCTCTTTTCAAAGGCAAAAGTGCTTGATCCACTGGCAGAGATTCTTCACAGGGTGTTGGACGCGGACGAAAAGGACGAGCTGTCCGAATTTGTCGAAGGGCGGGTCGTTAACCTCTTCTACATGTTCTCCCAGGCGGACTACGAGGTCAAGGAGCTGATTGCTGACCGTGCGGTTCTCAAGACCGTATTGAAGGACCTCGAGACTATGACACCTACGCACCAGATCACCATGCTAAAGTTCATCAAGAACCTCTCTAGCCTGCCAACTACCGTTGAGGTGCTTCACTCTGCAGACGCAATCGACTATCTGATTGACCTCCTAGGACACAGCTTGAAGAAGAACACACGGCATTTCAGGGAGATCTCCAACCAGGTCCTGAACACCATGTTCAACCTGTGTCGTCTCAGCAAGGAGCGACAAGAGTACGCAGCGGTCCACGGTATCATCCCGTTGCTGTTGAAGATTATGAAAATCGACCGCCCGCCCAAGGAGTTTGCCTTGCCAATACTTTGCGACATGGCTCACTCAGGAAGCAAAGGGCGTCGATATCTATGGCAGAACAAGGGCCTAGACTTCTACGTGTCTCTGCTCGCGGACCAGTATTGGCAGACCACGGCGCTTGATGCCATCCTTGTCTGGCTGCAAGAGGAAACGGCCAAGGTGGAAAGCCATTTGCTGGGCGGTAACTTCCCCTCCGCCATCGTGGCCTGCTTCGATAGTTCAAAGGCGAACGCCTTCGCTGCTTTCGATGCTACTCTTCTTGAGCCCTTGCTCAAGGTCTTCCGCCTGAGCCCTACCCTGGCGGCGTCATTGGGCAAATCGGAGATGTACAGGGGCATTGCTACAAAGCTGGGCCACAAGAAGCCGGTGGTGCGGCTCAACCTACTCCGTCTCGTCCGCACCATCATGGACAGTTGCGAACCAGATCTGGGTGTCAACTCTGTGGGCGGCGGTGCAGAGTTGCAGACGCTCTTCGAGAACATACAGATGCTTGAGAAGGACCCAGCCCTGCTGGTGCGCAACCTCGCGCACGAGATCTCCAAGAGCCACATCGAGGGAGATTATTTCGAAACCAAGAGCCTCGGTACCGGCTCACAGAACGGCGGCAGTGGGCGTTCAAGGTCCGGCGGGTCCAGGAGAATGACAAGTTATGCCACGCCTCCTAGTCTGACCCACTCAACGACTGCCCCTGGAGCGCCGCCGAGGACGCCCACGCAGACACCGCAACTACGGCACACAGGTTCGGCAAGTGTGATCCAGCAGATTGCCCACACCCCTCGCCGTTCTCAGACAAGTCTGGTGCACGAGCAAGATGCCATGTTTGCAAGGCCCCGGAGCCGGGGAGCAGAGGCAGGGCTTATGAGCCCGGCCATCTCGACTCCACGACGTGTATCCGGCGATGCCAACGCGGCGGGGAGGAGTAGACTACCTAGGGGCTCGGTCTCGTACTCACGCCCGAGCACGTCTGGTGGGCCGAGCCTTCACCACGGCAGGTCTGACAGCTCACTGAGTAACAAGGAGAACTCGGGGGCTGCGGCTGCCGGAAGGAGAGGCTCTTATGTTGTAGGCGCGAGGAGTGGGAGTGGCGGCAGCGAAAGCTCTAGTGGATCACTGTATCCACCGTCGTCACCTGCCGTTGAACGCGACAGGCCGAGCGGTGGTATCAAAAGGCGGGCCAGCAGGGTGCCCAGCTCGGAGTTGCGTTATGTAAACGGCAGCAGCTCCGCTAGAACCGAAGAATCTGGAAAGTGGTCCTAGAACGGCCGCTCTGATCAAGGAGAACCGCAGTCCAGCCGAAAAGGGCCATCCCCCGCGCAAAATAGCCAACGAATATACGAAGGAGAGCACGAGGAGCCCGGTGTAGGGAATCGCAGCGCCCAACTGTCTCTCGCTGGGGATGTCGATGCGATGAGTAGCAGCCCAGCTACGGCCAGCCTCAGCCTGACCGGCTCGAGATTGAAGGCACAGCTTGATGCGAGCCGGCGGCCGCCCCAGACTCGCCATGTTCGGCGCGCCGTGTCCTCCCATTCCACGCCAAGGAAGAAGAGAGAACAACAGAGGGAGAGACCTAGGACAGTCGCGGAGACGAGGTCGTCCCCGCCCAGAGGACGGAATGGCAACATAACCCCCACGTCGAGGTCGAGCGCGAGTCCCGCCCAAGAGCCGTCACCCTCTCGCACATCCGTGGGGCGTAATACAAGCCCAGAGAAATGTGCGGCGCCAACGCCATCTCCTTCTCGCTCCAACTCGACTGACTCGACCCCAGGCAGGACATCTCCTGCCAAGGCGTCAGGTAATAGGCAACTCACCATGCAGGCGTCGCCTCACTCAAGCCCCAAGAGGCAGACACCGTCAAAACTGAAACTCAGGGACAGCCTAAGCCCCGTGAAGATGTCGTCTACGTCAGCTTCTGCCCGCTCGTCGCCTGGTATGCATACCAGCGGCTACGCAGACCCCATAAAGAGAGACGAGCCGAGGCTGAGTTCTTGCGCAAGTCCACCCAAAAGGACGCCGCCGAAGCTCAAGCTGAGGAGGAGCATACAGATGGCTGACCTTGCCAGCCTGGGCCGCTCTCCGTCGCCGAAGAGCCCGGCCAAACCAAGCCCTGCTGCGACCACTGGAACCGAGCCAGGCAACCCGCCGTCTCCTAGCACACGGCAGACACGCAAAGACTGATTGCCGGTCTTGTCGTGGTCGAACGCTTTCGCAATATGCGCCTTTGCACTGCGACGAGAACTGAGTGTTCTGGCACTGGTACCTCCGCAGAGGCGTACTTTGCAGGCACAAACATGTAGCTTCGTGCTTTCACATGTACATTTATGCTAAAGTTTTTCTTTTCGAGGCTCTTCATTTCACTCACCCTCTTGCCAAGACTGGAATACCTGGCATCCGCGTTTTAGTAGTTATGAAGGCTCCCGTCCTCTAGTTGGCTGACAAGGGTGATGTTGGCATTAGAATAATCCAGGGCCTTTCTGAGCCGAGGCTGGCTGGCATATTAAGGCATTGGGGGTATGCATGGTATGGGATGGAAGGGAAGGGCAGTAATTGCATGGCAACAGGATCTCACTCAGCTGAGAATTAGGCTTGCAGGGACAAGTCACGCCTGGCAATTGCGTGTTACGCGGGGCACACACGCCATAGCACCAGTAAATAGCTGTTGTGGTGAAAACTATTGAACAAAGCACAACGGAAACGGAAACGGTATCGCAGAGTGTGTGTATGTGAGGGAGGGAGTGTGTGTATGTGTGTTGCAGAATCCTTTGTGCCCAAGTTGGCATTTCAGCGCCGCCCTCGATTTGGCATTACATGGGTATGGCCACCCTCCCTGGCCCCCTTGATGCAGCATTTCGATCAGTGAGTCGGATAAATTCTCACCCAGTGCTGATAGGACACGACAGCTAAGAGCCCAGAAGTTCCGGTCACCGATATCTCGTAGCTTCGGCTCGTCACCTCCAACCTCTTTTATTTTTCAGGATGGCGCCAGGGCAGAAGACGAACATCTTTGCAGAGCAGGCGGCGGGGGCAGCGCAAGCAGCACAGGCGGCGCAGGGAGCACAGGGAACACAGGCGGGGCAAGCAGCACCAGAGCAGAAGACAAATATATTTGCGGAACAGGTAAAAGCACAGGCAGCACTAGTGCAGGCAGGAAAGGCAGTGGAAGAAGCACCAGGGCCGAAGAGAAACATATTTGCAGAACAGGTAGCAGAAGCACGAGCAGAACAAGCGGCACAAGCGTCCCGGGCAGGACAGCCAGGACAGCCAGGACAAGCAGCATCCTTGAGCCCCGATCGTCAATACGGTGAATGGGAAGAAGCGCCCGATCATGACAAGTTTTATGTCCCAGAATGGACGCATCCGCAATGGTCTCCCAGTTTTGAATACGATGACTCAGGCGAGAAGCGGAGGCGCGTCTATTTCGAGACTGCCCAGATGCTGCGTCCTGCGATCCTGCCCGTGGACGCGGACAAAAACCCTACAGGCTTTGCTCGGTAAGCAGTCTCATCATTATGCATATCACTTGGATCCAATACCCCGCCGTCATTCAAGTATCGTTGCTAATTGTCGGGTCACACAGCCGCTTTGGCATCTATCTCAGAGATGATGAGCCAGAGCAAAACCCACCTGTTGGTCGATCTCTAATGAGCCCGAGGATCAACCCAAGGGAGCCCACGACAGACCTCAAGTCCTTCTTCTCGACGTGGACAGAGGAAGAAAGCTGGCAGTCATATGTTTTCCGTGGGCCGACGACTCAAGAGGTCTCTAACTACTGCTCCATGGCAACGACAATGTTGAAAACAGCATTTTACCACCTGCTAACCTTTTACATTCCTAGATGATAGCCGCAGGGGTGTATATTCCGAACCATCGCTTCAGCGGACCTGTTATCGAGGGAGACTTGCACCCGTGAGTGCGTCACAGCCAGCCTGTCAGGAGGATCGAATCATTAATGCTTTCCAGCTTTCTAACCAGGGATAAGTGGGTGGAACTACCCCAAAACACCACCATGATGAGGAATTACATCCCCGACGCACGCTGGAAATTCGGAGACCAAGAGGGCATCTATACCACTGGTGTAAGTCGAATCGGTTGTGCCTATCTCCCTCCAGCCAAAGCAAACCCTCTGTCTCTAACGTGCGGCAGGACGAAAGAGTTTGGGCGGTCATGCAGCCGGCGCTTCGATTAGCAGGGAGGGTCCTCGCCTCAAACCACCCATTCTGGTGAGAAATAAAGAAGACTGTGCCTCATTATCCCTGCCCCCAGACACCGAACGGACTCCCTGGTTATACACAGAGAAAGCACCTCCTCACATGCTTACAAGATGCCGCAGGAACGCAATACTGAGCTTATACCATCTTCGGCCGGTACCTTCAGATGTAGACGGTCGCACAGATGCCGCCAAGGAAGAGGCCGGAGCCGCACTCATGTCGGTATGGCTAGATGAGAACAAGCCAGGAATGTACCAAGCAGCAGCAGAACTTCGGCAGCTGGGATTTCGGTCCAGGGACACGACCTTGGCGATGCTGGACCAGTGTAAGCCACCGCACCCATGCTAAACCCGAACAAATACAGCTGGCTGATATGCATCTTCTACGTCAAGATGTTCGTTTCGCTATCGGTTCCTGGTCACAAGACGGTTTTGACGGAAAAGATTCTCGAGCATATGCCGCCACCTGCCGTCTCCCGAGCGTCCTCGGGGAAGGTAGATTCTCCTCCAGTGGACAGCCGGAGCCGCGCATCGTGATCAACTGTAGGTACCGAGAATACATGAGAGGTTACAGCTTCGCGTTACTGTGGAGGCTGACGGGCTGTGACCTAGTTGACCCCTCAATAATATGGCCGCTGCTGACGGCGGAATTTCCGGAGGCGCACACTGCGGCCACTTTTGTCTTAGCGAACGTAATACTGCACGAGTTGGCCGTGAGCAGTTCACTTTGTGCCCCGTCCGGCCCGAGACCATGTGTTGGCTGACACGCACCGGCCCGCAGCATGCTTGTCATTGTGAGTGAGCCCCCGAGCCCCAGACGTGCACGTCCACGGTGGATCATGGACGGCCTTTGATGACCGCGGGCTAAACCAACACGTATCCAAGTTGCACATGAATTTCTGCTGCGGGAGCCAGAGGCCACTTTGAGGACCTTGCGAGCCGCCAGAGACCTCGGAATAAGCGAGGACATGGTCGCGCGATTCCGTCCGCTGGGCGTCCAGATGTACGGCAAACAACGGACGACCCCTGATTACTTGTAAGTCCGGCCCGTTGCACGTTGGAGGCGGGAGAGAGGCTAGGTACTCGGCAACAGCCACTTGTTGGCCCCTTGGTCGACGGATCCGTTTCCTCCCCTGCTGGAGTGTGCTTTGCTAAGTCGACGATTCACAGCTTCGAAGAAGGCCCGCAGAGCGAAGAAGGCAAAGAATTCGAGTCTCTGGTGCGTCTTCTTGATCGCTGATTCGTTTCTCTGCTCCTTGAAGTGTGTCAATAGGGCTAACGCCTCGAGCGCAGGTCTGGGGTGAGACCCTGAGTCTTGGACCGCTCGCTAGAAACCCACAAGGTGGTAGCTATTTGCATCCCTACGTTCTGGCCATCTCCTGGCCTTGGAGTCACAAGTACCCATTCTTGCAGCACCCTGGGGTCGATAGGTCGGAGTATGCGCCGTATGCAAGCGGAGGTTACGAGGGCTATTTGTTGAACCCACCTGCTCCCGTGTACGAGCAGTGGAGGCCCGTCGAGGTGGAGTATTACGAACGTTTCTTGCAAGAGGCATGGTGGCAAGGCCAGTTCCAAAGGTTTGGTCACCAGGCATTGAGGCTCAACCCGCCGTTCAACGCTCTGATGGTCTTGCCGGTATTGGAAAAGGGCATCTTTTTGGCTATCTGAAACTTGAGCTGGACCAGGACGATTATGAGTTTTTCAGAGACGAGGCAACGACAGGGTTGTGAGTTACTTGACTTCGCGTCATACTTTCTTTCTCGGAACACCCAACTTGAACTGCACAACTTGCCCAAGAGACTCGGTCGACCTCGAGGCTTTCCAGTCGCATCAATCGTCGCGGGACGAACCGGCATTTTCAAGGACGGCTCCGGGAAAGTGCTGACATGCTGTCTTCCATAGGTACGAACTGAGGCAGTTCCCCCTGGCCCAGTGGCTATGGCATGGGACAGAGGGTCTTGTCATCGGAAACCTCACAGCAGCCCGGCTCAAGTTCGAGGCCAGGACGTGGGGGAGAACATATGCAAAGATAGACACCCAGGTGGACAAGTGCCTGGCCGACATTGGGGATTTGGGCAACGCGCTAGAAGGCTGGCTCGGAGACAGCATGGCCGGAAGGCTCACGGCCGATGCCCAGGCGACAATAACGGCTGCGTGTAAGAATGAGTTCCCCGAAACACAATCAAGGCTCACGCCTCTTTCGTCCCCCCCATCCCTTACGTAGAGGACTGAAAGGCCCCGGCGCAAGCACCGACCAAGCCCTGATCTGATACAAATCAAACTTATTGACCTTGATTTGTAGTTGACCGAGCTGCCACCACCATTGTTAGCGACGATCTCATGGTCGTTGAGCGGCTTTTCAGATACTCCATACAATACGCCCAGGCGCTTATCGCAATGTATTCCCTCCTCCCAACGGAAAAGGAAAGAAGAACCGTGCACCGGCGGTACATGACGCCCCTCAGGAACCACCTGAACTCGGTGCGCAACAAACTTGGCACGCTCACACAGAGGCTCGACGTCTTCGCCGCCGCCGCCGCCAGGGTCGACGGCCAGAACCCCCTGGCCGCGCTGCTCCAGGGCTTCCGGGGCTACATCGTCGAGTTCCTGCAGGTCGCGCGCGTCGTCAACGCCGGCCTCGAGCACGTCATCGGGCTGCTGGCGGACGAGTTCATCGCGCCCGGCCTCGACTACGCGCGCCACCCGGAGACCCTGCCGGCCGTGCCCGAGGCGAGGAAGCGCCTGACCATGTCCGCGAGCCTGAAGAAGGCCGCGCTGCGCAAGGTGCAGAATCTGAGGGGAGACGCGCGGGATCGCGTTAGGTATTACGTCAGCAGGTGGACGGAGATCGTTATGCGAAAGCAGACTGAGCAGCGGAATGCTGCCGCCAAGGTGGATGCTGCCACCGAGGTGGATGCTGCTGCCATGGAAGTAGACCCCTGACGGCTCACGTGGCTTGCTATCCGGGCGGCCAGCCGCCTTGGTCGGCTCTGGGGGGGGGGGGGGTCGCGAGGCTGGATTTGTTTTGATCTTGGGCAGTCTGGTGCTGTCTCAATGGGACCCGGTTTTCGCCAATCTGGTCACTGAGAATAATACCCTTGTCACCCAGGGTGAATGGCGAGCCTGGGATACACTCACAAGAAGAGCACGGACATGGCGGTTATGAGCTGTGTTGCGAAATGTTTAGGGAGCACCCATGGCCAAGCCATGGATGCCAATAGTAGAGAAAGAATCGACTTGGAGAGCGCGGCCTGGTTCTGATTAGGTTCTGGACAACTAGTTACTCAAGATGGTCATCTTTGGTGGACCACTGGCTACATATATAACGTAATTTCCGGTGGGTTCCAGATAGCCTGATGGCCATCTTGGGTGCCTGCCCGCCGGAAGAAATTACATGTTGTGAACAGCCTTGCTGTGACTATAGCAGGACGCTGGATGGTCTGGGGTGTCTCTTTTCACTCAATATCACTCGACCTTCCAAATGACAGTTTTTGTGTAATTACATGGGCACGCAGAGGCCTTTTCTCCAGCGTATGATCATCGACTTGGCTGAAGACTTGCCCCGTGGCGGGAAAAATATTGCGTGGGTGAGATCTTTTCTAGAGTAAGAACTGACCATGTGCTCCGACCCATTCACGCGTTCGCAAACAGCAAACTTGCGCTCTACAGGCCACAACCCACCCCCTCAGATTTCGTACAGTCGCTCGCTTTTGTAGTCGTCTGTCCCAAACTCTGTTGTCCATAACAGCTCCTCAATATTCTGTTTGTGCCGTCGTGATACGGCAGCAACAGCATTCATGGCTAGCCCAGCAGCTTCTGCATGGCATCTGCAAGGCACCAGGTCACTAAACAGGCGACCCGAGGCGCGCTGCTGGCTCGAGACTGCAGGCTCATGAAGATTCGGCGCCGGCAACCAGAGACTCGATGTCTGGTCACTGAGCCCAGTAAATTTCCACCTCGATGCCAACATCGACCGGAGGCGCGGTGTTTGTTCGGGTTTGAAAAAGGTCGACAAGATCCCGCCTCAGCCGTTCCAGTCCATCGAGACACTTCGTCGGCCGATCGCAGGCGCATGATTCCGTCACTGCCTTCCGTAGTGCTACAAACGTTCTCAAGGGGAGTCGCTCGGTAACGCTGAAGTTGTCGGGTCGTATTTGTGTTCCGAGAGCAAGGTGACTGCAACGGAAATAGTCGTGCACTGCGACGATGGTAAGTTCCCTGAGGCTGGGATGCACCCCAAGAACTTGTCGGTCCAAGGGGCCCAGTGTTTGAATGGCAGTAGACTTGATGAGCACAAGCCTCTGGAGTCGGAAAAACCAATGAGACATTGTTGGTGACTGGTGGGGTCCAGAGGCAGGGGGAAACAGGCCGGTCGGCCCCTCAAGGTATTGAAGGAAGTTTTTGCCTCCGCCGAGTCCGTTATTAGCAGCGAAACAAAACGTGTCATTCTTGAAGTTGGCCCAGATATAGAAAGGACTGTCCATTCTCGTGGGCGTCTGGATGGAACCGAATGTTGCTGCGCTGGTGTGCAAAGAGTCGGAAACATAAGTCTGGTACCAACTGCCGCTGCTCGGAAGCTGAATCTTGGTGTTGGGAGTGATGGCTACGTCGGGAACTTGAGTCTGATCCGGATCATCTGCATTTGCGGTGTTGGCAATGCGCCGGTCTGTGTATTGGTCGGCGCATGCGTACAGATGGCCAGACCAATACACCATCCTGCGGAAATAGTGCCGACGACGCGGCTGTGTGCACTCGTAAAGCTCCCAGATGTGGAGTTGGAGCTCGCGGGGAAGGTCGCGAAAGCGATGGAAGTGCTGCAGTGTCGACATGGCAAAGTTGACGGCACACCATAGAGAGGTGCAAAAGATGTTGACTGTACTGGAAGACCGTCAATTTCTGGCTGGTGGCACGCGTATTTATAGAAGATCGCACTGTGATAAGGGTCACAGGCCACCAGCAGTTTGCTCCCTGCTTTCTCAGGTTGTGGCAAGCCTCCTTGCGATCAGTTCCAGGACGAAACTTTGATTTTTGGGCGGTCAAAAGAAATGAGGCAACGTAGCCTATGTATGTCCACATGCCAGGCAAATTCGGCCTTCCCAATTGTGGTGCATACAGACACTCATGCTCTGTGTTCAGTAAGGCCGTAAAGGCTTGTGCTGTTGTCCCACGGAGAACGTACCAAAATTCGCCCTGAAATACAGTCCAGACACAGGAGTCCGCATAACGATTGGGTGGGAAACGCAGTCCTTGCTGGCCAGGGGCTCGCGGGTGCCCACGGCGGCGGCAACTGCACAAAAAAGCTAGCAGGATAGCTGTGTTCATGGCGCGTTGGACTCCAGCTTGAGAGCAAGCCCACGGAAATAATGGGTTATGCTGTGGCCCTGCCTGTCGCAATAAAGCGGGCGTCTGCCTTGCTGGCAGGGCTGCTTCAGCTTTGCCCCCACAGTCGAGGGTCCGCCTGGACCACCATAACCTGAAATCATCTGAGATTGTTGGCTGTCGTTGTGAGACACTGAGGACAATTGGGAGCTACATATGTGGACTTAGAGACTATTGCAGCCATACGTCAGGTCGCCTCCAACCCACTTTGGCAAGTAGCCTATACCCATCTACATATGCAACTGCTCTGTGTGTGATGACGGCCATGTCAGTGGCGGAGTATTCATCTGAATTGCATTTCAATGGAATGTGGAGACGGGCACATTTCAAGTTCCAACATTCACTTTGATCGTCACCAAAAAGTTCTTTTCGTATTGGTACTGTCTTCTGTGAAATTCAACTCATTCTCTCAACCATCAAGCCTCTTGTACTGCTTTCATGGTTGCACTTGAAGGATTAAGCCTTGCTCAAGCTGCCCTCCAAGACATTCTTCTCGGTCCTGGGCGTCATCTTCTCGTAGTCCTGGGTCTTTGAACTCGCGGTAACCGATTTCCTACCAATTGTTAGCAGCCAATGAACTATTGGTGAGCGCGTTGAGTAGCAATTTACACCGTAGTTTCCAACCCGTCCTTTTGGGTCAACTCAACCTCATACTCGTAATAGCTGCCAAAGCGGCCAGATTTCTCACAAAACTTCTTCACCTGGCCCTTGTACTTGCCGTCAGCCCCCTGGTAGATGACTTCCTGGTCCTCAGAAAACTTGGGCGCCATGTTGTTGTTCCCAAGTGTAGTGTTTTCCTTGTGTGTTTCTTGCTCTGAACACTGCGTGTCGTTGATGCAAGTTCGTCGTATTGGTGAGTGGTTTTGTTTCTGGTGGTGTTTCTGGTATTTGCCTTGCTGAATCAAGCTGCTGGAAGAGGGAAAAGGGGGACTTATACACTAAATCTGGGAAACAATCACTGCAGACTTCAGCCAAGTTGTTTTCCCAACAGCAGGTTCTGAGTGATGAGCATGACTTCCATTCATTCGTTATCATATGTCATGTCAGGGATTTGAGAATCATCTCATGTCACACCTAGTCCACAATGCAGTGCTGTCACCCTTGATCAATGATAAAGCTGTGAAATAAGCCAACATGTACCATACGGTCTTCACATGGGTGACTGCTGAACGGCTGTGACTGTTGTCAAGTTGCCACTCGTCATGTCTGAAGTGACGTGAACAGATGACTTTGCGGTATCAATGAAAGCGATGCTCACTAAAGATTTGTAACCGTCCTTGTGCTGGCTTCCTAGAATGAGTTGGTACTTCCAAAAGACTCAGCAGGTTTACAAAAATCTCTCACATACTCCCACAACCAGTTCCATTGTTCTGTAGCGAGACTGTTGGATAATGACGCAGGTTGCAACTCGTTGGTTGAAGTCGCACCAAAGGGCCACGCTCATGAAACCCAAGGCATGATCCAATCTGAAAGACGCCAGCTTCTTTGTTCTGCGTACTCGGTCCAACATCATTCGTCAAGGCAATATTTTGAAAATAAAATAGAGGATTATTCTCTAATGGGTGTCTTCCACCTCAGCCACCCACAGAAAGTTACCCCATAGCAATTTATCATCAATGGACTACTGTTATCGGTGTTTTTGTTTTTATCTAACGCTGGGTCTTGAGCATTTACCACTGAATGAAGGGACCGCATACAGCTACGTATGTATACGGATTAAGAACGAAACCACTTATCATCAATGAGGTTACACCATGAGAAGGTGTGCGAATTGGGCTTGGGTATGCGAGTTACTAGTTGGCGCGAGATGCTCTGATTGGCTGCAGCTTTGGTGGCAGGGAGGTATCTGTGTACCATCCGTTTTCTTCTGTGCGAATATCCGTTTTCTTAATAATTGGCACATTCCGTGCACCGGTGACAGAACGAATTGATCAAAAATTTGGGTAGTAAAATATATGTGCATTATACAATCTGGGAAGGCAGAAACACCAGCGTAGACCGGTGGAAAACTCCACAATAAAGGGCTCCTGTTAGATCTTATTCGAAAGCAATCCATGCCGGTACGAGAAAAAAAGGAAAAAGACAATTGACTCTCCTGCTTTTGCCTCTGATACCTACCCATACTTATCAACGCCTCCTAGGATGTCTACGGCGGCGACGCGACCTTTCAAACTCTGCTCTGAGCTCTGCCGAGACGTTGCGAGCTGGCTCCCAGGTGTCGAATTCGGGACCCCATCCTTCCCACCTAATGAGGTATTGACGACGATGTTTGGGACCCCGCACCTGGATGATCCTTTCCACCAGGTACACCCCATCCTCAGACTCTGGGTAACGAGGTATGGGGGAGGGCGGTGCAGACGAGGGCGGAGAAGAAGGAGCGAGCGAGGGAGGATGGCAGTCGGAAACTCTTTCCGTCTCCTCGACGTCGATTTGCATGGATTCCGGTGTCTCCGGTGTGTCAGAACAATCATCGTCGATATTCCCCAGTTCTCGGATCTCCGGACGGTCAAAAAGCTGTTCGTCGGTCTTCGTGGTTTCTGGGATTTCTGCAGTGTCAGGAAAGTACTCGTCGATGTCCATGAGCTCTAGATCCTGTGGGACATCAGCAAAAAGGTTGTCGAGATTCGCAAATCCTCCAGCTTCTGGGTTGTCAAAGAGTCCTTCGTCGATTTCCACTCCCATGAATGCTTGAACCTCTGCAACGCCAAATGAGTGGTTGGCGATGCCAATGGGCTCTTGCATATCTGGGAAATAGGAGAAAAAGGAATGGTGGACCGAAGAGAAACAAGAAAAGGGGAAGGAAGAAGCTTCCGACGCACTGTTAGCCTCAATTGTAGCATCCGAGAAAGACGACGGGTCTTCCTGTCCAGGCTGACTCGGCCCGAGCTGAAGAATCGACGGGTCAACAAACGCCAACTGGCGTAACTCACCGGGCGGGCCGAGCCCATGATCCGGAGAGCTCCAACTTCCTGCGTAGTTAGTAGAGTGAAGAGGCCTTCCCTGGTAGAGCTGCTGGTGGTGCGAGTCGTCGAATGACATGATTTCTCTCAGATTTCGGCTGTCTAAAGCCGACTGTGCAGTAGCAATGTTGCCGGCGGTTTCTGATGCGTTGTTTTAGGATTATATAGGTAACATGGATGCAAAGTACAAGTGACCAGGTTGAGAGCCCATACAAGAGATTGTCTGGTTAATCATAGATTTTTGTGACTGCGTCTTCACAATGGCATTGTCGTTTGGGTGTTACTACCGTTATGCATATGAATAATGCCTATACAAAGACACGGTCGGCACCACAAGGTAGGGTAAAATGAAAAGCCGGCATGACGGCACTCTTTTGGCCTGTTCAAACAACGGGGTCCCAGCCTTCATAGCCAGCCATTTCCTCCACGCAGAAGGAAGTCACCTTTGAAAAGCTGAACAAAAGATTGTCGTCTAGGCCCAAACAAAGCTTGGTAAAATTCGGTCAGGCCCGAAAAGGTCGAGCGTGACGGTACTAGGACGCTCAACCTCAACAGCTCCACACATGCAGACTTGCTTTGTAAAGGAGCCGGTCGGCTAAATGCCTGGCAATGCCAACAACCCAACCATACTCAGGCTGAGCCCGGAATTACATGAGACAAAGACCCCGCGGCTCAATGACCCCACGATTGCCAAGATGAACATACACAGAGACGAGCAAGCTGATTCGAGAAGACATAATTTCCTCTAGCTCAGTATGTTCTTATTGAGTGTAATTCGCGAAGCCGCTACTTGGAAGCTCACGATTCAAGCATCCGTTCCTCACCAGGCTTGCATGGGGGGCTGTTCTCTCTACCTTGCTAGGTTTAAACAAGGTTTGCTTCCTATGAATTGACTAGTTGCTTAGAAAAGTGGCACAAGAAGACATGGCAGGGGCGTGTAGCATTATGACACCACGCCCTGGCGCGATTAAAATAATGGTGTGCAACTTGCTCTGCCCGTGAGGCTGTACACAGACGCGTCAATACTAGTATAGGCTGTCAGTGGTGTACCATTAGTTATCTCACAAAATAATTTGAAATCGGTTGAAGCTGAAAAGCTGAACTCAGGCAAGAAGGTTAGCTTACGTACTCGGCTGCAGACCGTGACGTTGACGGCCATGGGCTGGCAGCAACGGGTGGGTGGATGAAGCGACTACCATTGCACAGCCAACATCAGCACAGTTGTATCTTACAGAGAGGACAAGTGCGGCAGCTCTGCGGGGTTGGCAAGATCTACAGATGATAGTCGATGGACGTTGGTGTGACACATGCATCGAATGCAGAAAGGCCAAATACCTTGACAAGTTTTGCTCTTCCGCCGAATGTATCAACAAGGAGGCTGTACGTCCATCTAAAATGCAGTTGTATGCCCCATGATAGGCATCGGCAGGCCCGAAGGCTCTATCATGCTGCCGAGTTGCCGGATGGGCCCAACAAGCCCACTCGCTGGCTCGAAAAGCCATGCTGTACAGTTCCTCGTCGAGTACATTGATCACCGCGTCACAGTACCTAGGTATATTCCTCGGCGCCGTCTCCTGTTTCCGGCCGAACCGCGCGGGAGCTGTGCCGCGTCAGACCTCATGCCAGCCCTGTGGGGTACTCCGTACAGTGGGAAAGAACTCTGGTTACACACGAATGCCCCAGCTTGAGTGCGACCTAAACTAGTGCCCTGCCAAGCCGGCCGCCCCCCCTAACCGGCATACCTTCCCACCCAAATACACTACTTTTAAAGATTTATTTCTCCACCATTATAATGCACGTAACTTTAATATTTAAATATAATATTATATAAATAAGGTTTAATTTAAAAAGAATTCTTTAAAATATATATTTAAATATTAATATTATTAAATAAATATTTAAATAAAGCTTAAAGTTTTTTATTATATATAATACTTTATATTATTAAAATAAACTTAAATATTTAATTAATTTCTTTTATTATTATTATTATTATTATTATTATTATTATTATTAAATTTAATTATATAATAAATTTATTATAAATTTATTATAAATTTATTATATATTTATAAATTAAAAATTAACTTTTATTATTAATTAATTTTAAAAAAAAATTAAAATATTATTATATTAATTATTAAAATTAATTATATATATAAGAATTTTATTATAAAAAAATATAAAATTTAATAATTAAAAATTTTATTATTTTAAGTTATATAAAATAATTAATAAAATTAATTATAAAACTTAAAATACCTTTTTAATTAAATTAAAAAAATAATATAATTAAAATTATAAATTTAATCTTTAAATTAAAACTTATAAATTTAAATATTATATTTATAATTATTTTAAATTCTTTTTAAAGTTATAAAAACTTAATATATATCTTTAAAATATATTAAAATTATTATAATTATATAAGGTATAATTTTTTAAATAATTAATAATTTTAATATTAAATTAAATACTTTTAAAATTATTTAAAAGAAATAATAAAGTTAATAATTGCTTTTTAATTTTATTAATATTAATTTTAAAATATATAATCTTAACTTTTAAGGATATAAATTAAAAAAATTAAAATATATTAAAAAATAAATTATTATTTAAAAATTATATAAATAAATGCTTTAAATAATTACTTTAAATTATAAATTAAATTATTATTTATTTAAAACTTTATTTTAATAATAATACTTAAATTTATAATAAAAAAATAAATAATTATAAATAAATAATTAATTATAAATAAAAGCTTTATATAAAAATATATTAAAATTATTAAGGAATTTAAAAAAAAACCTTAATTTAAATTAATAAATAAAAATTTATTATATTTAAAGCTATTTAATAAAAAATTATTAAAGTAAAATAAATTATTATATAAATTTTTAATTTATTATAAGTTATATAAAGTATAATATTAATATAAATAATTATATTTTAATAAATAAGAAAATAAAAAATAATAAATAAAAATTTTAAATTTTAAAAAGTTAAAAACTTTTTTTATAAGAAATTATAAGCTTTAAATATATAATATAAATTTATAAAAATTATTAAAAAATATAAATAATTATTTATAATAAAAATAATAATTATAATAATAAAAGAAATACTTATATTATTAAAAAAAATAAGCTTATATTAAAAAAGCTTAATTAAATTTAATTTATTATATAACTTTAATTAATATTATAATAAATATTATTAATTTTAAATATAAATTTTTATAAAAATATATCCTTTATAATTAAAATTATATTTTTATTAATTACTTTTATATATTTTTAAAAAAAGTATTTTTATAATTTAAAAAAAGTTAAAAAAAAAAAAAAAAATATATAATGCTTTTAAAAATAATATTAATTTTTAAGCTTAAATTTAAGTTATTTAAAGCTTAAAATTTAAATTAAAATTTAAAACTTTAAAATATATAAAAAAAAATTAATATAAAAAGTTAAAAATTAATTATTAAAATATTATATTATTAATATAAAGGTTAAAAAAGTTTTTATTATAAATATTATAAAAAAATACTTTTTAAAATATTTAATAATATTAAACTTTATAAATATAATATTAATTATAAATATTAATAAATAATTAATAAATTTATAATTAATAATTTATAATAATTATATATAATTAAGAAATTAATAATTATTAATTATAATATATAAAATAATATTTATATAAATTAAAATCTTAATTTTATATTTTAAAATTATTATTTTATATTTATAAATTTTAATTATCTTTCTTTTTATTAAATAATTATAAAAAAAAGAAATATTTTAAAATAATAAATATAACTTAATTATTTTAAAATAATAAAATAAATTAATTTTTTTATTTATTTATTAATATTTATAATTAATATATTATTAAATATTAATTTAAAATTATTTAAAGTTTTTTTAATATATAAAAAAAGAAATATATAATATTTATTAAAAAAAAGTTATTTATAAATAAAGTTATTTTTTAATATAAATAATTAAATTATTTAAAATTAAAAGTTTTAAAATACTTAATAAATTTATTTTAAGAAATATAAATTTATAAATTAATTATTATAAAATATAAAATATATATTTTTATTAAAATTATATAATAAATTTATTAATTATTAAAAGAAATTTATAAATAAATAAATAAGAAAATTATAATAAATTTTTTATAATATAAAAAAAGAATTTATAATTATATATTATAATTTTTATTAATATATAAAATTATTAAATTGTTTTATAATATAATTAAAATTAATATAAAATAAAGATTAAAATTATTAAATATAATAAAGAAATATTTAATTATAAATAAATAATAAAAAAGTTTTTAAAGTTAAAATATATTAAAATTAACCCTTTAATATTAAATATATAAGTTTAAAATAATAATATTAAATATTTAAAAAATATAATTAAAAAAAATATAAATAATATAAATAAACTTAAAGCTTTTATATTTTTTATAATTAAAAATTAAATATATAATAATATATTTTAATAATTAAATATTAATATATAACTTAAATTAATAAATATTATATTTTAAATTTTATAAAATAATTATTAAATAAATAAGTATTTTATAATTAAATTAAACTTATTTATATATTTTTAATTATAAAGTATATATTATAATATTTAATATTTAATTAAAAAAAGTATTATTAATAATTAAAGCTATAAATATAAATTAAATATTTTATAAGTTATTATCTTTTAAATATTTATTAAATATAAATTTTCTTTATAAAAAAATTTATTAATATAATAAATATTATTTTTAATAAATATAAAATATTTAATAATAAATAAAAAGGTTTTAAAGATAACTTTTTTATTATAAATATTAAGCATTTTATAAAATAAATAAAATAAATATAATTTTTTAAAAATAATAAAATATTAAACTTAAAAAGAAAATATTTATATAAAAAATAATTTTTTAAATAAAACTTTAAAAAAACTTAATTTATAATAAATTATAAAAATAATATTAATAAAGAAAAAGTTAAAAAAAAAATATAAAAATACTTAAAAAAGATAATTTATAATA